TTGTCACTGGGTCAGGCACCCTTCTTGACCACGTAGTTACCCATAGACCCAAATATATGTGCTGCAGACTATATTATTGTGGAATCCCATTAGCTATCATCTTAGTGACAATATAATGTAATTTTGTGTTTTCATATTTGATTTATGTACTTCCCCCTGGATGGGGTATGGGAGGAGGGGGGGTGGTAAAGGTGGGATAGGAATGTTAGAATATTAGCGGCTAACGTCCACAAAATAGCAATCGTGTATAATAATACGACGTGTCGCTGTTCATACCAATAAAAGGATAAATGCGTTATCATGTGCCACAGTCATTTTATTAAGATTGTGTATTAGTTTATATGCCATGAATTATATATTGATTTTTCTGGAGATGATAGAGCATACGCTGCTAAATCAGATTTTTGGTTTACACAATGCAGACTAAATGTTGTAAGCCTCAGTAATCCTCACGAACACATGAGATGTCCAGAGCAGGTTTGACCGGGACCATTCCGGCGCAGCAACATATCGCAAGGGAGTGAGATAATCTGCCATACATACCAACTTAACATTAGATGTCATAACAACAATAAGACTCTAAATGTGAATGACGACCAGGCAACAGTGTCACCTGAGGCATCTGTGACTGGACTTTTTCCCGCATGGTAATAGTGCAGACATAACAGTTATCGTTGAACCCTAGACATCTTACCCTCGCAGCAAACACAGTTGTGTCACGGAGTTAACGTGAAAATAATAAATTATCACATAAAGGTTAAATGTTAGTAAAAATAATTTGGGACACCGGGGCAATAACAAGATATGCATAATTTAGATTCAGAAGAATTGCAAGATCTCAGCTACTTGTTTATAATAGAAGAAGAGAGCGATTATCGAATATAGAGACGACTAATTAGTCAAATAAGTGCGGATTGAACGAATGACACTAGATTAAAAGTGCGAATGTGCTTTTGGGGCGACCTATAGACCGATACAACCGCAAGGTCAGATTACGAATGAGGATACTTCCCCATTAGACTCTAGGAGTCGAGACTACACCAATTCGATTTAGGTGAACGGTGTGACTATAAGTTCCGTGTGTGCACCTAAAATAGAAGCAACAGAGAAGCCGCTACAAACTGTTGCCCCGGTGTTCTACAATACCGGGCACAGTTTTCTATCAGCTTTTTTTGATCGCAACGACCACTAAGCAATTTCACCACGATCATAGTTGTGGGCAATTAGACGACTGTCATCTATTTCAAACCAACTCCATATACCACCGCAATCACCCGGAGAGGTTTTACTCATCACAGACGCATGACTCCGTCTCATTAACATTCAAAGCCTCCGTAGTTGCAAATTTCGAAATATGATATATCAAAGCGAGTCCTCATGCCTCTTGCTCATATTGATCTACTAAACACGTTGTTTTATAAATAGACAAACATACAAGGTCCGATTGCGAAAATGTACGACCCCTTCACCAGACTCTCTGACACCTGTTTGTCTGGCCGTCGCAGCCTCGTATTTGATACCTCTAGCCACCCCTCAAATAACTTAAATGCATCCAATATTCGTGTGTGTAACTTAGGATCCAAATTCGCACAATCGTCTCTAGGGTTAGGAGTAGTTGCTGTGCGTAGAATACTTTGCAACTTAGAGGCCTTTCGTTGCAACCCAACCTTCTGTCTCATATCACGCCTGTAGTGGTGTGCTGGGTAATGGCGCAATGGCTTATTAAGTTTGGGGTCTACGTCTCCACTCTTTTCCAGATAGTCCTTCCACATAGCGGCTGCGACCTTACCAGGCTCCCTGTGGCCATACGTAAACATTTTAAGTCAAAAAAACTCGCAGATTAATAATCCATCACACATTGGCTCAAATGAAAGGCATATACAGAGTGCTATTTGGGTGTTGAATTGCAATCTTAGAGGCGTACTCGCAACGATGGCTACGGAGGACTAACAGAGGGACACACATACACGTTTATACTGTAGTAATGGCCAATTATACGAATTCATTGCATTAAAAAGAAAGGCACATTCACGGGGAACTCGACTTATTTGCATATCCCAGGAAGGAGGCCATGATCACAACGCAGAACGACAACAACCACAATAGTTTCTTTTACACATCATCAGTAGTCCAGTCATATTATCAGTTTTAACTCACTTCAAGTGCCCAAAGTCTTCCGGATCTTGAGTGTATGTGTACGCAGGAAATCTATAGGTGATCTCGTCTGCACGATATATTTGAAAGGTGCGGCAGGAGAACAACGACTTACGCTTGCCCTTTTGAATTCCCGAATTGTCCGATACACCCCTTTTTCGGGCGCAAAGCGGTACTTCACCACGGCCATCGAGGCGCTGTAACGCAGCACAGAAGACGCCTACAAAGGCCGCCTTCATGGGTACTCTGTGTAGAATACCGGAAAAGTCGAAACATTCCACTCTTGCTTGTAGTATAGCACTGTCTTCTGAGATTCGGGTGTAACGATCCGTCGGTAGCGGTACTTTGGCGTCGCTCCCATGGGGCAGGCAAACTGTCACCATCGCTTCAGCGCCGCGAGCGTAAGGAAAGACAGAACAAAACGCTGTGGCAAAACGAGACGGGGTATCTAATGCGCAATGTGTAATTTGAATACGACACATTTCCCGCTAGACACAACGATAACATCAGGATTTGCTACCCTCAGTGCCACGCTGCCGGAAGTTCGGCTTTGAGCAGTTGCGGACACACCCTAATACTACTAGATGCGTTATGAGTCCAATTTAGGACGCTTGTTTCACTGAATACTGCGTCATCGGTATGGTTTTGCAAAATTACCGAGAAGACTAGCGCTCCAGCGATGCGTTGGAAGATGGAGGAGACTGCGCACGACGTTATCAGCGGCACTTTGCCACCGCTTGGAGCGAATGAAGTTGAGCTGGTATTGCCTGATTTTAGAGGCAAGATCATTGAACCTTGTTCTCAACTCTTAAAGGACGGGGACCCTGACAACAAGATGCACGAGCTACAAAACATAACCATGTATTCGGATTGGAAGGAACTTCCAAATATCCGATTTCGTATCATGATGTTCCCGGTTTGCCCTCACTCCGACATAGGTACGGACGTTTCGGAATTCCGAATCTCTGCCTACGTCGAGGCTGGGCGTAAGGAAGACTGGCCGGAAAACTGGATATGTTACGGCACACGCTTTTGCCTATTTGTAATAAACCATAAAAACCTGCACTTGTCCGTTTACAAAAAGGATACATTCAGTTTTTCAAGTTCTGAGTCTGACCGAGGCTGGCAGGGCATACTCACTCATGCCCAGCTCGTAGAGGAAGGATTCCTGAGCAGCAAAGGCGACCTCCTGCTGCGTGCAGGCGTATATCCCATGGGTGCTGAGGTTAATCGGGCATCTCGTGATCACACATACGACTGTCGCAAGGCCACTGGATTCGTAGGGTTGCAGAACCATGGTGCGACTTGCTATATGAATGCGCTTCTTCAGAGTCTCTACAGCATCACTAAGTTCCGTAAGGCGGTTTATCTTCTAAATTTTCGCCTAGACGAAATGATAGGGCCGCACTCTTATGAGATTATGAAGCGACTAGAGGCCCGCATGCCGAACTATTTTTCGTCTATCACCTCTCAGTCGGACAACTACAAGAGCGGCAAAAGGAAGTCACATGAAAGTGCTGATTCACCCTTTGGCCACGAAGCCGACATTGAGGGACGTGCGGAATGGCCGTTCGATCTGGATCTCGATGAAAACGAATGCTGCGCTATATTGATGGAAGAAGAGGAGGAGCAGAAAAAAGTACCAAGTGTTGGTCTTGCCCTACAGAATCTTTTTTATAAACTGCGTTACTCTCCTCACGCACCTCCTTGTAAGGAGCTTATGCGGTCTTTTGGTTGGGATTCCTCGGACATGTTCACGCAGCAGGACTCCCACGAGCTTTTGAAGCTGTTATTAGATAAGATGGAAGAGCAGATGAAGGGCACGCCTGTGGAAGGATCTGTGAAACACATTTTTGAAGGAGAGATGGAAACTTACATTGAGTGCATAGACATCGACTACAAGTCGTGTCGTTTGGAGACGTTCGAAGACATCCAGCTTGACATACAAGGTTGCTCGGACATTTACGACTCACTGAAAAAGCTGACAGAAGCCGAAATTCTGGACGGGGAGAACATGTACGAGGCGGAGGGTCACGGCAAACAACGAGCTCGTAAAGGCATCCGCTTCCGCAAATTCCCACCGGCGTGCATCTTCCTGCTGAAAAGATTTACCTTCGACTTACAACGCATGGATACCGTGAAGCTGAATGATCGCTTCGAATTTTACAAGGAGATAGATCTCTCTCCCTTCAATCCAAACGCGGGCAAGTACGTCTTGCAGGCAGTCTCGGTACATCACGGTTCTATCAACAGCGGACACTACTACGCTTTTGCCGCCTCTGAGAAGGGTGAATGGTATCGTTTTGATGACGAGAACGTATCTAGGGTTAGTGAGTATGCGGTTATTGGCGACAATTTCGGCGGTGAGGAGCCGGATTGCTTTAACTATTGTGCATCAGATGGGGACATAACAGTCGCTCCGTTCCGCAGACCAAAGAATTACAATGCCTACATTCTCATTTACGTATTGAAAAGCGCAATTGACGACATCCTAGGCCCATGCGACCCAGTGAAGGAGAACTATAGCGTGATAGCCCGCTGTTGTTTGCAGGAACGCTTGAATGTAGTTCGTCATCGTGTGAGGGAGCGACTGAGCCAATTTATAAAAGTGAAAGTGTTTGAAAAATCGGATTTTGAAGGCCTTAAATTTTTGGACCAGCCCTTTATCGGTTGGTTGGGAGGCACTGTCATTACTTTCGAGCGCTCTACTACTCTCACTGATGCGTTGCGTAACCTTTGCAACGCGGTTGGAGCACCCTGCGGTAACGATGCTTCTGCATCAGAGAATTTCCACATTATGGGTCTCAACAGGGCCTTGAATCGTTTTTGCTGCCTGGCTGATATACGAAAACATGACCGGTCTGCAGATACCTTGCAATCGCTGATTTCTCATATCCGCCGTGATGTGTTCCAGGTGTACGACCCGACACTGTACATCCTCTACGTGCCCAGACCGGCGCCGCACATTTCGACTTCCACCCCTCACTTGCTGGCTTTCTTGAAGTATTTTGACATATTCTGTGATCAGCCTGGAGGTGACAGTTTGATATGCGTAGACATTGTCTACCTCTCACCGGATCGATCGATTTCACAGGTCGGGGCCGCAGTGCTGCGCAAGGTGTTGCAGTTGATGAGCCAAGATGTGGTCACTCCACACAATATGTTCGCTATTGAACGTGCTCTATCTCGCATAGAGGCCATGGATGTAAACGACAAATCTATGCGCGATGTTGATTTCGCTGTCGAACAGATTATTCACGAGGAGTCACTCCACTTAAATTGGTACGTTGAGTTGTCCGGGATGTACGAGACTCTGACTCTAAGCAAGACTTTACGTGAGCAGCAGTTGACCAACGGCAACTTGTTGGTCTTTAACTTCCGCCCTACCGAGGCGATGCATCGTATGATTGAAGAAACGGACTCTAAGTTCACGCAAAAGGAGGACTTTGAGCCGACGCGACCTGTCATTGAGACTTCAGATGAAGGCCCATTCCTGTACCTATCTCCGGATTACGAAGAGAGTGATGGCGTGGTATCGATTAGAGAGGATACGCATAACACCTTTTTCAGGGATTTACAGGCGCAGTGGGCCGAAATAGCTGAGGAGGAAGTGTTGAAACATGAGAAGTTGAACATATTTCCCATATATGACTTTCCAAGTTTCATTGACTGGCGTTTGAATGTAGTAACAATAACATTCAAATTGTACAACCCTTTCGAGCAATTGGGTTCATGGGTTAACTGCTGCAACTCGCCGGTGAAGATCAATTGCCGTTCTGCAGATACAGGTGCTACGTACGATGAATCGAACACCGTCGTTACTCCCATGAAGACAGTTCAGTTTACGCTTGATCTTAGGGTTCCATGTAAGCACGCGTTAAGATACGTCTGCTGGTCCATGGGTCTTGATCCTGCGCATGTGTTATTTTATTCGCACCCTCCGCACAGGGTAGAGTCTATCTGGTTGCGCCCAGCGTCTATCGACGACTTTTACCACCGAGACGGCTCGCTTGGCTTAGTGCAAAAACCGTTGTCCGATCTTTTCTCGACGCTTGGCAAGGCTGTGCGTCACGATGGAGAATACCCGGATTCTATTATACGATCCGGTAGCATAAACAGCAACGCACAGTGCAGCGATCAAAGTTTAGAGAGTTCACGCCAGAACGATTTCAATAATTCAATATGCAATGACGTCGGGTACGACCAGGGCATATGCACAATGGGTATGCTGGCGTATTCGAGATACAACAGGTCCAGCAGCGATATGGGCTGTGTAGACACCGGGAGAACGATACGATCTGCGGATATGGCACCCATAACTCCTCTGATGTCAGCGTTTAACATTGGTATGGCCAAGCACAGCAGTGTGGTCTCTATGGCTGTATTCCCCCAGTCCTATAGCGACATATTGACGAAGTGTGATGATCGAACATTACATTTCACTGTGCAAATCTTCAACCACCGTGTTGAGTGTATCGGAGTCTGCATGGGGAATGCTCCATCGGACGTTACAGTGGCCCAGTTGTGCGACATGGTGAGGCACACTGTAAAATTGGACACCAACGTGAAACTACGCATGGTTGAGTGTCTTTCCGACGCCTTTTCAGTCGTAGATCCGTCGAGTCTGGTGCGTGATCTCCCACATTACGTCAACACCAATATTCGCAATCTCCTGGCGGCGCCGCTGAGGGTGGAACCTGATTGGTCAGTTGAAGACCAGGAGCAACTGCAGAGCAAACAGCTATTGCCTCTAACGGTGTTACACCAGACTTCAGACCACGAAACGTTTGGTCACCCTTTCCAGGTACTCGTGGACCCGTGTTGGACCATGGCGGAGATAAAGTGCGCAATAAAGGAGAAGCTAAAGTTACCCAAGCGTGAGTGGGACCGTTGGTCCTTCTTTCAGCAGATGGATAATTACAATCGTACGTGGAAAGCGAACGATGATGTCCTTGATTGGGAAAAAAGCCATGATATCAAGCTACTTGCGGAGCATCCAAAGCCTTATGACAAGTCCCGGAGCTTTTGCGCAATGAGGATCGGGTAATTGTACCATACTAGAGATTGCGTGTTTGGTTTAATGGACTACGAGTTTTACGCTAATTAAAACATTTTGTGTACGTAGTGCCGGTAAGGTCAACGCCCGCGCGGCGTTACCACTGGTCGACTGACTCTACGTCGAAGTCGTAGAGCGCCCCCGTGGCGTCAAATCCAGGAGAGTTGTCGGGAAGGTGGAGGCTGCTATGGACCGACATCACCAATGCTTTTGCCGCCTCCAGATCCACATACCGCATGGCACTTGCAATCTCGAAATAGTTTCTGACGTTGACCTTTCGCATGAGTCGGCGTTTGAAGGACTCGAATCTGTCCACCTCTGTGATGTCGAATCCGTCTGTGGTGCGTTCCACCACTTCCAGAAGCTGTATTACATCTTCGGAGTTCGGCCTGAACAGTTCGCCGAAAGCAGATTCCTGGTCGGGGTATATGGAAAGGAAACGGCATACAAGTTTCCTCCAGCTGAGCCAGTGCCCTGGCTTGTGCATCCTCTTCTGGAGGTACGCATCATACATGGAGATCAGCGAGTCCCGATACTGCTCGCCGAGTTGTAGGAAGTCTGGTTCAACACACCTCACCTTTTCCATTATTTCGGCAGGGTTGGACTCCCAAAAAGTTTTTTCAAAAGATCTCATGAGCACACGAATGTACTCGTTCATCAGTAGGTGGTCATCGATACCGAATCGTTGTCCAGCGATAGGTTCGTTTGTCCACACCGCTCCCACCAATTCCCCCAACTCAAACGCTTCTCTGGCGATGTGCGGATACACAGGTCCGAACTGTTTACACGAGAATAATGCGTCCAGGCACCTGTATATGTGCAAAAACGCATTTAAATTATCCAGCACGTATGCGGAAATTTCTTCAAACAGTTCCATCCTATACTTTGAGCTCGCGATGAAACGACCGATGTAGATTTCAGTATCGGATGGGAAGCTGCAAAATTGATTTAAGAACTTCTCTATGGTTTCGAGATGGGCCATCAAGGATTGTGACCAGCCGAATTGTTGGAGTAGTGGACGAAGTACTGCTAACACGCGAAGGCACTGATGCACGTTGAAGCTGTGGAAGATCTGGTGTAGCTGCTCGACAAACAACGTGTTCAACGTGAAATTACAGGTCTCTAACAGCTTAATTACCCCCAATTGTATATCCACACGGATCAATTGTAGTACATCAATTCTCGATGCCGAAGGCCATTTCGTGAATTCGCGGCGCTCAGGCTTTGACTTTTCCGGATGTAATTCGTCCGAGAAGTCATAGTCAGTGATGCAGATAACTGCAGTGCTGTAGAAATTCAAAATAGGCAGAAAACAGCCGTTGAAGTTATCAGTATTTTTCTTTGAGCTGGTGAAGAACTTGCCCTTCAGTGTTTCAAACTGCATTTTCTTAAGAGCAATTGATGAAAGCCCTGTTTCGGCTTTACCAAGTGCCTTGCTTAGGAGCCCGCTTGCCGTGTTCCCTGTAAAGCGATGTGCCAGTTTGTCGAACGATATTTTCATTTTGTCAGCTTGATAAACCTCAACTTTCGTTAGATTCACAGTACTTAGCAGCCTTAGGATGCACTTACGCATCGTTAGATTGTCAATTTCGACCTCTGCCCCCTTGCGGGCCGTCATTTCTGAGTCACAATCCGGGCCCGTTAGGACCTCGAAAAGGGTGATTGCAGAGGTATCGAACGCATTGTGACTTTTTGCAGTGCCAACTGACGCATCGGCTATGTTAAATACCTCCTCCTTCACGAAGGACATGAACTCTGGCATCTCGCTCTTGATTGAATCGCTGCAGATTCTACCTAATCCCACAAAATCCGCCGATTTTACCCATGAAGGTCCCCATAGTCTCCCTAAAATGATAGACAGTTCCTTTTCATCTGCTACAGTCAGTTGGACATCCCCATGGTTTTGTGCGTCATGCAACACTCTGGCTAGCGCTTCCAACACCTCTGCAACGTCTTCACGCCATTCCTTTGGCAACACCAACACAGCGCTAGCCTTAATGTGTCTAATTCGCTTCACGACATCGGCTGTACCGTGATTATTGATATCACCATCCGTTAATGCGCCAGAGAGAATAGAAGCGAACAACAGAGATGCCCAGTATATCTCGCTGCTGGTAACTGAAGCTTCCGACTTCTTGAAAAATATTGACGCCAAACTGCCGAGTCCATTTTCCGCAAGCATCGCCCTGTCCAGGTAAAAACGATAACCCAATTTCTTTGATTTCATTCGGTACCTGCCGATATCACAACTAAAGCCCATCAATACGGTAGAAAAGCGCTGAAACACTCCAAGATACCTGATATCAGCAAGTATTGCGTCGTAATCAGGTATGTAATCTGCATGGCCTCCTTCTCCTAATAAAGACAATACGTTTATACCTCTGTTCATAATACACCCATCCCAATCTACACCCATGTAGTTGAGATAGACCCCTAACATCTCATGTATCTCCATACCAGATTTAGATAGAGGGTTATTGAAATACAAATAATCACAGGCACCTACATGTAACGTATGCAACAGATCCGTGATCACCCGAGCCAACGTAATACCAACACCACGCTGCTTACTGAGACGGTAGACTGTGAGTTTCGCAGCTCTCAGTGACGACCTCAGAAAATCCCCTATGTCATCGATACTCTTGCTGCAAGAGGTGAACCAAACATGACACTGGGCATCCAGGTAGCTGAGATTCTTAGATGACGTGCATATTGTGTATAAAAACATTGTGTTGAGTTCTTGAGGCGTTACTCCATTGATGTAGGTTGACATGTCGTTGAGAGCGTATAGGCAGCTGCGAAAATCTCCTACAGATAGCTGATGATCCAGTAGGTACAGCAAGATACGCTGCATGAGCAGTAATGCAGAGTCCTTGTCATACAAAGCCCTTGTGATTTCTTCTGTGTCAACGTAAATTGTTCTCCCATCCGAAGTCGACAAGCGCATCAATGATACGAGATTGAGTAGTGCCTCCACAAAATTGATCTCGCAGATGACTGCTCGTATAACTAAAGTTCGCGTCAGTCTGCCATTAGCATTTTTCCACAACTTGAGGAAGGCCTGATAGTGCGGATTACCGTATTCCAATTTGGTAGCTTCCTTATTGGCATGCCCGCATAATCCTGCCAAGTGGGTGTCACTCAACGACGTGATCCAATCGCTTTCTTCCTCCCGCAAGCAATCATCCGAATCACTTACAATATCGTTGCCCACCCCCAACAGAACGCATATAGATTTGTATACGAAGTAGTTGGTTATTATGTTGTAGCGGAAGTTTCTATTGTATAGTATGCGGAAAACAATGGTATGGACACTGTTTCTAAGTTCGGTTGTGAGCATGGCCTTTGTCAAAACATAGAGCGTTTCTAACATGTGTGAACCGACAGCAACGTCGAGATTGTGGTATATGTCCTCCATGTAGTCGTTGAGAGTTGCACTAGCACACTGCTTAATCCTCGCGAAGAAAGAGCGGAATCCTTGGCTCAGTTCAGCGAACGGGTTATCCAGCTGAATATCTTCGACACTACTCTTTATCAGCTGAAAGAATATGCTAAGGGTATTTGTTCGGTTGGCGGTTTTGCATTTTAAGCATGATTTGTATATCCCGTATTTGTCTTTGTATATGTCTTCACACATACAATCCGCGTATCCTACATTTGGCATTTTGTTGCATTCACAAAATAGTTCGAGCTTTTCGCTAGGCTTAAGTTTGAGGTAGGCAATAAAAGATATTTGCCTGGAGGTTTGGAGTTCCTGGACACTTGTGGCTGCACTTGTATTAAGGCTGCAATAAATGATGTGCTGTTTCATAAGCGCCAAAAAATTCTCTACCAGGTGTTGTTTAGATGCCACGTATGGATCAGTTGTCTTCACCTTCAAAAACAATGGTGACATTATCATCAGGAACTTGTAAGCCAAGTAAAATGAGCAGTGCGTGGTCTCCAGTATAACATACGCTCTCCAAAGGATCCAATCAATCCCATTGACGAGACCATTCTCGCATGGATTATGCGAAACGTCAAAAATTTTTTCGATCAGTTGGCGGCACTTTACATAGTCACAGGCCACGGGTATATAGCTTAGCAGTACTTTCCAATTCTCCCTAAGGTGATTAAGCATACAGAATTCATGGTTCTGCAATATAACATTGAATGCTTCGAAGTTCCCAATCATCAACGAGTAACACAACAGATGGAAGACGTCACCGCACGTAGCATCCCTGTAGAAAGGCCAACTGAGGATGGTGATGGCATTAACGTCATAATCCGGAATAACAACCTCAGTAACTGTATCCGCATAATCAATAAGGCCTCTATAGTTTGTCGGGTCTATCTTGAAGTGGGTTGCAGCATTTCGTGGAGCCCGTTGATGTTGAATGTCCACAACCAGTGATTCGTCATCTAGCGCACGCTGACACGTAGATTCAAAAGGGCTTTGTTCCGACAACGCTACACAAATGACAACATAACGCTTGAACTTCTTTGCCAACTTATCTATGAGCTCAGGCACTTCCTCATGAACCTCATTGCTCGAACCGACGGACGGTTCATCACCGCGACGTCCTGCTGGCGTGCTACCAGTTTTACGGTACGAAGCATCATCAGTCCTCTCTTTACCACTGTAGCTATCCCCTCTGTTGTCTGATAAATGCTTAGCTTTGCAGAGCAACAAGTAAACCTTAGCTAGGTCCAGCTGCACATCACGGCTCTTTACAAACGCGGAGCTCCCGCATTTGTATACATCAACCACGGTTCCGATGGCTACACCACTACATGAAAATCCAGGATCGCTATTGATAGATGGCGACGCATCCCCTATCTGAGTCGTATACGCCCCGTTGAGATTCGACTTCCCACGACAGCGCTGGCCGTGCGGATTGTATGAAGCGGCGAGCTTGGCAAATTCAAGGGCGTCACCTGGCAACCCCAGGCATAGCCTGAACTCGTATAGCCAGTTATGTCGTCCAGAAAATACCATTTCCTCGCCTTTTCCTCGCGCTGTGGGTCAGAGCCCTCGTAACCAGACACGTTCCATGCCTCTGTTTCCTGAATTCTGTGATTCCTTTTGTAATATAACTAAGGATGTCTATAAAATGTGTTGCGATGACTCAGCACTATGCCTTTTGTGTGCCACGCTGCGGCGGAATTAGGCACAAGACAGCCCCTAACAAAGGCCAGCAGCCCACACACCTGATCATTGTAAGTTTACAAAAACGCGAGATAATTATTGTATTGTTACGCAACTACGATATTTAGTGATAAACCACGAACCATGTGATCTTTCTCTAACTATTGACAATTCGGTCAATTTGCTCAGTGGTGATGAGACACTTCATCGTAGGCCTTCCATGCGGACAGTTCCACGGATGTATAAGGCCTGCGAGCCGATCTTTAATTGCCACCATTTGTTTAAGCGAGAGAGGGTCGCCTAGCTTGACCGCATCTTTGCAAGCCCTATTAATTCAGTTATAATCCACATCAAGCAACTTGCCTGGTTGCCAATATGTTCCATATACGTCTTGGGCGTGGTAATACCGTGTTAGTCCCCCAAAGCACGTTGGGAGAGTCGCCGACGCTTGGCACCGCCTGCAAGGGGGGTCCGCTTTGCGCCAGGTCGTGAACAAACGATACAAAGTCCTCTTCACCCAATATTTGTCCCATTAGCTGAGGTAATGAGCTCAAGTACACGCCTGGTTCCCAATGCTGATCTTCCACGGTCTCTGTCTTATGCACTAGGGTGGCAGTAAACCCGTTCTCGTTGAGGAGACCTAGGTTTGTCTGAACTACCTAAGGCACTCGTTGAACCCAAGTCCGCTCACTACCACTTACCTGTTGATGAAATGGCGAAAGATCAACTCTTCTAGGGCAGACCAGGGGCTGCTTGTGTATTTTTACGCTGGCATTGTATTGCTCGAACCTATGACATTTGATACAATCACCAGAAACACATACTTGGCCTTCTCATCCGCAGCATGTGGATCTATCAGATACACAGAGTACTTTGTACCTTTGGTTTTTGTTGTTGTTCCTTCCAGTTTAGCAACTATGAACCCGTTGTTGAACTGCCCGCAGACCTTCATCTTCAAGAACACTTTGGGGTCTATCATACTGTCATCTGTGGGCATACGGTCAGAATCACTGTATTTTTGTGTCTTTACTGTGCGATTGGTGTTAATTTTGCGAAAGTCGTGGTTGTGCAGCCGGTCCATCTTCACAGTCAAAACGTTATCGTTAAAAAAGCCGCAAAAGTTAGACGCAGGTATTGTAGGAAGGTTAGATATCAATCCAGCCCTGCTGAATTTTGCACTAACAGGGGTACATTGAGGTACATCAGTCTCTAGCGTACGAATTACTTTATCACCATGCACAGAGCCATGGAGATGCACATGGTACCTGTCATTTTTGTGTTTATCGCTTGCATATAAGTTCACAACGCTCGGATCTTCTGTAAACATATCACGTTCTATTTCGCTTCTAGATCGTTTTTTGGTTGTGTAATAAGATAAGGTTTCTTGATATTTTAAGTTTTGGTTGACTTCGCGAGTAAGGGTAGAGCCGCCGGAACCTTTTATCCAGTTAACTTGCGTATCCAAATGGTTGCATCTAATCGCTGTACTATCTATAATATCAGAGGAATCATCCACTTTTGCCCCCGCAGCTGCCTTTAACCAGTCTTCCAGGTTACACTGGTAGGCAACATGTGGCGATGCCTTACCGGCGGTAAAATCGTGGTCATATACGTCAGACTCTGGCCTAATCTCCTTATTCTCGTGATCAAACGCTCTGAGTAATGGGTAAGAAGGGGCGTCTTGTGTGATGGTGCTTGAGACGGCATCACCTTTTGATACAGCAAGATACTGTAGTGTGTGGTCCTTGGCATTGCCATCAAAATCCAATTTTGAGTTAGAATCATTCAACGAGATATATGGCGATTGCAACCGTGTGTTGTTGTCATATGAATTCACATATCCTTCCAATACGCTTGCTGATTGACAGGGATCAGGTTCTTCGTTGCGTTGCATCGTAGCCGCCATGGTGAGGGTGTGAATTGATACGTTCGATCGCTTATCAGTAGTATCAGACCTCACAGAACCCAGTGTATCCACAATTTTAAGAGTTCCGCCCTCAACAGGGCAACATTGTCTGTCTTCGTGGATCTGTTGCATAACCAGACCCTCATCATCCTCAGCAGCAGAGCCACCACTAAACTTCATTTGCCTCACCTGTAACGGATCGTTATTAAGTGAATCGTTTGCCATCTTCATCATGTAAAACTCGACAATCGCATCTTTCAGTTGTTCCATGATTTTTTCCTCCTGCATTAGAAAGAGGCGCCGCTTGTCCGGTGCCAGATTAATGTCTACATGGCTAGAATCAATAGTCATGTTGAGTACATAAGCCACATTGTACTTGCTTGAAAATTGTCTATGCACATCCTTTAGACATTTTTTGATTTTTTTCATCCCTTCGACAGGCCTACTGTTCACGAAAAGAATTTGTATATCATTGCTTTGGCGTCCGGTCTGCGGGCTGCTAATAATTCCTGCCACACTCCACCCTTCACCGCTTAGAGAGACTTCCACAATGTTTTTGACGAAGTTGTTACCAAACACTTCCTCCGAAACGTCACGTATAGTTTTGCACGTTCCGGGGCTCGAGAACAAGCTTTGTATCTGTTTCGTGGCGGAGGCTGTGTTGGTGAGTGCGAATCGAATTTCCGGGTGAATCAGAGCGTATTGTTGCACGATACCAACACTGGCGGAGAGGTGTGCTTTGGCTGCCTTAAGAAGCAGGTTACGCCTGACCGGGTACGGTTCGAATAATTTGTGGGATGTCACACTTGTGCCCAGCTGCAGGACACTTAATGCCGTCAAATACCACAGCTTACTTTCGTTGCCACCCTGTTTTTGTTCAGCAATGACCCATCATTTCTGAACCTAAGAGTCCATCCCATGTCCTCGTGTGGTACACGGGTCTCCACTTCGAGCTCACTCACATTTGCGATAGAATTTAACGCCTCACCCTGAATATATACTTTAACCAACATCACATTATTGTTTTACCCTAAATCCATGGCTCGAGAGCGATGTGAATATGTCCTCGAATCTACGGATCTTCGAGGTGGTGTTGCGTAGAGCTGTGACGTTGTAATGCAGAAGTTACCGTGCCTCACCCAGCTGCTCGAAGTTAGATTCATGTATGCCACTCCCGTTGTCGGTAACACATATTGCTGTTGTACCACTGTCTACCAACTTGATTACTGAGGACTATGTTATCGCATCCTACTCTAACATACCGATATCGTTTGCGCCGGCGTCGATTGAGTTCTCTACTAGCTCCCTTACGACACACTTGACCGTGGTGATGACCTGCAGACTGCGATGACTGGCGCTACGGTCAGCGCTAAGGTCAACTATACTCATCTCTGCCTATTCAGAGATCGCCAAAAGCGATGTCCGTACCGAATGTGTTCTGATAATTAAAATATAACCGCAGGATTCGGTCTATTGGTTTTCGTTTTTAGAAGATTGGCAATTTTCTTTATGCGATACGAGATGGATTACGACGTCGTGTCTACACAGAAGGAAGACTTTACTGTAAGCACCTTAAAGCTCTGTCTACTTCACTAATTTTATGAACATAGACAAACGGTATGCTGTTTTGCTATTATATTGGCACGAGTGTACTCCTGCACCAGCAAATGTCGCAAAATGGAATAGCCACTTACGGCACCACGCTTCTGTACAAATCAAAGACGGCATAATGCCAAATCCATCACTGGTATTCTAGACTATATTTTGTATGTTTTTTGTACGGTTTATAGCAGTGTCTATGAACTCATTATTGGCGAGATCCAGTCTGTTGTCTAACTACCCGTTTCACTATTTTAACGGGGCATAATAACAGATCTGCTTGATATTACCATCTTTATGTTAAAAAAGAGTCTTTTCACCGCATACTAGGCCAGAGACTGCGGAATGAATCACACACATTGGCTTAATTGTGACCATGGGAACGTTAGACGAATCTGGCATTTACTAAATGCTCATATCTACTGCATTTCAATGAATACAATCGAAACTCCAAGTTTACAAAGCAGAGGTTTTTATCCAGCCGATAATAACGGCTGTGTGTGCGTACAGCTGGTTCCGACGACGGCTGTTACACCTTCTTAATACTGATCTACCTCGACAACGTGCAAATCATTAGAAGCGCTGTTTAAATAATTAAGAGAGCGATCTCACAACATGTAATCTAGTAGCTCGAAATTGTGTCTATTGTGAGAGTTCCCTCACGGCCCGTGGTGGGAAAGAGGAGCGCAAAGTGGGCTCAAAGCTGCCTGTGGTCATCCTTCCTAGTTCGGTGTGAGAATATATATTATTTACTTTAGACAAACACCAATTACCGTAGCAACAGCTGCCATATGCACCCGTGGAAGGAAGTGTTGAGATGAGTCGAGGTATAGAGACTTAGGCGGGCCGTAAGGATATGATGCCACAGCACCGTGCTAACCTTCTAAGGTTTATTTCATTGATATGTTTGTTGGTTGTTCATTGGGTTGCGGCGCTCGGCGCCAGCGTTGGTTCCAGGCAGAATATCAATCTGTCGGTGGGTGGACCTCTACACCGCCTGCCTTTGCTAAGGTCTTCCAAATGGCACACTGCACTAATACCATTCGGCCGTAGTGGGTCTGGTAGGTCTAATGGTAAGTCAAGTCTCCCGGAGGGCGATCCCAGCTGGGCATGGGCAAATAAGGCCGACAGCGCGTCCCGTACTTCCAGCGATGCAACACATAACAGTAGTGTGAATCCTGGACCAGGATTAACGCCGACTGAGAGCTTGGATACACGATCTAAAGGACCAAGTCAGAAAATAATCGAGGGTGTAATCCCCAATCTCTTTGTATTGCGAGGCACTTTCGAAGGCAATAACAACGTAGAGATACACATGGGAAAGGATCCGGCCAACAAAATTGGTGTAGCTGAGGGCAATTTAGTACGTGTAAAAGGGAAGAAGCGTTGTGACACCGTTTGCGTGGTGGCAATTGACGCCAACCTTTCTGATAACCAAGTTGTCATACACTCGGACACACGGCGCAACCTTAGGCTGAGGCCCGGCGATGTGCTGTCAGTTGATCTCCTTTTAGATGTTCCATCAGCCAAGCTGGTTAAACTTTTGCCATTTGAAGACACAGTGGCACCGATTCTTGCTGAGATGCCCCAAGCTGCCAAGGGCTCGTTACCTAAGATGCTAATGAAGGTGGCGCTTGATTTTTTCAGCCGTGAAATAGCATTGGGTAAAAAGCGCCCCGTTAGGCTGGGTGACCATCTGACTCTACACGTAAAATTCCAGGACGCTAATAAAACTGCGCTCACCCTGCTTCCAAACGACCACAACGAAAACAACAGCTTTGCCATTGAGTTCAAGGTCATGGGAGTGAAATCCTACAAAGGTGACTATCGAGGCATTATAGACGTTGAATCTGGTGTAATTTCCGGTGATAGCGTACTAGACTGTACAGGACCCCCTTTATCACGTGAGAAGCACGACAGCGCTCACGGTGAACTCGGTTACGATGAGATAGGTGGCATGGACAAACAGCTATCTAAGATCCGGGAGCTGATAGAACTACCGCTCTTGCACCCGGAGGTCTACAAAGCAGTCGGAATATCGCCGCCTAAGGGCGTCATACTGCACGGACCCCCTGGCACAGGCAAGACTCTTATCGCACGAGCAATTGCTTCTGAGACTGGTGCCCATTGTGTGGTCATAAATGGTCCTGAGATTATGTCTAAGCATGTAGGCGAGTCAGAGGCCAAACTCCGTCGGGCATTCGAGAAGGCATCAAAGAACGCTCCAGCTATTATTTTCATCGATGAAATAGACTCAATCGCCACCAAACGTGAGAAGAGCCCCAGTGAACTGGAAAGGCGGATAGTCAGCCAACTGTTAACCCTCATGGACGGCATAGAGCCCAGCAAGAACGTGGTAGTACTCGCAGCCACAAATCGCATCAACTCCATAGACATGGCGCTGCGTCGTTTTGGAAGGTTTGACCGCGAGATAGAAATAGCAGCCTGTGATGAGGACGAGCGCTATGAGATATTGAAAATAAAGACTCGAGGCATGCGTTTGAGCCCTGACATTTCACTTCGGAAAATCGCGAGTGAGTGTCACGGGTATGTTGGCGCTGACATCGCTCAGCTGTGTTTTGAAGCAGCTATGTGTTGCATCCGTGAAAACTTGGCCTCTATGGACATGCTTCAGTTTGAAGACAAGGTCTCTCCATCAATTCTGAACAAACTTGTAATACAGAACCGCCATTTCGCAGAAGCGCTAGCGATTTGTAATCCGTCTACTCTGCGGGAACGCCGTGTACAAATCCCTGAGACCACGTGGGATGATATAGGTGGACTTGAGGATGTGAAGAAGGAGCTTATAGAAACCGTACAATATCCGGTGGAACACCCGGAGAAGTTCCGAAAATTCGGCCAGGCGTCGAGCAAGGGCGTATTGTTTTACGGCCCTCCAGGTTGCGGCAAGACTTTATTGGCCAAGGCTATAGCGCACGAATGCAACGCCAATTTCATCTCTATAAAGGGTCCTGAGCTTCTCACCATGTGGTTTGGTGAGTCCGAGGCCAACGTACGTGAGTTGTTTGACAAAGCACGCGCCGCGGCGCCGTGCATCCTTTTCTTCGACGAGATTGATTCCATCGCGAAAACCCGCGGAGGCCCGGGTGGTGGTAGTAGCAGCGGGTCTGAGGCCTCTGACCGCGTTATAAATCAGATATTGACTGAGATTGATGGTGTGAATGTGAAGAAACCAATTTTCATCATCGCTGCTACTAACAGGCCTGATATCCTCGATCCTGCCATATGTAGGCCGGGCAGGCTCGACCAGCTCATATACATATCTCTCCCTGACCTGAAGAGTCGTGAGAGCATTTTCAAGGCCGCTCTAAAGAATTCGCCTCTTGCTCCTGACGTGAATATTCGCAAGATGGCTGAGAATTTGGATGGTTACTCAGGCGCCGATATCGCAGAAATATGTCACCGTGCGGCTAGGGAGGCCATCCGTGAAAGCATAGAGCACGAGATTAGACGTGGACGCCGCCTGATGGAGGGGGAAGAGGACCCCGTGCCATACATCACTAACGAGCACTTCAAGGTGGCCATGGCCAACGCAAGAAAGTCTGTGCGCAAGGAAGACATCAAACGCTACGAACAGTTCAAAAAGAAATTGGCATCTGCCTCTGGTTAATATTAAATATGTTTTTATGGTGTAAGCCGCTTAGGGTCCCTGGGGAAAAGCGATGTTCGGCGTATGTTTCCTATACCAAGGAACAGCATCTCCACTCGCTCCAGGCCGAGACCACAGCCGCCATGTGGCGATGCTCCCATTTTGAATGCCTCTATGTAGCTCGATATAGTTTTGGGGTCGATGCCGCATTCCTGGGCTCTTTTTAGAAGTAGTTCTGGGTTGTGGATGCGCTGGGCTCCAGAAAGAATCTCTTCCCCGCGCATAAAGAAGTCGTAGCTGTGTGTGAACATTATACCATCCCTTTCCATAGGCATGGTGTAGAAGGGTCGCACGTTCATCGGGTATTCGTAAATGATGTAGTAGTCCGTATCGTATTTCTCTCGTACGAGGCGCCCAAAGCGCTTCTCTTGCTCAGTGGAGAAGTCAAACGAAGATATGTCGTTGGGAATTGTGTCGGCAAGTTCAGTTCCGCGTAACATTTCTACAGCCTGAGAACATGTATACCATACCTGAGTAAGCTTACCTCTGAAAAGCGAATCCGCGGCGTTTGTTCCAGCCATTTGAATGGCTCTATTGAGGGTTGGTGTTTCTTGAAAACCTCCATTTCTTCTCTGCACTGGGTATTTATGCCTTTAAAAACTGCCTTAAGCATCTCGTCTATCAAGTCCACAACCTCGATGTAGGAGTCGTGAATTTCCATTTCCATGTCGAGTCCTACGAATTCGCAAAGGTGCCTATGCGTGTTACTATTCTCGGCTCTGAAAACGGGTCCTGTAACCACTATAGAACGAGAGCGCTGTGGCACTTCGCTTACCTATCTCGAATACTCTACGAAAGTCCCCCACTACGGCCAGCTGTTTGTAGAGTTGCGGCGACTGTGCTAGGCAAGCATCGTTATCAAAGTACTTCAACTTGAATACATTGCAACCACCTTCGCTTGTACCCCCCAGTAGTTTTGGACTATGTATCTCTATGAACTGGCGTTTCAGCAGGAAGTTGCGAAACTGCTGGCAAATCTCTGATTGGATCTTGAATATGGCAAGGTTCAACGTGGCCTGAAAAATTCAATAAGTTAATGGTTTCTTTTGCGTTACACCTACCCTAAGATCTAGAGGACGATTATCCAACCTCGTGTCTTGGTTGACCTTGATAACCTGTAGTGTTTGAGTGCGGATACCGGTAGACTTACACTTGGGTTTTTGCAGATTTCCTCATCATCAGTATTGTTGGCATCTCGAATCAAAAATGGCATAGTCGGATTTGCCTTGCTGATGCAGAACAGTTTGTGCACTTGTAGTTCGCCTGCAGGGAGTTTTGTTATGTTACCATGCAGATAGAGCGTTCCGCTTTTCGTCACCAACAGCAGCAAATTGGGCTACCAGGTGTAAAACGTTTTTAAACTTACATTTCGCCGTGGTTGAAGCTACAGGTACTTCAGGCATCACTACCTTGCCTAGCACATCGACGATCGATTCCATCGAAAGGGATGCCGACCACTTGACCATGTCCTTAGAGACTACAGTTTGTCGTGAGTCCACAATGCATTGCAACGAATTGTGTTGCTGCCTGAGTACAACAAAACACATTGCTCCTGTAAAAATTCAGTATATGTTGATTTAGTAGGTTGCCTACCTTTCCCGCGCACTTCGCTAATACGCCCACGTAACCATACAATTTGGTCTTTCGCCGAGTCTATATCCTTGATGTCCACCCAATTCCTAATTGGCAGGCTCGTTACTGTAGGTGCTAAGTATCCGAAAGATTTGGAATCCATATCAGAAACGATTGTTTCTAGCAGCATTCGCTTTTGTTGCTCTTGCTCCTCTGTACGCTCATGACAGCCGTCAGTAAGACAAATCACAGACTATCGAGCAGATATCACACAGTGACAAATGGAATCTAATGATGCAGATATAGTGTGTTAAAGCACGAATACCAAGCAAAGAACGATGATCCAGAGTGGTCACTTACCCCGTGCTCTCAAACGCTGTTGCTTGGCATCCTCCTTGGGCTGAGCACTTGGAACTGGCGTTACCTCAATATTATCTTGACGTTTATCCATATTGTGCAACTGTGGTGGAGTCGCCGACCGGAAACGATGGCATAAATACCCAGGGGTGTGGAATCTCGTGGAGTAGCACGCGGCACTGGGTATGCACGAGCCCCTCAGGACCAAAAGTCTGACAGAATGTAAGAACAACAGAACAAACGGTTGTCTGCTCAGGGCCATACGCAAAATTAATATACTAAGGTGCGACGCGCCTAGCGTCTCTAAGGTGTGTTATGCCCGACAGGAAATTAGCCGAAAGTTTAAGACTTAGGAGCCGACTTCTTCTTGCTTGATTTTTTCTCCTTGGTTTCCTTGGCACCATCGGCCTTGGCTGTCTTGGAGGACTTTTTGGCAGCTGAGTCCTTCTTGTCTTCCGTAGCCTTCGCCGCGGCAGCATTTTTTGCCTCGCGCTCTTCAATCGCCTTCTTAAGGGACTTCTGTTCCTCCTTCAAGAAAGCCCGGATTATCCTGCAGGGAATATGACTCGAGAGATAAACAAGGTTGTGTAATTAAAATGCAACTAACCTGTCTTTGACGCAGGTGTGGCAACGCACACCACCGTAGGCACGCGAAACAGTGCGCTCACGCTTCTTCAAAGTACGGTACAAGTGCGGCCTTAGGGCAGCAATACCGGCGAGCCTGCACTTGCAGTCGCCACATTTTGGGCCCTGTGCAACCTTAACACGGCGCTGGACCACCAATCGGCCACCTGGCGTCTTCACCATACGCTGTTTATTGGAGCGAGTGTTGTAACGGCAACGCCGCCGCAAAACAACCCTCTGAACCATGGTTACGATATAACGATTCTTGAAAGACGGGGCCCGGTATTTGCCTGTCGATGACTCGCGGACTACAAACTCCTTGTAGCTGCAATGGTGGATGAATTACAGTGTTCAATGTACAGAACTGCTCGACACATGGCCTCGGTTCCGCTAGCCCACAGACCCCGAACGTGACTATGGGGTGTGGCTGCCGGCCCCTTCCGCCTCCGAGCCGAGTCTCAGACACACTCCAGGGACATAGATGCGTCATGTACACAGTACACCTTTTACTATTGCAGCCACCAGCTTATGTGTTTTTTGGTTCCTGGCCCTGTGTCCTGCCGGCGCACTTGCGCCTGAAAGGCTCGGCCGGGCAGCGACGGCCCCGGGACGTACTTACGCCCTAGCTTTTAGCGCGTTCGAACTTGCAAAGGTTTGAGGAGCTAATTAAAGTACCACCTTTCGTAGATATTTGGGCGTTTGGCTGATCAATCGCCCATCGGTAGCGTCCTGGCCGCTCCGACCTCCAGGATCGTGGGTGTTTGTACCCGGGGTAGGCGAAAGTGGCGCGAGATTTTCGTGGAGGAGGGAGAGGAAATCGATCGTGCGCAGTTTGTAAGCCGGCTGTCAGCGACAGGGTTGACCTGGCCTACTTACTACGTGGCGAACAGACAGCCGCCCTTTCTGGTGCCAGAAAAGCAGCGTCACAAATTTAGGCTAAAGGGATACCTCGCTAATGGTTAGTGTGGTCAGTTGTGTGCGAATTATGTTTCTTGACAGTGGCCGGCGATCTGCATAAGACAGACGATTTAAAGGGCGCCGAATCCGCAGATGTTGGTCGAATGCTTAGAGAGGTTGCCGTGCAGCCTCTCGACCATGACGCTGCTGGTACGTTTTCAGTGTCGCACGAAACACTTTTACAGAGACTGTGTTCATGACACTTAGCCACGAAGAGAACAAACTCACTGTCAACCACATACTAGCATTCATCAAGTATCGGTCCCCTTTACTACAGATGGTCAACTGGGAGGCATTCTTAGCTTCGTTGCCGGTAGGCCCTGAGGACATACTCATATAAACGTAACTAAATGTCCTCAACTTCTATCGTTTGGCCGCAAACTCTGCATCTCTGGACACCAGAGATGGCTGGATCATAGCCGTGGTCTTCATATGCGCATTCTGGCTGCGCCGGCGGTGGTGCCGCTGCGCTTTTCTTGCGTTTAATTTTCGGCTTCTTCACGGTCTTTCCGGAGGTTTTCGGCGCAGTGGCGGCCGAACTCTTGAGTTGCCTTAACTCTTCGAGCTCTGATGTATTGTATAAGCGCATGGGTAATCTGTACCCGCGCGGATTCTTCACCAAGCGAACCGTCAAAGGCACACGTGGGTAGTGTGCACAATTTATAATAACGCCGTCGGGACGCGATTTGTCACCTGAAGCATCCTTGTTACTGCCAGATTGATCTACAACACGATACACATTTGCCTGTAGGTCTGACGCGCTGAGCCCGAACAACGCGCGGGCTCGGCCCTGAGATATCCAGTTGCCTGTCATGGTGCATAATTTTCCAGAACTAGCTCTCGCGAGTTCTGTCTAGTATCCACACCGCAGCCCATCGGATACACATCGTTAAATATGTGGAGAATTTGCATCATTGCTGTGATTTTGGGCGTCGCTCTCTCTGACCTTCTGAAACCACTCTATGCAAGGTTAGAAAGCTGAAGTGTGTTTAATTATCGTTAGGAAACTTGTACATGTAGGGTGTGGGATCGTATTAGCGCAGATTAACTTGCCGGAGCCATTTCTCAAAACCGTTATAATTGGTGTGGCCTTTGGGAGCATAGTTGTATTCGTAAAGGCTCCATTGAGATTTGGAGCCAGAAATGATGAAGGCATCATCTGGTACAACCTTCTCATCCTTGTCTGTTTGGCGCTAGGCGTGCCCCTACGTATTCTTTTCCCTGTGTTCATCGTTGACCCGGTTGCCTGGCTCGCAGGGACATCTCTGCCGTCGAAACGGTGGTGCGGCAAAAAAACGGTGAGTACAGCTTCTAATTTTTAAATATATCTTCCCACTAGTTGCCTTGCTGCATCCACAAGTCATACGTATGCAGGTGATAGGAACGTTTGCCGCAGCTGTGGCTGCTTACTTTTGTCTGTTCTACGTCGAAAATTGGAAACACAGGCTGTTACTTACGCTGACAATTGCGTTGTTTGAAGGGATTATGGGAAAGCACGACAATATTGGTGTTGGCGTGGTTGTTCTTCTTTACTACGGTTTGGCACAGAAGTTTGTGTTCCCTTTAACCTTGTGAGTGAAGCCTTCATGCTGCATTTCGACATGATATACCTGAGATATGCAAGCATATAGAGAGATGGTAGTATTTCGTCTGTGACGGAGACCAGCAAGATGAACGTTAATGTTCGCGTAATTTAATGTTACGCGGGCCGTCTAAATGTAGTTCGCTATTGATTACTTCCTACACGTAGCGTGTATTCACTCGGCCCACGCGAATGAGATCGATGTAATCACGTTTACGAACTATTAGCGGGAATTTTAGCATTCGATATTTGGAGTAGCGATTATATTGGTATCAGCACCAGGCAACGAGCTCCGCACGTCTGTATAGAACCACTCATTATATGCCTGGTGGTGTTTCGCAGGAAGCGCTTAGAGCTATGTCGATGCAATTACTTGCCACGGTATCAACGTTAAATTGTTAGACCATTTTTATTGAGTATCAGACGTTTAATTAGCAGAGCACTAAAACCCGATATGCATCACCATCCTTTATTAGTATTGTTATCGCTACATAAATTACTTTGTACGTATATATGGGTCGCGAAGTACGCCTTAGGTGTAGCCTTTCACCTGCTTCCGGGTCAATTGTATCATCGGGGTGGCGTCTGGGTTCCCGAACCTAGGGCAACGTCCACGACACCTGCGTGTAATGCGCCTAGGCACCATCTGGGCTCCTACAATCATCACTGCTGAACTGAGTCAGTAGAGCAGGTGAAGAGACCGTTAGCTTGTGACCTCGGTACCGCAATTGCCGGTAACACGGGTAAATAGGTCGACAATATTGTGCTTCAGCACTCAATATAATATGAACAACCCTTGCAACACACAAGCATTTTACTCTGTGTAAAATTGACTTTAGCTGCCTACGGCCTTTTTGTCCACGTCCGGCGTTAACTTTTGCCCCGCTATACAAAAAGGACACTGATGTAGTTCCTCATAAATATATATGCTGCACGTATCACAATAGAACGTACAACAACCGGGACACTTGTTCGCAGAAGTTAACGTTGCGTTACACGTGCTGCATTGTCCCTGATATTGTTCCTGTGCCGCTTCATTCATGATTGCCATCATCAACCTACGGTCAGAAATCGCTTTGGTGGAATGAGCTGATGGAACATTCTTGATATATCGGGGGGTGACACCAGAAATAACTCGCAACACTGCAAATAGATGTAATTACACATCCTCAACTTATACGCATTAACGACAGACATACACTGCACATTGTGCCATCTACTAACGGTTTACTGCAACGGACAGTTAAGTGTGCACCGTTTATAGAACCATACGTAGTGCGTTTAATTCGATGAGCAATAAAAAATGTTTGAAAGCGCAGCTGTTGCGTTTCCTTACCTTGCACTTTGTCGGAATAGCACAGGATTTGCTGTGGCATTGCGGACATACGTACGCTTTGTACGTCAATTTAGAATGACAAATACACAATGACGCTGTATTTGCCTTTTCAAGAGGCGGAAACCCGACCTTCGTCAGCACGGGCTCCATCCATGTCCTCCTGCCGAGGTTGAGGAGAATCGTTATGAAAACCAACCACTTTGGTGGCATCGTGTGCCCGTTCATCAACTTCTGCATATGAATTGCATCTCTAGAAACTGCATACGATCCCCCTGTTTCGACGCATATGTGCTGCGATAATTGGGTTGATTTTTCTGTTATTATTTACCTTAAGTATGTACATTTCCGGCGCTATAGAAACGGCATTGACGGCGATATGTTCATCCTTCAGCTTTTGAAGGGTCGTTAGTATGTTGCTGCGATTTATTCAGTTTATATATATTATTGTTTTTTACCCTGGGTCAAATGTCTTGGTCGAGCCAAATATTACAATTATTTCCCGAGTTGTGTATGCTGGCATACCTGATAGGATTCCAATTGCCATCTGCAGTTCTCATAGCATCGTTTGAAAAGATTTATGTAAAGAATCGTGCCAACATTTTAGTATACATATCGCGTCACTTACCTCAAGCCCGTTTTGCAAAGATGGTACACCTTCTGCCCCCCCTTTGACTGTTATATCAAGCAGTTCAATTTGTTCAGATGGTGGAGTTCCAAATTTAGATACCATGATTGAACGTTTATCGCGCAGTGCTACAAGGGCCAACTGAGTCATTGGTCCCTGGTGGAATACTCCCTGTATTAGCCCCTGTTAAAAAGTTACACTAAGATCGATCGTCGAATAGTAACATGCCTTTACAGCTGTGGCAGCACAGTGTAATCTATCGGGTTTGAAATCCACTTCTCTCATGCCGTCACTTGTGTCGAAAATGATAACAAGGTTTCTGCAATCGGGTTAATTTAACATTACAAATGAAACCCCTGAACAACTTAACATCAAGCCCTTTAACATGGCATGTAAACCATTTACATGATGGTTTTATATGGCAGGATTCCAGTGCGTACCTTACCACACCTCGTTTTTGTATACCTCCTTCGGCGTTTTCTCTTAGGCCAGCCCCTTCCAAGGAAGATAAGGCAGTCTTGGCATCCTTTTGATGAACAAACTGCAACACGCCATCCTTGTCGACCAACTGTTCCCATGACTTGTCGACATCTGTCCACTATTCTGAGCTACAGAATCCAACACATACCCTTTTCCCATGCATATTGCGAATACAGTTCTTCGTCTCTTTGTTCATCTATGTCATAGCGCTGTTCGAACTCCGTGATAAGTTCCTCTACTATGAACGGTTTTACGGCTTTCTCTTCGGCCATGATTGGCCGTCAGCACTTTGGTGTCCACTACGGCTTCAAGTGGACCCTTTCAGTTAGTCGCATATGTGAATAAATCAATTAATAAAAAGTATATAGTTGTTCTGCTTATCAATGGTGTTAATGGTAAGCTTTTACACATCGCGCACCCTAGATCGTGAGCAGCCATATGTGTGACTCCATTTCACCATATGGTTGAGATACGTGTCATAGGCATATATAATACGGCTTATTATTCCCGTATATCGTGCGTAGAGCCAGGTTTACTAGTCGTGTGTAGCTATTGCCCATTTGACGGCGGCGAGATGAGATTTTCCTCGTGTTGCAAATTCGCTGCAAAATATCGAGTGCCACGTATAAGCTCAGGTAAAAACAGGTTACTCCGAGATAATAATTCCACGGTCGGAGGGGTCTTTGGCACATGACGCAACTCCACACCCCCACCCGTTTTCGTCAACACTGCGCCTATCATAGTGTGGTTCACCATTTATTGTCTAAATTTTGGGCACGGTGTGACTGTCGCGCAGCGAAAGTCGGCAGGTGTATGGAGCGGGGTCTGCCCGTAGTTTCACGCACACTGTTCCCTAGCAATACTACATTCTACAATGGCAGGAGCTCCTCTGAATGTAACCACCTTGCTCCGGGTAGGTGATAATCCGATACTAATTATTTGTGTTAAACGTTACATTACTCTGTGTTACTTCTCACAGCACTAGTTCTGTCGAAGACCGTTGGCCTGTGCCGGGAGCGTGATACTGTGATTTACACTCATATACATAAACCTCTTGTGCTGTATGCTGTATTTACACACACTAATAGCTTCGATGTCTTTGAAAATGTGGTTATAGCTACTGTTTGTGCATATGCGATTCCATCGCCATCGATTACCAATCTGTCATTGTTGCGCAATCTTTGCGCCGTGTCTGCATTTATCTTTTCGCGTTACTTTCATGCCTTCTTAGTACTCCTTTTGTCATTATTTCTGTAGCTGAGGACTTTGGGTTTCGATGACTCTTGTTTTCGATTCGGTACGCTTACGCTTGGCGGTGATAGGTTTGTGTGCGTTCGGGAGTCTGATTCTGCATCCCATTCCGTCGCCATAATCGATCTACATAAGGGCAACGAAGTGTCACGTCGTCCAATCAAAGCTGAGTCTACGATTATGAACCCCCGCGAGCCCATTATCGCACTCAAGGCATCTTTAGAGAACGGGCATTTCATCCAAGTTTTCCATCTCGAGACAAAGGAAAAGTTGGGTACTCACCAGTTTGCGGAGTCTGTTGTGTTTTGGAGTTGGATATCCCCAACCGAGCTTGCGATTGTAACTGATGCGTCTGTCTACCATTGGACAGTAGGCTCGGGTGAGCCTACCCTTATGTTTGGTCGTTCTGGCAAGCTTGCTGACCAATCGACTAAGCTGGTCCACTATGCGTCTGATGCGGAGTCTAAGTGGTGTGTGTTGTGTGGTATATACTCCACTGACCAGGGTGCAACTGTAGAAGGCGCAATACAACTTTACTCCACGGAGCGTCGTCAACAACAACTCTTGGAAGGTTACACAGGCACCTTTGGTAGGCTACGTGTATCCAAGGAATCCATGGACACTACTAGTCTTTTGGTGTTCTGTGAGCATAAGCGCGGAGCCCAATCGTCTAAGCTACATTGTATGGACATATACACCCAGCGTGCTGAGGGTTCTCCTCCTCCCCTAAAGGTTTCCAAGGATATTGAAAATTTGCCATCGAATTCTGGCGACTTTCCGATATTCGTACAGATACTTGACTCTTGCGGTTTTGTTTGTATTTTGACTAAGAACGGTTTTGCTCACTACCATGATGCAGCTACTGCAACCCACCTTTTCAGGTAAGTAGGAGTATCAATTGTCATCATTCATGGTTTAGTACAAGGATAAGCGATGCCCCGCTGTTCGCGGCAGAAGCAAAGTTTGTGGATGACAAGGTTGCTGGAACGATTGCCGTGAATCGTTCTGGAGAGGTGATAGAAGCACTGATTGACGAGAACCGTGTGTTAGCAGCATTGACATGCGCTGATGAAGTTCGCATTAGTCTTGCTACGCGTTACGGTTTCCCCGGTTCTGAGAGCTTGATGATGCGTTCCTTTGAAAACTATTTTTCACGCCGCGACTACAAGCAGGCCGCTATGCTTGTGGTAACCCTAAAGAATGGTGCTTTGCGTACCAACGAAACTATGGAACGTTTTATAAACGCCCCAGTGATGCCAGGTGAAACCTCTCCCGCTCTACACTACTTCTCCGTCCTGTTGGAGCACGGTAAGCTTACGCATCAAGAGTCACTTGGACTTGTGCGCCGCGTAGTAGCTCAGGGGCGTAAAGAGCTCGTGAAGAAATGGTTGGATGAGCACAAGCTAACGGAATCGGAGGATCTTGGTGATTTACTGCGCCCTATGGAGCCCCTTTTAGCCTTCAAGATCTACGTTTCACTTTGCTGTCACATGAAGGCTATTTTATCTTTGCTCGAGGCAGGCCACGCCACCAAGGTGGTGCCGTATATTCGTAAGATTGCTTCTTCTAATGTAACCCACACAACTAGTTCAACTGGCGACAAGGTGGCACAGGTTGAGGGATTGCCATCGATGACCGTTATTGTGGAGCACATGTTGGCGTCTCAACCAACCGACATAGTGGGTTTCGTGAACGACTTGATATCGGGCCTTGGCCCTGGAGAGCCCCTTTGTGATGTAGGCAGTGTCGCTGAGATTCTGATTAAACACAATAAGCTCCAGGAGTTGACTAAGATTTTGCTTGAGTACCTGAAGCCCAACCTTGAGCAGCACTCTGCATTGCAGACGCGTCTTCTGGAAGTCAATCTTCAGCATCAACCACGTGTGGCTGACATGATCTTACAATTGAACGCCTTAACACATTTCGACAGAGCTTACATTGCACGCCTGTGTGAGGATGCGGGTATGTTTGACTTGGCCATACAGCACTACGACTCGTTATCCGATGTGAAGCGTCTTGTTCTTAAGGCTGGTGGCAATATGAATCGCGCTGTACTTGAAAAGACCTTGAAAAATATGACTCCTGAGCACGCTCTAGAGGTTTTACGCGAAATGTCGGACTCCAGTGATATAAGCAACGAACAGGTTGTTTCTTGTGCGCTGACTATGCACAACCACATTGGTACTATGCATATAGTTCAGATGTTTGAACGTTCATCATCGTCTGAAGTCCTTTTTTCCTTTCTCAGGGCGTTGCCTGTAATGTCGCAGGGCGCGGCTGCTGAAAAGAACGACTTGAATGCAACCTTGGTTTACAAGTTCATCCAGTGCTGTATAGAACGCGGCGAGTACGAGGATTTGGAACGTATTTGCAAGGATTCCAATTGTTACGACGGCGTGCGTGTTAAGGAACTCCTTAAGCAATCTGCTCTACCAAACCCTAAGAGCCTGCTAATTGTATGCCACAAGCTCGGTGAGCTGTCTGAACTCACTGAGTACCTTTACCGTAACGGTATGGAGAAAGCTATTGAGGTTTATGTGAACACTATCAACCCAGGGGGTGTATCAACGGTGATGTCCACCTTATTTGACCTATCCGCTCCGGAACATATAATTCACTCTATATTGGAGAACCTACACGACCCCAACGGTATGAAAGCTATGATCAAGGTGGCTGATGAACGTCATCAGCTGCTTATGCTTCGCGACTGGCTCGAGAAACGTGTTAACGAGGGTTACAAGGAAACTGAGATCCACACGGCATTGGCCAAGATTCGTGTGTCGTCGCAGGAGGATGCAGAGAACTTTTTGTTGACGAACAAACATTATGATCGCACAGTGATTGGTCGATTTTGCGAGGAACGTGATCCCATGCTCGCATATTTGATTTACTATGAAGCACAGCTAGACAGCGATGTGTTGCGTCTTTGTTTGGCTAACGGTTTTCACAAGATGTTGGCATCATATGCACTTAAGCGCTCGTCAACTAGCCTCTGGCGTGATATAGTTGTTTCTAATTCCTCCACAATATCTAGCGATGATCGCAAGCGTGTATGTGAGGAATTGGTATCTTTGGCACCTGAATGCTCAAACGCATCTGAGATTTCATGTGCATTGAAGGCACTTCTTGACTCTGGAATGAATGTGGAAGTGATAGCGTTACTGGAACAGCTTCTTCTAACGCAGACACAATTTTCTTCTAGCAGCAACCTACAGAATCTGTTGTTGGCCACCGCAGTGAAGACCAACCCTGCCAAGTTGGAGGAGTACTTGTCCAAGCTTGACAACTATGACGTTAGCGCCTTGTCCAAGCTTTCTGACAGTTTAGGTCTTTCTCGGAGTTCTTTTTCTATTTTGAAGAGTGCAGGCCGCGCTTTGGAGGCACTAGACGCCCTGTTGTCTATGAAAGAGGATGGCATATTGCAAGAAGCTCACGACTATGTGGCGTCCGTTGATAAGCCTGAATTGTGGTTCCGCCTTGGCCGCGCATATTTGGAAGAGAAGAACTTACCCAAGGCTATAGATTCATATGTTCGCAGTGGCGACCTAAGTGACCATGAGCGCATAAAGCGTGCTTGTGAAGGTGATCCTGACCTGTTTCTACGATGGCTTACGAATGGTCGCAAGGTAAAGAAGAGCCGAGACCTCGACACCGATTTGCTATTATGCCTTGCTGATCGTGGTGATGTCGACCAGTTCCGTGAGGTGCTTGAAGGACAGCATTCTGCCGATGTGGCCTTCGTGGGCAGCATGTTGATGAATTCACAGAAATACCGTGAGGCTGTGATTATTTATTCAAGTTTGCCCAACTATGCCAAGCTTGCAGTATGCCATGTCCATCTCGGTGACTTCGAGCTTGCTGCAGATTCTGCATTGAAGTCTCGCAATCCTCAGGTGCTCCGTCAAGTGGTCGAAACCTGTGTCGGCGAGGGCCAGTTGTCAATAGCTCACAAGGTCGCCATTGAACTTTTGACATATCCTGACTTCTTACCTGGCATAGTGTCACTATACGAGAACACCGGAAATGTGCAGGAGCTTATCAAGTTGTTGGAGGATTCATCGCGTTCGGTTGCAGTTTCTACCGAGCTTGCTATTGCCATTGCCAAATACAGACCTGATGACTTGCTTACTCACTTTAAGAATCGTTTCAACAGTGGTGATATCCTTTCAAGCCTGAATACAGCTCGTGTTGCCCGTGAATGCTGCAACTTGTGGTTGTGGAAGGAAGCTGTATATTTGTACAGCCTTGACTCACCTGACACTGCGCTGCTCTCTATGGTTGCGCATTATGGTTTAGCGTGGGATGAGGACACCTTCTTTTCTACGGCTGCTTCTGCCATTAACCCCGAAGCCCTGTACAAGGCTATCCATTTTTGTATACAATGCAAGCCATTGTTGCTACCTCGTCTACTGATGTGTTCCAAGGGTCGTGTGGACGCTTGTCGTGTTGTTAAGATTCTGAAGAACTCTGCTTGTCTAGGTCTCGGTCGCGAATACTTGGAAGCTGTTGCTGACAAGACCAGTGCTTCTGTTAACGACGCATTATTCGAGGTATACGTTGAGGAGGAGGAGTGTGAGCTGTTGGAACGTAGTTTGGAAAGACTTACCGCTTTCGACCAGGTGGCTTTGTGTGCTATTTTGGAGGAGCATCATCTTCCTAAGATGCGTAGCATAGCTGCTCAAATCTATACTCGATCTCGTAACTTCTCAAAATCAGCTTTGATTCGCCGTCGTAATGGTGACTTCGTTGCGGCAATAAAGGCGGTCAACCAGTCACGTAGCGATTCTCTTGCATCGGAGATGGTGCGTTACTTCGTGGATCATGGTTTACGAGAGGAATTTGTAGCCTGTTTGGTTGTGAACTATTCGCTACTTGAGCCCGCTGCTGTGCTCGAGTTGGCATGGTTACGCAAGCTGGATCTCGACATTTTGATGCCATTCCTCATCCAGACCCTGCGCGATGTACCGCATGGCACGCCTAAAGCACCTCCTTCGCAGCGCGCGCCAGCAATATTACCTCTGAATTACTGTTAAAGCGTGATTTGCACGTACGCATCATAACTGAACATGCCAACATGGCCTCAATGGTATGCAGGCACTTTTATTGTCGGTGGTCGTCACGCAAACGGCGCATACCACACATAACGTTTTAACATACTATATTGCATTTATCATGAAAACCGCTGTAGAGTATAAATCAGATATAACAGCCGTCTGCTGCGCTTATATTAAACAAACAGTCCATATGCTGGAAGTTGTTCACAGTAGCCCTTTGTGCAGAATTCATTTGAATGGCCACAACTGCGCGTGTAGCGTATCCTATCCGATAGGCAGCACAGTCCGTCTACGACATGTCCGCGAATGACGGCAGTTTCGCGGAGAGGTATTCCTTTCTCTGGACATATTGATAGTAATGTGGCATGAATGAGTAGTTAACCACTTTCATGAGGTAGTCACGATATAGTGCTGCCATCATGGAAGTCAGTAGTACTATCCAGAAACGTCCATTGCCCATCAGTGCCATAGCACCTCCCAACAGCGCGCTTCCTAACTTGGATGAGAGTGACACAACGTAAATGGATAACATGAAGTTTGCGAAACTGAAAAGATAGGTAGCAGTAGTGAGTCGTGTATAGTACCACGTTTCCATTATCAGCTTGATGCTCACCACGGCCATGACTACGAGCATCATACCTATACCAAGTTGCGGGCTATTGAGTGGCTTGCCAACGCTACTGGGGAGCGTATACCGGTCGCTGAGCCCGAAGGTCACAACGAAAAATATGACTACCGCATGGAGTAAGCTATTGAAAAGCCATCCCAGAAATACTGTTGCGTTCAGGTAGTAATTCTTTTGTCCCAACTGGTATACATGGGGATACTGATAGCTCAGAGCCTTGTCAATGTCACGGTCTATAGATCCTACAAGGATAACGCTGACTCCGGTAAAAAATACATTATAGAGTGCAACCAGTATCTCCAATTGAATACGCTGTCCACTGAACAGCGACAGATAACCGTAGAAGAATATTGGCAATATGAGAGTTATGTTTTTGTAAAACATATATGCCACTGTCTTTGCTATCCTACGGTAACAGTTGCGTCCATGATCGAGTATAAGCGGTACAAGGAACCTAAACTGTCCGATGCCATAATCCGAGACATTGAATGCTTGCAATCCTTCTTTGCCTTTAAGACCGATACCTACATCGGCGGTTTGAATCATATTACAATCATTTCCTCCGTCTCCCACAGCCATAACAACAGTGCCTAACTTTTTCTTGAACAATCCTACGAACAACCCTTTGTGTGCTGGCGTCATGCGACAACATATGGCTGAATTACAATATGTGCATAGTTCAACGAACTCATCCACAATTTCGTCCTTGGTGAGTTCTCCAGTTGCTATACCATCGATGATCACGCATCGGTGTTCGACTCCTCCAGGGTCATTCCTGAGTTTAGTTAGCCATTCTCGAACTTTTGTAATCATATTTTCTTTCCTACATACTCCCGAGTGTAGTTCTATACGCTGGGAGAATACGCGTAGGAGATTGGTCGCGATACCAATATTGATAGCAGTCTCCAGATTGTCACCCGTGAGCATCCAAACATTAATACCCGCATGCCCAAGAAGCTCAATAGCCTCTCCGACACCATCTTGCAACTTGTCCTCGATACCGGTGATACCCTGTAGCTCGAGGTCCTGCTCTATTAGTGCTGCGCATTTCGCTACCGATTCTTCACGGTTCAGAATATTTCCCTGTGCTTCCACATACTTTGCATTCCATGAATCAAACTCATGCGTGCTGAGTTCCCTTTTAGCAAATACTAGTGTCCTAAGTCCGTCCCTGGAGTACTGATCGCAGTACGACGCAGTTACGGCGTCCATTTCGCTTTTTTCCTTCAGCTTGCCCAGTATGACATTATCACCACCTTTACAGAACAATACAATTCTAAATTTACTGAGATCTGGATCTTCGAGGTCCGTTTTAGGGTCCTTGGGGAAAGCAATGATTGCTGAGCTGCATCTTCGTATGTAATCGAACTCTATGATTGCGAGTGTTCGTACCCGCATCCTGCGACCAAATACAGCCATGGTAATTGAGTTGCTTGTTTTATCTAATAGTTTGAAATCAGCGAACCTTGCCGCGTGTACGAAACAAAGTTCATCTGGACTTTGGGAATTATATGTCACTTCGCCGTTTTTCGCTACATCCGTGAGCACTGCGTTGTTACACACGAGATGCATGAAAAAGTCGACAAGATGTGTATGCCTTGGATCACTGTGATTTTTTAGATGTTTGAAGAGTTGGTCATCCACGAGATTGACATGTGACGCCTTATCATATAGTGGGTTTTCTGGCTCTGGTTCTAGTATAGCGCCTTGTCTGCTGAGAACAAACCTCCTTATATCGGTATAACCTTTGCCGTACGATCTTCCCGCAACAGCCAATTTCCTGAAAACCATTTTGTTACACGTTAGCGTTCCTGTTTTATCGGAGAATAGATAGTGTACTTGTCCAAGATCTTCGTTGAGTGAGGTAGTGCGCGCTGCAGCGTACATGTTTATTTCATCGTAATACATATCCGTATCAGAATGTATGAAAAATGCCTGCGCTATCCTGGCGATGTTCATACTAACAATGGTACTGATCGGTACGAACGTTGCTGATATGGCAATCCAGCTGAAAAATGAGACAAAGAATATGCTCCATACTGAATCATTTTTATCTTTTCCTACTAGGTATGGCATCGTTTCATCCAGTTTATATATATGTCTATATAAGGTCCATGATGCAGCGACTGAGCATAATGCGATTTGAAAAATCCATACGATGAATGTGAGTCTTACCATAATTTTGTTAAGGTTACTAACTTTATGCGGTGCGCTTGGTATGTTTTTGTATATTTTGGTTTCATGACCGCTGTATACTATTATACCAACAGCCCATCGTGTGTTCCTCAATTTGCATCCCCTGAGTAGCAGTTGCAACATGGTAATTGGTGTTTCAGTGAGCCCAAGTTCGTTTGATGCCGACTGTCTGCTTGCGGTAGAATTTGTACTGTTCCTTCTTCCATTGTAATCATCATCCTGTATCTTGTAGTGCAAGGTTCCGTCGAATGTGATAAGGTGTTGGTTTGGTGGTTCGCAAGTTATCCTGCCAAGTACATTCCTCACTCTTTCCAGTGTAACATCTAGATCTCTTGTGAGGTATTCAGCAATTTTGATGACTGCTTCTTTTTTCTTTAGATTGCTTTCACCATCTAGACATGATGTTTCTACGAATGCTACCCCGTTAACTTCTGATGAACCTATGAGTATCATATCTGCTGGTACGGTGTCGCCATTTTGCAGTATTACTGCTTCTCCTACTTCTAGAGCGTGCCATCTTGCTGGCACTATTCTCTTATCATCTATTGCCTTTATGATACCTGCATCCGCCGCTGGGTTTTCATCAGTTTCAATTTGTACACTTTCATTATGTTTTGTTAGTTTTGGATGTATAACAACATTGGCAACGCTGTTATTAACTTCGTTATCGGCGAGATACCTTCTGTAGTCTTCATACGCATCCTTAACGGCATTACCAAGCATAACAATTGATAGTGGCAATAGCATGACCGGTATGCCATGTGTTGCTGATATCTGCGGGCAATTAAATCAAAAATATCGAGATGATAAGGCATTTATGTATTATAGACAAAAGGTCAGTCGACCTTTTTCTTTATCGTCTATTGCCACTTAGGATACATGGTTTAATGCATCTCATAGCCACCATTAGATCGTGATGTGTAATTTACCACTAGCTAGCTACGAGCTCATACGTACCTTTGGTATCACTTGTAGCACGGCGATAAAAACGAAGTATAGATTCGACGGCTCATGAAGCTGTTCGAAAAGGTTTTTGATCGGAAATGAGTAGAGGGTATATTTTGTAGTTCTGACATTGTTAGAGCAGAATGAGGATATTTGGTAGTCATTGATAATAACATTTCTCATCGTTTCCTCCCTGATATGTTAATAAAATTTCAGTCACACATGGGCATTACCTCTTTTTTGTGAACCATTTCCATGGTGGTGTCATTGTGTCTCGTTTTTTTTATTGAGACATGGCATATTTGCGTAGATGGAGTCAGCCCGCGAGATTAGACATCTGCCGAAGGCTCCAGACTCCTCGTTATCCTACGCAATATGCTATGTCGCTTCGCTTTATGCTTATCTTGAGTGATGCTTCTCACGTAATAGGTATTTTGTGTGATCTCGAGCGGCCACACACACCGACTTGGGGGTCGTGAATTAACATTGATCATTACGCGGGTTGAACACATGTATCTAATATATTTTATTATTACTAAACAATGGCCGCTTGGCACAACTTTTATTTCTAGTTAATAGTATCGCCGTGAACCGACTCGGCGGTGATCTTATTTCTCTCTTAAGTGGATCTTTCTGTGAGCGTCCACAGTGCATCGGCTGTGTATTTACACCACTGTGTAGCCTTGTATTATAAATATAGTACATACTACGGTTTACGATTAGCAGTTACCCGTGTGAGCTGTGAGTCGTCAGGTAAGGGAGGTCGGAATTACGTGGTGTTCTGCTTAGTTACATCATACATCCCTGCTTACAGCAGGGATTTTCCACGCTGTGCTTATTACCGGGTCCACGTTGTATCGTTCGGTAGTTGCACTTGTCCACTTCGGTAGTCCCTATGGTACATCATCGTGTGCGTATATTTTCAGATTCTATTTCATGTCATCTAGGCATTTTTTTTATTTTGTGAGCGTTTTTTTCGCCTCATGTGATTATTTCCGCGTAGGCTGTATTCGCCCCCCAGAAAAGGACAGTTGCAGCTGTGCGGTTCATTTCCATTTAAAAGTTTCGACCTCTGCTTGCCATAATTTTTTTGGCACTATAGTAACGATTGGAATCCGCGGAGCTCGTATAGAACGGGCATTGAGTGAGATAGTATCCTCGATACTTTAAAAATCAAGCATTCTTGCTTCTGTAATTCGTTCCTGTATCATGAAAAAGGACACGCCCGCTACAACGGAAGCTGCTACAAAGCCGACGAAGAGTGTATACGTCCCTCCGAGCCGTCGGAACAAGGTAGACGGCAGCGGGAACAGCACAAGCCCCTTTGCCAGTGGCGGTCGCGCGCCCTCTCGACCCCCCAGAAGTTTTTGTAGGTTTTTCGGTAGAAAGCGATAATCCTGTTCAGACGATGAGAACCGCCGAAATATTCTAGATCCCTCTGGCCCTCACGACAACGCCAGCCCGTATCAACGTCGGGAGCGTTTTGGCGACCGTTCCAATGTCGGTGGCCGTGACCAGGCGTCCTATCCTTCGGGATGGGCGAATCGAGGTGGTCGGCGTTGCGTAAAGGACTCTGAGCAAGATGTTTTCGCTGGAATGGACACTTGCACGCACGCTGGCATCAATTTCGGATCGTATGACAACATTCCTGTTGAGATGACTGGTAATAAATCCCAGAGCATAAAGCCTGTCGAGGATTTTGAGAATGAAATTCACGAGTTGTTAATGGTGAACATCCGTCGTGTAAAATACACGAAGCCTACGCCTATACAGAAACATTCCATTCCCGTCATTAAAGCTGGCCGTGATTTGATGGCATGTGCGCAGACCGGTTCTGGCAAGACAGCTGCCTTTTTGCTTCCCATCTGTACAGCTATGTTGACTACAGGCCCACCCGAAAGCGGTAGTATGCAAACGTCTTATAATTCGCGCCAGGCCCTGCCAGTGTGTCTGGTATTGTCACCCACTCGTGAGTTGGCGATGCAGACCTTCAGTGAAGCCCGCAAATTTATTTTTGCCACAGGTATTCGTGCTGTAGTGTTGTATGGAGGTGGTGAGCCTCGTCGCCAGTTATGTGAGTTGGAGCGTGGCTGCGACATTTGCGTAGCGACCCCTGGTCGTTTGACAGATTTTATTGAGCGCAACAGGATAGGCCTCCACTGTGTGAAGTATTTGGTGTTAGATGAAGCCGATCGCATGCTTGATATGGGTTTCGCACCACAGATTCGCAGTGTCGTTGAGAACAGCAACATGCCTCAGGAGGGTCGTCAGACCGTGATGTTTAGTGCCACATTCCCGAAGGAGATCCAGCAGTTGGCTCGTGACTTTTTACGTGACTATCTTTACCTGGCCGTTGGTCGTGTAGGTTCAACTAACGAGTTTATTCGCCAGCGTCTTTTGTACTCTGACCATGAGCAGAAGCTTCATTACTTGGTGAAGTTGCTGAAGGAGAACGCCAACGGTCTCGTTTTGGTTTTCGTGGAGACGAAGCGTCGTGCTGACATGATTGAAGCGTATCTTTTGAAAGAGAATTTCATGGCGGTAAACATCCACGGTGACCGTAGTCAGCAGGACCGTGAGGAAGCGCTTCGTTTGTTTAAAACTGGGGAGCGTCCTATTTTGGTTGCCACCGACGTCGCAGCTCGTGGTTTGGACATCAATAACATCACGCATGTGATCAACTGTGACCTTCCTGCTAATATCGATGACTACGTGCACCGCATTGGCCGTACCGGTCGTGCTGGTAACGTAGGCATTGCGACGTCGCTGGTTAGTGACAAGGACCGTAGTATTTTGAAAGACCTTCTTGCTCTTCTGGTTGAGGCCAACCAGGAGGTCCCTCAATGGTTTGAGAAGCTGGTGGCATCCCACAACTTTTCTGGTTCCGGCGGTCGCGACTTTGGTAAGCGTACATCAGGCGGCGGTAAATTTGGCCGTACATTTGCTTCACGTGATGTGAGGGGTCATTCTGAGTCTGTTACGTACAACCAGGGTAACAAGGGTCGTGGTTCTCACGGCTTTTCTCAGCAGTCCAAGAACTCTGGATATCAAGATTTTGAAGATGACTGGTGGTAAGACTGTTTAAACTACGTCGTACATAGGGCCATAACCTGTGCGGTAATATTTTCGTGCCACTTATACACGCTCACACACATATTGGCGTCGCCACAACGCCGCTGGCCGCTGGCACGTCGTTCGTATTGTTGTTTCAATATCTGCGAGAATGCCGGCCGTGAGAAACAATTTTTAATTTTAAGGTGTGAAGTATATTTTGTTTGTTCCGTCGAGTAGCTATTGGGTTGTTAGCGCGTTGGTCGGCATCGTCAGTTGCTATTAATTTGTGTCACCACCTATGGACTTCAGTCCTGAGGAGGAGCGTGTTGGCATTCACAGCGCTATAAATTTACATACTAAGCGTCTTGTGGCTGCTTACTATTCGATTATCGAGTGTTCTCAGGTAGGTGTTTATCTTCTTCAACTTGTCATGTTGTAAAGCTCGAATCTAACCATGATTCTTTGGTGCGCACCGAGATGGACAACTTTCAGCTGAAATTGCACAACGACAGTATAGTAAGTGTTTGTGTCCATCGATATTTACTGTTTTTCCAGCTCCACAGCTGCCGCAATCTTCATACCATCTCATGTGACCTCGTTCTGAACGCATTGCTGCACTCTCCGGAGCGCCACTTAGACAAACGTATCGCTGCAGAGACCGAAGTGGCTAATGCGTTAGCGAAGCATCGTCAAGATATAGCTGCGTTTGAGAACGTACTTTACCCCAAGGCCGGCAGTGCCGATAAGGTGAAAGAACCTAAGCCTGAAAATTAGTGCACATATTAGAATTGAGTTGATTAACTTTTGTGCGTCTACATTCTACATTTAAGTGCGGTTTGTTGTGTTTTTTATTCGTTGGTCTTGTCTTGCGCCGCTGGCGCTATTTTCCATTGCTTTTTTGTGTACTTCTGCAAGCCTTCTGGCCATCCTTTGTATTTCGTCATGAGCCACACGATTAGCAATACGGTCCTGTGGTTTGAGGAAAAATAGGTTCATCCCCCCTGAGCAACTGTCAGTGGTTCAATATGTGAACCAACCTTCTTTGGTAAAACCTTGATCATTTTCCTCTTTGAATCCGTATCTATGGCACAAATTCTCTATTTGTACATCCAGCGCCCTCTGTTTTGGCTCCCATGAGTACCCGTTGGCTAATGACCATCTACTTATGTTGTTGATAGTGTCGTAGAACTTTTCGAACTGTTCGACTGCCTGATGCAAATGGCGCCGTATGAGTGATCCGAATAGAGGGCATACAAATATTGATCCCTGCATTATGTAGTAAACCTATTATGCGTGTTATTTTTCGATAGGGTGCCCTACCTTGACGGGAGTTGTCGCCACTCCGTTTCGTCCCAGGTTTCTCGAGAATAGTGTTATGTGGAATATAGCAGCGTTTGAATAGTACTGTATTCGTGCTAATTCGTCCAGTGGTGGTAGATTCTTGAGTGCTTCTGCGATATCATCAAGGTTACTATATGTAACCTGGAACATGAGTCCAACATGTTCACTGCAGCATGATGATGATGTTTGCTTTTAGATATTGTTTGCTAACATAAAACTGTTATATCACTATTTTTTTGGTTTAGATAAAATGGATTGCGTTGTTTTCAGCATTATCCTTCTGTTCTCACGACCTTTTTGATAGCTCTTTTGTTCCACATACCTGTCTACTGGCGTTCCAGCCCGTACATATTCATTCAGTGCCAGTTCCCTATATTTGAGGTAGAATGGGCTCTGGTAGAAGTAATCCAAAGCAGCGTGTTCACTATCCAGTGCAGTTACTGCAAGGAATCGTGGGTCTAAAAATTCGCACTTGACTTCCTTTTCGTAGTCACAACATAAATCATCCTCCTCTACAAATAATTGTGTTTCTTATTGTGTAATCGTGCCGAGACTAGTGTAATGTTACTCACCATCTCGGCCGTCATCTGGCCCATGCCGGTCCTCCATTTAAAGAATCGCCGTCGACTCAAATTAGGTACCCAGCCTTGTTGAATCAGTTGTATTGCGGTGAAGGTCAGTGTGTAGAGCAGATGATCGGTTAAGTAGTCGTTTCTTGTTCGTTCTTTCGGTGGGGAGTGGTGACGATGAATTATCTTGCTGCAGTGACTCAAGGTGTCACGCCTGCACATCCACTGATTCTAATCAAGTTCACACACAATCAAATCCCCACTGGCTGTTACAAGAATTTATGAACAGCGTGGATGCCGTACTGTCAATTGACACCTCGGCTGGATCGGTGCAGCGTTGTTTTGAAGACTCCTTTATGTTTTCCGTATAAATTTACCCGCTTTTCCTACGAAAAAAGGAGTGGCTTGGTGAATCTATTTGACTCAAGGGGCTTGCATAAGTTCCAACCTAGAGTGCTATTACACAAGTGTGACTCAGGGATTCCATCCAAGGAAGTGGCATACAGCGCAGAATTAATTCTCACTGAAGTATGTTCTGGTAATTCAAGCCAAAACGACACAATATCAGTTTTGCATTCTACGGATAATTTTCCACAAATAGTGGATACACATTCTGAGTCTGTTGAGCAAGGTGTGACAACTGAAGGTTCTACACCATTTTTGGCGGAATTTCTTGGTAAAAGTTGTGTTTCTTCAAGGGACACATCAAGCAGTAATTTGTTGTTTAGTCGATCGGCATCCGAGAAGACCAAACACGGGCTATTGCCTTCGTTTTGTGTACTATTTGAAGAATCGTTCTCCAAAAAGGTTCCCTGTCCTATATTAGGCCATTCTGACGTTCCTTGTGTTCAGCAATTTACAGTTGCGTTACGTACCTTTCGAGTTTCGCAACATTGTTTGGAGGATATCTCAGCGAACTGCACTAGCGACGGCGTGTTATCATTAACCTGGCGGATACGGTTAATTGCTGAAGGTTTCACAAATCTTGACTTAGGTCTAGCGATTTTATGTGAATCTGAGCAAAAGGTTCCATTATCTCAGCATCGTTTACTATCTTTACGCTGTAAGCGTTGTAGACACGTGCTCGTTGACGTGGAAGGTGCGACAGTCGTCCCTTTGCCCACTGAGTTTTTTACCAGCACAAAGGGTTCTACGTTTTGCGAGGAGTGTGAGCACCAACTCTCAGCCAAAATCCCAGAGTTGGCACGGGCAAATAACGTGATATATCAGGATGCAGAGTCTGTAATACTTTTTAGGCCGCATTCTACCACCAGTTCGGACCACACACTGTGTTGCGATCATTGTGGGCATAAAGTTGGTAATTTTACGGACGAGACTTTTCAATTCGCCAGTTATCGTAAGAGTTGCATTAGTGGTTTCTACGACAACACTGACGACATCTTTTGGCGTCACACACCCTTCAGAGAAGCGATTGAATCATTGCAATACGACAAAAGAACGAAGTTACATATAGTTGTAGCGAGCGATTTTTCGTCATCACTCTCAGATAGAGTTGACGAGAATCCAAACGCTGAACATTGCGGCCCCAGCGCGTGTCTTGAGATTATCAAAGTAACTACTAGACCGGATACTTTTGTATCAACTCGTGAAACTATATTTGAAGCTTCACAAGTATTGTGGCGTTTTGTGTCAGATATTGACATTACTTCGGAAATCAAGTGGGAGCAGGAGTCTTTTGAACAGCTGGTTTCGTTACTGGACTATTTTTCTCGGAGTCCGGATACCACAACGGGTTATACACCTTCTTTACTTGTTGCCATATAATTGACAGGTATATATCATTACCAAGATGATTCGTGAGGCTGATGAACAGTGGCCCATCAAGGTCAGACTTGATGATGACACTATTATGAAGCTTGAGCGTCTTAGAGACCATGTCCTTCACCCTGGTGGGCTCATAGTCTTGCCTACGGAGACCGTTTATGGTTTGGCTGCTAATGCACTGTGCGACGATTCCGTTTTTAAGATATTCGAGGTCAAGGGCCGACCTCTGAGTGACCCTGTGATATTACACGTGCCTACATTTAGAGATGCCTTGTCAAGTATTTTTGACGCTGATTTGTTCGATGCGTGTCTAATATTATTTTTGGGATTGTCATTTTCTCCAGGGCCGTTGACTATGATAACTCGTGGTAAGGAGGGTCTTTCGCCTTTGCTTTCGGCTAATACGGGTTTCCCGGCAGTGCGCTGTCCCAGTCACCACATCGCGCAATTGATTCTTAAGCATGTAGGTGTTCCGCTTGCTGCGCCATCGGCTAACAAGTTTGGTCACATTAGTCCAACATCTGCTGAGCATGTATCTTCGGAGTTTGAAGGTGTACCTATGTTCATTATCGATGGTGGGCGTTGCGATTTAGGTGTTGAGTCTACGGTTTTGAAAGTGGAGCCTGTCTTTGATGACATTCGAGCTGAGGTATTTTTGAAGAAGCACAAAGGTACATATGCCAATTTGCAAACTGTGATTTCTTTGCTTCGTCCTGAGGTGATCTCTGATCCTTCCAAGAAGGATGAGTTGATCGAGAAATGTAGTTTTATGGCCGGTATGCCATCCAGTCTACCTAGGGATTTGATAGATACTCTTTTGTCTATGAAAGATACATCCCGCACGGTTACTATCCTGCGTCCAGGTTATGTGACTGAGGCCGATTTGACCCGTCGTCTATCATCTTCATTTTTCAGTAATGTGAAAGTTGTCCACAAGCAAATTTTTGCCAAGGCCCATGAGCATTGTGAATGTCCTGGTACTACATTGACCCACTATGCCCCCGCTGTACCTACCTACTTGGCGAGTGAAGTTCAGAGTGAAGGCGGTGTGCCTGTAGACTCAGAGAGCATAGTGATGGTTGACTGTGATGGTGACTTTAAGGACTTCGTGGATTCATTTTTGTATTATATTCCGATGGCTAAGGGCGACCAATCTTTGGCTTATAATCTGTATGATTCACTTCGTCAGGCTGAGCGCATGGCTCTACGCTGCATTGGTACTGTTAATCCGTATGCTGGCGAGGATGCATGGCCGATGTCAACGATCATTGTGGTGAATTACAAAGAGCAACCTACCGAGCTGAACGCCACATTACGTGATCGTCTTATACGTGCATCATCAGGCAATACGGTCAAGTATAAGCTTGATCCGGATAATGTCGAATTTTTTATGTAGGCGACTATGATATGCCTAAGAACTTTTTGGTCTTGCAGTGACGTTGTATTACCCTGTTATAGTGTGATAATCTCATGATTCAACACTATTGAAAGCAACGTTACAAATGATAATTTACTAGACTGTTTCACTATATATGATTTGGATTGCGATGTTTCGGGAATGCCCTTGTCAAATCTCCGATTCCTCTCCTTGTGTATGCAGGAGATCCGATATGTTGTTAATTGTGTTAGCAAATTCGTCTAGCATTTCATATGTGACCTGACAAAAAGTGTGAGTGTCCCATTTGTAACATACATGTGTACTGATTTTACAATCACCAAGCCTTGCTCTGACTAGACATACAGGGTCACGCCCTTCGAGTGATATGTCATCTTTTTCTACCTTTCTATTATGCCAGGACCTGGTTTTTGGGATATCTGCGTGAATATGAGTACGTTTTTCAGGGGGTGTATCTTAGTTAAAGAAGATTTTGCCGACCTTTGTTAAATAATATGGATATAAAACGTATATGCAATGATACCAAATAGTTATACACGCACTTTTGGTATTTCTATCATGTACTACTGTTTTTCATTTTTGAACTTACGGCGTTTGTATGTTATACGGATAGTTTTTGCTGCGTTTTCAGCATCTGCTACTACCATGGCAGTCAACTGCTTGAGGAATTCGTCACAGTCCACTAAAACCATCGTTTTAATACTGCGATACTAACTATTATAGTTATGTGTGTCCATGGTTGCCCGGGCGTCCCCATGGCGAGGCGTCAGTGTAAGAGCGTTATCTTGTAAGTCCCGCGTAAGCCATGTTTCCGGGTCTAGGTGATGACGACGAAATACGGCAACAACTTGAGGCAAGCCTGGGTCTTGATGCGGTGGATACCGACGACCCTGTAGAAGAGGAGCTCGAGTCGCTTGAAAATGAAGCTGACTTTGGTCAAGGTCGCCGGTAGGGGTATTTTAAGTATTATAGATGTATTAGGGTTGGTTTGGGTTTTCAGAGTGTAAAGAAGACTCATGTATTTTCCGCTGAAGCAGTTAAGCTGAAGGAGGTACTAAAGTCTAGAAAGAAGATCGGTAAATCAAAATCATCCCGAGATAAGTCTACCACTAAACCCACGAAAGCACATGGCAACACCAGTGATGATGAACCTTCCAGATTGGACTTGATATTATCAGCCTCTCGCCCTCGCAAGGCGGTACTTAAAAAGGCAGTTTCTAAAGGCCGTCGCAAAACCTAGAAAGGCTGTATTCTAGGTCATTTATTAACGTCATTTCACCCATTTAACGAGTCTGTGGACATTAGGTCCGCAGATATGCTATTATCGTCGGTCATACTATTATAACATTAAAAACCATGCCAATTTATTAGGGCAACATTCTATCGCATGTCACGTAGCTTCTGCTCCCAGTAAGGGTCCCTTGATAGTGCCGTAATGATTTGTCCAACGTCTACTTCCGGTACAATTCCAGTATCACCTAGTTCCTCGTTGATGTAGCTGTTCACTTTGACCTTGCGACTCGCTGACAGTGACGTGAAAACAGTGGGCTCCAGTGATATTATTCCCGATATCGATGCGGATACTAGCAACTTGCGATACGATTCGATAGAAACGGTTTCTGTCATCTCTGGGTTCATCACAGCCATCATGCCACGGAATCCATCGTAGACCGTACGTGCGCATGCTACAGAAAGCTGTGTTTCCCTTAGTTCCAGGACCATAGCTACAAGGAAACATGACATAGCACGTGACGAGTACCTGAGAGACTCAATAACTTCGGAACTCAGTACCATGTTTGATACTCGGTTCATTTCAGCGGTGGTCACATTTTCACCATCTGCCAGTGCTACCGCCAACTTGCAAATTTGTAGTGCCTTGCGCATATCTCCACTGTAATTTGTTACTCTTCTGGCGCACAACTGAAGTGCAACATCGTCTATACGCGACGCTATCTCCTCATTGGCAGACAAGACGTCCAGGATCTGCTGGTAACGGTATGGCTGGAATACCAACGTCCCAAATGCCAGGCGGCTTACACATGATGCCTTCATTCGGCTCGGTAAATCCATGGTATTAGAGACTATAACCACGACCAATTTGGATGACTTGCGTGAAGGCCAATCGAAAATTGTGAATAGTACTTTTTGGCGTCGTGTCACTATGTAATCGGCTTCATCGACGATAAGCACGCTGCAATATTATAAGGTAATATATAACATTTAAGTGCGGCTTTAGCCATTACCACGATATATCATGCTTAGGTCAATCCATCCATGTATTCAACTCACCATGGCGTTTTGTTGTTCCAGAAATATGCATCTAACTGTTTGTATGCTGTGACATGGTACGGTGAAGGTTTATTAAATAGCTGCATGTTACGTATTTTATCAATGTGAGATTACCTTTGTATATAGGCAACGGTAGAAATCATTTGGGTCCATGAGGTTCACTCCATTTATTTCGATGAGATGAAACCAAGGTAACTTTGCAGATAACTTCTTTTCAGATAACTCGCGTACTATCATATTAATGGTCGCAGACTTCCCTGTGCCCGGTACCCCGCTGACATCTTCATAAAAGTTAAGGGTACACCTATATACAAACTTACATAGTAATTGTCCTGTACCTCCTTGACGTATTCCAGTCTCTATAAAAGTACGTATTCGATTCGCTTCCGTTTCCCTGGTTAATGTGAAACCAACCCCGTAGATAAAAACATACCTCCCTATAATGACATGCCCACGTCCAAGGTTACCTGTATGCTGTGTGTCACCGTTGTCATCTTCTGTGAATCCCATATGATAAATTCGATGGTACTGGCTTCGCTCCAGCATAACCTTTTTCCATTGCAGTTCCACGTTAAAAGGCTTCAATGCATAGCTCTCCACGTAGAACATGGTGTTACAAAATACATGGCCATATTCGTCCTCAGCTCCGGCTACCGCCGCTTCGTAATCCCTTAGACTCCCATGTACCGTTATCAGGTCATCTATGGCATCCGCCGTGATGCACTCGAACTACAAAAGTGTGAGTTGAGATAATTTATTGTACCCTTCGCATGGCAGATCAACTGCCACATATTATCCATGCTACATACCTCATTTGATGCGACGACTTCATTTTTATGCGTGAACCCTGCCCATTCCGAACTATTTTGTTCATCTGATTTCGGTTCCTTGGCCAACTGCCGTTTATGAAATCCAGGTATCTTATCGTCAGAGTCATAGTAGTACGATACTTCAGCGTTAAGTTCGCCTGTGTTATCCTGGAAGATGGCTGCAATCTTTGCTGTACAAAACTATTTTATAGACATGATATAACCAACCTAATCGTGTAACACGTTTTTCTTGCCCTAGAAATCGAACAACGACATCAACGGAATCTCCAACCTGGATAAGGTCGACCCCTTTTTTTATTGAACGGTAGAATTTCTTTCCATCTACTTCTACAACCACATTTCCACATTCTATAGCAGTGGATTCTCCATTTTCAACGTTATTCACGGTAGGCTTATCGGCGTTTTTCGAAGTATTTGGAGAATCCACTGCCGACACTTGGTTAGACTGCTCATCGCAGCACTCATCTGAGAACAAACCGTCTTCCATTGCACATATTATTTAACACAGTATGTGTCTATTATTACTGTTATAATGTTTTCATGTCATGTGTGACCCGCGTGGAATCACGCCAGATCGGCACTGGCGTCCACTCCCGCATACGTGCGAGAGCAAAAACGGCAATGATGTGTATCTCTATGATTATAGTACCGCTTTCTTACTAAAACAAGTATATTTTATTTTAGGTGAAATGTGTGTACTGCGGTGTCTGTTTTACGTGCGTGTTGACCGGTTGTATCACCTTGGCCACCTATAATGTGGCTGTTTGATTGCCTAGTGTCCAGAATATAGTTTTGGTGAATATTGTCTCGTGTATTGTGGATACTTCGGCAACTACGCCGTTTAATCAACGATATTCCCCATGCCCCCCCATGCGGCGATGTTGAGCGACTGTGTGAAGAGGATCTGCCCTATCGTCACTCTATACCGAGAACCAAGGTTTAAGCACTGTAATAAACGCCCCATTGTACTGGCGCTGTTTCTTTCAGGCCACCTTAGGACACCCATAAGATACTGCTAAGGCGGCCTACAGAGGACGTTAAAATGGCAACCAAGGGCGACAAAACGGGCGTAAGGAAATCGAGAAGGACCAAAAAGGACCCTAACGCCCCCAAAAGATCACTGTCATCGTATATGTTTTTCGCTAAAGAAAAACGCGCCGAGATTATCTCTGAAAACCCTGATATCGCCAAGGACGTCGCTGCTGTTGGGAAAATGATCGGTTTAGCATGGAACTCTTTATCCGAGGATGATAAGGTACCATACGAGAAGCTGGCTGAGGAAGACAGGAACAGGTACGAGCGTGAGAAGGCGGAATACGCTGCTAGGAAATAACTCTGCATGACCACCTTCAAATGTTGAACAACAGTGTGACTCCGACGCAAAATTATGTTGGTGGCATATTTTTTTTATCGTCTAATACTTTGTTATACGTTTTAATCGGGTCATTTTAATTTCATGTTTCGAAGTGCTCTTAGAATCGTAGGCTGATAGTTTTCTATGGGAATGTTATTCGGATCTCGAGCATTGACAATCTGCGCCTCTCCTTCCCTGACTCGCCCTTCTGCGATACAGTCATGAGATGGAAGTATATCACTCACGAAGATGTCACGGAGCTCGATTTTTGCTGCCAAGTCAGTGAATTGACGTCGGAGTTGTTCGTAGATGGCCACTGCGCGTGTTGCGTGCCTCAGAGGCGCCTTCAGTACAATCTCGTCAACCATGCGCTGAAAATGTATTGACAGTGTCAGATGTGTACCAACATCTCTAAGCAGTGTGCTGCACTCCTCAACTACTTCGCCAGTTTTCTGGCTGTCATTAACAACAATCAGCTCGTGGCGGCGCGTGTCAGTCATGATGCTCGTTGCGTGTGAACTAGCGATAATACGACGGAGCGCCAATATTTGTAGAGCATAGGCTCACGTTTTGAAGTATGAGCGGACAAGTAAGTCCACAACATCAAAACTGGTGGCCGACTTTTTCTTTGTACGTTCCTATGAACATTTCATTGCGATTGCCGTGCACCCACCACAAAGTTCTGAAGCTTCTCTATTACTGTATAACGTAAACGCCGCGATTTTGAAGTCTTTGAAACAGACATACGCGGTTTATCTGCAACGCTATGTCATCCCACCTAGAACGCAACCCACCAAAGTTGTCGCTACGTAACTGTCTTTCCTCTTCACGCAAGTTTGTATCACTCTCGACACCAGTTTGGTTTAGGAAACGTAACAGTTGCACGTAGAATAGCTGTTTTGATATAAAACCACTAATTTTTTATCTAACCTGATCGTTGTAAAGTTCCGATAAGATTGCTGAACGACACTGTTGCGGCCCGAGCTTCTCCTTCAGCAGGTCATATCCAATCACCTGTGTCAGCATTATTGTGGTAGTAGCAGGGAGCTCACATTGTCAGGGAGGTTGGTAGGGTGGGCCTGCTTCAAGTAGTCACTAGTGTTCTCAAGAAAATAGTTAAGTTGCGATGATATAGTCTTGTTAAGCACTTCGAACGATTTGTCAACCTGAATGCGTTATATTTAAGGTTTATAAGATCGCGTATATATGAACTTTGAAAATTCATACAAACATGTAATCTTTACACATATTGTTTTGGGGGCATTTTATACCTAGTACAGCCAATGTATTCCGAGATATATGTGCCAGAGTAAAGAAATAGAAGGTATATCTCACATAGTCACCCACCTTCAGGTTAGTCTTCTGGTTCCAGTAATCCAGGCGTTCTAAAATTGCATTACGCCGTTTAGGTAAAACGTCAATGCTATCGAATGGGTCGTTGTCATGAATGTGTAGCCCTTCTGTGTGGAATCCGCGTCGATACCATGTTGACTTACTAAGTGAGTTGAGTTTTCCATATAGACAAAGAAATAGACGCCCAATGGCAGACTGTAACTCAGACATATAATCCTCGGTGTTCTCCTCTGGTTGTGATTCGTTGCTTGCCACCTCCTTCAACAACCACGGATGTGGCCAACGAGCCAGATATGCCGAACACTTTTGAATCTGAAGGCGCACCCGTATTAAATTTATATACGCCTTTGTTTGTTTACGAACTGCTAATACTTTATGCTGACTTGGAGTTGATGTGCTCTTCATGGTTTTATGAAACTACCTGTTAACCATCAGTAGTCAACGCGCGACCCGCCGCATGTGTAAGGTAAACATTCTCTTTATAATCAGCGTGAAATGTGTATATTTCGAGTGGGTTAATATCATAACGTCCCAATGGTGCGAGAGAGGTTGAATGCCGTTGACGTGGCGGCGGTTGTCGGCAACCTCCAAAAACAGATACTGGACTACAACCTGGTGAACATATATGATGTAACCAGCCGTATCTATGTGCTCAAGCTCTCTAAAAATCAGGACAAAAAGTTTGTTCTATTCGAAATAGGACACCGCATCCACACTACCCAGTTTCTGCGTAGTACCGACCATTTGCCATCAAACTTCAACGTCAAGGTAAGCTGAACCATACATTAATATGCATACGACACCATCTAATGTGGTACCATAACGTCTTTATGGCTAGGTTCGAAGGTACTGGATAGTAAAATACCCAGTAAAACAGAACAGGAGTACAATATGTGTTTGAATAGTTTATCGCTTCCCCCCTTCATTAGTTATTTTGTTAACCATTCAGCATTTATCATGTATTTATAATTATGCAGCTGCGGAAACATCTTCGCATGAGGAAGTTGAGAGGTATCAATCAAATAGCTCAGGATAGGGTTGTGGATTTCACCTTCAGTTCTGGAGAATATGCCTATCATCTGATAGTACAATTGTTCCTACCCGGTAATGTATACTTGACCGATTACACCTACAAGGTATTAACCGTACTGAGACCGCAGAATGCCGGGGATGCATTTTTCAGGGTCGGAGAGACATACATGATCCCCGAGACTAGTGTACCTTGGGGTGTGCGAGTATCACAATCCATTATTGATGAGGCACTGGATATAATGCAATCATCGTCGAGTACCACGACTACCAGTTTGCCTGACACGGAAGTGGCTGATGAAAAAACGTCCAACAATGGGCCGAAAGGCACAAAACAAAATCCCAGTGGAGGAAAGGGCAATAGTAAAAGTAAAGGCCAAGATGCAAACAGTAATGATACGGAAAAGGATACCTTGGAGACAGCAGATGATATGAAAGAAAATAGTTTACACCTGCTCCTCAAAATCATATTCCCAAGCGTACACATCAAACTGATAGACCATGTACTAAGGAACCTAACCGATGATGCGCATTTGGGTCTGCGAAACGTGGACACCATGGATATGTCAGAGATATCAGAAGCAGTGGAAGCTATGAGGAAAACTGTGGAGTCCGTATCACATGCCAAAGGTATAGTACCAGGTTATCTTCACAAAGGTGGCCAAGAATATGATGATTTTATTCCAGTTGACCTTGGATCTGGCTGGGAGAGATTTGATGACTTCAACGATGCTTTGGATGCCTATTTCACCAAATTTGAAATGAAGAAAATAGAGAAAAAAGAACAACCAAAGAAACCTATTAAACTACAAAAAATTAAAGATGATCAAAACCGTCGTGAAATAATGCGACAGAAGGAAGTCGAAAAGTTGACTAATGACATCGAGATGGTTGAAAGTAATCGTGCAGTTTTTGACACTGTTTTAGATCTTTTGCGTACATTAGTAGCAACAGGTGCTTCTTGGCAAGAGATCAGGGACCAGCTAGCAAACCAGCGTAGTAGTGGCCATATATTGGCGCAACATATACGGTCTGTAAACATACCAGAACGCCGTGTTGATGTGTGTTTGCCCTCCGATGACCCGTCATTTTATAATTCGGGGCCTCAGCCTCAGGGCAAAAGTAACAAGAAGAACTCCAAAAAGAATACTCCAGCGTCTGATTTGTGTGATAATTCTACTGTAACACTAGATTATGGACTGACATGCTTCCAAAATTTAGAAGTCATGTATGAGAAGAAGAAACGTGTTGCTGAGAAACTAGAGCGAACTCGTGCTGGTCATGAGTTTGCACTAAAACGTGTAAACAAAGAAAAGGAGAAAGGTGGCCAGAAAAAAGTTGGGAAGTCAGTGTCGCTTGTTAAAGTTCGTAAACGTATGTGGTTTGAAAAATTCCATTGGTTTATTACTAGTGATGGATACCTTGTTTTGGGTGGTCGTGATGCAGCCCAAAATGAATTATTGGTTAAAAGGTACCTTACAAAAGGTGATTTGTATTTCCATGCTGATGTCCATGGTGCTTCAAGTTGTATTCTAAAGAACCCCAAAGAAACAGCCGAATCACATAACAATTCTATAGAGGAGGCGGCTTGTTTTGCCATATGTCTGAGTTCAGCATGGAACCAGAAGATGGTGGTACCTGCATGGTGGGTACACCACCATCAGGTTTCACGGTCAGCACCCACTGGAGAGTATCTCCCTCACGGTAGTTTTATGATCCGTGGTAAGAAGAACTATGTGCAGCCTCAAAGGCTTGAGATGGCTATAGGCGTGGTTTTCCACGTCGACGTGCCACAATTGGAAGTTGAAATGCTCAATCACGTTGAGGACCAAGATGACGTCACACAATCAGCAACAGAAGTGCAAAAGGATTCAGTATCCTTTGTGGATGTTGATGAACACGATAGCCGTGCATCAAGGACCGATTCTGGTGATACTACCCCCTCAGTAGCTAGTATCGTTCTGTCATTTAGTGTTGGCAGCGAAGCTGAGAGTGATTTTATGGAACAGAAACCAGCGGTTGTTGGTTTTCATGAACTTGTCAATGCAGGCGATCAGCCTACTGAAGAGGCTAAGGAGATTCCGCAAAAACCTAAAGGTGTGGGTTTCATGCTCTCTGCTGATTCTGAATCCGAAAGTGAGCCCAGACGTGTGGTTGCATTTAACTTGGATAATTTACCTGAAAAAACGCAACACACTCCAATCCGTCGAAAGGCCACTGGCTATCCATGTCGCGGGTTTGATCCTGATGACCTTGTAGGGAAACTATCGGAGCTTGGATTAATTGATACCGACACACCCAATATTGAACCAGGTCACGTGCGTTTTATAGAGGCCGAAAAACCGGAGCATTCACCTGAGTCAGTGGCTCGCCTAAGGCAGCGGATGCCGACAGGTTTTCATGGTTCTACAAAGAAGCAAAAGCCTGCTTCAAAGGTGGCACGTATGAAAACAGCTCGGGCTAAAAAGAAGTACGATGAGGAGGATGAGGAAATTCTAGAGCTCCGATGTAAACTTACAGGATCAAAATTACCCCAACTCGAAGAGAAGCGGGGATCTATTGATGTTAAGCGAGAGTCTTCTGTTACGCAGGCTAAGCCTGTGTTTCAACGTCAGGCTATAAAACCGCTGGACGATCAGGAGCTATCGTCACATATGAATCAGCTGCGCATGCTTACTAAAGAGCCAGGTGACGGAGATGTGATTATTGGCGCTGTACCAATGTGTGCCCCGTATAGCGCGCTGAAGACTCATCCTTACCACTTGAAGCTCGTGCCTGGTAACTTTAAAAAGGGTGTCATTGCGGCACAGGCATTAAAGCACTTCCTTAAGGTTGATGAGGCTAAGGCCGAATTTGTCAAGCTTATCACCACCGACCAGTTTGCACTTACCCTGATAGAGAACTGCAAGGTGCCTGGCGGCCCCGCAAACCCTAAAAAGCCGTGAGGCTTGACTTTCTTAATAACTTTTTACACTCTATGTGCTGTTGTATATTATAAATGTTTTGTATGTTTATGTAAATGGGTGTTGGAATTGGATAATCCCTCACATCTCCATAGCTATCTTCGAGCGTACACATCAAGGTAAAAGTGGGTAGACACTGTCTCTTGATCTACATTTTAATTATTATAAATAGTAATTAACATTTAGTAATTGTTTGTTTAACGTTCTGTGGACTTAAGTATTCCATCAAGGTTTGAAAATATTAGGATTTAATGGTACCGCAGACGGTCCATATAATCCAGTAGATACGTGCGCCAACATCGCACATTTTCGCGTATGGATTCATGTGTAAGAAAGAAAATTATTTGGTACAGCGGATACGCTGGCACCTGAATACGCATTAACATAATGCGACGGATAATGAGGAATAGGAAGTTTGGACAGCGTCCGGCTGTTCCAAACGGAAATGTAGTTACATATCTCGATATTATCAATGTAGAAACTTGGAAGGTAGGAGAAAACACGCCAGATGCCAAATTGGCAGCCGCTATTCTGCAACTGACAAAGGATAGAGAACGCAGAGGTGAATGCCCTTCAGAAACCACCATTTATGTATTTTATGTTAACAATGAGAGGGAAGTGCTCAAGTGGTATTCTGCAATGCGCGCATTGCGGCTTGATAACGGCGAATCACGCAGTCCAAGACGAAGGTTTACCCGAGGTGGAGCACCGAGTGGTTTATGGACATTGCAGCACGATTCACAGGTTATTAATGCAACATGGAACCGTAGTACAACGTGTAAGCCAAATAAAGTTCTGGTAACCATAACGAATGATATGATCGCACATGTTTGGCGTGTTGGACCATCACAGGGTTTACCTGAGCTGTTAGCACACATTGACATAGGTGAAGAGGTTTTCGGGACTGGAGTAACAGCGTGTTGGATAGATAGGAATTTCACTATAACGGACAGTATATTCACCGATAAGGAATATATAATTTTCCATGAAGTCCTGGAAACCACGAAATCGGCCGCCATTGTCGGTCTTGATAAACCAGGACACTGTGACGTAGAAGTTGGCGAATACATAGACACACACAATTCGACATCAAGCAGGAACGGGGAGAATACACGGCGTTGTAGTGTCCACAAACAACATTTCAAAATATTCTTAGTACAAGGGGTACAGTCACCGAATTGCAACGTCCACTTTCATTGTGTACTCAGCCATGTAGACATGGCATTGCCCTTGTTTATAGATGATATAGTGTCGGCTGAAGTATGTGAACACACTTTAAAATCTGGTGTAGTCACCATATACGCCCAGGATACCATGCGACCAAACAGGGTAACACCAAGATGCAGCTTCCAAATGAGTAGATGGATAACTACGGCATCACGTAGCATCAATACAATTGTATCAGAAGAGTGGCATGATGATATGCTGGGATCACAAGTCGCATTCGGGGTAGACAGGTTTCTACCACCGTGTACAATCACAGCAGTCAACGATATCGGATTTACAGTACAATTGCTGATAGCACCATGCGACCTGTACCTAAAAGATTGTAATGTAGACGTAGGGGACACCGTTATAGGACTAGTCGGACGATATATCTGCCATGCGTACTCGCCGCTCTTTATAGAGCCCTCGGAACCACTCGATCTGGACAGGAAACAAAATATAGATGACGTTATGTTGGATAAATTTAAATCAAAGAAACGTGTTATAGACGTTGAATGGATGTATGACAATGCATGGTTCCTGGCATTTCTCTTGTACAGCACAGGAAAAATCGAACTATACCGTGCAGTCAGCTACAACCATGCCATAAACCATCGCAGCACTATTGTAGTACCCCAAGCTACACGGGTAAGCGCAATAAAGATATTACACTGCAAGGATAAAGTGTTGGTTGGCATGTTTGTTATTGACAACGAGGGTGACGCAAAGTTCAATATCTACAGATGGAGTGCATCGGCCCTTATGTTGGACTCTTCCTGGCCGTTTCATGAGTTGCCAAAGGTTAAAGATCTAATCGTAGCTTTCGATGTGTGGTACGAAGGAGGTCCATTCTACTTGGTATCACCGGGATTACTGGCTAGCAGTGATAATGACACTTATAACGCGGTCCATGTCTACCTCATACGTGGCTCAAATATCGAACATTGGTTAACCATAGCGGATACCCATTTGCTAAATGTGTTCACTGGGGAACGGCGGCAGCTGCCATCGGATGTAATTGGTGCGAGATACGGCATTGATAACGACAAACTATTGTGCCACTTGGGTGGAGAGCGCGTGGTACGTGCCCACATCGCCGATGGCACCGAAGATACACTCAAGCCTCTACGTATATACCACCCCAAGTATATCATGGTATTTTTGGAACTGGGGATGCGCAGGTTTGTAGACGAGCTTGTTGGAGATTTAGTTGAAGCATGCCGTACGTTCCTTTCAAGTTTAGCTGAAACCGGGTTCTGTGGATCAAATAATTCATCAACATATGCCTGTGACTGTGTCATAATAAAGGCCAAGAATGGAGAGATTTTCACAGACTTGAATCGTGTTCTATCCTTTAGGTTTCTTCAAACTTTCGCCACACTCATCCATGCCAGTTCAGCTCAAATTTTCGGAGATGTGGTTGATGACCACACATCATCCGTTGATATTAAAGAGGCGATACCTACCAACGAGCTACTTCTATACCTACAGCATATACGACTGCCAGGGCTAATGTGGGAGGACCAAATCGAACTTATGCATGTCGTCGAAAGGTTACGGCCAAAGTGCGGTACCGAACTATTTGTTAACACACCATCATATCATGCACCCAAAACATCAGGAATGGACACCGTCACCAATTTCCTGAGGATGAGTGAAAAGATGCAATCGAAAGAATTTGATGTTGACGATACTATAGATTTCAGATTGTCAGTCGAGATTCAGGACTCAAATGAAGACACCGCACTCAATGCATCAATGCTATGCCCGCTCGTGCGAATGGCACAAAATCTGCTCAAATCTGCTGATGATGAGGAAAAGGTACATGTCTGGAGAACAAATGATGAGCTCGTAAGCCTGACGCTACCACCGAAGATCACTACTGACGAGTTCTGCCTAAGTAGATGTATAGATTGTATCAAATTTGGAAATAGTGATGAAGATCATTTGGTATGGGCTGTGCTCTACAGGGATGACCACAACCTATTCTCCACCATGCTCTCAATGTTACCTTCGGATGATGATCTATCGGTGTGCCAGCACCTCCTTAATTATATGAAAGATGTTGGACTGGGATATTGGCTACAGAGCCCGTCGTCGTTAGAGTTGTTTTGTAATACACTAGAAAAGGGGTTCCGTAAACTTATTGCCGTTACTGATACCGGTTGCACTGTCAATGTGTTCGACGAATTTGGATTTTGGTCAATCTTACGCGGTAAACCGCTAGTTTACGGATGTGTACTGAAAGCAAAAGGGTTCGGTAAATTAGGAGAATTCTTGTCAAACGATTTTACAGAAGAGAGATGGATCAACGCTGCTGTAAAGAATGCATATGCACTTATAGCACAAAAACGCTATTTGTTGGCTGCAGGGTTCCTAGTTTTATCAGGAAGAGTTACAGATGCCGTAGATGTCTGTTTCCAGTATATGGACGACGCTCAACTTGCCTGCATTATATGCAGGCTACGTAACCATGATCTACAGTATGCACTTAATTTGATGAAGGACTCGAGGATCAAAGATGTTTTGGAATATAAAACATCTGATAAACATGCATCAACAATAGAAGTCACTACCGTGGAACACTTGGTGTACTACCTATACATGGGTATGCGGTTCAATCGCGCAGACGTCAAGAGCATGATAGAAACTACTAAGAAGTGCGCAGACGGATACAGGGCTAGGGGTATGCCTCTGGCTGCCCTTGTGATCAACACACTCGATCTCACGAATGAAACCACCATGTGGACACCAATGGTTGCCCAAGCCACCTTGCAGTACCTGTTGAAGGACGATGACAGGGGCTCGTATCTAGAGGAATGCCTTAACATCTTGCGAGATTTCTGTGACGAAAGGATACATAAATCTGGAAGCAATGTGTCAAATTATGGCAGTGAACCTGGCGCTAGGAAGTTAAGCGCTTTGAGAGACTCAGGGAGTGACCTTGATATACTATCATGTGAAGGAACTGTGATTTTCCCAGATGTTGAGGATGATACACCAACTAGTAAAGAAGCCGCAGATAGTTTCCAATTGTATATCATACATATGATAAACCGAATAAAGGAACGGTATAACCTCGAGGTCACGGTAGGTTATGGGACGACCAAGATATCGCTTAATCGTGGAGTGTTCGACACAGTGTGGCAGATGCCTAACTATTTTGCGTACCTGAGTAAACTGTGTATCGGTTTCTTTGAAGGTGCTACATCGGTAAATGGTACTCTGATGTTAACCCTCATCCTGAGAGCGATTGCAGAGAGCAAAGAGGACTTTACTTCATGCGTAATGTTAGCCATAGCCTCATTGATTGTAATATCGTGTTTCGATCGTGGAGATACAGGACAAATATACGATGCCTGTATGGGACAGCTGGTAGTCCTCAATAGCCTTCTGAACAACCAAGGGTCAGGAGCACAGTTCCTAGCGTGCCTCCTAAGAACTGTGGAACCACTGTGCTTCGGTTCTAGAGGGAGGACACTGGAGCCGCAATGTCTCAATCTCCTGAATTATATTGAAAATCCACAGAAACATTCATTCTTTGGTATGTGTGCTGGGACAGCTGTGCTGGAGACCCTTTTGGGAGTATGTCGCAATTGGTTTTACAAGGTGGCAGAAAATTCCGATCCAATATCTCAGGGATGGATAGATCGTTTACTACATTCCGCATCGAAATATCTATTTTGTCATGCTAAACGAGAACTTGTAGAGAATGCTTTGGACGCTGCTGGGATAGCCTATCCAATGCTTTCTTTGCGGATAGGACTTGAAAACCCAGTGGATTGTAAGGTACAAGATGAAGAATGTCATGTATACGATACATTTTTTGAAAGTTATGTAGCTTCAATGTATGGCCCCGAGTTTGAAAAATTATGGAGGTTTCTACAATGTGGACTTCGTACGGCCAGCATGTTTGGCCGGCACTTGCGTCCTACACGGTTATGTGGCCCACGTGCTAAAAATGGTAACACCAGGGTAGTATGCACCGAAGGACCGCCTGCAGAGACAACAACGAACACAAAAGCATTGCCTTTGGTCATGCCACTTGCATCAATGTTCTCATCCCCTCATGTATGGAATCAAGAATATGTTGCGGCGCAGGCTAAGGCCACTGAACGAAATAAAAATGGCACTTCGTGCAACAATACAAGTGATATGGCCGTTCTTGATGCTTTGAGGACTTTAAGGTTTAAATCGCTACACTCATTCAAGGGCAAACTCATATCATCACTTTATTCGATGGTCAGCACAACTATGTGCGGTGATCTCAAGGGGTTCACTACCAATGCTATCGTAGGGCCAGTGTTGAACGACTTTTATGTAATGGCTATATTGAATGTCCCAGGGTCAGGTAAGCTTTCCAGCTTATCCGAGGAACTGTCACAAACTGTGGATAATGTGGTCTATTCCAATTTACACAATAGAAAATCAGCGATACCATCATACGCCTTGTATGCGAAACTACTAAGGATCATGTATGCCTATTGCAAGAACCATCTGGAGAATATGTACTCAATGAAGAAGGTATCGAAGTTTAGTAAGCTCGCTGACAAGTTATATGGATACTTCCACACCTGCAATGAACCGAAGGATCATGTTATAGGTGGCCCCTCTGGTGGTATATGCGGACACCCACGGTGGCCTTTATATGCAGTCGTCTACGGTGAAAACCAACCGGGGCAGATGCCAGCCTATAATGTAACTCTACAACATCCAGTGACACTTATGAGAGGATATCGTGATGCATTGGGTGATTCAGAACATAGCTGTGATGAGGAGATCGTCTACGATCGTCTAACAGGTGGACGGTTGAACACCGGTCAGGGTTCTGTCTTTGGCGACCTCTGTAGTGTAGGATGGACAGGTGATATGCTTTCAGTTCTCGACCGAAATGGTTGGCTGCTTGTTTATAATACCAGGGGTATGGTGCACATGGAAGAAGAGGATGTGGATATAGCTATACCGACTATTTATTTCAGACCACATTATGCGGGAACAACGGCAAGCTGGTTATCAGAATTTTTTATAGCTACTATTGGATATGGAGTATCACATGATGTGATGACACATCAAGTTATTGTGATAGATACCAAGCAAGATGAGGTGAGATGTCAAACGAGCAGCACTCTCTCCAAATTATCTAGTTCAGTGTTTAATGATTCTATGGAATTTGGAGGATATGGACGCAGTGACAGCGACCATTTATCCAGGGCAATCACGGAACACCGGCAGCCATGCCTATGTATATGGGACCTGGTGGATCTACATCATAACAATTCACCGAAGTTGAAGGTAGTTTTGGCGAACAGTACCAATATAACACATTCGTTCTTCAATAAAAAGAAGCAGACACTCCCGCAAGTCAGTTTCACGTGTATGCTTCCAATACCAACGCCTAACTTTGACCCGAACAACGCATCTACTGTGGAACATGATATTGTTCTTTTCGATTCACTGGGCAGCATGTTGTTCTTCTCTGCTTCTGCAGAAGAGATCACTGTATCGTGTCATGTCCATTCATGTCCTGTGATCAAGTGTTTCTTTGTTGACGGCAATATAGTCGCCGTATCACGTGATGGCGCCGTTTCTATGTTCAAGTATAACGGTGTCTTTTGTGAGCCCACTAGAGTGTTCGAAGGGACAGCGCAGACACGTGTGGATACTACCGATACCAGTTCTAACACCAGCTTGGTTACAAGTATTGGCGAGTACTTGGGTATCAAGTTTATCGACAATTCTTCGAAGGATAGTAGCTCAAATGTGCCTGCGGCATGCACGGATATCGTTGACGCACAGATTGTGCAAAACAAATTCCTGGTTCTTACCACAGCAGCGGGAACTACCAGTGTGACAGAGTTACCGTGTTAGTATAATGTTTAAACTGCGTTTTACAAGTTCATCGCCGGGACCAAAGACCCAGGGGTCTTGTCGTCATAATAGGCATCGTTAGTCAAGGGTCCGCCGTAGTACAAGCCTATACGCGATTTCGGAGCACGTTTAGTAACGGTTGAGATCTCTGTTTCTTCAGCCAGGGTGGCCAGGAAATGCCCGTCACGGGCGAACCTTTTTTCAGGTACACCTGCAAGAATGTATCGTAAGTTTGTAATGACTCACCTCGGCATAGGTGTACAAGAGTACCAAAGGCCATTGATGTTTCATGAGATTCTAGACTCTGAAATTTGTTGTTTAATCATTATGTTTAATTCATACCATGGTAAAAAATGTACAGCCTTTGGTAGTGACGCACCTGCCAAACAATGCAGAACAAACAGGTAACTAACAACTTACATCTTTGTTGCTTGTCTGGGAGTTAGATCCCTTACCATATCTATCACTTTGCCACTAGGGCATTCCTACAAATATATGGTCCATCCAATATGGATGACCTACAGCCGTCTGGTTGAGCCATAGCGTGAACGGTTTGCACATTTCACGTATAACAGACCCCTTGATAGCAGTTATCCACCCATTCTTAGGGTATAGTGCCGTCCAACCAGAACCACTACACATCCATGTAGCATCAGATTCTGGTATACCGGGATCTGTATCTAAAGCTCCTTTTGCAGTGACCAATCGTGGCGAGAATCGTTTCTTAGCTGTATGGCAAAGAAATGTACATTTATCAACACCACCACAGGCCTTCAATGCATCTTCTAGTGGCCTCTGTGTTCACTTTTTGCCATAACATTCGTAATACCAACCTCACATGCAGCTTCCATAATTGTGTCTCGATCGCAAAACTGTAACAATATTTGAAATACAATCAATCAACAAACCCTTCTAGCGTTATGTACCAGTAGATATTCCACATCGTCATCAACAGGCAACCGACGAGGGGTCCTCTGCGCTGTCGGCACATGTCTATTACCTGGATAAACCTATAAAATCTCGACCACTGGAAGATACCTGTTATTCCCTGGAACAATATAGATATACCTAATATGAATATGTGTAGAATATCTCGACCGGAGCGCATTTTTACCATCTTGACCATTCACACACCAAAAACGACATCGCAGCACCCTTCACACACACTTACAATGTGTTAACTACTAGAAACCTATTGCCACATAAAACACTTATATCTAGCAATTAACAAAATTTAACATCTGAAATTGTACGCAAATCTAAGCCTCTCGTTCAAATCTGGGAAGGTGAACCATCACACACACATAAGTTCAAGACAAAGAATCTTCTTATGCCCATAGAATATACAATGCAGATTTAAATACAACTTTGTAGATTCACTTCGGATGTTTTTGTTTCGCTAATGCGGCGTCAACTGGTCTAAACCCCAGACATCAACGTACATCACGAAGAAGGGCCATGTGTAAATGCTTATTACCAAAGATCTCCAGTTAAATAAAAAATCTGTACAATTCCATCCAATCGATACACCTTCAGAGATGATGCATTGCCTTGACATGGCCCGCTACGCACCTTACTACTACTACCAATACTACTTTAGTCATGAAACAGCTTCAATTACTTTTTCCATACTTACGTCATATACATCTAGTCACCAGCACTTAGCTAGAATTACATAAATATTACCGCTCCGATGCCTGATTCGTATAAATACCAAACGTGTTGAATACTAATATACAGACATTGGCATTTCAACGTTACCTCAATACCTTTTAGAAATCGTCTAGAACCATATCAAGTCTCACGTTGACAATATGTAAAATGCGATATGAACACTACATCGATATGTTTTGATAATATTAAAATCATGCATAATTCTGTTGACAAATACGACCTTTGTTCAAGGTTTAAAATAATCTATCCTGCTGGGTGACATCTTCTGCGATAACAGAACGAGCGGTGTCACTTTATGGCTTCTAGCCAATCTCCAATGAGACCTTATGTGTAATAGGTCGAGAGGTAGGATCATACCGTAGGTAATGTAAGCGATGGCAATTCCCCAGAAAGCAAGCAGGTAGTAAAGGAAGTATTGGCGGATGTAGTAGAGGAAGAGGTTGATCTGTTCGATGAGTGCTGTGAAGAGTGGGCTGTCGATGACCTCTTTCAGTTGAGCCTAGAAGTGGTTACATTTTCGTCGATATCCTTCGTATTTCACCCAAGTATATGTTGAACGTGACTGATGTTTGTACTGTTTATACCAATGTTCACCATTCAGTGCTCTGGGATAGGTATATCTGAAACCGAATCGGTAAAACACAGGTAGCACGCCATCACATTGGACTATGGTAGGACAAGAGCACTTATCCTGATCTCCATGGTCCCTTTCGTGTTGTATGTTACAAGATTTACCCCGAATCGTAGCACAATTATCACAAGTAATCTCTTTGAATTCCTTCAACAAAAATTGTAGTCCCTCTCTCAAATCCTCAGTCAAATACACTATCCAGGATAGGTAGACTTTGACGTACTCTTTACGGAAAACGCCATAGATATTCCATGCCATAGGTGAAAGGTAACTACCACAGATTTGCTTTTGATTGCAATTCGTGTCATAGAGGGTGTGAAGGGTGGCATACTGATCACCAGCGTGTTTATGTTGGCGTTCGTTATCGCTTAGATTCTCAAAAGCCTTTATCAGCGCGGATTTTGCATAGTTACCTGGCGCGTCATCGATCTCACCCTCCAACACACCCTTCATGCCTGCGTTATTACCGATATTGTAAAAGAATGCAAACATAACACCTGTTGTTTTAGGGGTCACAAGTGTAATAGATAGTACACAACAAACCATTTGAAATAGACTGGCATGAGTGGTTGTGGGCTCTACGTAGTCCTTCAAAATAATTTGAAGGTAACAACCAGTACGATTAGACGATTGAAGATGTCTGTGAAAACCCATTGGTGTTGGGCACCATTGATGAGGATTGGCGTGTTCCGCGTGTTCAGTGTATTCGGAATGTGAGACAGAATCGCCAGCAACTTTCTTGCACCTGAATTGTGATAGCTGATCACACAAGTACGCCTGGAGGGGGGAAGGGGTACCAATAGATTTGTCACCACATTTCTGGTTGTGTTCTTCCCATTCATTGCAATTATTGTTGTTATTCGTTTTATGTTCGATTTTACACCCACACATCCAGGATGTAATCCCATCACCATTTACATCTTTGCCATATGTACACCATACCCATCCACAAGCCAACCCGTAACAACTTCTAAATTGTTCCCTGAGTAAGTGTAATTGTAAATAGAGGGCATATACAATGTCGTAGAGCATACTGTAGCACTCTGAGACAACGCTGGGATATGCGAAGTTGAATAGTGTATTGGCATACATATCGTGGAGAAGTATGCTCTCAGTAGATGAGACATTCGACCTCAAAGTCACATCAGTATTATCTGTTATATTACCTTGTATCGCCATTAGGACGAAACCAGAATAGTAACACGGTACTCGGAAATAATAATTTACAGAGCGAGTTTCGAATTGAAAATTCGAAGTTGACTCTCTGTGAAATTCCAATTTTGCAGTATTCGCACCGTGCGTAGACGCTTATTCTATACGATGTTCTAATGACCAGTATACTGGCGTGTAAGGTAGCACCATCAACCAATATAACATTTCGCGTATAGTGGATGGTCGGCGTTTATCTGATTTGTGGATCACCTTATCCCTTTGTTCTATGCCTTGGAAATAACATTCAGCAACAATATGAAAACTAGCTAAAGGGCGTTCAGTGACGTCGTGCCCTTGTGACTTCTGCTTGACCTCGTTTACATCATGGTCATGGATGTACTCGATGAATTCGGCATATGGACCTCCAACTGGTTTGAACCTTTTACCTGTCTTTTCATTCTGCGCCTCAGTGTTGCATTCGTTGAACCCCCTGAACTTATCAAGTAGATGTGCGATTTCCCCCCCCCGTTTGGGATTCACTTATCATTGTATAAGGATAACCTGTACTCTGCAGGTAAACAGTTAAGTATGTGTCTACCGCATCTGTCTTCGTTTCTGACCACCTAGGATCCTTACTAGGAATTGTCCCTGCATTGCACTGCCAGTAAAAGTAGCTTAGACATGTGAAAATTAATGGGATGCAACCTAGGAATATACGGGCGCAGGTCTCTTTTTCTTCTATCGTGCGAAGTTTTCCCCAATTGACGTCATCTGCATCATAGTTAGACGTACACTTTACCTTGGCCTTGCCGTTTTGGACCACATTATTCCCAATACCACTTCCGCTAAAAGACCATTTATCCTTGACTTTTGCGTATCCAAGAAGCCCCGCCAAATGCTCACTCAATTGGTCCATTAAACCCCTACTATTGTCATTTAAAGTGATTCCAGGAGTACTGCTTTCATCTTCCAACGCCTGTATCACCCCCTGAAGACTCGTTTATCACCTTCAACGTACTTTTCGTTTGCAGATTCTACGTACCGCTGAACTTTGGCTAGAAGTTTTGCCACTTGCTCACCTAAGCCTCTTATACCACCTGAGCATAATAAAAAGTCACAAATTGACTTACCGTTATCACTGTTACTTCCATTGTAACCATCTTTCCCAGTAACTCGTAATATCCAATCTATCGCCTCTTTTAAATTCTTCGGTGAATCAGTTAGACGTTTCCCACTGTTACTCGCATTGATTGCTGGTAGAGGTGCCATATTATCGATTACCTGCGCAACTCGAACCGCTATTCACGTAGGAAGCTATGACTACAGTTCATTTCAGACTACAGTGTTCATTAGAATTAAAATTTTTTACGCTGCGAGTTACACAATTCATTGGCCATATTAATCGGAGCACCAGTGCTGCAATGCTTAGTCCAAAAGAGATGCAGTGTCAGTCCACTTCGACTTTGGACGCGATTTCCAAAATATTATGACGTACTATCGGGCACCCTCATGATTCATGCAACGTAAGGCATCAACCGCTTGGAGGGAACCTGAACCACAATAAGTCTAACAAGACGATTTAGCGCCTATAATATCGCTGGAGGCCCTAGTTTCTGGGTGCCTGCCCCCGGGATAAACCTTGAGGTCCATGCAATGGCTTCCCAAAGTCGAGGCACTGCCTTGGAGGACATCCGAAAAAGAGAAGAGAGATATTAACTAGCCAAAATGTGTCGTTTGAGCTTTGCGATTCGGTTGTGTAACCGTTGGCCATGTTACTGTCTTGTTGTAGCGTATTTCAGGATGTATTAAATGTTCTGCTTTGGCCGGGGTTGGTGAGCATCGACGGCGCATACCATTACCAGGTACACGAGGATGTCCACGCTCTCCCTCGGCTCCAGCAGGGTAGCTGAAACGGTTCTACTACAGCAGGCTTCGAGGCAACGACTGAAACGGCCAAATAGCCGACACACCTCAAGCCGTACCCCTGAGCGAGCAGGCAGCAGCAGAGAGTGCCATGATGCCACCCGACATTACCATCGACATTTATAGCGCTCAATAGATGGCGTCAACCGGTTCTTCCCAGTACAGCGCCGGTGACGAGGGCAGACGCTTGGTGAGAACATCGTGACCGGTCCCAGTGATCAAGATGGTATGTTCAAACTGTGCTGTCTTTTTACCATCTTTAGTCGCCATAGTCCATCCATCAGGCCACATAATACACTCTTTAAATTTGCTGCGTGTAACTATGGGCTCGATCGTAAATACCATCCCCGGCTCCATGATCACGTCACTGTCGTTGGCCGTGTGATGGACCATAGGGTTCTCGTGAAAGTTACGACCGATTCCATGACCAACAAGATTAGGTAGAACGTAACATCCACGCTCTTCTAGATACTCGGAAATAACACGCCCAATCTCGCTTAACCTGGAGAAAATTTTATGGTTGTCGCATCGCACTTACCGCACGCCCGGACCGCAAACATCGATTCCTTTCATAAGAGCTTCGTAAGTAACTTTCATAAGCTCCACATCTTCATCGAATGTGTGCGAAAACAAATAGGGTTTACGGTATCTTTCTGGGTCGGCCTTATGGAATATATGTTTGATGATTTCAGGGCTCTCCACCGTTGCAAATTTTTTAGGTTGGCCAGGTGTCGATATATATGTAGGTATTTGTGATGCGGACAGCCCCGCAATCCTACCCTCATAGGGGCGGCCTTCAGACCCTTCACCATACAACTCCTCTATATCCTCCAGAAGTTTCGATCCAACATGTTGCAGGTCGTTCTCCTCTCTACTCAAGAAAAGAGGTTTACGTTGGGGATCGTCAGTATACAATTTCTCAAACCATTCCTCCCACCCGTCTTTAGGTCCCAGCCTGCGAACTGTTGCATCCAATGTCTGCAGAAGATTAAGTTGCATCATTATAGTAGCTCCAGCATCCCATATATTGTCATGAAATGCTGCATGATATCGCATTTTGTTACGTTCATACATCCCTATCTCAGTTTTTCGTTTCATAATCTGCTTGGGGTCCTTCGACGGCAGGACCATGAACGTCTCAGAGACATCGCCATGAAATCCGTCAACATAAACAGTCACATCGACATTCAAAAGGTCACCCGCCGCAAGGATAGTAGAGTCAGGAATACCTGTGATGCTATGTATAGTCCAGCATGTAACCTACCATGGCAAGCTATTTCGTTTATCGAAGTACAAACAGACTTTGGGAAACCGTGGTAGTTCAACGGTGACGGGTAGGCCCCTTTAATACGACACATTTTATGAACCAAACGATCGATGTCATCAGTGAACACCCCTTCCACTACAAGTGGTTTAACAGAGTCCAATATCTCCCTTGCTATCCTACAAGCCTTACGTATACCCTCGATTTCCATCTCACTTTTGATGGTCCCTCTGGGATCGTCTTGCCTAAAGTGCATCAGCACAAACACATTGATAAAATACCCGCGATAGTCAGTGTCCCTTGGATAGTCTACATAAGTCGGAATGCCGGTCTTATAATACTTAGGCCGTACGATTCCCTTGCCTGGTAAAAGCCGGCCGCTCACAATACCCTTCTTAATTGGACCTGAATAGCATTAAACTGAATAATTTAGCCATCATACCTGTATAGCCAAAAGCATCCCATAACTGTTTGATGGTCGAATTAGGGTACTGTTTCACGAAGTCCTGTTCTATCTCCTTGCCCTTGTTAGATGTCGGCTCTGGCGTCGGAGCCTTTAGGACACCAAACCCCTCCGGCCTTGGCCGTCGTATGTATCTCTCCTTTTCGAGTACATGCTTTTGGCTTGCGATAGAATGGCGCCGTTTGCGCCTGGATTCTGTAGCTAACACATGGCTATGTCTAGAATCAGTCCCATCATCCAAAATACGATTTTCGTAGTAATGATGGGATAAGAAGGCTGCAGGAAGCAGAGCATATACAGTTGCTCTAGCGTTATAGTCACATGGTTGCTGTTGACATGGAGCATTTGCCGCGCCAACTAGATTAGACAGTGCGCCACCTAGGAAGGCATGGCCAATAAATGCAGCAGCAATGCTGACAGGAGAATATACCATGTATTATCTGTTACATTTATATACAATTACTGTTGAATGTGGGTGTCTACGGGGCATGCTATTGTGGATGTCATTATTTAGCTACGTATCTTGAATACATGGATATCGCGTTTCAGACGGCACAAAAAAATTTAGATGGTATAGATATACGTACTATAACAACAGCTATAACATTACACATTTGCCCATTCAGGAATCAAAGGCGATAAAGCGTTACGTCGCGTGGCGGAACCGCGCCACGTGGTCCTTGATTAAAGTTAACATACGGCACGTACGGTATCTTGAGGTGATAAACCTTGACCGTGTGCCGAAGGACGAAATAATAATAGTATATGGCCTATAATAATACGCGTCAAGGAGCAAGCCCACAGGATAGTGGGTAGCTGATTGACGCCAGGTCTAGCTCTAACGTGTTGTCTACCACGTGTTATGTATCAGTTGTTAAGCACACTGCGTACAGCACAAGGTTAGTCATTGACACAAACCAGTACACACGCATTACACGAATAATCGAGGTAGGTCCATGCATTACTCACGTGTGTCGTAGCAGATATATTTTACAAGCATTATAGAGATAGAGATATTACTATAAGTAACGTGGTGTGTATCGCTGACATTTTTTACGTGTTGGACGCTTTTGTGAGATTGTCGGGGCAGCTGCCTGTGCAGGGCGGACCGGTTGTGTTAATTGAGGGGTGTGAACACTCTACAAATACGTGACATGTTGTATTAGCCCTGGGTGTATTAATCTCATAAAGATCAGGGGCGAACGTCCGGCGATTTGAGTGCTATAGATGGAGAGCCACTCGATTCCGCTGGCATCTAAAGAAACTGAACGACTTACTGATACCCCTGTCTCTGAAGCACCGTTGGAGGGTGTTATTGACTCTTTGCCAAATCGTGATTTAAGCGCGGGGTGCGACGGTGTGGCATCTGCCTCCCCGCTGAAGCGGCGCTCTATGAGCGTGGAGATGGAGCTGCAACAGAAGCGACGGGCGACACAAAACTCCGGCGCTACATCGCGCGAGGAGGACCCAACGTCATTAAACGATGTATCACAGGATGGGCAAAATGGAAACTCCTGTACCGATGATATATCAGATGATTTCAGCAATCCACCGCTTCATTTAAGGCAGGGGCTGACACCAGGTATCGTCCTTAATGTCGACGTAGTGGATACACAAATTGTGAATTCCGTTAGTGCACGACCTTTTCATGGAAGTGCACAATCGGTAAATGAACAGCTGGCTCCTGTGGAGCGGCCGACGCTGTGTGTCAATAGGCAACCTAGAAATGATGCAAACACGCCATTCGTAGCAAGAGACACTTCGATGTGCGTAGAACAATCATCAATAGGGACTCACAAGTCGGTTTCCACTACACAAAATACATCGAGGGATCCCAGTGATTGTGATAACCGTCCGTATCTAGGCGGATACACAGTCGGGTTCACCCATATTAGCTCCGACAGTGAAGTGGACATACGTTTAGCGGGATACAGGAACGATGCAGATCGTCAGGAGGCAAATGACCCCAATCTCCACCTCTCAAGAGATGTTGAGAGCGTGGATATGACAGATTCACGTTCCCCGGGTATAGAACTATTGGAGTCATACCCAACCAATGGTGACTATGTCGGTTTGAGCCAGATGGAAAATCCTGTTTGTATGAACCAGGTGGAAAACACAGCCATACTAGACACTATGCTAGGCCCTACACACAGCGCCGAAGAGTCTATGTCTAACGTGCTTAATAGCAGTGTTGAACTGCACGGACAAACCGATGCGGTGGCCAACTTGGATGTTAGGCGACTCAGCAACGGATCGGTTAATCTTGCTAGCGACTGCGGTGACGTACAACGCCAGATTATTGTGGATGAAACATTAACGAATACCATTCTGAAGGATCTCATCTGCTCTATCTGCTTGGAGTATTTCTATTTCCCTGTGACGTTATCTTGTGGTCACACATTCTGCAGATACTGCATAGGACACTTACGTCTAGCAAACAAATACTGCCCATTATGCCGAAAAGAGGTTGGTAGGCCACCTAGCGTAAATTTGATCCTATGGAACCTAGTAAAGGCACTCAAAATAAGGAAACGACCATTCGTGCCTACAGCACCAAGAGATGTTTTCTTAGAGGAAGAAAAACTATGGTGGGAAGAACATTGCCTCAAACCATTTATGAGCTTACCACTATTTCTTCGAATAATGTTCGGGGACATTGTACAGACACCACCTTTCTTCGATGATGTATGTACCTGTGTTGTCGACTACTTCGACCGACATGCCACATGGACTAAGGCCAAGTGGGTCATTACTATCGAGGACGCACATGTTTTACGGCGACTCGTGGGATTTGATAACCATGATGTTGAGGCCACATCACATAGGCTCCACGCATGGGTGGAAAATTACTTGAGTAGCAATAGCCACCTATGTGTAAGCTCGGATGACCCATTCCCCTTGGTATTTAAGGTTTATAGCGATATTAACCACAAGATTGAAGGCATATCGTTCAACGCAATGAACATTCACCACCGTCTGCCGTGGGACGCAGGACGCCATGTCAAAAGCCTCATGCACTTACCACATTCCTCAGTGTCTCTAAGCCATCTGGTATTCGTACCATGTGGCCAAGGAGGAGTTGGTTTGTTAGACTGCGGTTCTACAATAGGTACCATGGTCAAGTTGCAAGGGCAAAGGACCCTGCAAGATGGTGACCGCATTCACGTTGGTGATAAGCACGAGGTAGATGTGGCGTTCACGGCCGAGATACCTGACCCATCTTTTGAGGAGTTCCGTTGGGATCCTGTACGTAAGGAAGTTATAGAAATATCTACTACTGAGCCTCCAAGCTGGGATACCTCATGCTTGGAGCCTATCGAGTGCATGCTAAAGCTTCGTATTTACTCTGATACTCAGGAAGAACGTGAGGTGTGGACTAACCCAAAGGGTGTTATTTTAGGCCGCGGACCGCAGACACAGTCCGCGTTCACGAAGTTGAGCATAACGACACAAAATGGTTACATTTCTCGAGAACACTGCCTGATTTACTACGACGGTAGTCGTGAACCTGGCGAACGTTGGATTTTGCGCGATATGAGCACGCTTGGAACATTTTTGAAGCTGAAACCATTTCAGCCCCCCGTACCCATAGAGGCCGGTTTTATATTTAAAGTTGGCCAATGTAAGGTAGAGGTATGCAACGCGAATGAGGTTGTGAATCGACGAACACCAAACTCGCCAGCAGCGCTGATCCTCTCGCAGCTGATTCACAACCACTTCACGAATGTCGCAGCCGTAATGCCGCCGGAGCACGTTGAAGGCGCAAATGTAGTACAATCTACCAGTTTACAACCGGAGGTGTAATGTTTAGGTTTACAAGTTGGATTGTGTTGCACGTGCTGGTGCCCACAAGGTGCCGTGTTAATGTTGCCTGATGATGTAGTGAAACACTTTTATTTTGTCAAAATGCTTGTTTTTTGTTTTTGAATTAAAAATTTTGTTTTTTTGTATGTTACTAGCCATTTGGTTAGCTTGTCGGTGCTCGTGCCAGGAAACCATGCATCCATGTGCAAAGTACTGGAGAGGCATTATTTCCTGGAGTGCTATTGACTCTATTGTTCTAAATAATAATTTAGGGCAAAATAATTGTAAGCATCTTGGTGCTAACGGAAATTTCCCAAGACAATTCAAAGTCTGTTGTTTGTAAAGTTTTTACATTTTGTTCTATTGTGATGCGATATAATCGCTCACACATCAATTAATGCAGTTTGGGAGCGAGATATCCTTTGGATAAGTCTCGCATATCGTGACATATTTCACGATGAGTAACGTTGTGGGCTGTGATTCTTCATTTCCTAATTCCTCCGACATGCAGATGTCTGGTACTACATTACGCCGCCTAGAAGATGAAATTTCAGGAGAGGAGTCGCTGGCGAAATCCAAGACAGTCGTAAGAGTTCCTGATGCGGTACAACGCTGTGGCACTACCGCATCGGAATGCTCTTCAATATCTGAGTCATCGGAGGCACACCCAGAGCAAGATTTTGGATGTACTGAGTACAGTGAACCCGTGGTTGCAGACCAGGATGATTCTGTCAACGCATTTCAACAAGACACTTCGTCAGACTTAGTCATATTTGATTATGATGACACCATACTACCGACCTATGTCCTTGCATGCTCGCAGAAAAACTCATCAGGGCAACTTCTCGACCCTGAAAAGATATCGGATGGGCTAGAACGTCTGACTGAAGCTGTACTAGCTAATTTGAACAAAGTTATTCGGATGGCTAGACTGGTTGTAGTAACAAATGCTAGTTATGATTGGCTCACGCAAAGCTGTGAACGTTATCTCCCTCGAATCGCGGAGTTTTTTGCAGAGCATAGTATCCGCATCATTTCTGCTAGAGATAGGTTGGAAAACAGCCTTTTAGCGCAGAGGCACTGGAAATACTTCATCTTCATCGATTTGATCGAAGAATATTTCATGGATCAATTAAAAGGTGCCATGCCCTTCACTGTTACATCAATCGGTGATGGCGCCGAGGAACGTGAAGCATGTATGAAATTAGCCGCCATATTCAAGAACCAAAAGTGGGCTTTCAAGAACTTGAAGTTCTTGACACAACCAACCTTGGGATGTCTCGTCCAGCAGCATGTGCTGCTTGCAAAGTCTTTTGACAATTTCTTCAATATGAAGTCATCGGCTGATCTTTGCATTCTATTTGACAAAAATAAGTCCCGAAACGAGGCTTAAAATATTCATAACTACTAATTTAATTGTCACTCTTTTGTTTTGCATGACCAACCTATTCATATAAACTTTAGAATTGTACCTAATTAGCATCGACATAACTTGATTCTTCCGTGTTTCACCAACTGCAGTTGTGTCTATTCGCAATTTGATGTATTGGCCCAATCTGTGCCGTTGACCTAACTGGTGAATCAACTACGTGGCACTTTTTTTACAAATTTTTTCTATAACGAAATTAAAACATGTTATATAAGAAGCTTAGCGCCTTTACAACTTTAGGAGTACGGTAATGTCAGTAAAACATTCACTTTCACGTTCTATAGTGCCTTGATATATACGCTATGTACCACGGGACGTGAGCCGGTGGTGGTGTATGCCAACGAACAATTATGAGGACCGTGAATATAGAACGCATCCGACTGGATTGATTTACTATTAGTGCGGGACGCATTAATACCGATCCATACGATTTTCTTGTTGGTAGCAACACATCTCATGCCAACGTCGAAGATGGGTGTTTCGTTCGCTCGATAAGTCACAGGCAATTTACCAGGGACACCTATTCGCATGGGAAAAGTATCCCTTTTTGTAGCCACCGAATTTGTAAAGGTGGCACCAAACTGTATCCAGCCGCTAAGTCCAATCTCGGCTCCGTTAGCACTATATAATATGTTGGCTAGATATACGAAACTTACCAATATACACTGCTGTATCCTTTAATGTTATCAGGGTCAATCAAGATGCCGTCTTTACCAAGAGGTGCTGCTTCATAATCACCTGGCGGCAAGTATTCCAGCGGTGGTTTCCAGAGCAACCCGTCCTTCGATGTGAACTCTCTCATTAGCAGACGTCTATTACCCTCGATTATATAAGATTCCCACGCTGGAGTTGCTCTAGAAGATTCGAAAATTATCGATTTTTCGAAACTAGGGTTGTACAAGAATCTGACATACGATCAAATAATGCTGGCACCAAAACTTACCTGGCGGAACGTATTTGCCACTGTTGGAGCATATACATAATAGACAGCGTCGATAAGGCAACGTTTAGTGATCCCCACTGCAGAGAGTTAGGTATACAAATTACAGGTAATGGGTACCTTCACAGTGCTTGCCTTGAAGTTACTGGTTGCAAGAAATAGGGCGCTCCCCGCTACCCACATGACCGGAAATTGTAGTACAAATCCAAGTATCACGGTGACTTTGAATATCAGAGAATCATACGTGATGTTAGATGCCCTGTTGTCGGCACCTCCTTCAACATCTCTGGGTCCCGATGAACCCCTGACATCGTTGTTTCTCAACTCATGCCTCATGAATCGCATAACCCTTTCCTTGAATTTGAGGGTCATCTTATCTTTAAAATTGGAATAGGCGTCATATATCTCAGCCACGTGCATCCTGAGGTATCTAGAATTCTCATCAGGAACCTCCGGCACTGCGTCCTCGGTAGCAATGCTTTCACTTCCTACAACCCCCGCTGTAGTAAGGTCGATTTCCTCAGGCTGATCATTTCCTCTACCGAACAGTGACATCAAAGAGGATACCACAGATGACTTCGGTGGTCGATCAGTGCTTTCGCTATGATCCTCCCTCGGCTTCTCCATTGTTGCTCCCTTTAGACTCCTTATTACCCTCGAATGTCGGCGCTAGAGTCTCTGGCCACGGCTCTAGCTTGGCTTTAAATTGCCACTCTGCTACCAGACGTTCACGTTCTGGTTTGCTATATCCTTCGATAATGTACCTAACCTAGCTTGATATGTATACGTTTACGATACTCACCGTCTAGTTTTCCCGTTGAGAAATTCCACGTTCAGCGACGCAGGCGCATCGTAATCCAGAATTTCCCAAGTAACGTATAGCTGCGGAAACTTAAGCTTCAATTTATCACCCGTAGTGTATATTACCAATCTTCTGCGACCAATATTTCGTTGCACATCAGCATCTACCTTGCGATATCAGCGGTATCAAGTCGTTTATTTGAGTAGGATATGTGCAACCGCCGAAGTGCTCCTAATATATGTAGCGGAGGTATGAGGGCGTATCTTTGCATTATACAACTTCAGACAATTTATTTTATAGATATTATCGTTGTTTTACATTAAAAACGCGAAAATGATGGTTCAATTGCCTGTTATTGTGTATGCTATGGACGGATCCTAGTGCGCCTATACGCGCGTTTCGGTGGAAATACGTAACACTTGACACTCTTGAGTGCAGCAATGCCATAGCACACATACAACATGGCTCATGGCTTATGAAAACCTCGCATTGAGTACAAAGATAATCGGGGATTTCAATATCACTCTCAGCTGCGTCAAACTCGCCTTTATCTTCCGAGCTGTACCGTTGTCCCATATATCTTTTCTTTGCATTCGTCATCAACTTTGGATCGGCTTGCTGTGCTTCAGCAACCTTCCTAACAGCAAGTAACGCTGCATGATTGAGTATGTTACTATCGCGGTCGTCAACCGCTTTTGCGATAATGCGATCATTGTATGTGATGATACAGACAGCTTTGCCCTGTCTTTGATGCGATTCTGTAACTTTCAGTTTGGTTAAATGCCCACAAACTACCTGTGACGACCATGTATATCTTGCCTAGCATCTTGTCCTTAAGCTGCTGCCTGAACAATAGATAGGTGAATCATCTTCGTTCACAGATTCAATATATTACGAAACAATACTGACGTATTTATATAGAAACTATTTCACGATACAAACACTTTGACTAACGTGATTCTTACGGGCGTAACTTTCGGTTTCAGATACTTGAGTGGCCAATATTTCGACCATTGATGGTATTGTTCAGTAGTACAAGGTGAATATCTCGGCACCTTAACAGTGTGTACCGCATGTATATGTATGCCTGAGCGTTCAAGGTCACCTTGAAACGGCATGTCATCACATTTCCCGTAAATTAGTAAGAGACGATTTCGATCTATAGCCTTGCACATCCGCAAATATTGCAAATTACCAGGAAGTGTGACCTTCCTGGTAGACTCAGTAAGTTGCAACGCAGATTGGGTATGACATTTGTCTATTTCTATAGCTTTGAGTTCCATGAACTCAATATCGCGGCTATATTCCTCCCCTAATATCTCCTCAACCTCGAGTACTCCATGAAAGTCGCCGTAGACAATACTACCAGCATCTCGGGTAGCCATCATAGGTATATTAAAGATATTAGATGTTATATCATCGTCTGTATTTGACGGCAGCGATGACGGTCAGAAGTGTGTCGGCGACATAGCATCCCCAAGATAGTGTGACGAGTACCTCCACACCCGGTAAAAGTGATGATACTTTTTTCTTTTATGTAGTGTGTACAAGTGTTTAGTAAAATTATTTCACAATGACGGCCCCTTGGAGCCGTCTATCTATTCGAGCTGCAGTGTTGATGACGCTGTGCGCAGTGATGTCGTTATATTATCATCGCATTGAGGGATCGCGAATGAACTATGACATTAATAATGACGCTTTGCAGTCCACTGCTAACACAGAGGCATCTGAAAGTGTAACATATCACCGTCACTGTGGTTCCCATCGTTGTCCGAGGCACAGGCGAACGGACAGTGAAAGCCGCTTTTTGAACTATATCATTGATTCAGGTATGTGTGTATCATATATGTGATCATGCGCTTACAGCTTCATCCCCTTCTGGAGAATTACTTGACGAGATAATCCGCGTCCAACTTGCACAGCCATCCGATAACATTGTTTGGCCAGCATTCGCCAGCGTTCCAAGTATGACGTTTATGTGTGTGTTGTAACATGTGTTCTAGGCAACTCAGGCTTTTTTTCAGAGATCAAGAACCATGTAAGATTAGTGTCATCGTTCCGTCAATATGCGCAGCTATCGAGTTATTCATGGGATGTCATCAACACAATTGTCCTGATAGTCTCCTCCGCATCTTTCCTATATATAGTAGTGACAGGTATGTTGCATAATATATGGCGCTATGGTTCTCAGACCCGTTGTCAAATCTATGCTTCTCTTCAATCAGTGGTTGGTAGCCTGCTTACCGATTACCACAGTTGTGCTCAGCCCATGTGATAGCTTCTTTGTTCCTAGGACTCACGCATGATGTAATGCCATTGTGGCTACTGATGCCTCTGAGCTTCATAAGTGAAGGTACTTCCTACTTCCAACGACATCAGGATAACCCTTTGCGCAGCCGTCTTTTACATACTACTACAGTTCATAGAAAATACTAAGAGACACCACATATGTATCTATTTCATATGTCTGGTAGGCGTTTTTTTTAATCTGTAATCATAGTTTAATGTAGGTCAAGGCAAAGTTGTTCTACGACCTATTCGCAGTGCTCCCTTTCGACGTTGTGAGCCCGTCATACACCGGTTTTGCCGGATTAATCGCAATTCATGGTTAGATTGTACCCTTTACCAGTATATGTTGTATCCAGTATTCGGCACCAGCAACTTCATGGCCGTACGACTAATATACACCCTAGTGTTGTTTTGCTTCGCATCGGCTATATTCCGCCATCTACCTGCATACGTATCCGGCGAGCCAGTAGAACTGGAAGATGTTGAACGTGCGGCGTAAGTTATAGGTTAATGTTGGCTATTGTTATTAGGACCACAAAAAAGAAGATGGTCTGTTTCGTGGCATCATGGCCTCTAGCTGCTCTAATACCACAAATTATATGCGCATGGTGGGCTAAACGTAACCCTATAGGTATGTATTCACCGTTTTTTCCAACACAACGGTTCAGGGCCATACACCTTCTTCTTTACTCCCACACCATTTCGTATGTGGGCAGCAGAGAGTTGGCTTGCAGTTTTGAGTTGGGGCTTAATCGCAGCAGCACTGTTTAAATACTGCAAAGAAGATTGATACTAAAGGCGGTCATCACTTTTTAATGGGTATTGTTAGAGGTCGTCCCCCTCAGGACCTGTGATCACAAGGTATGGTAGGCCCATTTGTGTCAACATGTTGTGTCAGATCAGTATTCATCATCGGGGGTTAAGAACCTTCTTTCGAAGAATCAATTCACAATGGGCAACAGCCTCAATCTTCCCCTAGGATGGTTTACCCCAGAATTATGGCTATTTATTGGACGATAACGACATCAGTATCAGACGCAATGTCTGGCGGTGATAAAGGATAGCATAATTATGCGCGGGATTCCCGCCAATGGCCCGGGGAGTAACCCAGGGGCTCACAATGGTAGCACTGATCCTTCGGAGGCACGCAGCAATGAAGGGTATAATAAGGCTACAACTGCAACTTTCAGAGGTTTGGATGGAAAAAAGATGATTTTTGTGGTCGTCGGTAGCACGGATGATACGTCTTCCAGCGGCTATACGCTACCACGAGAGCAATCTTCGTCGAAAGGGCAGCGTGTTGCGACATCTCCTCTTGAGTCGCCGAGGGAAGTTATATCTAGCGATATTAAGGTGTCAAAGGTGTGTGTATATATATGCTGAATCAACATTTTGCAGTCGATTGATCTAAAGCGACCTTTGGCCGCAGGAGACAGCAACTCTAAGAAAGTTAAAGTGACCGGTTACGACGAACCGAAATCGCATATAACTCACTCAGTCCCTATAGATGCATCATCGAGTGATGATTATATCAAGAAGGAAGATGAGTTTATGTTGAAACAGGAGCTTGAGAAATCTAAGCTTCGTTTAAAAGATGGTCGCGGCAATGAGTTAGACCATTTGCTGGCTTCAGATGCATCCATCGGTTCGTCGACAGATTTGTTTAAAGATGCAGAAGTTGATGTGTTACATCAGTATCTGGAGCATTTGAAAGCTCGATTGCACTTCTGCAAGGACAATGCATTGGCGTCCTTTCTAAGGGCACTGGAAACTATCGTGAAAACACGACTTGCTGGTGACTTTTCAGCCGGTGAAGTAAGCGAAACAGTATCAGCCAAGATCGATTCCATCTTGTCTACAAAGAGCATTAGCGAATTAGAAGGTAAATTATTTTTTTGTGTGTCAATGTACAATCGAGCGTAGGTTACGAAGTCGAGATAGAGAAAAAGCTTAACTCTGATGGTGTAGTAGACACCAGTTTTTGGGAGCTAGCTCTTTCTAGGATTCCATTTTTCAAGGTATGTTTCCGGTTGTTGTCATTTAAGTAAGTCACAGGCTTGCTCTATTGTGCATGACTACAAAAAGGGGTTGACCACCGACGTAAACACATCAAGGTTGGTAATTCATGCTAAATAATATGCATGTGTGTCAACCGCTCGTTTATAGAGTTGGGGATATGGGATCTTTTTTTTGACGCGTTACAGGATTCCACCCGGTTCTGTGTCGTTATTTACAGCAGAATCGGACTAAGAACCTGTGATAGTAACACTCCGACCCCCCGGAACTTTGAATGACCAATGTTCCCCGAAGACGAGTGACATTCCACGGTCTAACTAATTTACGCATCTGATGTTTCACATTTCCCCTATGCGCAATACAATCATATACAGTACACATCTTCAATCAACTACAACTACTGCGACATCATCGCCGAAGACATTGACTGATAAGAAGTATGAGCGTTTTATGCAATCGCTTAAACTAGACAGTGACGAGCATATAGTACGGGAGCACGTGCCGTATGGCTCTTCTACTGGCCCCAAGCCATTCTTCGCTGCGCGAGTCACGCTGTCGTACGATTGGAACACGTACAATTTGATCCACTACGATGTCAATAACCCTCCGCCAAAGAGCGTTCAGGGTTTCAAGTTCAGCATATTTTACAGTGGTTTGGAGGACCCTCGTTCAACTCCACAGTGGAAATTAGTGAAGGACGGTACAAGCAAAGATACGTGCCTGCTAGTTTTCAAGGGTGGCCGTCCGTATGCGCCTATAGCGTTCCGCATACCTTCTAGAGAGTGGGACACCGATCCTTCACGTGGTTTTAAGAATTGCTTCAGTGATGGAGTTCTTCATTTGTATTTTAATTTCCGCAAACTGGTATACCGTCGTTAATGTTTAGATTTTGTGTAGTGTCTAATGGTGCTGTTTGTTGGTGTGTAAGCGCGCGACATCGCGGGGGCCGTCGTGCGTTGTGACGTAAAATGTTATCCTTCAGTAAAAAAAATTCAGCGACGGTAAAAACCATCACAGGTGTATCATTGACTACGTTTTGTGTGTGCGTTGTGTATCCAAATTAACTAGTATCGGAGATAAAGTTTGCTTGTAATATCGGGTATCTTTTTTCGTGACTTCTGTCAAGATTTTTTGCTGATTCTATCAATATGTCGGACACGAAGGATGAACCAATGCCTCAGGCATCTGCCCCAACCACTGATTATACTTCGTTCACCGCGGACCAACTGTTTGACCGTGGCAAATACCATTTCAAGGTTACGCGTGACTATGCGGAGGCAGCAGAGTGTTTTTCACGTTGTTTAGAGAAAAGGTAACGAATATATATCACAGTGTGCATAATGTTCAGATGCGGCTCGAATCCTTTGGATCCATCACTTCGCGAGTGTTACCTGTGGTACGCGGATGCGCTTTTGACAAAGGAGGAGCAAAATCAGTCTATGTTTTCATCCCCCGTTGATGCTGGTTAGTGATAGACATGCCTGTTATATCTTTTATATAGGTTCCGATGGCAGTTTACCTGCAGCGGATATTGTTTTGGATAACGCCGATTCACCGGAATCTTGTGACGAATCGGTAAGTATTAACAATGGGTTATTCATATGGTATTGCAGTTGGCATTTGAGATCTTCCAAATAGCAAGCGATTGTTACGCCAATTTCTTTAGACTTTGCACTCTTAAGGGCGCTGCACTAGAGAAAGAGGTATTGGATGCATCGTACTGCTTTGTTAGGATGGGTGACATGTTCTACGCAAATAACCAGTTTGATGAGGCAGCAAATGAGTATGAACGTGCTATTGAGATGCGTAGGCGGTACACCCTGCCTGAGCGTCACGTGGCATCACTTTATTTGTCATTTGCTCAATGTCAGATGTTTGGTGGACAACTTGGTGCCTCTCTGCGTACGTTCATGGCAGCAAAGGAAATTTTGATGCGTCTGTTGGTTGGCAATCTCTCTGATGCGGAACGTCAACGTATACGAGACACAATTGATGATGTGGAAGCACAGCTGAATGACTTACGCAAGATGATTGCCGCACAATCAGATACAACTGAACAAAAAGGTAGCCAAAGCAATGCCGCTTCCTTAGTTCCTAAAACAACGGTAAGTGTGTCCGTATTGAAATATACATATATTTGACAGGGTACTTTCGATAAAAAGAAACTTGATGCCGACTCAAAATCTGCTGTTATTAACGTTTCGGAAAATGATACTGGTGCCAAACGCCGTATTGACATTTCCAGAATGTACAAGTGATCTCATCATCCAACGAGCAGGTTGCTCGCCTCCCTTTGCCAGTGGCGCCCGAACCCATTGATGCTTCTTGTCGTGGTATTAAGGCGACACATTAGCAAATTTTCCCCCATTTTTTTAACAAAATGTGTTATGAATGATAGTAGTGTAGCGTGTTAATAGATTCCTTGCGTGGACCGCGTGTCTGGCGCTAAGCGCCTACTGGAAATGGATCCGCCTACTAAGAGCGACTTGGCGGTGGCCGCGTCTCTCAAATCAGGTAAATCGAAAGAACCATCTGCACTGGCGATAGCCAGCGAGACTGTATGGGAGCGTGTGCAACGACTTGGACGTAACCAGGAACCATTTGAACGTCCAGCGCCTGTCGAACCTACTCAACCGGCCAATAATGTAGATCTTAGTCTATTCGGTGCTGATGTACAGTGTCTATTGGGAGCGCGTCAACACGTGGCAGATGCAGGTTTCAATAGACGAGTTCAATACGCTAGCGCATATCGCCGAACCAAGACCTTGAAATGGTCGGCAGAGGATACAGCACGTTTTTATGAAGCTGTACGACATTTCGGTTCTGACCTGTTGATGGTAAGGTCTATGCTTCCGGAGTTTACAGATAAACAAATTTATGACAAATTTAAAATGGAAGAAAAACGTAACCCTGATAAACTCAATCGCGCACTCAACTCACGTACTGAAATACCGCTAGAAAAATTTGAAAGACGCTATGGAAAAATCGATCGCAGCCGGCACTATGATCCAAGTAAGGACCCAGTACTACTGCACAGGAAAAACCAAAGGTCTAACCAATTGGCTCTACGCACCCAGGTAGAAAACGAACAGGAATGTGCACCGATGGAACCTCCTGAAGAAATAAATATCGCACAAGATGACCCAGATGATGAACCGGAGGTCCAGGGCTGCAACATTATGCAACTGTTTATGTAGACCGGAACTAAGTCAGACGTGCACTGCTACCTCATTCAAACATACCATTGCCTGTAAATACAGCAATCAAATTAGCAAAGAAAATTGCAAATATGAATTCGATGTGTATTATAATTTTAAAATTATAGAATAGTTAACTGCCAACGATGACAGCAGGTCGGTAATGAAGCCGCTTTTTATACACATGCCTATATGTCACTTAGCTAAATACCAAAGGACCATAGGAACAATCTAAACAAGCTTTTCAAAAGAATAGGTGCGGTGTTCATTGCCATACCCCGAAACTAAACATTTCTGCATCTTTTGCATATTGATTCGGCATTAGCTCCCCCATTCACAAGTCAACATGAACTAGAGTAAGGATGTCCGATATTTTTGACATGTAGTTGTGGTGAGTCTTTATGAAATCTGTGGCGTCGTAGTTTTCGACTTTCTCCGATATGACAGGTCGTAATCCGGCAACCGTAACACCAGGATCGAGATAACGATACAAATACCCCAATAACCAGTCGTGCCGAGAATAAACGTTTATCAGCCTCCCAGCCACGACGCTGCAACATTGCAACCACTCCTTAGATCCTAATGTTGACGGAAGCCCCATGAGAACGACATCCTTCACTATATTCAACTTCTGCTTCTCGTTGAGCTTCAGGAGCGCATAGACGATCACCCTTGCCCCTATACTGTAACCTACAAGCGAGATAGGCCTCTCACCCGCCGCCTGACGATCCATTATAGCCTGTGCCAATGTAACGCCATAGAGCTTTGCCTTTTGTTTAGCTATTGTCCAGGCCATTTCAAGCGGCTGCGCAAAGTGTACCAGGGGCAGTGGCCATTGTATTCCACATGCTAGGTATTCTCCCCGGGTCATTTTTTGCCATAGCAACGCTGCACTTTCCGCGAACTGCTGATTCTCCATAACCTGTGCCATGCTTCCCAACGATCTTAGCAATGGTATTTCCCATTGCATGGAATAGAAGTCACAAAGCGGCGCACGTACAGCTTCTTCCCATAAAGACAAAACGTCTACCTCGGGCACCAACGTACCACATATCCCGATGCAGACAGCAAGTGACCTGCCAGATTGTTCGTTTATATGACAAAATTCAACATCCGTTTTTGAGCTCACTTTCTTGTTCTTCCATCCAACAAGGCCTGTTGATCCTACACCAAACACAGATGCTAAAAGTTCGGCCTCCTCAGTAGTAGCCAATAGTCCTGACATACCTCCACCACCGATACCAAGCACCGCGATACCCGCGGCTACCGCAGGTGAAGCCACACCGGCACTGAGAGCGATTAAAGCACCTCCACCAGCAGCGACGGCGGCTATCTTCAGGTTCCTGGTAACCCTCTTGGTAGTGCCAGAATTAGACGTTGAACGTATGGCGCTCACCAGTTCAGCTGCTATGTAGTTTTCCAACGCTAAAACCGTTTGGGTACTCATTCCTAGTGCAGCTGAAAAATCCTGGAATAGCAATTGTACACGGGAATCGTTGTACCCGCTCATGAGACATCCGGTGACCAGGTTGCGAAGTAACACTGCACAAGCTGGTACAGATTCCAACAGCAACTCGTCGTTCAAGTTGAAATCATATTCCATTTCCACATCCTCTTCAGCAGCATCAACGGGTTCGCCCGCGTCAAGACCATCGTCGATGGTATACTCCTCAGCATCGTGTTCTTCGGCTTCTCTGTGGCTTGCAGACACAGTAGGCTCCATCGCACGGGTAATAACTCGATTGATTTTTTTCGAAATAGTATTCAGGAGTCCTCTATCAGGACGTTGACCGACATTGCCTATCTGTTCTGTATTATTCAGGTAGTTCCTTGCCTCCTCAACGCTCTTTTGGAACTCTTGATCCAACTCCGGTTGCATTTTTTGAAGCTGTTCGTGTACCGCTTGCAAATGAGCATCCTTTCGCACTACACCATCTATATCAACCTTGAGTTCCTTCAGTGTAGCATATTGTGTGACAGGTTTGATGAGTGCATCCAGCATGATGTCGTTGACCCTGTACCGTATGGCGTAAATAGATGTGTGATACTTACTTGAACAGTTTGCCAATACGTTTGAGAACCGATATCCCCCATTTGATGAGATATTCTTGATCCGTATTTCTGCTTTTTGCGATGTAGTCTACCACCAGTGCCACCAGCACTGATATGATTGCGCTCCAGAGCTCCTCTGGCAACTCCTGGAGATAATCAGGCCTAAACCTGATATACTGAACAGAGTTTGCTACAGATATCCCATCAAGACGTTCTTTGTATCGCCTGATTAGTATATTCGGAGAAATATATTGACGTACTGTTCCGAGAGCTGCTGTATAATTTGCTGGGAATATACGATAGTGGTGTTTTGACAGTATTCCACACTAACGTCATTCTCCTGTGCATCCACTTCTGCAGTATCTATAAGCAGCTGCAAAGTCTTCATAAGAGCAAAACATTGCTCAACATCAAGAGGCTGCAGTACAACCTCCCCCTGAACGATTTTGCGTTCCATACTCTTACTTATTAAGCCACAACCATGAGATAAATTATCTCGAATGGTGTTGCCTCTATGTAAACGTGACATTTCGGCGATTTCGAGACATTATCTCTGAGGCTGATACGCGCCTGTTGCGCTGACGCCTTGGTATCTTACACACCAGAGTGAATTAAATTTGATGCCTGATTTTGTAACTGGTGAACGTCGTGCAGGGCTTTTTGGCTTGCGACGACGGTTGGGTTGGTTTACGTGGGTCGAACTCATATGATGCAGAGGAGTCCTGTTCAGCGCGCACTGATTCCGTCTCTAGCACGTCACAACAGGGCTTTAGAAAGTCTCGATCGCTCTTGGATAACAAAGTACACAGACACGATGTGAATCCAGAAGCTGCCATAGTTGGTGATCGCCTTCTTCAAACTGCATCTGAAAGCCGCAACGAACTATTACAATCATTTTACGAGGTTGTGCGCCCAAAGGTACCAGGCATAGATTTCGTTGTATCAGGCACTATACCTGGAGCATATGCTGATCATATATTCGAATGCTGTACGGAGCAACTTATCGCCAGGTTCGGTCCGAACAACGTTATACGTTTCCACGCCCACCAACTGTATTACACACAGTTTGCTCTACTGTTTCGTGGCGAAACTGAAGGGATTGAATATGACGTGCTAGTCAACAGGGTCAAGTAAGTTTAACATGTTGTGTCCCCTGGGTGCCGTGCGCAATACGTAGTCTAACGGCTATATATGCATTGTCTTTTGTACCATTACATTATGTTTACATTTATTATATGAATTTTTTGTGCAAAAGGCAATTTTAGGCTTAAAGCATTGTTAAGATATCTTGAAAAACCCTCGGGCGCCACCGGAGAGGTAAATCAGACTCTTATTCTATTGTGTCCGTGTATCTTTGATCGGCGCCTCATAGTTCCATCGGCCGTGGTGATCGTCCTCTCTTAGGTAGCGTACTTTTGTACCCACTCCCTAACTGTAGATTCATATAGTTTGCGATTTTGCTTGTACAGCTGCGCTATTTCTGGCACCAGAGGGTCGTCTGCAAGAGTATAAATCAGGCTTACCAATAAAACACACACAATGAATTCTAATATTTTAACTGTTTAGTAACGTACCTGGGTTGGGATCTGTGAGCAACGACGATATAGATAAAAGGACCTTTGAAATGGTCAGCGCCGGGCTCCATTGATCTTTCAGAATGTCCAAGCAAATCGCACCATTGTTGTTGATGTTGGGGTGATAAACTTTGGTGGTGAATGCTACCTGCGAACGAATGAGAACATGGTAATCCATGTATAACATCAAAATTTCCCCAACAAGGGGTCAGCCATAGAAATGCGATTCGGAAGCCAATCATCCACGATGCTCAATGCCACAACCACGCTTTCTGCCTAGACAGCATGCTCCTCAGATGATATCCGATCAGCATTATGTGCAAGGAAATTCACCATTTAGCAGGGTGACTTACAGGCAGCGTAGAACCCCCGGCCGCACCTAATATACAAGTACGCCCACAAAGCAGCTTACAAAGTTGCACATAAGCGATAGGGTAGTTACTAGCTTTCTGACGGTTCGTGTGTATAATCCACACCGCCATAGCGTAGACCATAGCACGGTCATGCTGATCGTTCCGGCATCTGTAGGTATAGAATCCGTTTTCCATAGCAAATATGGACATTTTAAGGCTCCTATAGACTTACCTTTGGTGGCTTGAACGGATAATCACTTGGGAAGTGAATGTTGAGAAAGTATACACCATTTTGATATAAACTGCAGAAATATTACAATCATATCCAAGCAACTAATGTACCTGTTATGCGGGCCCATGATAGTGGCCTGCCAGTGGAACATGTCGTCTCCAACAGGTCCCGCGCTGCAGTTGGTAGGTGGGTCCTTGGTGAGATCGGCAAGTTCCTGTGTAAAATGAGGGTCCTGAGTTAATATCATACCTTGTGAATACGTTTCAACGCCATTTTATTTCCAGCGCAAGATTACGTGACCGAGTGCCGTCCCGTTCTTGAATCTATGTAGTGACTAACCGGAGTTATCCCACGCGGGCGCCGTTGGGCGTATTGCCTCAGATGGGCCGGAAACGCGCTGATATGGTCACAAATATTGTAAATATATACTTACCCAACGGTATCTATGTTTTAAATCGTGCAACGATACCAATGGGCGAGGTAGGTGAAGCAAGTAAATCGATAGATAAATATCGACTTTAGATAGCCCAGCTGTCAGATAAATACAACACCTACTCACGCAACTTAATTTTTATAACATAGGATGTGTCAACACGTATGTCTTGTGATTTCAAATGTGTTTTGCCGTTAACGTGCCCGGGTGTGCCACGGCAATGCCCGCTGAGCCAAACGATTTCTCATGCAACGGCAGTAATTTACATGCTCATCAGCCTAAAATTATTTAAACCCTCTAAACTAGTTCCTCGTTGAGTCGTAACCGCTTCGAAATTTTATCTAGCGCAAGAGTGAACTGTATGCCACCTTCTAGTGCGCTAAAACAGGCCCTAGCCTCAAAGTGGTTCTTTTTACATGGAACTATTTGCATTAACGCATCGATCTTGTAACTCTGAGTCACTTAGTGTGTCAATGTTTACGTGTACCGCCCCCCCCACCAGAGGCCCTGTGTCGAGTCACTTTCTATTCGTCTCTCAAAGTTATACCAGCTTTTTACCTACTGAAATAACATCAAGCTCACGATGTCGGACGATTCAATGTTGATCGAGCGCATCAAGAACGTCTCTTTGGGTAGGTGTAAAACAATTTTTGACTAACTGTTCGTAGACGGCCCACTCGGCAAGTTAAACGAATCACAACGTTTAACTGTTGAGAAACTGCAGCGCCTTCAGGTGTGTTGGAACATATATTTCATTAAAAAATTATAGAAATCACGCGATGATCTCGATGTTGCCTACAACAAGGAATTGAATGAATTGCGCGCAAAATACGATAATCTGTTTAAACCCATCTACGATGAAAGAGAAAAGGTACTTACAACACCATCTGGAGATGAAAAGGGAACACCTGCGCTACCCAAGTTCTGGTTAACCGCTATGAAGAACAACAACACACTCCGTTCGATTATCGAGTTTCGCGATGAGCCGGTATTGGCTTACCTCTCTGACGTTAAGGCCGAATTTTTGGAACCCTTGAAACAAGAATCATTCAGAATCATGATGACATTCGACGAAAATCCATACTTCTCAAATAAGGTCTTGACAAAACAGTACACGATGAAGGTAATTGACGGCGAAGTAGAGGCGCTGCTACAAGGAACAGAAGCAACGGAAATCAACTGGTACCCAGACAAGGATGTTACACGCCAGACTGTTACCAAGATTCAACGCCACAAACGTACCAAGGAAACAAGAACAAAAACTGAAATTGAAGACCAGCCCAGCTTCTTCCGTTTCTTTACTACGCAAGAAGTACCTTCAAACGAGGCACTATCCCGTATGACGAAACAGGAGATCGCTGAACTGGAAATGTACGTGGAGGAAGACTACGACATCGGTATCGTGATCAGGGTATGTTTAATTTATAGGGGTGTGTAAAACATTTTCAGGACAAGCTTATTCCAGAGGCCATATACTGGTACCTGGGTGTAGCCGAAGACGAAGATATGGATGAGGATGACGACGAGGAGGATGAGGAAGCCGAGAGTTATGACAACTCAGACTCAAACTTTTCGGAGTCTAATTAAGCATTTTTCTAGCGATCTCAGCGGGTCGCCCCCAGTACACCGCCGGCTCAAAAAAGGTGGCCGGCACACTTAGCAGTTGACCTTCTTATGAACTATTCCGAATAAAAAAAATTTTCATCAATGAGTGGTTACGTAACGGGTGGTGCCGTTGTAGGCATGATATTTGACGGTGGTGTGCTGCTGGCGTCGGATACCAAATGTAAGTTCGATGTTTAGGGGATTTACACGCGTTACAGACAGTTATGGCAGACAAAACCGAACTAGTAGCGTACAACGTATCCAACAGTTATCGGGAGATTCTATTTTCTGTGCCTCTGGCGACGTGGCCGATCAACAGTATCTGACACAGCTGCTACAGGCGACGGTTCGACGTGAAATGCTGGACCATAATAATGATGTGAAAAGATGCCATCTAGGACCGGAATCGCTACACAATTACTTGAGCCGCGTCTTCTATTCAAGGCGCTCTAAGATGAACCCTTTGTGGAACTCCGCCATAGTTGCCGGGTACTCAAAAGGCGTACCTTTTGTTGGTTACTCGGATATGCACGGTACACAGTACAAGGATGACTTCGTCGTAACAGGTATGCATGATGAGTTCACATATACTCCCGTGTTACTTTTGTGAAATGACTAATTATGCATACACATCATTATGTCAACCTGGTGGGATTGCTTCTTGTTAATTGCTTATATTGCCTTCATTACCTCTATAAATCCTCTATTTGGACGTCATTGTATTTCTTATTGCCGCTAGCGTTGGGTCAATGGCACAGTCGACGTCGCAATGTTGTATGGTTATTATTACACCGAACATTTCGATGATTTTTAAAATTTCTGTAGGCATGGGAAAATACTTCGCCATTGGACCTTTGCGTGAAAAACACGATGTCAATATGAGCCGAGAAGAAGCTCGGGAGTTGGCCATCGAGTGCATGAGGCTATTGTTTCTGCGTGATTGCGCTGCAGGCGATCGCGTACAAATCGCATATGTTACGGATAAAGGGGTAGAGTTCGAGGGACCTATGAAGTTAGAAGCGGAATGGTATGTGTTTTACATTGATTATTTCAATGATTTCAGGCGGTACGAGAAGTTCATCTCACCCACATCTCAGAAGGCAATAGCAAGTTGCCAATTTTAAACGATGAAAACAGCAGCCATTAATGGCACCGAATAACACTTGGTTAACAGTGCACACCGTAAAAACATGAGGGTGTGGTATTTAGTTCTCGCAATCGATGTGAAACCACGTGATTAATATTGCCGTGTAATATGAAATTATAGCCAAGTTGGTTGCTGCACATGGCGTTGCTGAACAATCCTTTTCACATGTCGGCATCTACAGTGTCGTCTACTTTAGGTGCCAGGTAGAATTTAAGCTCTCCGAGCACGTGAGCATGTGCTGCGTCAGAATCACTGATACTGTCCCTAACATCATACTTCACTTCTATCGGTCTGTTCTGGCATAGTCCAATCGTCACAACGTCGCTAAGACAGCAACTCTATAGCCAATATAATTACACAGTTTGGGCCAACTAACCTTTGAAAACATTAACAGGTACTTTGTAGCGTAACTCTGCTTAATTGGACGCCTGACCTTCACAGATACTCCACAGTCGCTTTCATTGGTTGGTGGCCTGTTTTTAAGAACAATCTCACCGAAACCTAAGTCACCCTGTGTGGCGAAAGAAACAGCGTTCACTGATACATCGATTTTAATGGTGTCTGAAAACTCGTTCATCTGTTTGCAAATGTTAGCCAATTCTTTGGATCCCAATGTAATCTCAGCATCATAGCCCTCAGTGTTCTCAGGTATGCTCAAAGCATCTTGCTCAATGGACATGAGCTTCAAAGAAAAACTCATGACGCGTTCGTCAACTGCATAGTGTTGATGTGTGTGACAGCGTTACATACCATTGTTTTCGAAGACAAACGATATGTAATCCTTCTCTTCCTCGCTTTGTATGAGCACTGAATCATGGTTACTGCATGATTTGAAGGCCTTTGTCACGGAGTTGAGGTTGATTCCAAGCGCACGTGGTCTGTCACAGCGGTAGAGGCTGAATCCACCTGAGCGAGTAATTAGTCATCACAATCTTTACATGCTGTCTAATGTATCCAAACCAATATATGCTAACGCATTCAACAAAGGCTAGGGTACTTACTCTCGTGGAGCTTAAGGTGTACAAGGGCGACGTGGTTACCGTCTAGCGCCTGAAGGGACATACCCGTGGCATCAAAGTCGATGTTTCCATCGCTAATGATGTCACGCATACAGTCGAAAATTCGACGCAAGACAACCGCGTGGTTTAGCTTCAACTCCAACATCTTTATAGTCAATGAATCTTGTGTGCTAGTCTAACACCCTCCGCCCTTCACACGACACTAGAAGGCAGCTGCCAACACACACCGCTAGACCGAGTTGGTCAATGTGTCATCTATTAATTCCGGTACAATCTAGTAAAAATCTGATCTCAAACGCGTACAATTTAACTTCACAGTAGGCACATGACCATGCAACAGCTGTTAGTCACCGCAACTATCTGACCGTAAAATAGACCACGAACAACACTGTAGCTAGCTTGAATTAATAAATTTGGTATAATTTTCACGTCCAAGCGGCAGTGTGCCCATGTGTAGACATACTTACCGTCGACATCCCATAAGTAGGCCCATGGCCCATTGACATTACATAGCTATTTTTTGGCGGTTTCCGCCGTAAACGCCGATGCGTACCTGCTTATTATTAATTAACGTGTAACCGTTCTATGAAACTTTCGTTCGGAACTTGCGGGGTGAAAAGATGGAGTATAACGATTTGCCTTCTTTTGACAAAAGAGATCTTTTACTGGTCGTATCTTTCGCAATACTATCTGGTGCACTAAAAGAACTGACCTCTTACATATTTATGTACCGAAGGCCTGATTTCCAAGAAAAGTTCAAGGAACTTACAAAGCGTTACGAAGAATACCATCGGACCTTCGTCATATGTTAGTTATCACATTGCTCATTCTGATTATGTGCAGTCGAGCCTCGTACATCGCATCGCAACTGTTTCACCGTTGTCACACAACGACTGCTCGACATCACAAAGTAAGTCGTTCTTACAAATCTATTTCACATCTATATGACGACCATTCTATAGATGGTATAGATATCTATTGCGATAGTGTGCAACGAACGTCGTATATAATGGGTGCTATTTGGACGCTTACAAGTGTTTTGCTCAGTGATGCGGTGCTGACGACTGCATATTTTACTTCCGCATTCATACAATATTCAGGGAGCTGCGTGAGCTACAAACGGTTTATAATTGTGTCAATGGTTTAGCATTCATGCTTCTCATGCTTTTGGTCATGAGCTACTTCGAGGGTTGCGTAGTTGCCAAATTACCCTTCACGCCCATATGGCCCATTAGTATATTCACAAAAGGCGACGCTATTGGTACCGATCTCACCAGCTGCTCGGCGACATGTATATACACTGTGTTGTCTATGTTAGTTAAGGATGCTATACAGGTCTTATTGGGGTGAGTAACAATGCTCCGTGGTCACGTTTCTCAGGTACAACTCTCCAGTGACAACATTAACAGAAATGAGCTTGAAGAGCGGCCTAGAAGAACAATCAAACAAATAATCACTGTTGTAATATATCTAGTAGTGTGTTTAAAATGTTAATAACCATACTTCGAAGTTGTGAGGGGTGTGTCCGCGACATAAAAGGAACGCATCTAGTGCTTCACAAGCTTCACTTCTTTTTATCAGTATATTTGATAAAATGACACATATAATAGAAACATCGGATGTAACGAAGATTGAGCGAGTGGGAATCCACTCGCACATTCGCGGACTAGGCCTGGATGAACATTTGAACGTGAAATACCAGGCCGATGGCCTTGTGGGTCAAGTACAAGCGCGTAGAGCTGCTGGTAAGGAAATATCTATATGATAATGCAACAATTTACAGGATTGGTTGTCAAAATGATGAATAGCGGTGTTATTGGAGGAAGAGGCATTCTGCTCGCTGGGCAACCAGGCAGTGGCAAAACTGCAATAGCAATCGCAATTTCGAAGGCATTAGGTGAAGTAAGTGGTAGTTATACGCTATGCTAATGCAATAATTTGCTCAACGTCTAACTCCCTAGTTTACAATCGGTCCCAGTATGACTGCCTCGTTCATACAAATGTACCTTGTTAGGCACTGCCAAATGTAAAACGAAAATGTTTATTCGTCTGTTTCGCGATTTTATTTGATCATTTTTTATCTGTCGCTCTGTAGCGCCTATTTCACAACCTTTTTTCGCTGCTATTCATATGCATCCCCAAAAACCTTTGCATAACTGAATTCATTACAGGATACGCCATTCACACACCTAAGCGCTTCGGAAGTATACTCCATGGAAATGAGTAAAACTGAGTGTCTGCTTCAGGCGTTCCGACGCTCCGTTGGGGTACGGGTGTCCGAGGAAAGTGAAGTTATAGAAGGTGAAGTTACCGAAATTGAAATAGATCGGTTTACTAACCGTCAAGTAGACCCAACTTCGTTTAGTTCCGCACCCACGACAGTAGGAAAAATGACTATCAAGACTACAGATATGGAGACTCTCTATGACGTTGGACATAAGCTGATAGAAGCTATGCGCCGTGAAAATATCACTGCGGGAGATGTCATTAGGATAGATAAAGCATCAGGTACTGTACGTAAACTCGGACGTACATACGCACGCGCCCGTGATTACGATGCTACGGGACCAAACGTCAAATATGTACCATGCCCTTCGGGAGAACTGCAGAAGCGACAGACAGTCACACACACAGTCACATTGCATGACATTGATGTGATAAACAGTCGCTCGCAAGGGTTCCTCGCTTTGTTTGCAGGTGATACCGGTGAAATCGACAGTCAGATACGCACACAAATCGATGCCAAGATACGAGAATGGCAAGCTGATAATAGGGCAGAAATACTACCGGGAGTACTATTCATCGATGAGGCCCACATGCTAGACATCGAATGCTTCTCATTCCTATGCCGTCATCTCGAAAGTGAAATGTGCCCGTTTCTCATATTGGCAACGAATCGTGGCATTACCAATGTACGTGGAACAAACTACAAGTCGCCTCACGGTATACCACTAGATCTACTTGACAGACTCCTCATCATACCAACATACCCATTCCAGCCAGAAGATACCGAAAAGATCATTCTTGAACGTTGCACAGAAGAAGACGTAGAGCTAGATGATGAATCACTACATTTACTGTGCAAAATTGCATCGGAAACATCCTTGCGATACGCTTTGCAACTCATTAATGCAGGTGACCTTATACGTCGTAGAAGGGGTGGTAAGAGCGTAACATCAGCCGATGTACGTAGAGCTTTCGGATTATTCGTGGACACAAGACGCAGTACCAAGTATCTGGTTGAATTCCAGCATGACTTCATGTTCTCTGAACTTCAAGTTGATGATGACGAGATGCAAGCGGAGCCTGAGGCACCAGCTGAATCTCAAATGAAAGTTGACTCTGAAGCCTAAATCATCTTTGACATCGCAAAAAACTATATGCATCGATCAAGTGTAATAAGTGGAGGCGTACCACAGAAAACACCTTATGCTAACAAAAAAACAGTGTGAAAATCATGCCAATATAGTAAAGATCTGTGAGAGAGTATGTATAATTAATATTGTATTAAAAATATACTGTTTGACAGCGCAAAAGCAGTGCTAATAACCGATAAATATCAGAGTTTGATGCCCTCAAATGATTGGAGGTTCCTGAACTCTGGCGGGATGTAGTCCTCCGGGTTGATATCTGGGTTTCGCCACTTTTTGGTACGGCGGGCCTCGCAATATTGCTGATACGCGTGGTGATCAAGTTGGTGTCCAACCTGATGCCAGACAAGGTGCTTGAAGTACTCGTCTGCAGGGATCGCAGGCTCTATGGGCTCCAGACGATTTCTCCAGATGCCCTCACCCCAAACATATATGAATGGTGCCAAAAAACCGAGGTATAATGTAAGAATACAACTGAGCCTGTACTTCCCCACCTTCCAAATCTCCTTTAATGTGAACCTCTTTGGGTAATCTGCGGCGTCGTAGAACTTTGCCAGCTCGTCCTCAGTGAAGGCGTTCACCTGTGGTAAACGATAACAAAATCGATCGTAGCCTCCATTCATAGGGTAGCGCACTTTGTTAAACGACACCCATTCGTTCTCTACAATCTTGGCGGAATCAAGTCCATTGTACAGCGGCTCGCCCTCAATTTTAGGCAACTCATATCCTACAAGCAGGTATGAACAGGTATTCATATTATGAGTGTGTGATAACAGTCATACAAACGACGTAGTGTTTCACGGGCGCACAGCGATGATTACTGCGTAACATCCAGCAACAAAGTTGTCTCCACGCTCGCAACGCGTTGCCAATGACACCGTTAACATGTAGCAGTCAAAGATGCGGCAAGCATATCCCAAATATACAAATATCAGTTGATCAAGTCACCTACCATGCTGTGCTGCGCGCTTTTGGCGCATACGGTCATTGTGGAAAGCCTCCTCTACGGATGGGTGGTACACAACTCCCGCACCAGGCTTGAAGCCAACAAGTGGGCTGATGCGACAAATGCGCAATGTTCGGGTGATGTTTAAGGCCATATCTTCGTGCCACCGATATATTTTGACATCCAACCATCTGATCCACGCGCGTCACTCCCCATCCCGCACATGATGTGTCAAAACCTGTCCCATAAACAATAATTTAAAGAATCATATGTTGTAGACTTCGAATCCTTTTTCATGGTACGTGAGATCCTATATCTTTTGGAGCCATTTGTGATTATTAGCTTCGAACAAATATATTCTGCAAATTCGTAACGAAAATACGCTTTCTTAATAATAGACGCCCATAACCATGAGTGGTCACTATAACGACGAAGTAGCAACTGTGCTACTAAATATTGAACCAGACCATCCGCCTTGGTCACATTACATAAAAATGCATCTGCAGCACATTAACATGATGCCAATACAAAACCATCATGTTATCTGTCTATGCCATTGCTCCTCATATAGAACCATGTGGCATTAACAGGAACAACCTCAGACCGTTTTATTAATAACAAGCATGCATTGGTTGTCAGGGACACAGTTCACGGATCAGTTTATTACATCACAAAATCTGCAAAGTTTTAATTTAAAATATGGGAATATGCCAATGGAGCCGGCAATTATGTTACATAGGCATAGTTGGTCACTATACTGCTTTTTCTCCATATATCGCTATTGACACACGAAGCAACATCGGTAGCCAGCAGCTTATGGAAGCAGGGAAGTGGACCGAAGCTAATCCGTTTCCGTAAAATATGGTATGTCATGCTTCCTGCAGATGGAAGATTCTAGTTAGTTGATTCGTAGAGTCACCCCTTTTAATGTGCAGCAGGAGTCGGGCTGTCGGAGATGGCGGCAACCAGGAAGGTGGAGGTGAGACTACCCAAAGCACAGAAGACAGAGACGATGATCTTGAACACCGTGGTGGTGGAGACGATAACGTCCTGGTCAAGGTGACGGGGCACCTCTCCCTCAATGCTCTTGTCAGCGTAGGAGTTGCAGTAACCACCAACCATACCAAAGGTAATGATACCAATGGTAACAACAGCAATGTGGTTGATGGATTCCACAGTCTTGTAGATAGTTGCGCAGAAGAGGAATACGGTTGTACCCACGTTGCAAATGGTGAGCGCCAGTACCCTGTTAAGCGTGTTGCAGGGCAACCACCTAGGGTTGACGAAGACGGCAATACCGCGTCCCAAAGTCTCACTGATTTGGAATACACCAATGAGCATGACCTTGCGACCCATATCCATATTCATGGAAACTGGAACGACACCGGGGTAGAAGGTGAGGATGTTGACGTAGCTGATGAATTGGATGAGAACGATCCTCCAGGCGTATTTGAGACCCTTGAAGGCCAACCTGAAGGTGCACTTGATGCTGGTGATACCCTGGTGCTTGATGTCCAAGTAGTGCTTCTTGATGGGATCCCTGGTGAAGAAAATGGCGAGGTTGATGGCACTGACGACTGACATGATGACAACAAAACCAAGGATGCAGTACATAATGCCGCGAGCATTCCCTACCTCTTTACCAGTGAATATGGTGTTTTGAAGGATGGTCGAAAAGCAGAAAGGCACAACACCACCAATGGCGAAACCGAAACTGAAGGGACCGAGCAAGTTCTCTGGGCCGAAAGCCATCAAAGCGAACGAAGTCATACTGTTCAATCCGAAAATAATACCCAAGATGGCAGTTCCAGCAATGTAGAAGTATTTACCCCGCTCACCCTCGGTTGTAGCGACGACAACGATTTGGAATACGTTACCCAAACCTTGAAGTACGCAAACAAGCACGGCCAGCCATGGCTTAAGAGCATTCATCCAGAAGATGAGAGTGTTAACACTGCAGGCACCAGCTTCAAGGGTGAAGGCAACGACACCGGCGAAGTTACCGACATTGAAGACCGTGGGGGCCATACCAGCAAGCATGAAGATTGAGTGAAGGTTAATCATGACACAGAAACCCTGGCAAATAGCAGAGAAGATCATGTATGATCTGTAAGGTCCAACGTCCTGCTTAGCTTCGACATCTTTGGAGGCCAAGGTGTCGTCGCTAGCGGCGAAGTTGACACTCTTTATACTTTGTGACATCTTTGCTTGTCTACCGAAGAGCTATAAAGCAAACACAAGTGGTTATGAGTAAGGTATGTAACAAACAAGGAGTCAACACGCAACACAGATGGTTCGTACTGTTGTTCTTTGATCCCCTTAGGTTGTGATGATGTGATAAGGAATCCCTTGAGTAGATGGATTCAATATCCGCTATACGGCTTGAAAAATCACTTCGATCGCCCTCCCGTAAGGTAGCGATATCCAGTTTACCGTAGAATGCTACTATACGGCACACTGGTAAAATTACGCTGTTGACACACAGGTGGACAAGGTCGAGCCGCGCGACGTGAAATGTACTGAACGCCACCCATGGAAATAACAAGGCTACTCGTTAAGCGAGTCAAGAGGGGACGCCAGCCAGGCCAGTAAACACACGCATGTATGGGGTCGGCTGACGGATTCTTAGACTAATGTCTACATTGCACACACGCAATGAAGGGACTGGAGACGCCCATTTTTGGGGCTGTTCGCAAGTACACGTGGCGGTAATCACGTGGAAGCCAAATGTGTAACAATTATTACAGCGATTGACATTAATATTTTCAACGGTGACGACCAAATGCATACAGAATCTATCTACCGCGACGAGACGCGTGCAGGGGCCGTCGTTGTTTTCCTACTATTTAAAGTAAAGTTTCAGCTGTATGAAACTCCTAAGTACACGTTGGAAGACACGAATGTCACCAACTATCCTCCCCACTACAAATGACGCTTTCCGGAGTATAAACCGGATCGTGAGTCGTCTAGCCCATCCTTCGAGTGGAAATACGGCTTGTTGCTGTCGCAAGTACGCTCGAAAAGCTCCACTTCCTTTATACACTGCGTAATATCATCGCCGTTCTGAATTAAACAGTCTCGCAGCGGCTTCATCTGACAGTAGTCGTCCCTTTTCCTCACCACTTGCTTCTTCGGCATTTTAGATAAGGTTACAAACCGCCTCGTACTCACTCTTATACGCTTCTATGCGCTCTTCTCCCAACTCTGTAGCAAGAGTCTCGCATACGTCGCCGAGCGTCTTCGCGCCTTGGGCGAGCCCAGAGTCCTTGAAACAGAGTACTAGTAGTGACTTCTCACGTTCGTCAAGCTCATGAGACAACGATATCCAATATTCCAAAACAGCTATTTTAAGCCTATTCGAAAATCTTCGAGATCCCAAGAGAGTATACTGAGAACCCAGTGCGGCTGTCCCTATCAGCGTTAACACCACTCGATCCTTGCCTTCCGAAGGTAAAACACACTTACTCGCAACTTCGTCTAACAATGCAGATGATTCGTCTTCTAACTGCGGCCACAACGATTCGGCGTTTAACACTAGATTACCAACGCCGGTAGTGTGCAACCAACGAGACACACTGCCTTCCTCACTGTAGGTACCCAAAATCCCGCCCTCAGAGATGGGTTTATCCAAACTTCGCACCTCTTCTCGAACGCGCATTAAGACTTGAGTCATGCGATCATTCACTTGCGATAATATCACGCAAGCAGCCTGTGAGACAAACTTTTCTAGTTCTTTAATTTGGAATGTACATAGCTCCCGAGCACACATTCGGCGCTCTATAATAGATGCCGCTGCCATTGCAACTACCTGCGCACTCTGAATATATGTCCTCTCAAGATGTTCTAATATCTCGCTGGACGCCTTAACGAGCGCCCTTGGGAATTCTATACCCAGGGCACCGAAGACTTGTGAAAGTAGTGCATTATTTGCCATAGATTTGCGTGACTCGACGACTGTGGCTTTCAACCTAGAGGTGAATTCGATAATGTCGTCCAGTTCGATACGCTCAAAGTTGCGATGCAACAAATCAAATGACTTAGTCCAGTACTTCTGTTCGGAGCAGGTCTCGATTTCTGCAAATGGCGCATCAGAGATATCATCTGGGATATCAACTCCCACTATCCTTTTCAAATTGATCATACTATTCTGGTTCACATTGCGGCAGAACATGCCGTACATAGTCGACGTAAGTAGTTGTAAAAGAATTTCCTCACTGCTGGAAAGGCAACCCACTACTAGTCGACTGTTTTCCGCGTTTGCTGCCTTGACACGTTTAATCCAGAGCCTATTTGCATCCTGGTAATAGTGCTCGTTGCTCATTAGCAAGCAGATTGATGCCTCAACTAGGAGTCCAAGTTTGCTGCTACCAAAAGCTACGTCACAGGTTCGCAATAGTTTAGCGATGTTGTACCTAAGCACTACGGGGAGGTCTTTCATAACTTCCTGAAAATGTTCCGGAGTGATGCTTTCCAGCACATGCTTACTGCCAGATAACACGTCTTGATGATCATTTGTGGTCTCAGAAATCGGTGGACTTGCGTCTACAGCTCTTAGCTTAGCAGGCACTTCGGATCGTTCGATCAGATGCGTTACCAGGGTCATGAGAGCAGGTGACCTTATTTTAAGCAACTGGTATGACTTGAGTAGCTTGCCCCCTTTTAGCAGTCTAAAGTTCTCCATAGACACTCTTTGTAGTATATCCACGCTTTTAAGAAGAACAGTGACATAATCGCTTCTTTCCTTGCCTTGGCACAACGAACTAACAGAAGTATCATTATAATGCAGCAACGAATATCGGTCCACGACCTCCTTTATCTCAGTATCGTTACTCACATCAGGGTCACTTTCATATTCTTCTGCCTTTGCGATCTCAAAGTTACGACAATGTCTAGCTAGCTCGTTTAGTCCCGTCTGAGTCTCCCTCACGAGGTTGCACATTCCTAACATTGTACCAGAATAAAGAGTTATTGGCTCAATCCCATTGGTCATAATGCCTTTTATTTCATCTTCAAGTTTATAATTGGCCAAGTGCATATTTTGCAACGTTTTCAAGACAGTAATCTCATCAGTATCGACGAACAGACGCTCGATATCCAGGTTGTGAAAAGACAGCTCCTGGGAAACAACCGTGCCATTATTTGGCTCAGCAGATGCCTCGAGTCTTTCCATCCTTAGGGGCTCCCGGTAACGGGATGATGGCGACTGGTTTGTCTACACCTACGATGCCAACATTGTGACGCGGCTGCCCACCACCAACATACACTCTAATTAACATTCCTAATTGGACAATGTTATTACGTCATATCTATAGCTGTTGTACTATTTCATCGAAAATTTACCTTCTTTATTACGCACTTGACGCGACGTAACACTTACACATATTTCAACAGTATACGAATTAGGAAAGGCGATTTGTTCACTTTAGCTGTTGAAGGGCCCTTCGATCTAGCTATTAGTTAACCTATATCTGTTACTGTTGTTAGATAATGCGGATTGCCTATATGCAGAGCACTAGACATCGCATGCTCACCTCAACTACAGCACTTCAGTGTTATGTGACTACAATCATGCATAAGATGTTACTAATGTACTAGATCTAATGATCAGGTGTTGTTCCCATAGATATGAGAGATTTCGCCTAAAGTCTCGCCTGTAGACGACCGGTATAACCGATACGTGCTCTAGAATACATGGGTTGAGACGGTGCGTCGAACGCGAACTAACAGAAGTATATACCACCGGAAAACTACTATACTTTGAATCCATCAAAAGGATATTTGCGCCATGAAAATACTATATGCGCGCCAGTTGGAATAATATACATTTCCAGGGTATCTCGCCGTATTACTACGAACATAACAATTTGCCTTCAACGCAGCACGTGGTTAATAACAATGATGCGTGAAGAAGTAACACGCCCTCATGCGTCTAACGTGCTCGATTCCTAGCAGATCCACGAACAGCACGCTTAGAATGACGGTGCACATTTAACGACTCACGGAGGTCACGTAAATACTTGAGCGAATCAAGCGTTACACGCTTATTACGAAGCTGCATCTCGTGAATCCATCGATAGGAGTAGCCGCGACGCTTACATGTTTTTAGACAATTGTAAGCGGCAACATCCCATAAACCAAGAACGTAAGCCGCCTTATACAGCTCAACGATAGTCATGTCACCAAATGTGCTCTTGGTAGCAATTTTCATACCATTAACTGCAAGCACAGGGTCACACAAATCCGAATTCTTCATACGGTCCATATGTAACACCTTCCGTAAATTAGTACGGCCACTAGTACCTATGGGAATATTGAAACCTGGATACCAACGGATGAGAGAACCTGGCCTTATTTGAGTCTCAGGAGACATCGCAAAACGAGCAGCTTCCTCATACGCCGCAGACTTGCCGTATCCAGTGTCAGCAAAAGCGCGGGTCTTCTTGTTCCTTAAACCTTTATCATCACTGGCCCACCAAGTAACGATGTGGGCCTGTTGAGCCTCATCCCATGTAATAGTTGGCTGGTAGCTCGAAGGTTCACTGTTACAGGTGATCAATAACTCGTTCAACTCGCTGCTAGTAGCAATGGACGCCGCAACAACCTTTTGCTTTTGCAATCCTACACTGCCGAATTCGCCAATGGCATTCGTACGTAGGTATACAAAAGCTTCTTCGGCAGGAGCTTCGTTGCGTGTAAGGTCATACTGACTTCCCAAGTCCTCGATGTATCGGTTACCCTCAAACGACTGACGCAAGGTAGCAGGATCCACATATGTCATAGAATTCTCCTCATCTCTGAATGTGTCCATTACACCTTTGAAGTTATATAGACCATCAACAGCACCGTGACGGTATTCCTCTGGAGCCACATTGGCAGTGCTACCGCTTTGATAGGCAGGCATTGGTTTCTCGACAAACGAATTAGAATACTCATCACCATGGGTTTCAACTGGAGATGGATCAGGAGCAACATGGCTTTCCCCTCCTTCTACATGCGAAGTGTTACCGGGTGGCATAACTGGCATATCTACGGAAGGATCCAAGATACCCTGCTGATAACAAGCCATCATGCTAGAGTCGAACGGCGGCCTTCGGGGCATTTCTGTCATGGGAGGAGCATTGTAGACAATGCTGGAGTCCATAGAACCTGGCTTCAACGTTTCCATATTCTCACCGTGGTAGGGGTCACTCTGGTACGTAGTCATCTCAGCACCCATATCACCCATGCTATGGGCACCTCTGGCCATCTGTAGCGCTCGTGTAGTCGGTGTACTTGTTGCATTATCGTGACCGTTAACATAACCAGGATCACACACATAACCCTGGTTGCACTTGCCGTGGCCGCAAACCTGAGGGGGGCCATTGACCTTCCCTCCAGACTCATACAAACATCTCTTAGGGCTAGATGTGCCGCCTATTGCACTAGAATCCTCTCCGGTCTTCATCATGGGACCGTGCGAGCATTGTCTAGCAGCCACATACGCAGCTTTCTCCATTCGGTGGTAGGAACCTACCCTGCGTTTTATGGGTTTACATAGGTCCTCAAAATGGCTTGTGAACGTAGCCAGCTCATCAGTGCTCACTTTTCCAATATTATGCGAGACGTCCATCTGAGATGGTCCCAGGTACTGTTGCGTTAGCATGGACATATATTCAGATTTCGGTGGATGCATCGTTTCCTTTCGCGCAAGACATGCGTTCATCTGCATCATGTAATGTCGTTTACCTGAGCCGGTGCTTGGCATATCCGGCATAGGTGCATCTGTGGCCGAGCAATGCATAGACGGCATGTCGTAGCTACCACATACGGTATTCGCGCCTGAACCGAAACCATGAATACGATCCATTGTATCGAAACTACTTGACATCGAATGAGCGTAGGTGTCCAAGCTGTTCACATCTTTCACCATGGGATTGTACGAGTTCATGTGGTAGGTGCTGTTGTCGAAACCATTGTTAACCTCGCAATAAGGAGACGGCATACTCGGTCCTGCGCAATGATCGTGATGAGCATAGATACCTTGGTGCTTATATTTGTCCGGGGTTGCGTAAGGGTGCTCCGAAGGATAAGTATCATGCGGATTATAATGTACGTGCCGTGGGTAATTTGCATAGTTCCCTGGCGCCTCCGAGTTGCTGACTGACGTTGAACAATACGACTCCTGAGAAGGCATAGGAGTTGAAGGTTCCCGCCATTTGCTCCCTTTCCAATCGGCAAGGTAACTAGGCTCCATCCCGACGATCTCTTGTTTGTATGCGTCAAGGTTCATGGTACGGTAGGTGTGCGTAGATCCCATGGTAGCAACTGACTCTCCCAAAACAAGTGGTTCCATTGGGTAGGCATCACCAATCACGTCCTTATTAGCATCATCATGCTGGGTGGGTTTGTAATCCGGGAATGGGTCAGTCTCTTTTTTATGTTGAGAAGGCAACATTGCAATGATTACGTCTTTGTAAGGGCTCGTGTCCTGGGATTTAATGTATTCTTGGATGATTACACTTGTAAGAAATTGTTACTATAATACACTTATATCGCATAATCACGATATTTGACGTTGAGTACCAACAAGCAGCGATGTTTTATCACTGCTTATGGTACATATAACCAGTACTCAGGAAAAACAGAGCTATATTGGGGCTATGAGCTCTGCTGATCCCAGCTGTAAAACTGGCAATCGTGATTTTTACAATTTGGAAAAAGAAAAAATGTCAGGAAATGAAATAATATTTGTGTATGTGTCGAATCTGTAGGCGTCATGAAGGCTGTACAACGCGAAGGACTGATTTTTACAGCATAATTCGCCCTAAGACCTGGTGCAAACCAAAGCGCAAGAGACGTGCTCCAGATCACCGCAGGGAGCATTCCCTATTGGCGAATGCCAACGGCAAAAAACGACCTCCAATTGTTAGTGCTCTCAATGTGAATAGTTATTCTCAATATGCTTGTTGGACCAACCACGGTCTAATCTGTCTCTGGGTGTCCTCTCCCAGGCGCTCCATCGTTAAAGTTTCAAAATATGTCCAACTTCGTAATCTATATCCTCTTATGAAATTCAGGTTCTCAGTTCTGTAATCAACAACATCTGGACCATATGATATACCAACTCTACGGCACAAAAATGGTTGTATTACGCTGTAGACAGCCACGTATAAACACCAGATGGTGTATACCCTTCCTTCTGTATGTATACGTGACTTATGGTGTCATCCGTAACACTCAACTGGCGATGCAAGGCCTTCTTATTCTCCTCTAGGATGGATCAGGATTATATCTCTTATATAGAAACTTCTATCCTTTAGGACCCAAAATATCGCATAAAGGTCCTTTTCTTGACTAATAGTTGACAGATAGCTCGGCCTAGGGGTGCTTGAAGGTCCTTTTCTTCCGCCTTTTTGTCACAAACTAGGAAGGCCGACTAGACCCTTAAGGGATCAAATGGTCACTGCAACACCGAGTTATCAGCAAAGGCCCCAAATATCGCTTCCTCGGGTCGTCTATTTCCTATCACTTGCCCAGATCCGTTGCTTTTCTCACCTTCCGCGTCTCATGCAGTGCAGTAGCCCGACGAGGCTCGCGTGTGAAAGATGGTGGCCGGCCATGCAATCGCGCCGATCTAAAGGAGGGTTCTCTTACAAGGTCAGTCAGATAGATTGTTCTAAATCTATTCACCCAAAATTTTACCCTAGAATCACCGTTAGATCCCTGAAAACTGCTCCGTCAGCACCCTCCTTCCATCGGAACTTTGAGTCTCCTACACTTGCATTCTCAAGCGAACGTTTTTAGATATGTTTGCTACGAGGTATACCCTTTATTTTAGACTATAATAGGTCCCGGATCGTCTAGTTCACGGCCAGATTTTGACGATCTCTGCTGCGATATATTCCCGAAACTAGACACAGGCTACGGAAACATATCCGGTGCTACAACCTGTGTATCCGGTAATATTATAATAAAAACAGTGTCCCTTAAGGTATTATTCCTCCGTTATGGCAGACGCTGCGCCGGTATCGACTGTTGCCGTGTGCTATCGTGAGATTTCCCCAAAGGAACATGTGAGTAGCGATGATCTACGTTAACAGCATAACCATTACTTTATTTTAATTCCATTTCTGACGTGTATTTCTAATGAGTACTCTGGAATGCGCTAATGAAACCACCAATAACTGGCCATGCGGCGCTGCAGTACTCGTAAGCCGACTGATACCTTCGAAGTGTACCTAATGTGGTTAGGAAATCGTTGATAATGTGCGTCGTATTAAAAATACGTCAATTCATGTGTGTAGACACGTCGGCAACGCTTAGTACGAGCCATTTTACATATTTGGGAGCGAAACATTGTTTGACGGTTGTTACAATTATATCAACACCTTACCCTGCTGTGTATCTTATTGATATACTCAGAATAAACAAAATGTACTGGAATGCGCAGCCATGTTTTCCTAGAGAGGGGCTGCGACACCACGTCATTAAGCACCGTCGTTCTGCGCAACGCGGGGTACATGAATCATAGCTATTTTGTTTCTGTGCTATATCCAAATGGGTAATGCCCACCCCTATATTTCAAGAGTGTAAACCACTTAATAACCCTTACACACCGCTAGTTACAACCGAGCACAGCAGGATGAACGTGGTCGTTGCTTTGATAATATCGCATATCACCCTAATATCTGCGGAAACTAGTTCGAGAAAACATCGCAAGTTTCTATCGCAAGATAAAAGCAGATTCTCACAAGTTGCACTCAAGGTAGGAAACAGTCGATGTCGTTGTTGGAGATGCGTGTGCGTACCGTAATAAATGGTTCATTCCTGTTTTATAACCTATCTATGTACTCTTTCGACAAAACACTCAGGGAGACAATGACAACGAAGAGGGGTTGATGTCACTGCTTTTCCACGGACCAGTGGCACCTAGGCACATTAACTTCGGTCTGGAGGATTCCAACAAGGTATGTTTCTAACAGCATAAGGCAGTGTGATTCGGAGCTTGGGGGCCAGCGGTCTCCCGGTTCCGTGCCCACTAGGGGTCGCACATATCAATGGCTGTAAAATCTTATCCATGTACAGGGGGTCATCGGCGAGATACAGCTAGGGGAGGGTAAGTCCATCTCAGGGAAGTCCTAAAGTGTATTAGATGAATCTTACCTGGAAAATACGCTCAACAGGCTGCAAGAAAGCGAACAGAATCAGCTGGACGCTGTACAAGAATCACTGTTCCTACAAAACGAACAGCTTGACCAAATTAATAGCTTCATCACAACGTAATTACGATGATAAAACAACACTATAAATTAGTAGTTTCTATATACACTCGAGAATCCCTAGAGACGGGGCTAAAGAGGGGGTTATGACCTGGGTGTAATCCACTACGGGGAAACTGTGTTGTAGTGATACTGATCGCCAAACTGACTTGAGGTAAGTTAACTCCACAATATTTATAATAGATTTTTTAAAGAACCATTCGTGCCGAAATAACGACTTATATAGCCTCCCGGGGGGATATTATATACGCTCGTGACCCGAACACTTGGTCTTCACGGCCAACATGGGCCAAGGAGCTGTTGCTGTGAGCAATAGCTCCCACGTACTCAAGGAGTTACGTAAACGCAACGAAGGAGCAGCGAGGAACTATTTAAAGAAACTCGTAAGTGAATTATATCAGTGTTGACCAATACCCTGCAGAAAAAGAAGAAACGCTCGGCACATGGCCAAGCTACAGGTGATCAGACACATGGAACACTTTTGAAAGAACGTTTACGTGAACATTTTAGCGAATTCGAGGAAAGGCAAGAAGATGCCGTCGGTGTTGATGTGGAATATGTGCCGCCAGCACATGTGGGTTCAGAATTCAAAGAGGTATTCGATCGCTTTGCTGAGCTGGAGCGTATATCTTTGGATCTCGAACCTACACCAGAAGAAAATGTGGAAGATGTTGATGGATTCGATTCATCGGATGAAGAAGAAGATGCATCACGTCGTACCATGAGTAATAAAAAAAGGTTGAAGCTCATGAATAGACCAACACTTGCGCAACTGAAACAAGTAGCAGATAAACCAGAGGTGGTAGAGTTTTGGGACACAACTGCAGCTAATCCGAAGTTCCTAGTATGGCTTAAGGCACAACGCAACTCGGTTGCCGTACCATCGCACTGGAGTGAGAAGCTCAGGTACATGCAAACACGACGGAGCTACGATAAACCTGTTTATAAGTTGCCATCGTACATTGAAGACACCAAAATCGCCGAAATTAGATCAGCATTAATTCAAAAGGAAGCTAATAAAACACTGCGGCAGAAGCAGAGAGAAAAAGTTAGACCGAAGTCGCATAGGATGGATATCAACTACCAGGTACGTACAAAATATATTATTTTCAAATCTCATCGTAGATCCTTCACGATGCTTTCTTCAAATACGCCACTAAACCGCCGATGACCAAATACGGCGATGTTTACTATGAGGGGAAGGAGATGGAACTACGGATGCGTCATTACAAACCTGGGCATATGAGCGAACGACTAAAAAAGGCTTTAGGTGTTGGAGAAAATGCGCCGCCACCATGGTTAATCAATATGCAGCGATTCGGACCGCCGCCAAGTTACCCCAATTTAAAAATACCTGGAGTAAACGCGCCGCTGCCACAAGGAGCCTCTTTTGGTTTTCATGCTGGTGGATGGGGACAACTGCCAACTGATGATTCTGGTAACCCTATCTTTGGTTACATAGATTCGAACTATTACGAGGATGGTCATATCAACAAGGAACTTTGGGGTGAACTTCCCAAAGAATGTGAAGAAGAAGAAGAAGAAAGCGAAGAGCCTGACTCATCTGAGGATATGCCAGAAGAGGGAACTGATGTCGTGGCCCCTGTGGCAGAAGTACCCATACCTGTAGTCAGCGGCGGTGTAGACACGCCGCTGGACGTACGTGTGGGCGCGGAACCCGCACGTACTGCACCTCGCAAGGCTTACACTGTTCTCGAACCGAAGGCAACAACGAACACTGCAAGCTCACTATTTGGATCGCAAGTTACTTATTCCATGCCACCTGTTGCTACGCCGATCGTAAGTTGCACGAATTGATGATTGACGCGCTTGTAGACACCAATCACCAGTAAGCCTGGTGTAGCAACACCTTTGGGTGGAATTGTGACGCCATCGTTACATATAGACACTTCAATTACTGCACAAGGAGTTATGCAGCAACTCAAATTCCACGAGACAAAGGCCAAACTAGTGCAAGAGGCAGCTGGGCAAGTCGTTCCAGATGCTTCAGATGCTAAACGTGTGAAGAAAAAGAAGGAATTTAAGTTCTGATGCCCCCATAAGAATTTTCTCACCTATCTAAGAACTCGATGCGTGATTAATTTCTTTAGTCATTAGATCTTCTGTCTATACCTTGCACATTCGTATTTAACATGTCGACTTCTTCATCGTTGCTCTCAGACCCAAAGGTGGCGGAATTCTACAACTATATCTCACGCACCGGGGAGTTGTACTGTAAACGCGATCTCGAAGAAATCATGAAACGCTTCGCAATCAAAACCACCTGGCAACGCAGTAAGCTACATCAAACGATCTAATGGTATTCGATGCAGAACTAATTGTTCAACTAATAGATCAAGGGTTTCTCTCAACTGAACGATTCAAAAACGTTACCGTGTTGTGGTATGTATAATTCAGTCTCGTATTTTGTTCACAATGTACCAGGGTACCGATAAAAGACTCAAATATGGAGCCTCATGAGGTGGCCTCGCCACTTGAGTGAGTGACTTTAAAATAAACATTGACTGATGTCATCAGAACTGAATTAGAAGAGTTACTTGCTAAGGAAAGTGAACTGCAACAAGATATTGTAGAACTTGGTGCTACATTAGGCAACACTAATGTAAGCTTTTTACTTGTGGCCCACCCTGCCTCAAGGGTTATACTTGCCATGTTCACTTTCCCGTAGTGCCTCCAGGAGAAATGCGATGCCATACGTCATGAAATCGATGTATTGCAAACCCAAAGCGCGAAGAAACGTGGCGATGTCATGCTGATGCTAGAGACAACGCGTGACGAGATAGAGGATGCCCTGGCGCGGTGAGTAATTATCCTTCTGGCATATTCTGTTATGAATTCTTTCGCAGGTGGAAATACAGTATCGCTATGTTGAATCAGCATATATACGATACCTTTTTAGCGTCTGAATCCGAATTTCCTCAGACTGTTGTTACGGTATAAGTCGTAGAGCCCTGATGTTGCAGCAACTGGCGAAATTTTGCTAGAATTTTTATATTGAATGTTATTACGATAAAAAATGTGTTGTTTTAAGTTAGTAGAAGAACTAGGCTGCAATCAGACAAACAGCGTCGTTATAGCCAGTTATAATAGACCTATCAGTTCTGGAATTGGATGTTGTATGATCCTGTAGCAGCGTCCTTGTTGACCTTGAAGTTATCGAGAGATAGACCGACCTTTCCCAGAAGCGTGTTACCAAGGTCTTTTAGCTTGCCTAGCATCTGGTCTTTCTCGGCGGCGAATTCCTTTTCAGCTGCAGGAACGTGACGAACATAAGGCGCATATCATGACTCTCACATGAACAGGAGATCGAAAAAAAATCACAGTGATCAAACTATTGGATGAAACACTCACCTAAAAGCCTGAGTTTGACGATTTTTTCGCGGTATTGAGGCTCGAGTGAACCGTCGATTTTCACAGCCTTTTCAAGGTCGGCAAGAGCCTTCTGCTGCATACCTTTTTTCTCGTACGCCAGGCTCCGCCTCAAATAGGCCTATTGCAAAATTTTAAATGTATGCGGCGTAATAAAATAGAGACTGTCTATATGTGAAAGTGCGTGCTAAACAATGTTTATCTCCACAGTACGAATTCACCAAATTCGTTAAACACAAAAGTACACTAGAATTATATACACCTGGGATATATGAGTGTAATTCACAAAATTTTGTAATAAGAGTGTGCACTGACAAAAGTAATATAAGCTTACCTTTACATACGATCCATCGAGCATAATGGCATCCGTTGTATCTTCTACAGCTGCATCATAATGGTTAAGTGTTAGATGGCACGCCGCTCGATTGGCATATAGTTGCGCTCTGAGGTCGTCATTATGGCTATATTCGAGTCTCATGATAGCGTCAGTATATAGGTCACGGGCTTCGAGAATATTCCCGTTCTTATATGCCAAGTTCCCTTGCTCTTTCAAAAAGGAAGGGGAATGAGGACCAAATAGATTCTCATGGTTGCCAGTTATCATAGGGACTTCGTCCCTGCTTTCCGATAGAGCAGGGTTTTCTGGTTCAACGTTTTGGGCACCATCTGGTGTGTGAACGGCGTCCACAACGTCGAATGGATGGTTATCTGTGATTAACCGGTCGTCCGATGCGTCCATCGTGACGACTAGCCACTGTGGTGTCTGCGTACCGAGAGGACGCGACCGAAAGGCAATCAGAATAGGGGTCACGGTCGGGCAGGATCAGAAAATATAGCCCACACATCAGCTCCCTTTTAAACATGGTAAAAGGTGTGTATTAATTACTTAAATATGGTAGAAGCCGCGGAGAAGCCGCGAGATGCCAGCGACGGAACGGATGGGTCCGATGGCGATAACGACTCCATTGTCAAATTCGGAAAACGCAATTTGCACCCAACGCTACTAGAATCGTTGGCTCACAAATATACAACATTCACTGATATTCAAAAAAAAACCATTCCAATCATACTAGCAGGAAAGGATGTACTAATCAAAGCACAAACAGGATCTGGCAAGACATTGGCGGCGCTTATACCAGTGGTTAACTATCTGTACGAGTCTATAAGCTCCATTTCGGAATCTCAGGTTGTAGTTCTGGTGGTGGTACCTACCACGGAACTCGTCACTCAGACTATACAAGTTCTCACTAGCCTTCTAAAGAATCGCATAGCTGTAAAAGCCGCCGTGGACTCAGAGAGGATTATCGCAAATGTTATCGTTTCCAAGCCCCAAAACGCATTGTATCATGCCAGGGAACACCAATCTACGTTAAAGAAGGTGGTTCTTGACGAGGCAGACCTATTGTTTGAATTTGGGTTTAAAAATGAAACCCTTCAGCTGGCGGAAGTACTACGCCATTTTGGTAGACTCAAGCATTTCCAAACAATACTTCTTTCCGCAACATTAGACCAAGATGTACAAGGCCTGGCAAACCTCATTTTATATAAACCGGTTTATGTTGAAGCTGAGTTCAAGCCTACCATGGGGTCCATTAAGGAGTTCTACGTGGAGGTAGAGGAAGACGACAAGAGTTTGTACACATATGCCTTACTCAAGATGGAGGCATTGCCCCATCCTACGCTTATATTCACAAATTCAGACGAAAGGGCATATATGATCAAGACGCTGCTGGCGAAGCTGTCCATAGATGCACGAACACTCAGCAGACTCCTTTCTCCTCGTATGCGTCAAGCGTTGCTTACTAGCTTTAACCAAGGGTCAATAAACGTTCTTATAGTGGCTGATGATGAACGAGGTGACAAGCTCTGTGCAACTCGCGGTGTGGACTTCAAATCCGTACAGTGTGTCCTGAACTTTGATGCCCCGGCCGACGTCACGGTGTACACTCACAGGATTGGTAGAACGGGTCGTATGGGTAATGTGGGTAGCAGTATCACATTCATATGTCCCGGTGATACAACACTTTTGGAAGAACTGCAGGCAGATAAGGCACGAAATGTGCAGCAGCTGCAGGTGGCCAAGGGGGTGTTCGAATCGATGAGATATCGAGTCGACGATGTGGCAAAGGGGGTAACCAAGAGATTGGTGACTACGAGTCAGATGCAAGCTTTGAGGCAAAGTGCCTTGCTAGAGGATGCATTCGTCACCACTCTCAGCAAACGCGACGAAGTACTACTGAAGGCGGTTGTAAAGAACGACGATAAAAAACTCACCGTCGAAAAACGCCACTTGGCACATATACCAAACTACCTAGTGAACGACCCGCTAAAAGCCACTGTGGTCGACCTGCAACAAAAGGTTAATGTCAACGTGCGGCCGCCTGTGAAAACACAAACGGTACAACGTGAGCCTTCGCAGAAACAACGCGCAAAGGGAAGCAAGAAGACATTCACCAGAAAAAAGTTGCCAACGTTCAAGAGGCGGAAGAAGTGATTGCACTGTTATATGAAACATGCTAAAATAAAATAAGTATGCTTAAGAAGCAACTTGTGTTGTTTATATGGCGATAGTGATGCGTGGTGTTTCCACGCAATAACCTAGCTCTTGCGCATAACTAGGGATACCTTGCATAGTGTAGCGAGCAGCTTGCTGCGGAACCACTGTTTTGTGATGACCACTCCACTTACTCTAACTGAAGCTGGCTACACAGTCCACCCACCATGGTCATGTGTGCTAGCGCTACCGTCTTCATGAACTCCAACAGTACGTGTTCGGGTGCTTTGAACGCCTTGAGTACGCTGCGAATGGTAACTGAACAAATATAAGCTGGCGATGTGCGAGTGCACCGACCTATGATATCCAGAGGAGAGTGCCCCAAAGCAAGTAGCTCCTCCGCTTTCTCATGGGCCTGTATATAATGCAATATAACAACCAAATGAGTATACCTCGCGCCACTGGCCATCAAGGCAGTTCTGTAACATCTTCCTAATGAGCTCTGGTGACGGCACATCGCAGACCTGTTTAAAGCAGTGTAGATGCACGTAAACATACTACCCACCTTATATACATTGTCACTAGTTACCAAATTGTAGCCTGACGAAACATTTTGCAAATTGTTTAGTGCGCGTCGCATGTCGCCATCGGCAGTGAATAGCAGTGCCTCCATCCCATCTTGGGTAAACTGTACGTTTTCCATTTTGCAAATATCCACAAGACGCTTCAAAATCTAAATATGCCATATATCAGTTATCGAGTCGTCTACCATCTCGTCTTGAAGGCGCCCATAACGGATTACAGCACAGCGACTCTGGATGGGTTCGATGATTTTTGTAGACTGGTTGCACGCCAGCGCGAACCGCGTCGTCTTAGAGTAAACCTCCATAATTCTTCTCAGAGCCTGTGCGACGATGAAGCAAAAAAATAAAAAGAAGTTCTATACCGCAGTGATAGCATTACGGTAGTAACATGAATGATGAACAAGATTAAATTTAGAGAATATATGGACCATAATTGCTTAGTATACGTCATAAGTATAATAAAGATATAGAACTAACCTGCTGCGCAGCTTCTGTCATGGAATCGACTTCATCCAAGATAATGATTTTATGTTTATTAGCTGGGAGCACTACTGACTTCTTCGCGAAGTTCTTAATTGTCCCACGTACAACATCAACACCCCTAAAACTCATTACACGCAAGATATGGCACCCACCTGTCGTCACTAGCATTCAACTCAAGCACTGCATTCTTGAAATGTGGCCCTAGCATTTCATGTGCCAAACATAGGATGGAAGTCGTCTTTCCGGTACCGGGAGGACCCTGATCATAGCATTAGCGTATTAAATAAAGATATACACACGCAAAGTAGCAGATTTGGCATGTTGCCTTCCTTGGCTATCACCTCGAGACGACGCGTCACCTCCGGGTTGCCGATCACGTCGCTTAAAGCGGCGGGCCGGTATTTTTCTATCCAAATATCGGTAGTCATTAGTGATAGCAACAACACCAGCTAAATGTGCATTAAAGTGACTGCTGTCTATAGCGATGTGGAGTGCGACCTTGTTAAAGGGGGATCTTCCGTATCACAACCGAGCAGCGGTTTCAGCTTCAATTTGCCCAATTCTAAGCTTGCGAAAAATACAAAACCCCCTAGCGTAATCCAAGCTGTGCGAATCCACATTCCTGAAAATAGAGCCCGTATACCTTCCTCACGAACGATACGACGTGCACAATCCGTAGCGGAAGAATACTAAACAGTGTTGTAAATAGGTTCATGTGTGACGCAGAGTATGACACCACCACTCATGATCGAACTTACAGTTTTCGATGAACCCTGGGTCATCAACCGTGTTTTTACCACGTCTAGTGGCACTGTTGCGATACCAGCACAACCTCCTGAACAATTTTGTCTACATGTAACAGTTACATACCGGCGAATGATCCACAAAGAGCTGATACGACCACATCGCCTGTAGTATCACAGACGTTGGCCTTAGATGCGATACACCTAGACAATCCTGAAACAGGTTATAAACCGATAAGCGGGGCGTCGAAAACGACTTATAAACATCATAATGGGTTTATAACGTTCATGCAGAGCCGCTGCTCAAAGTTTACAACCATTTTTAGCGACTATTAGCTCAACCCAAAGGAATGCAAACAACAGATTCATGGAAATGATCGAGTAGTGAACCAGCTGAGAAAATAGCCCACAATACGCTATATGTTACTAATCCCATGATATAAAAAAGATACTGGCACTCATAAATGCACGGAGCAAAGACTAACTTTTTGTCGACTCCATAGTCTTAAGCTGCTCCCAAAGCACGAATTGGATGCCATCAAAAGGCACTTCGCGCATCAGAGTTGGGAAGAACCCGGCATACAAACCCTTGTATCCTTGGGAACGACGAATAGAAAGAAAGGTTGAGTATGAGGTAGGGTACAACCCTGCCTGCATCTGTTGCTTGATCACCTCGAAGGGGTTCCTATATATTTTGAAATTTAACAAAAAAATGACAGAATTATACGTTTTGGGGTGAATTTAGTGACGTATAAGGGAGGGAATAGGCGTATCGAATAGAAGAAAATCACGTGTATGAAAACGTACCGAATCAATAACGAGCAAAACTGCCCACAAGATGAACCAAGAAGGTGAATTACTGGAAGAGGTAAAGAACTGACGTCATCGGTGGGTGCTGTTATAACATATAAATGGGTTCTTGGATACCTACGACGATTGCGATTTGATAGTACGTCCTTTGTGAACTCGTATATACCGTAAAAAGCAGCAGTGGAAGGAACATCACCCAGTGCCAAGACAAAGAAGCCTGTGTATAGAGACCGATAACGAGGCACACGTTGCATATGACGACGCTCAACCTTCAAATTACGCTCTAGTTGGCTACGCGTCTTCAGGGTGTCCAGTGGGTAGAGCAGAGCGTCTGCAGCGAAACCTGCGATGCCACCGCAGATCACATTGGCTGACAATACGTGTCATTAACATGTTACTGCCTACCTAGGTGATCCATCGGCCTTCCAGACCTCCTAGAAGCAGCCTAACAGAGAAAGGAGGGGACCAAAGTCTCAGAGGCAGACACACCGCAAATATGATTGCGTTCTCGAGAATAGTTTTTTTAAGGCGCCATGCTGATGGCTTTGAAACCTTAAAAAAACGACTGCAGAGAAGTCATATTACCCAAACGCAGTACAAGGTTAGACATCGCGACGGTAAGTTCGCTTAAACACCAAAATGAGCATTAATTGATGTACATATGCAACACCGCCAGTTGCACCCTTGGATATGAGAAACAAAGATTTTGCAATGTGTAGCATATGCCACAAAGCAAACCAGTAAGGGCGACCGGTGGGAAGTCCGCATTCACAGGCGCGGTTGTCTCTATATGGGCACAAAACGTTGAAATGTGGCCATAAAGGTAGTATATCAACGCTTTGAATGCCCTTGCTGTCTCTCAGTACGTTGCTCTTGCGTTCCGTTAAGAGAACAATCGTGGTACAACAAAGAATCCTCTTCCTATTTTATTCCGGTATCCAAAGTGGTCACTCAACCGATAGCGATAGTGATACTATGAGGATACCAGTCTATGATTGCCGAATGACATCCTATAAGGTGGCGGTATTGGCGGAACGACGTTTCATGTTTGCCAGAGTCTAATTCGAATTTACGCATCATGGCATCAATAGTTGGTAGCTATTGTCATATTGACGGCTCTTATCTTTATTAGTCCGCTGAAATGCGTGCGTGGTCACATGGGTCTAGTTGCATGTTTTTGAATAAAAAATATTAAAATATTTCAAAGCACCAAAATAACGTTTTGCAGAACTTTTGAACGAAATTGAAGCGATGGAGATCGATGATGTCTTTGAAAGGGTAACGGGAATTCCAGTTAATAGAAGTCAAGCTGACACCGATTGTCATGATGAAAGGGCCGCGACGGATGCTAGCGTGAACGAAACGACGGGAACATCTCGAATACGTAACTCACGTTACAATTTTGAAGATGTTAGACATGAATTTGAACCACTGGGGGATTTTGAATCTATGTCAGGAAAGAGACGGCACTTGCAAGACCTTACACATCAAGAAAGACAGGAGCTGCAACGATTCCAGGCACAAACACGCCTAGCAGATCCAACCGGCATATTAAACAAGTATCGTGCTAAAGCGGATCCTAAACGTGATGCTAAGAGTGTTCTTATGCAGTTGAGGAAAATTGAAGGGCCAGAAGAAGCTCTCAATGACGACGAAGACGACCATGTGGCGACAACCATGATCGGGGAAAACAGGTTTGACGAAATAGTTTCACGAATCCGTGCGAAAATGAGATTGGAGAAGCAGGAAAATAGTAATGTGAATAAGGCTAAGATACCAAACTTTAACGGAGTTATAGTGGATCCAATAGCAAGACACGTTCGGCGTAGGCGCCTTCGTATCAATGCCATGATTAAGGACCAACTAGAACAAATACTTATGGCTAATGACCCTTCTCTCATACTTGGGGAACTCAAGGGAGCGTCTATATCTCTAAAAAGGGTGGAAATGACCAGCGGCAAGTCGACAATCAAATGCTACTATACCATTATCGGTGCAGACGGGCATGAAGAATACGTGCATGAGATGATGCAACGAGCACAGAAGAGGGTCAGATTTTGTCTAGCACGCAAATTGGAGTTAGGTTATACACCTCCAGTCTTATTCATCAGGGCTAATGATGCCGATCTATCGCATGTAAAAAGCACGGCAAGTGCGCCAGAGCAAGCGTTCAACCGTTCTCTGGAGGCAAGTATGAGCTCATTGACAGATCGCTTTCACAAAAGAATGGTAGCATTTTGATGTGTAACAGTAAAGCGGTGTGTCTTCGACCTGAGTGAACCACCATCAAAACACTTTGTCAGAGCAGTTACAATACGTGTGGTATATCTATGTAAGCGAGATTAAGGATGATCCGGCCAGCTGGCATCACGGCAGCCGCTGTATTAATTGTGGCGGTAACATAGATGCGAGCCCGGATTACCATAGGGGTAGCGACACCGAACCCAATTTGTGACGTTGATGGCTCAATCCACCGAAGACAATAAAATTTGGGAAACGGAAGATTTTTATAGTCTATAGTCTAGTGTTACTACTCAGAGCCCAGGATGAGGCATCGCGCAATGAACATATTTGGTGAAATCTTGGCATTTCTTTAATAATAATTGTAGATATCGCAAAAACTTATACCTTTAGGTGACACAAAGCTTTTTAATAGGTATCCGACTCCGGCTGCGTGTAGCGAACTGGTACTGTGGTTTTGTCCTAATAATTGCCAAAATGAGGCAGCTAAAGTACCATGAACAAAAGCTACTTAAGAAGGTTAATATATACAACTGGAAGCGTGTAGATACTCACCGAGAAACAAAAATTTTGAGAAGATATTACATACAGGACCCAGAAGAATACCATAAGTAAGTTAAAGTAATAGTGTAACACAAAAACCGATTTAGGTACAATAAGCTAGTCGGTAAAATCACCAAACTTGTCAGCGAGCTTAGGAAACTGCCGGAAGATGATGGATTCAGGATCAAGATGACTGACGCGCTACTAGAAAAATTGTAATGCTCAAAAATCTGAATATTCACGAATGATACAGATATCAAATGGGTCTCATAAGTGTGCGTGGGAATCTGGAGCTGTGCGAACGCATCGCCGCCAGCGTGTTCTGTAGACGACGACTGGCAACAGTACTAGTACAGCGCAAGTTCTGCGAACATTTCAAACAAGCAGTTACATACATAGAACAGGGACACATCAAGGTCGGTCTAGATGTTGTGAACAATCCGGCGTACCACGTGACTAGAGAACTGGAGGATCATATCACGTGGGCACATGGTTCGAAGATTAAAGAAATGGTCGTTGATTTCAGCGGAGTACGAGACGACTTTGAACTTCTGGGCAACTAGAGCACGTCATATATCTGCTGATGCTGTAAATGAACAGTCAATGTACTGTGTCTATTATCTAGAGCGCCGTGGAAATCGCAGCGCTTGTGCCGTGAAATGATCGGAGATATGAAAACACATCGCCATAATTTATCATTAACACATTCATTAGCACTAAAAATTGTTGTTCTTATGGCGGCATAAAAATGTGAATCAGGGAGTAATATGTGCCAAGTCCCACCAACGCCAGGCGATGGGGATGGCACCGTGGGGAATGGCGAAACTTCTGAAACGAAGCCATTTGAACCTGGATAGTACGTTTGGGGTATCTAAACAATTGTTTTTGTCACGGGTAACGCCTAATTATACAAAGTTGCAAGCGACGCGCGGAGTTAAGGACCCGAAGGAACTATTCAACCACGACACATCAAAATGGAACAACCAAAACTCGCAAAAGTTAACAAGGTGCTTGGACGTACGGGTAGCCGTGGAGGAGTCACCCAAGTCAGAGTGGATTTCATGGGTGAAGGCGGCTGGGAGGGTCGTGTACTCATCCGCAACGTCAAGGGACCAGTAAGGGAGGGAGATATCCTTGCCTTGTTGGAAACTGAGAGAGAAGCTAGAAGACTGAGGTGAGGGGGCTTCTTAGTACCTCATTGGTGAGCTTTTCTTACTGGTACAATGGAATGTTGTGCCAGTGCCCTTAGAAAGGTTTAGAGGTCTTGCACCTAAATCGGAAAACAATTAAAACAAATAATTTGATGCTTAGCATTCATAGATGTCGTAATTTTCGTCTCGTAACTGAAATACTCCTTTTTTATCGAGTTTTATTTACCTAGTGGATGGTAGTGCCGTGGCCACTCCGCTATGAGCCATAGAGGTACAAGTTGGAAAAAGCTTTAAGTGCGGTCTGTCACACGGGTGTTTCCGTTGTCTACTAGAACAAGGTGGCATAAGGGAGCTGACTATCGTAAAAGGGTTCGGTTTCAACAAAAAAAAATCAGTCGTTAACACCGACAACCCTAAGGTTAGGCATAAAGCATGAGTGGCGTCAGGTGGGTATAAGAACCAAGTTTATTAATGCAGAGATAATCTGCAGCCGGCATATTTGATTGCAGTTTGGTAAGAAAGATTTACGGGGGTATTATATCACCCCCGCCGAAACGATTAGTGAAATGATGACAGAGCTAGAGTCATCTAGGCCGATGGTCTCAATTTGTCGAACAAATCCAACCTGTCATCGTGGGTTCGATCCATTAGCTGGTATGTTACCGTTCCACTGACACATGCTTCTTGGTACACCGTTCGCATTACAGTCGGCGGGGAGTCATCCACCAATACCGTGTGGATCACAACGTAGTGCCACCGGTTATGATGGCCAACAAAGGACTCGACCTTACTCAGTAAGGCATGACGGGGCTCCTTAAATATGTACTGTCTCTCAAACCTTGAGTCAAGCACTGCAGTGATGCGGTACTTCAAAATTAAGTTCCTCTTAACACAGAAGCTTACGTAACGGCCTTTATCGTTGTAGTTTCGTAGTACATCAATAGCGTCGCCAAGGGGAAAGACGCTAGGGCCTTCATCCTCAATAGAAACAACAACCGCGATAGGCGAAGAATCCGTAGGGCCGAATCGAAACAGATTGGGACCCAACTCTAAACATATACATGGATGTATATACATGTCAAAGAAAATCGTCGATCTAGACGGTGAGGTGTCACTCCTAACACTTGCAGTGGAACTACCCGAATCTAAACCCTGCTCTACGACAGGTTCCGGACTATTCTGAGACGGTAATTCATGTACTGTAGAACCTGTAGTGGTGTCATCTTTGCGCTCAGGTGTTACAGCATCGCTCGATTCGGTGTTCGTTGGTTGTGTTTCAACTACCTCAGTAGTACTTCCACGTAGTGTTCGGCGAGGGCGCTTTAACACAGATGAAACAGAGGATTCCGTTTTAGACCGTTTCCTAGGAGTTGTTCTCTTAGAACCGAATGGGTTCATAATCTTCACCACACGAACATCTGACGTTTCAGTTATAGCGGAATCACCAGACGAGTCAGCCTTTATAGCTTCATCAGATTTATCAATTATAGTGGAACCATCCGCTACATCATCAACATTTGTAGGTCCTTCAGATTTATCAATTATAGTGGAATCATGTGCTACATCAACAACATTTGTAGGTCCTTCAGATTTATCAATTATAGTGGAATCATGTGCTACATCAACATTTATTGGCCCATCAGATATATCAATTATAATGGTATCGTCAGATGAATCATCAACATTTACAGGTTCATCAGATATATCAATTACTATGGGATCATAGGCTACACTAGCATTTATAGGTTCATCAGATATATCAATTACTATGGGATCATCCGCTACACCATCAACCTTTATAGGTCTATCAAATATATCCATTATGGGATCATCGCCTATACTCTCAGTTTCGAGTTCCTCAAAGCAGCGCAAATCACTTTCTGTAAATTCCTCGTATATATCTTCAAAATTTATATCAATAGACGCTAAATCAAAATAATCCTCTGTAGTGGTATTGTGTACTGACAATCCACCTTCGCCAGTATTGATGTTACTAATTGCCACGTTACTCAGCTCACTTTCTGTTTGACCTAGGGCGCTTATTTCCGGTAACTCATTCGCAAAGCTATCGATGAGTTCGTCTAGACTTTTGCCACTTGGAAGAAACGCTGCATCGATCGTGCTATGTATTATATCGCCCATATTCAACGTTGGTGATGAAGGTTCAGCGGTTATAGAAACATCTTTAGAACCCACTGGTGTGTCGAGCACGCGAGTAGATTCCACATTGTTTTTTTGACATGAACTTGAAACACTGTCGATCGTGGAATCAACACATTCTACAGATGGCTCATCTGCAGAAATAAATTCGTCATTTATGGATGTACTAGACACTGTGGATTCTCGTATTTCTGGAACTTCTTTAGAATTGCACCCGTCAGTATTAACCGGAGGATTCAGGCTCAATGATGTATTACTGGTCATTACCCAAGCTGGCGTTGTATTCAGATGTATTGTCACTTGTCCGTGAGAATATGTTTCCTGATCGGAGCTCTGAATTTGTTTTAGCCTATCAAAATCATACATGACGCTATTCCCGACGGGGTCATATGTGGCGTATTCGTTTATGTCATGTGTGTTATTATGGTCATTAAATACTAGAACAATAATGTGACGATTAGGTGAGGCGTTGACAGAAGTTGTACTCGACGGCTCGGAAGAACACAAAAGCTTTTGAGTCACTGAATCAGATGGTTTGGGCATCACTTCCGATAGATCCTCGTAGACATTGTTGGATTCGGCATTATCTGTGGCACCACCTTCCAAACACGCCATATTCGGCAACTCTTGATCATTTTTTGCTACAAGTGTTGATATGTGGATTGTAATTTCTATTTTGCAATCGTATACGATGGTATATACTTTGTTTTGGCTACCAATAATTACTCCAGTAGAAGGGAATGCAAACTTGGCTATGTGCCCAGTGTCCGTGTTGCCAAGCCTTGAAATATTTAGCGTCCCTATCTTGAAATGAACAGACTCATCTACAGCAACCCTCTCGTATCTATGGACAATATAAGTGTTGCGAAGCGTATAAGAACTTAGATCGCCTGATTTAGACTTAGTCGTTTGAGCAACAATCAAAGGGTGTGTTTTGGCCTTCGGGGTGATATCGAGATCGAGCAGAACAGGCCCGCCAAGGTGCTGTGACAACATTTGTATATTGGAAAGTTTGCACTCTCCATCTTCTAAAACGTATATGCGACGCTTCGTTCCCCTTATCAATGGCACTTCTTTTAATTTTACAAACACTCTAATGAACAAAGATTCATGACGAAAGAAGAATTCAAGGAAGGTAGGGTTGATAGGCTTCGTAGTCAAACCACCTACGTTATAAACTTTCGAGCCACTACGTAAGCCAATGATACTATCTTTGATGCCTATAATACAGATGTACTTTCCATCACCCTGGAATGTACCGCGAAATACATCGACACCCACTGGTGTATCTAGCGAATCTAAATCCACCACGATGCTTCTCACGTGTTGAGTATGGTTTGGGCATCACTTCCGATAGATCCTCGTAGACATTGTTGGATTCGGCATTATCTGTGGCACCACCTTCCAAACACGCCATATTCGGCGACCCTTGAACATTCAGTAAAAGTGGCACAACTGTAATATTGATTGCGTTTTTTGTATTCCAATATATTTTGACCTGGTTTGCGTTACTATATACATAAACATCATTAGCAGTTTCTTTGATTCTAATGGTACAGCCTAACGGTATGGTGAGTAGCTGTGAGAAATGGATTGTTGTAATTTTGTATGTCAAGTAGCGGCTCAGGTTTAAATACCTCTCAGGGTGAACCCTGAACTTTGTTCTCAAGAGCATCTGGGTTTCGTTACCAAGAGAACTGTGAGAATCTAGTCTCTTAAGAAGTGGGTGCGCCCTCGCGGATCGATCAAGGTTAACATCCAGAAAAATTGGCCCTCGAAGGAACCTGAGTAATTTCTCAACATTCGACTTCTTAGTGAGTGTTTTATTAATTGAGACTATTAGGCTTCTAGATCGACTAGTTTGATTTTCATAATTACGCGTCGCGAGAACTCTCATAAAAAGGCGTTTCTCACGTGAAAAGATTTCAACAGACGAATACGCCACATAGCCGGTATTTAAGGCGCCGTAATCGAGGACTAAGGAACCACATTTGATACTCGTCAGTTCAGCGTCAAAGGCATTGATGAAAAAATACTTTCCATCACCCTGGAATGTACCGCGAAATACATCGACACCCACTGGTGTATCTAGCGAATCTAAATCCACCACGATGCTTCTCACGTGTTGAGTGGTCAAGAATACCGAAACCAGAAGGAAAATATGTTGAGGGAACATTTTTTCAATGCGGTAGCCTTTTACTGGAGTATTAGCCGAAAATGAAATGAAATTGTGTTCTAATTTTAGGTTAGAATGCCAATGGAATGAGAAAACTGTTACAGTCTATCATCAGATATAACGTTGTTATTTTATGTGAATTAAAGCTCAGTTATTATACTCTAATTTAAATCGCTAGTACCCCATTTACACAGCTGAAACAACAGATGAAATAGAAATTATGGTAATAGCCAAACGTCACTATGGACCACTTAGTGTTGTGGCTACTCGGTTGGGAAGTTCACCTGCCGGATGCAAGATGCTTGGTTGTGTAAGAATATTCTAGGAAGATTATTTCCGTAGTAGCTGCACAAAAAGATGCTCGCTGCTTCCAAATCTACGACGAATCAACACAGACAAAAAAATTCAACTAGTCCACACCCTTTATCCAAACTACAAATTTATACCTCAAAACTATAATGCCAGTTATTAAGCGACGGAAATTCAACCCTATTGCTAAGGAATTGAACATGTGCTTCCAATGAACCAAAGCTCTACACGTTTAATTACATTAATTCGTGTGGCACACAGGAAATCGCGCTCTATCTGAAATACCAATTCACACTTCATTAACCCACCGCCCAGGAAAACATCTAACAGCCAAACAATATATATATATATATATATATATATATTGAAATTTTGCACATTTCACTGATGAACTTGCCGGGGTCAAAAACATTCTCCACGGACAACACGTTAGATATCGAATATATTTACTTAATGGTGATAAATAAAGTGCTGCGGCGCCAATGACGGTGAAACGTATGCCATAGACACTACCGTGCAACTCAGCGCCGAAATAAATTGAATTCGGTCTGACAGTAATTGACGCACAACCTTTACAGAAACCCGAGCACGAAAGCCCAACTAATTAGTGATATCTGTCCAAAGATCGCGGAGGTATCATTCTATGTGATGGTCGAGCGTCATGATGCTGTGCGCGGCAATCCCCCGAGAGTCTTTGTCTCGTTAATGTGGGCGTCGGAACGCATGGGAGCTTTGACCATGTCAAAAGATAGGGCAGATGGATTCTAGTAGTGTAAGTCACCTTTTAAGCGCTAAATGGATTGTGGTTTAGGTGTCGAGCGAACACTAAATTTTAACTAAGCAATATTTTAAGGGTAAAGTGGCAATAAACAGTCATGAGTGAGGGGGTGTAAAGGGTCAACCGTGTTACAATAGGGACATCTAACTAAAGGATGTTGCCATGATCCGAGTAATCAAGCGTCTTATCAACCTAGAACAATGTGCTACCGGATAATTACTATATACATGTCAACCTAAATATGGCTCCTAGCACCGTTCTTATTTACCTCTTCGTCGACCAAAACCAAACCTCCGCCGGATATGCCGTTAACATGCACCGATTTCATGCGTTTGACAGCGTTCTTGTTGTTAGTTATGTCCTTCACTAGCTCTCCGTTCTTGTAAATGCGCAGGAATGTATGACCGTCGCGCATAACACATTCGAATACCCCGTCCATCCGACCCATATTGTAAGTGCCTTTCTCGCTCACCACTGGGCCACTACGGTAAGTAGTCATACCATAATTGTGCTTAAAACCGTGACGAAATTCGCCCATGTAACTCTCACCAGTAGGCCAAACCATTCGACCCTGTCCAGTCACGTCGTTGTCAAACATGCCCTCGTACACCACTCCGTTGCTCATCTTCAGCTCACCATTCCCATCACGCCTGTTGTCCTTAAACATACCCATGTACACAGAGCCATCAGCAAAACGCTCGACGCCAAAACCATGTCGCAGGCCGTTGCGCCAAGTGCCATCGAAAGTGTCGCCATTCGCATACAGCATCACACCCTTACCGTTACGCAACCCAGCCTTGAAAATACCTTTGAAGTTGTCACCGTTGACATAAGTGAGCTCCCCGGTACCATCGTAGAGATTAGAGTCAAAGGAACCGACGTAACGCGTACCGTCCATAGCAAAGTGCTTCCCCAAACCATGACGTATATCGCCGCGCCACTGACCACAGTACACGGATCCATCAGGCAGCAAAACTGGACCCCGCTCGACCATACCGTTACCTATATCGGTACCAACCACGTTTTCAAGCTTTGTAGGTTGGCCACCTAGTAAAGATGCCAACACCTTGTCGTCCCAACCCTCGAACTTTGGCTCCACAAATCCAGTAGACACTAAAGCAGAAACGGAATGAGAAGACGACTGCCTATCCCTCGGAGGCGGCCCTTTCGGTTCACTTTCCACCGTTTTAGTGGCAACAGTATTTACATTTCGAGCTCCTGAACAGATTACATGACAAAGATTCCATCAGAATAACCCATCGAGCTGACCACAAAACACAAAACCCTTATAGAACACAAACAATCGTCAAACAATGATATATGCAATTTCACGCACCTTTAGGAACGGCTCCTACTTGTTTACTTTTATCATTATGACGAACTTCAGAACCGCCAACCGATCCGCGCCTATGGCAGCAACGGATCCTTCCGTTTGCATTGCCCATGATTCTACGCTCTATGTGCATCCGAAAGCAACGAAATACAGCTTGGCTGCGGGCATCGTGTCATATTCCATATGGACTCAGCCGACGCGCGTCGCCCACAATGGTCTCAAAGATTGGGAAATAAAAGCGTCATATGACAACACCAGATAAAATTTGTGTGCAATGTACATAAAACAAACGTTCGAAAAACAGACAGGTCGCAAGTACCGCTGCGAACCATTATAGGTAGTAGACGAATCCGCAAAAAACCGACCACATCATTATCCTGATATGGATCAATTAAACTATAAATCAACGGATGAGGTAGCTAGATATGAAATAAGCTCACTTCCACGCTCTCGTAAGGTCTTCTTAAGGGCAGGGACCTCCATGTTTCACGCATCGCGCCAAGAAGCTAACGCACTTCTAACACAGGAACCTAAGAAAAATGGAGGGACGTAACAACATTGTCACACAAGCGGCACTGCTTATTGCCTGCATAGGCGTATACCATTTAATTTATCAGTATTTGGATAAGCGCTACAGCGAAAGAGGTACGTGACTATGTGTATCACAAACAAAAATCACTCAGATGATGGTATACCTGCGGATTGTCCTGGAGTGGAGAGTCCAGAGGCTGGCATGAAAAGCACATGCCAAGGATGCCCCAATCAGGCCAAATGTGCCTCAGGCGAGATGAAAGAGGCACAAGAAAAAAATCGTTCCGATGTTTTGGCCAATCTCAGCCAAGTGAGCAACATAGTGCTAATCATGTCTGGTAAAGGAGGGGTAGGAAAAAGTACCGTTGCCACTCAGCTGGCATATATGTTGAGCGCGAGCAAAAATGATGTCGGCCTCCTAGACATCGACCTTACGGGACCATCTATACCTGGCATGACGAAAACAGAGAATGCCGAGGTATTTGAAAGTGCTCAAGGATGGACGCCGGTGTATGTTTCCGATAAACTCTCTGTGATGTCAATTGGGCATCTCCTTAGGGACTCAAGGCAATCCATCATATGGAGAGGGCCCAAGAAAGACAGTCTCATTAAACAATTTCTCGTTGGCGTTGATTGGGGTCACCTGGACTATCTAATCGTGGATTGCCCACCAGGATCTAGCGATGAACATATCACCATATGTAATTTACTCCGGGAGAAGAAACCCATGGCTGTGCTAGTAACAACGCCGCAAAAAAGATGCGTGGACGATGTATACCGCTCAGCATCATTTTGTCAAACTGCAAATCTACCAATAGCAGCGCTAGTGGAAAACATGACGCAATCTGTATTTGACAGCAAACAAGGTTCAAACACACGTGAACTATGCGAACGGTTCAATATTAAGCATATCATGAAACTCGATATGCATCAGGAAATAGTTGCAGCAGGGGAAGAAGGAAGGCCCATCGCAAATTTAGAATGTCTCAGACCCTTGGAGAAACACATCAAAGCCACGCTAGAGAACATTAAACATTAATGACCTGGGTCTATGGTGTAGTAAGCATTGCTTCAACGTAATAACAACCTGGTGTGCGCCACCAGTTCTTTAAAATAGATTCACACGCGCCTTTAAGGCTCAGCCTGATGTACCGCTGTCACTGTAGTGAGCCTTGAAACTGTTCTGGAAGAACACATTGGGGTGGATGCCTACGCCATCCATTGAACCCGTTGGCGTGGTCTGCGAAAAGTACTCAACGCACGCAAGTTGGTATTGATGAGTAGACTTCAAATCCATTATAGGCGATATCTGCTCTCCAGATAAACCAAATTCCTCGAGCATATTTCTCATACTCGACATATCAAGATCCTTAAAAGGGCATCCATGCACCTGACCAGCTGTCGGTGGAGGTAGACTTCGAATTATGGAGTTGCAGCTAAGCGGTGGGTAACTCAAACGGCGACCCTCTTTACCGTAAATGTGACGTATGTTGTACACGTGCTCCTTATCGAACGCACCTGCGTCACTCCAAATGTTACGGTTGAAGTGAATATTTTCTTCCAAAGTCATACCACAGCCCTTTAAAAATAGCCAAAACTGACGGCGGGCATTGTGCTTCAGATGACGGCTACGTACGTAGTGAGTGAAAATACGCCGCATACACGGTGGAAATGTTCGTTGGAACACACTGTTGATGTTCGCCAGACTCAAATTATGGTCTCTACCTGATACAAAGGAACTACGAGAATAATCAACTGCTAAGTATGACTCCGGTAGGACGCGCAAAAAGGCCGATATACGTTCGTCCAAAAACGGTTTCGCTGAGTCGATGGTGCCCGCTTCATCGAGATGTCGTAGCGAATTTTGTATCTGCTGACGGAACCGCGAGGCGCATAATACATGTAACACCGTGTCTGGTACGTATGCCTCGCCATTCTTCAATAATACCTGTCGATGGCGCACAAGCGAAATTGCGTCAGGGTAGAAAGGTGCCTGAGACGTCTTACAGGTAGGTTAGTCACACTTACGATGTAAATTTTTTCCACCTTCGCAGCATCGTTGCGGAAGCGTATTAAATCTTGAAACTGCGACATCTGTTCAGAATTTGAGCGTGAATTGGGTATCAAGTGAGGTATTGACAGCTGAAAATTATGTAAAGCCGAAACAGAAAACCCACGCTCTCGTACACTATACCCTGGTTCTGTAAAAAGTATTCCAGCTTAGTCTGGTTCTCCACGTCACGAATCCTTACGTTACGCAGGAGGTCAAGACGTATCTCGAAAAGCCGCGCCTCGTTGCGTATGAACCATTCTCGTTTGGCTCGTGCTTTACCGAAACTGTAGAGCATTAGTAACGGGACAATTATTCAGAAATATACGTCGGAAATGAACGATAATTAGCTATTAGTCATCACATAATGCAAAACTAGAATGAAAACAATGGTCTCACAGCGACAATGGGAAAACCATTCTCATGACATAAAAATATTGCGGAAGTCTCTCAAACGAACATTCTTACCACGCATACAGATTAAATTGGCATTAAAACGTGCATATAGATAACTACGAAAAACTTACGCTAGACGCAGAATGAAATGGGAGATAACATCGGCCTGCGCTATGTGCAGGAACCTTTCGATGTCGTCTTTGTCGAACACTGGCGAAGGAAGCATGAATCCTAACTCCTCCATCTTTGTTTCGATATCGGATACATGGTCCACTGACACATGTCAAGGGAGACGATAACACACTTACTTTTGCCATCAGTGCGCTTACGCCGGAAGTCCATGCGAGAGTCGACGAACTGCAGCACTGAGCCAGGGTTAATCTAAGAATATTCATCACCTACTAGCAACGCGCTTAGCAGCGATCTCCTGGAAGCTGCGCAGGTTTATCTCGCCGGAAAGCGGCGGCTCGTTGTAGAAACAAATAACATGTCTACTACCCTTGTAGAAACAACGTCTGTAAAGCGATAAATCCGCGGCATCTCCTTGCAAAAACAACTGCGACATTTTTATAAATGTTTGGAAAGGATCAGATGGGCGACAAGAAGCGCAAAAGAATGCCTACGAGATGACCTGTCTACACAGCATAACCGACACACGCAGCAACAGTCACACACCAAGGAGCAAACTCCTCAGGCAAATATTATGGCGCATAAATATTTAAAATAATGATTAAATACAGCTTTATAGTAACAGCGGCACTTCACATTATTCTAAGAATGAGTGCAACGGAACTCGCAGTCAGAAATGTTCATTCAATCGCCGCAAAGAATGCAAAGCAAAGTAAAGAGTGTAGCTTATAAGTTTCTCTACAGAGACGCAAATGCAGGGAGTTAATGCGATAGAGTCAGCGGATAAAAGGTCCGTCATATCCGGAATGCCACTGTAAGAAACGAATGAGATCTTCCTCACCAGTAGGTACCCATGAAACTGGCAGTCTCAAATAACTTTGTCACACTATGAAGTAAGGCGGTTTTATTCAGAGAATGATGTGAAACCCTTTTTGCAATACCTCCACGAGCACAACCACGTCCAGTGAATAAGCGCCCCAATGACGCTCCACATCTTAACATGAGGCCAGGTCTCATTGAGGAAGTAGAATGTAGTGAATTCAGAACACTGCAAAGTAAGTTAGGAAGGTGATGGTAAGTTTTCACGCGCACTGGTGAATACATCGAACAAAACCTACTTGGTATACTAGAAAGTCAGAGAGCCTTGTAACACCTGATGTCCGGATCAACACCTGTGGCGGGCATTCATCTCCAGCTACCAGATGTTTGTAGAACTTTTTCGCTTTTTCTCTTTCATCCCTGAATCAGCATGGAAGGATCGTTAGCATAAATTGAAAGCATGAAATAAAACCATAATTAGAGTGTAGAGATAGCGTAAAAATTCAATAAGTTGTACATTATTCAACACTAAACATCACATCAAAACTGCACATAAACGATTGGGAATTCTTTGCTAATACCGACAGTGAACAACTAGATAAAATAGTAGCAACAAGCAGCTTGCAGAAACAAGTGTGAGAGATGGGAAATAATACATTGTGTCAAACTTACTCAGCAGCATCCATGGAAACACGCTCAACTGCCGTAGAAATCTCGTTGCGGGCGCCGTAAGATACGCACAGATTAATCAATACATCAGACTTGTCTTCCTCAGTTCTCGACATTTGATATCTTTTCTCGCTGTCGCTCTCAATTTCATTGAATTTGTCTCGGACCTCTTTCATTAGGAAACGGAAATCGCCATAAAAGCGCAGTCGAAACGACGCGAGATTCCTGGAATAAATGTGAACAGACAACAATAGGAGATTCACCCCAATGTACTCTCCGTCAAGACAGTATTGGCAGCAAGCGACATCAGATTGGAGACTTCTATCTCACTGCGCTGGTAATTCTGTAGCGAAAACGCATAGACAGTGATGACGCGCACTCCCAGCAACGTACATATTTGCACGACCTTTCAAAGAAATTGTTTTATGACCAAATCACACTCACCTCTAACAACTTTGTGAAACCAGATCGATGACCTTCTTCGACAGCTAATCCCATATGGCGAGCGTAGCGCCGATTACCGTCCATGATGAACGCAACATGTTTCACAGAAACCAACACACGTAACACGCGCAGTAACACGCGGCTCCACCTGAGACAATCTTAGATAAGTATCAATTGGAACGGTGAAAGCATTGCGACGTACAGTGTGAAATGTGGAAGTATGCATTCCGCTGTCCATGACACACGGGCAGCATGATTCAAAAAGGAATAGCCATTATACACATATACTTACCACGACAGTTTCATTATTCAGGTTTAGGCCCGAATATATGCCGTGGCGGAGAAATGACGTTAGAGATGCGACCTAACTGCACACTCCATGAAGACAAATAGTATTGCAAAATCCCAGTATACCGGACGTAACAGCGTCACGTTAGCGTGAACAAACTGTTTTTGAAAAGATCAGCTTGTGATGTAGCCTTTAATGGGAAAATCAGGCCCCCAGAGGGAGTCAACCGTTAGCAATAAATCATACCGCGACCGTGAACTATCACAGCCTTTACTAGCTAATTATCATTGAATAATGATTAATATGGATAAGTGCAAAAAATATGTCACAATATGGGACTAAAACGGTGAGGACGCTGAATAATGCGGGCCACTAATGTGCGAGAAATGAACGGAAGATAATGGTAATCCGCTGCGTGAGAGAGGACACGCCAGTGTCCAAGGATTCACACTCCTCTCGAAGTGGTGGAATAAATGTAGAAGATTGTTCCTATCAGCGATCTCAAGAAGATGCGAGAAAACGCATCTACAGAGAGGTAGTCGATGTATGTGTAGATGTCGAGCCATTCGATGGTGTGTTCCTGAACACAATAACCAGGGTTCGTCGCAATGATACGCAAGATGTGAGCGAATATGAGCGCGGGCTAAGAGAAAGGGACCCTACTCAAACATTCCGTAAGTGAATACGACATCAAAACTGTAAATAGTGCCATAGCCAAAAGCGCCAAGGGAGTTTCCGGCATTCTTATGAATAGGATACAAAACACTCCACCTAACCACAGAATCATATGGATGGTGGCAAGATTTGAAGCCATTTGCCAAAAGCTCCAGGAATCGGGAAATAGCCTTACACGCATACGCACGGGGAATGGTACCATGACAAGGCGGCAACTGGTCCAACTTTTCGAAAATGAACGCAAGGAAGTATTCGGTGATGTGGAATTCTTCCCAATCGGGGAACCTTACCTTGGAATACCACCGTTCACAAACTTCTTCAAGAGAGAGGAACTGCTATTCTTCGGTATATGCCAGTCACCATACGACACCGTATCCGTACACAAAATGCAGGACGGTACTGAAATCGCACAATCAATCATACTAGATGGAACTCCTTCTCTAAGGGAAGATATGGGAACCCGGTTTGTATTATACGCCAAATTCAAAAGGGGGGGAAGCGACCCTGTTAACTGCACAAACAAAAGGGACCCAATCATCCACTCGTGGTTGCACGAACTTCCCATAAGAGTAGTACGTGCATACAACGCCCTTTCAAGGTACGTAACAACCAAACATAAAGCTGTAAGTAACGTTCAGGTACGCGCCCCTTTGGGGATTCCGTTACGATGGACTATATCGCATCATAGAAGTCCATTCCGAAAACAACAAACACGGAGTCAGAGTATGGTCATATGTATTCAGTGCTTGCAACCCGGATCTGGAGCCACCCGTATATATGCAGACCGAAGATACATCGGATATAGTTAATACGAACGACCCTGACCTCAAGTCGATGTTCATCAACCACTTATATTGGCATGCGAAAGCGCAAAAGTCGATTAGAAAAAAAGTAGTCGAGGACATCATAAAGGTGGATGTCGTATTCAAGGGGCAGAAACTATTTACAATCGGTGTGCCGCACTTGCTTCCGGATACGGGCCAAAAAAATAACCGAGTGCCATTGGTAGTCAACTTCGCAATCATATATCGCTATATCAAACACCTCTGCATAACAACAGATTGTGGAGATGAATGGATAAAAGGGCCTGTTGCGGAGTACGAAAAGGCAAAAAAGGAAGGGTCCGATATATGGTGGGCAAGGGGAGGCTTCCTGCCGCTTAAGCTCATGATACAACATGTAGAACCAACGCGGTCACTCACTATGGAGGTTGTAAAGGGGCAGTACAAGGAGAAAGTAATAACCAGGAGGGTACGACACCAGAAGGCACTTGTAATAAATCGAGAGTTGGCGAAGACAATGGCTAGGCCATTTTTCCCGCAGTCAGATATGGACAGCATATGGACATACATAGAACTAGCAGAACCCATATCATCGAAGTGGAATCCTTATGAGGATATTACTGCAGGGTCCGAGATACATCCAATACCGGTCGTCAATGCCGTAGACAAGCAGGAGCCTCCACTGGTGTTCACGTACATACGCAGCAATATATTTTTCTCAAGGTTACCGCAACTCAATTTCGATCCTGTTTGCGCAGGTTGTGTACCGGATACGTTAACTAAGGACGAGTGCCAACAGGTTGCCGTAAAGGGGTTCTGCAAGGGGGTCATGGACTCCAAGGGGCGTGTCTACTGCCAAGGAATAAACAAAGGGTATCTTTCTACCATACAATCGCGTGCGGCTTGTTCTGATAACTGCCCATGCCCAAGCTACTGCACCAACAGGTTACTCGAGGGAGTCCAGGTGCCGGTGAGACTTGTCAAAACAACCAAAATGGGCTGGGCCTTGCACAGTATGGTAACAATCGCAATAGGAACTTACATCATGCAGTATGTAGGTGAGATCATCTGCCGCAGTGAAATGATGGCAAGGGAACACCAATATGATAAATTGGGGAATTTCAACTACTGTATGGAATCCGTGGAATCGGAAACACTACAAGATGACTGGCAAATGCCGTGTATAGACTCTATGCTAGTTGGCAACATAGCACGATTCCTCAACCACTCGTGTGACCCTAACGTAGAGGTCATCACGGTTTGGCGAGGGGATGACTTTCCCTGTATCGCAGTGTATGCGTTACGGGATATCACAGCTGGTGAGGCGCTTACCTACTCCTACGGCTCGCAATACAAAAACATACCCTGTCTCTGTGAGTCCTGGAATTGCAGGGGGTTCATCGGCAGCATATGACAGGAGACAATAACGTGCGCTATGTCGAATTGCCCTATAATAATATGGAACAAATAGAACAGACGAATAAATTAAATTGTGCATTATGCAGTCAAATCACATTAGAATGCGAATGACTCTACAACTCAGCGTGGCGCTCGTCTGCGACATGTTTCTCTACAAAGGTAGTCAGATCCTCCAGGGTACGTTTGCCGTCATAGGCAATCACATCAGTGCTACCAGGCTTGAGCAATAGCACTGTCGGGTACGCAGTCCACTGGACGTGCTCCAATGCAGACTCGTTGCCATCTCCGTTAAACAGAGCGACGATCACGCGGCCGTCGGCGGCCATGGACTCACCGAATGAGACAAATACAGGCATGAACTTCTTGCAGTGTTCACAGAATGGGGAGTGGATCATCAACAAGATGGGTTTGGAAGCATTCTGCACAAAGCTAGGCAATGTCTTGCCTACAAGTGTAACAACTGGGCCATCGTTGGAAGCAGGCTCATCCTCACTCTTGATGCTGCGAGGTACCTTGCCAGCCTCTACGTCAGAGTAGAAACGAATCACGGCATCAGAATCGTCGAAAGGGTAGACTTCGGGAAGCAAAATGTAACGACCTGTGGGAGTCTGGTGAGCAACGGCGGGGTAAGATTCAATCGCGAAAGCCTCCTTTGCGGCAGTGAACTTGTTGACATCAAGCCAGGCGAAGAGTACGCTGGAGCGCAGAGCACGTGCAACGGTTGCGAAAGTTGAGCGGAACTTCTCGTAGTCAGCTTGAGTTGAGCAGAACCACGAAATGGCCTTGCCAGAGCTGAAGTAGCGTACATAGTTGGAGTGACCAATTTCGGCAAACAGGGGGAGGCTCTCCTGTTGAATGAATTCAGTGAGCTCTGAGGCACTTGTGCCACTGAAGTAGAAGCGGTCGTGGCCCTTGTGCAGAACATATACAGCCCTGTCACCGGTGGGAAGCAAGTAAAACTTGGCATCGCTGCGGTGAACATCAGCCAAGTTCTCGTACTCCTTCATAATTTCATCCGATGAGTCGTAACCAGTGGCCACAAAAGCAACATCTGCGTCACTGTCGATATCGTCGGCGCTAAGGATGTGGACAACAGCTGGGAGCATCACAGACTTGCACCAGCTTACGATGCCTTCAGCCTGGCGGGTACCACTGTACTCCCTGGCACTTCCCTTACGGAAGAACTTGAGGGTAGGGTAACCTTCAATACCAAACTCCTGTGCAACAGCAGGGGCAGCATCACAGTTAAGTTCAGCCAATATTACCTCAGATCCCTCCTCTTTCAACTGCTTTGCAGCCTTCTCGTACTCGGGTGCCAAAGATTGGCAGTGCATACACCTAAGGGTGTGTGAGCAGACATATTACTTAACATACCAGGGGGCATAGAATTTTACAAGAACAGCGTCATGTTCGTTGATAAATTTGTGAATTGTTTGCTCGGTGAGGTCGACAACGGCACTGGTGCTGTCGTCAGCGCCAGCGAAGGAAACGCTGACAGCAGAGAAAACAAATGCGAAGACAGAAATAAACTTCATCTTTGAGATAGTAACTAGTTCGTTTTAAAATGTTCTAGCGGATTCTTTGTTCGCCGTGATGTGCCGGTGGCCGGAGTTCAGTTGTAAATGATTGATGCGGTATACTGCGACGGCAGGGTACACAGTATGGGGAGCACAGGCGAACACGGTTAGGAAAGAGGCAACAGTATCAGCAGCGATGGAAAATTCATGAACGCAGGTGAATAGAAGCTGTGTGTGGTCTATATCTAAGACTCATGGTCAACCTTGAGTCGTGCTTTCCGTGCGATAACACCGAACCTACGCGCTTCAGAACCCGACGGTCCACACATCAACAAAAAGTTGACGCACCACGCCCAGGGGTTACACCTACTGTCTCTAAGTGCTACTAGTCAAACGAAACGACACGGTGTGTAACACGTAGCCCACACACCAAAGCGCAGATGGCCGCAGGTCCTACCATACACACATAAAACGCACCAAATAGATAAGGCAGATAATTTATGAGTTAGTAGTGAATTTCGATTAATTGCCAATGTCCCAATGGAAGAACGGGAGGGATGTTCTGCGGACGATTACGAGGGGTTGGAGCAAGTCGTGTCAACATCGAAGAATGATGAAGGTTACGACATTAGATGCTTCAAGGAAACCCAGTTGATATTGGAAAAACCTGCAACTGGAGCAAAGAAAATCCTAGCCAAACTATACATATCCATCGATCCGCACGTATCACTCATACTCAATATACTGGAGATAGGATGGATACAGCATATGATAGAGTTGGGGAATACACGATGGACGAATAGCAAGACCTCAACAGGACGCGTAACTTCTCACCCGGTACGCAAAGTGTCGATGTGCATTATATCATATACAGGATTCGTACAGTACACAGGTCAGCCAAACAAGACGCAGCCAAAGCGCTGTGTTCAAGCATGCTGAAACTGATATCATCGCCCAGATCGAACAGAGGGTCGCTCTTGTGGCTGGAGTTGGTGTAGAACACCTGGAACAACTGGTTATGGTCAAATACTCTCCAGGGGACTATTTCAAGGAGCACCATGACGGCCCGTTCAGATCTCATACCGTTTTGCTATATCTCAATGGTAAGCAATGTCATGTCATATATGTATATTGATGAATGAACGGTAACAGCGATGTTGACGTGAGCCACATTATTTGTATCACGGCTGTGGGCCGCATAGCCTTGACCTACAAGATACAATACCAGTGTTACATATACACAATGCAAAAATGTTACGATTATACAGACGTTGAAGGTGGAGAAACGGTATTCCCAAATCTCCATTTTGCAGTTAAACCCATAGGTAACAGTGCACTATACTGGAGGAATACAACCGACGATGGGCTCGCAGACTTCCGCATGGTGCACGCTGGAGTGTGCCCGAAAATGGGAATGAAGTACGTTGTAAACTGCTTTTTCAACGTAGAACCCGTACGCACTCAATAGACCACTGGTTTCAGAGGCTCCGCCTCAAGGCCCTCTAAGGTCTTGTCTACCTCCACGTCCATTTCTCCGACTAAGGCGCTGCGGTAGATTGAAACAACTGTTATGCTAGTAAACAAGAACGTATGTGAATTAGGGAACTTCGATTAGACATAAGGGTATAGAAACAATAGGATGTGCATAAGCAGATAAACGCAACGGGTTAGCATCCCGAAAACGTCACAACACATGCATATGATACGGTAAAATGCACTCGTAGAGCCATGAGACTGTCATAACAGTGTCATCAATGAATTATACAACGCAGTATGGGTAGGATATGGTACATATAGCTGGATGGATGACCTACACGTTGTCTCCACGGAGCAGATAAATACCGAGTGGGAGATCCTCGAAGGCCGCTCCCTTGCGAAATACGCGCTCGAAACAGTTATACAGAACCAGATTGGTAACTTGGTCGAAACCCTTTAGAGTTCCGATAAACATCCGGCCGTCGACCGTAACCACGCACACCTGGCCTGAAAACCATGACAAAAAAAGACCAAATTACTTACATTCTATAAAGTGCTCCAGCGCCGGAGCCATCTTGATGCCAGGCACTCACATCTCAGACGTGAATACTGGCGCGGCGCATTGAACGGCCGAGGACAGATAAGCCCGTCGCGCGCGGGGGATCGAGACATACGTTAGCCGCTAAAATGCACATGAACGCTAGTTGCATGTAAAAATATAATAGATAAATTCCCATCTCTACGATTCCTCAACCGCAGAGAGCTGCAGACCTAACGCCACCAGGCGCCCATTCACGATGTCGCACAGACTTCGCTCATCCAAGATATGCTCATACCCTGGTATTGGCTTACTCAACGCAACTAGCAGCTCCGCGTGATTCGCGTCTTCCAGAGCTATGATTTTGTCTACTAGATCGTTGACGATACGCTCCTCAGACTCAATGTCGAACTCGTTGTGAGTACTGCGTATGTAGTCCAAGCGCCAACGACGTGCCTCCTGCAAACCTCCAACAAGGCCGTACTGATTCTCATGGAAACATTTCTGCATTCGACACCCGTTGACGGATAAGTCAACTACCCAGCGATGACGGTTGTTCTCGTATCGAATACAACCGGTGTGACGCGACCCGCGGCGCAGCTTGGGCATGGCGTCGCCTCTCTCGCTTAAAAGTCTGTCGTCCAAAGCAAGCTGGTAAGAACGTTCAAATTCCCGGTGCATAAGCAGTCTTGGATCCCACGGCCAATTCCATGTGAACAGGTCGCGGAAGTCGGCCGAAAAAATCGACTCATCCGACACGAGCAGCGGCTGCGGGGTAAAGTTGGACACTGCCTCTTGTAAATGCGATAGTTGGTCTGTCAGACCAGGGCCCCTGGTACCGTCAATCTCAGTCAACCAAAGCTTAAGCGCCGAGGCAATGTCCATTTGGCGTTGGTCTGCAATCACATGGCGAAAAAGCGTAGAATTTTATGTTACAAAAGGATAAAATTTTAAAAGCAAATAATAAAAAGGTATGAATGACACCCCTGGACGCCCTTGCAATACAAAGGCAGCAGGCTACCGAGTGCAGCAGCGACGAGAAAATCGATGCAGCAAGAATAACTTCCCTCCTGCAGCGAAACCTGCCGCCGCTACCTAAAGTGGTCACTCGCGAACCGGGGATACCATATCAAAGCATTAGAAGCACTAAAGAAAACAAAGTGGCAAAACACAAAACATGTGGTAGAGTGGAAACGCACAACCAACGAACACGGAGCAGCTACACGCTAGAGGGAAATACATAGGGGCATACACTGATATGGATATAAACCTACCAGTAGGAAGAAGGCCGGCGCCAATCATAGTTGCCACTACTAACAGTCTTTGGTTAGTGGGCATTGACAGCATTTTCGCCTCGAATTCCTCGCCCACAACCTCCCGAGAGGTATACTTGGGAAACATATACGGGAGAGCGGGGCTATCTTTCGTTTTCTTAACCCAAAAAGAGTACGGACGAATGGACACTATGGCGCATTGGTGCGGCAGAGGCTCTTCATCATCTTGAACCACGACAGGTATAACACGCATCTGAAGGCATCTCTGCAAAAGAGTAACTGAACGAAAAGAGATGGTAGATACCTGTTTCGTGAGGAGATTGTCGCAAATAAGATGGGCACGACGCGGTTCGTCATCTGTTGCGTCCTGGAGAGAGACTCCGCAGAAACCAAGAGGTGGATCGTCGTCGAAGATTATATTGTATGCACGTAGGTAACGCAAAATTTGCTCGCCATCCCTGGATATTGTTAAGCGTGAAAATGACCACCTACCAGTTTTCGGGAATTCCGAGCAAGGTAATACCAAGGACAAGTTGATAGTCGTACGGCTCGTTAAAAAAACTATACGTACCCTGCATCCTGAGAAAGCCGGATTTGGGGGTGACACAACATATAAGCTGTACGGGATATCCAACGAGTCATCCAAAATCCTCGGAGTTGGCCTTTACAACAGTCACCGCGTGAAGAATCACGTAAAACACAACACTACAGCAGGAAGTAAGCACGGGGAGATGGGTAACACCAACCGGGATCGACACAGAGGCCGGTAAAAGTGCTGCTTCAGAATCTTGGTGCTGCGCAATACCTTTAGGTGGTAGTATAGCTGATGCTCGGCAAAAATAATGAGGCGCTGTGCGCTCGAGCCAATTAACTTGCTTAGACGAACACGGCGAATTGGCAGTTACACATCAGTTTAAAATGGCGTCAAAATGACTTAATAGAGCTTGTAACTTCATAATTGCTTAAAAATTACCTACATGAAAATGTCGCACAATACATCTGTCTATAGCACATACAGCAGCAAGATAAACAGTTGAAGAACTTTTGCAGACATGGAAATTTAAAAAAACTTAATATGTTGTAATACCCGAACGGCGAAGGTGGCTATTTTCAGCGGCACGGCTACGACGCCCATGGCTGTCACGACTCTCAGCAGAAGGCCTGGCAAACATTCCATAGGATGCGCACTGTTGTTTTTAGCAGCATGGATACGTGTTGCTGTGGTGTGCAGCTGGAAAGTTCATTCGAGAGTTGGAAGATCCGCAGAAATATGCCACAGGAAATTATTCCTCGCTGGACACGGAACGGAGACCCCGCAACGGAGACGGCGCATGTCTAACGAAATTGCCGAACTGGAGACCAAATGGCAACGTTTCTGGGATGATAATGAGGTCTTTAAGGCAGAAGAAGGTGGAGAATTTGAACGGGAAATTGCCCACGCACTGCCAGGTGAGTTGTCTAACCAGCAGCCATCGGAGGAAAAACACATGAGAGATAATTATACCAATAGACCCAAGTTCTATGGACTTTGTATGATACCTTACCCATCAGGAGATGGGTTACATGTGGGACATCTCCTGGGTTATACCGCGTTGGATGTAATATGCCGGTACAAACGGATGAAGGGGTACCGTGTACTCTGTCCTATAGGTTGGGATTCCTTCGGACTACCAGCAGAACGATATGCCGAACAGGTCAATCGAGATGTTAGGGAAGTTACAAAAGAAAACATAGAGAAGTTCAAATCACAAGTCAAACGAATGGGATTCGCTTACGACTGGTCTCGGGAACTGGCAACCAGTGATCCAAAATACTACAAATGGACACAGTGGATGTTCCAACGGTTTCATGAATGCGGCATAGCATATAGAGATAAGCAAATGGTTAATTGGTGCCCAGAGCTAAACACGGTGCTCGCAAATGAGGAAGTCAAAAATGGACTCTCAGAACGCGGTGGCTACCAGGTCTACCGCAAGGGCGCGGAGCAGTGGTTGTTACGGATATCTCAGTATGCCAAGAGGTTAACAGAAGGTCTTGACTCGTTGGAATGGCCTTCGGCAATTGTCGACGCGCAAAAAAAGTGGATAGGGCTGGAACATGGGTATAAGGTTACCTTTAGATTGGAAAACAGTGATCATGCAACAATTGCCTTATATGGTTTTGAAACAGATTTAGAACGTATTAAGAATGTGGAATGTATTGAAGTCACCGTGGATATGGATAATCTATCGGATTTCGTCCATCCATCAGCCGCGGGACGTGTGGAAAATCTGGTACAAAATGCTTCCAAAATGTCAAACTTGGAACGATACGATAACAAGTTGCTAGAAGATACTGGAGTGCGGGTGTTGAACCCTATTACCGGGCAGCCGATAAAAGTATTCGTCACAAATACACCCTTGCTTTTTTCAAAACCGATTAATTGCCGGATCGTCTCACGGAACCTCACACAAAGCAATGATACAGACCTAGGAAATAACGTCACTCCTAAAGAACACGGAGTGAGTGGATTGGACCCCAGTAACACTTGTAGTTTGATAAATGTCGAAGTCAAAAATAGCTATACAGGCAGTGATACACAGCCCGTAGGATCACATGAACGTGGGCCTGATATAGAACCATTCGTCAATGTGAAGATGAAAGATTGGATATTTAGTCGATGTAGATACTGGGGAGAACCCATACCGTTGAAACGACATGATGGGCAATACATACCGGTAGACGAAGAGTTATTGCCACTAGAAACGGGACCGGAACACGAAGAAACGATGCCACAGTGGGCTGGATCGTCATGGCACTATTTACGATTCTGTGACCCGTCAAATGATAAACTACCCTTTGATAAAAATCGAGCAGAGACGTGGATGCCTGTCGATCTCTATGTGGGAGGAACGGAACATACAGTTTCACATCTGCTATATGCCAGATTTTGGAACAAGGTGCTTTTCGATTTGGGCATTTCGCCCGTGGAGGAACCATTCAAAAGGATACTTTTGCATGGCATAATAAGGAATGCGACTTTCTCGGTCAACGGACAACCCATAGATCCGCAGCTGGTAGTGAAACACAAGGGGCGCTATGTACTGCAAGAGGATCAGAAAACGGAAGTAGATGTCAAACTAGAAAAAATGTCTAAATCTAAAAACAACGTAATATCTCCGGATGATATTATTGATAATTACGGGGCAGATGCACTGAGGCTACACCTACTGTTCCTCGGGCCGATACGAAAAGATAAGGTCTGGTCTGAAGATGGTTTGGCTGGTGTAGCTAAACTATTAGATCGTATATATGACTTATTCAGGAACGTTGTAATCACCGAAAACAGTGACACCACAACTGAAGTGAATAAGCTGGTGGAGGATATTACTTGGGATATTGAAAATCATCATTTTAATCTGGCTGTAGCTAGCTTTTTCAAGTTCTGTACATATCTTGAAAATATAACCAAGAACGGAACTATGGAGCGGAATGTCGCTAATACCTTTCTGCGATTGTTGGCGCCATTTGCCCCGCACCTTGCCGAGGAGCTCTGGCATCTGTTAAACCCAAATTTCATAGGATCTATACTAAACACGTCATTTCCGCTGGCTGTTCTGTAAATTACAGTTTGTATATATCATACTAACTTAAAACTAATGTATCATTATTTGCCAATTGAATTATCTATTTGCGGTATCATTTCAAATCCGCCAGTTCCTACAAGGCATGTGAAATTGCTAATCCTCATCTAACCTCCTTCAAATGTTTTATGAGAGCACTGTCGTCATATTGACTAGCTGACAATATCTCAATTTGTTTTTTGATGGCAGTCTTGATCAAACTGATGAGTTCCTCTTTGCTCTTCTGTATCAAGTTGTTGTAGCAGGGCTTACCCTCCAGCGGTCTCAGATCATGTGCAACGCCTTTAAAGTCACGAAAAACACCTGAAAGCTGTTGAGAAGATTCTTAATCAGTATGCAACAACGATATCACGTCTGGCAACAGATGCTGCAGGGCAACATACCCGGGAAGGCTGATATTTGGTAGCACTTTGTATACCCATTTGCATCCACGTTTTCGTGATCCTCGAACTCAGTAATGGGATAACATTTCAGCCTGCGCTTTTCCAACTGTTCTCGGTAGTTATAGTTGGCAGGCGGCCAATCTGGCAACACGTACCACCATCTATGCAATAGTATAATCTAAATTATTATACATACCTAGAAAGTAACTGTGCAACCAAAACATCCATATCACTGCGATTTTTGCTGTAATGGCCGACTTGTAGATCCTCATTTTCTCCGTCAATCTGCGACGCAGGTGTGTTTTGCGTCATATAATCAGTTTCACTCTCTCCTGCTGTTCCCTGCGTAAGCCCCTCTGTCAAACCTTATTAATGCATCGAAAAGGCTCACCATCATCTTCGGAGTCATAATTTTCGCCACTTAAAAGCGCATGGCGTTCAACCTCCACTTTCGGGTGTATTTTGGTTTCACCCATCGTATAGACTATCGCTCTTTGTAAGAATGTTTCATGACAGATCAGCTAATGATCTGTACACGGATGTATATTGTGCTGTGTTAAGACGCCAAGGTCAGGTTATATCAGGAGAAGAACACAGGAGTACTACAGTTGGAGGCAACCAACAAAATATCCACGTTGTAGGTTAACCCAGACTACTGTAAAACCCCAAAATCATGTATAATGCTAGTATTGCAATTCACTGTAAACTACGGTATCTATAATGGGCGAATCGCACGCTTTATAAGCTACCTATTATAGGATCAGAATGCGACGCTTTCCGATGAGCAGACAGAAGCAAAAGAACGAGTTATCATTTACTGTAGCCAGCATATGACGTAAAGACCACTAAAACGATATCAAGAGCAAAAAGGGTCGCTGAGTATTCCTGCAGGTAGCTTTTACACATGCATTCTTCAAGGTCCGTGCTACATCTATGGCGTGTCTGTCTCAACCGCAGCTCCCCTTATATCGCGTTATACCGCAAGAAGGTATTCATCGTGAAATGACGAGACAATAATTGTTATGATAACGATGGATTTGAGGAAGCTCTTCGACGTGGATTCCACCGATGAAGGGCAATAACAGCTCAAACACAGGTAAAACCCCTAACACACACACCTCAAAAAAAAAGTTGTTTCGTGAGGAACACACTGTGTGCAATAAAGTTTGACATTCAGCTTGCCTTCCCCACCATCCAACGCATGGATGAGAGTCGTCCTAACGAAAAAACGATCGCGACTATTGTAACGCGTCCCAGTCAGGACATCTGAGATAGTCCTACTTCGGGGACCAACTAACATAGATTACAACGAACCTTGTTGCGCGTATTGCAACCGGTGTTCCTAGGAAAATAACGTGATAGATCTAATGTTAACGCAGATGTATGCCTTGTGTTTTTGATTTGTAAACTAAATATGTTTTGTTTTGTTATTTTAAAAAAAAAGTTGCTATTACTCTTAAGGAGCTAGTAAATATCTAGAAATCAGTGCGCCGTCCACTAAACCTAAAATAAGGCTGACCTGCAAAGATGACAAATATGTTAGATTTAAACTTTCGCCTCGTCAGTGGTAAAGCAATTGCTCTAAGTGTTCCATCTGACAAACTTATATCCCACATCAAGACATCCATCGCTAGGGAATGTGATATCGCAGCCGAAAACCAAAGGCTCATATTCAGGGGCCAATTGTTGAATAACGAACGTACAATCGGATCGTACTACGTCGAAACCGGTGATACGATACATGTAGTTGGCAATGCATCGGCAAACACCGGAGACCAGCAGCAGACTCAGACTCAAAAGGACGCCCAAAATGCACAAAACAATAAAGGGAAACCTCCGTTCAACTTTGGAGAAACCGTGGCTTCATCGATGGGTATGCTTATGCGAGAATTTCTAACAAACCCGGGGAATGCAAATGGACCTCTGTCTGGCCTGACCGCAGCATTTGCCGACGGGGCGTTCCAAACTCGACCAACACAAACATCCAACACTTCAGATCGACACAACGTTGATTGGACCACTGATAGTGAAGGAACAGAAAGGTTGCTGAGACAAAGTATGCAATTTGCGCAACAGTTGAGCGGTGCGCATGGTGAACTTGGAGATGTTGCATCTAAACTGCTCTCAGGTGTTATGGGAGGTTTCTTAAAGCCGGAGGGACGCAGAAGCACGCATTCCCCTCAGACGGCGTCATCCAATGATGCCAAAAACTCCAAAGCGCCTGTTCAAGAGACCCAGACACCCACGGTACGGGAAACCCATACGAACGATAACATCTCCAAGCCTACCAACGACAGAACGGAAGAGACTCGTCGGTCTGTTCAATCCGCCGTAACCAGTGCAAAGGATACCCTTAACCGGGTATGTGATTCTTTGAAGCGATTAGGCTCGGAGTCAACCACCTGCACCGATAAATCTGACAAGAATAGCACAATTGATGCAGACATCGACCCTTTGGTGAAATCCGAAGCCAATATTACAGTGAAACATACGTCTAGCGGCAGTTTCCTGAGTGATTCAAAGGGAGTTAATTCGATGTTACCGTGGACACTTTTGCATTCGCTCGAAAAGGAGCTGGATATAGTGTACCAACCAAATGATGACAACCGAGGCGTTAACGACTTCATGAAGCGTTACCGCCATGCCCAAACTAAGGCAAATCACGCTGTAGGCGTGTTAGAAGAAATATCCGATCGATCGCAGCGAATCGACTTAGATACAGTCTCTCAGATTGCTGTAATATCTTCGATCCAAGCTGCATTGCAAAGTGAGATTGCATTGATTGCCGCAGTTTTATGCAAAAAAGCCTCACAAGCGCCGACCGCGGCTCAGGGTAGCAATGCGACAACTGCGAATGCAGAAGAAACGCGCACCACGTTACTTAGTAGTTCATCCACCACCTTGCCGTCCACACGTAGAGCACCTTTGGAAAGTGCAACATATTACGGGGACAACACTAGTGTAAATCAGACATTCTCAAGTGCATTGGCGTCCTCAGAACGTGGAGGTAGGCACGGTGTCGGCACTTCTGCGACAAACAGCATAAACGACGACTTTGGACGCAATTTAAGTGCACTCCTTTCCAGCTTCGGTCAAATGCCGGAATCTGCCATGATGCAAGGGTATCCACCCTCACCTATCCCTACTTCTACCTACACGACTAGTGACGACGTGCTTCTAGATTCCACATGGCTTCGTCGCCAGTTCAACCAGTACTTTAATAGCACAGGTTTCAAGTCGAGAATGGACGATCTCGTCCGGAAAACAAAGAACCTGAGCGACAACTATTGTAAAGGCACTCCTTCCAACCGGGAGCCATAAAACCACAAACCGTTTCAAACTAACGCTTTAAAACCTTTTGTTTTATCAAATTTGTTGCATTGTGTGTCGCGGTCGCGTCTTCATGATAACATGTGTAGCGCGCCTTTCGTGCCATACTGCTACTAGTGGCCTTACTACGACACATGGGAAATGTATTCCCGAATCTTGGTTCTCACCTTCGACAAATCATTATTTCGCATTTAGACACGCACTGTACTGCGCGATGAGCCTAAAGGAGGTCTTCACCTTCCGCAGGGTAGGCGAATATATCAACTAGGCGACGTTTCACAGGTCTGCGCTTCTGTAATCGCCGTCAATGGGATCTATATGTATGCTCAATATCGTAGGCTGGTACTATGGCGTCCTGAGTACAAGGATGCTGGTCGCCCTGAAGGTTAGTAAGTGGATAGATTGTTCAAAATCGATTCAGAGAAGCATAGAATTGCCATATTTGACAATATCGCACCCACTTATGACTTAACACACAATATAACCCATGCGGTGAGTGTCAATGCGACGCGTTCTCACTTGTAGAAACTAGGCATAACCGCTGCCAAGGCAAATATGCTGGAACGCGCTAAGGGACATGTTCTCGACGTAGCCGCAGGTACATTGGAAAACTACAGGCTGTACAGGGGGATATCTAGCCTCACAGCAGTAGACAAAAGTGTGATGATGTGTCTAGAGATGAAACGTAAAATCGGTAGGTCTCCCATGCAAACCTTGAATTTTTTCGTCTGCATTCCACCTATTGGAGCCAATACGCCTGCACATAAACGTTTGTAAAATACGGGTGCACGGTATAGAGATAGCCTTGAAATCCCTTTATCATAATGGCATCCCCAATAACGTGGTTTGCAGCACGTTCCAGTTGTTCAAACATCGTTGACTGACCATATTTACAGAGGCTGCAAAACCCGATTACCCAGTGACTATTGTATGTGCGGATGCATCAAACCTGCCTTTCAACGATGAAAGCTTCAACACCGTAGTGACGACCCATGGACTCTGCTCAGTCGAAAACCCCGAAGCTTGTCTACACGAGATTGCGAGGGTTATGAGACCAAGAGCACGATATTTTGCGTTGGAACGTGGCCGAGTGTACTATAGTTCTCTGCGCCGATTGCTGTAAGCTTGTTTCATGCCGCCCACATAAATGGGTTCAGAGAATGGCTCAAACTGTATCCTAACCCCGCGATCCCGTGGAAGTACGGTTATTTCGAAGACCGTGATCCTCTGTAAGTCACACCGTCTGGAACTCAATATTTTAAGGGCACTCTTGACAGGATGCAGTAGCCTAGTAGTGACGGACTTCGCCGTCTTTGGGTATGGCATGAACTACTCCATAGTGGCCAGGCGGGCATACAGCGAAAAGGTTTCGGAATTTACAAACGAACCTCGTTTACACATCGATGCAAAGATCATATACCAATATACACCAAAGAACGATTGATACTGCGGTGCCGCATGGGATATCGGTACGGTATTCCAATGTACGCTACTATTAGAACATGCCTGTCTAGATAATAATCTATCAGTGTCATTTAAAACATTTAGCGATGCGATTGTTGGTATTTCTCGATCAGCCCAGAAAAGGCAGCAAAGCCTATACATCCACCAACGCTGGCGAAGGGTCCACCTACGGTATATATACTTAAGAATTTTCGGCACCTACTATTGAGACCCAGAAAGGCTCCAGATGCACAACCCGCATACAAAGCGTTGCGTATGTCAGCTTTCGCGCGGCGCTTCTGGATTATGCACTCGAATAACGAATATATGAAGCCCAGCTTCGCGAAGTTTCGAGCCGATGACTTAACAGCGGGCAACAATTGCCTAAACTGAGCGCGCATTTGATTGCGGAAGCCTGCATTCTCCAACGGATCTGCCCCGTGCACGACGTTGCTGGCTTGGAAGGTGAAAAAAAATGTTCCAAAGAGCGCCCCTGCATGGGTTCAGAGCACGTACATCGGTACAAACCTATCACTGCGCTGCTAACGCCTATTACTGAGGCTCGAACAAGGCAATTTTCGGATACTTTTTGCTGAATCAGCAAAATGTCACGGATGGCAGAGTCCTCTGGGCTCTGCTGGTTGCCTAGCAGACGATGATGGACATACCGATCCGACAGAAATACTCTGGTAAAATCGTCCCCCATTGAGCGGAGGTTCCCAGTGACCCCCGCGGGTCAGCGGGCCAACGCCAGACAGTGTGGGTGTGTGGACACATACAGCTATCCGCCATGATCCACTTTTTCGTGTCTTAAATGTTTAACTAAACGTTTTAAAAAACGTGCCATTCGATGTGTGCAGTGATTTACATGTGATTTGAGATTTGTGTCGTGATACAGTGTGTACGTCTGTGTACTTGGTGAAGGTACCTAACTAGTTCCGTTGTACGACATGTGTAAATGCAGCTGTTTTGTTGGAGTAATCAGATGTTTATAACAACCATTTTCACAAGGGACAAGTGAGCCGAACCTTGCACCAAGGAGACATGATAAGACGCGCATCAGGTACCATTGTGTTTCGGAGCAGCAGGAACTAGGAAAAGGTTGTGCTGGCAGCAGCAGCTCACATTTTAATCATAGGGGGGCTAAACGTAAGATAGCAAATCCCCTAACGTGTCCAAAGGACATATGAGATCGCAAAACAAAACGAGACATCCACCATTACCTCGTCACGGATGCTAAGGGAGAGACTTTAGACGTCGAATGGGTATTTGCACGTGTGGACGTGTAGGTGTACAGGATAGGTGTGCATTACGATCCCTAAAAAGGGCCGGCTTAATTTTTTTAAAATGAAGGCACATCTGTTTGTCCTAGCCATTGGCTTGTGGGCTGTTTCCCAACCGTTGGTCGGTTCAATAGGGCCAATGGACGGAGTTAAGACTGACGCCATCACTCGAATAGTTGTACCTGCCCATGCAGAAGGGTTGTTGGGAGTTAACGTCTCTCCTATGAAGCAGTCAAGCAAATATGTCAACTTTCACGGAGATCAGGCATTCAGATTCGAAGAACTCTTGTCGGATGCAGAGATAGTGCACAGCAAATTGGTGCCGATTATGCGGGAGTTATACTTTCGCATATTTAGGGTAAACCTTGACTCACCATGCACTCTGCGCGAACGGAACGACACCTGTTCTTATGGCAACGACGGCGAACATGTATTTGAAGGGGGAGCAACTGATTCATCCGGAAACTCGGAATGTATCCCCAAATGTTACGTCGGTCGCTGCCAACCACACGAGGTGACTTCAGAGCCCATGCTTGACGGTCTCGAGCACTTTGTGCTTAGGTACTCCAACGACGAAAAATTGGTTGATATGGATCCCAAGGACCTCTATTCTAACAACCCGTGGTACAAGGACATCTTGGGTATGTACTCGAAGAACGCAGGGAAAGCTGTATACGTGGACCTGATGCACAACCCACCCTCGCACACGGGTTACCGTGGTGGCGAAGACTGGAATGTAATCTACGATCTGGAATGCGATTGCGGTGACGAGGTGCCATGTGAACAAACGGAGCACTTGTTCCGACTGATATCTGGAATGCAGTCGTCCGTTGCCGCATGGGCGGCGTGGAATTACAAATGCGTCAATCCTGTAGCGGCTTACCAAACAAAGACTGAACTTCCGCGATACACAAGCAATCCGGACCTATACTTTAAAATGCTGGGCAATCACCCTGAGAGGCTGGAGAACCTGTATTACGCTTTCCAGACCATGCTTAAGACCGTCTGCCGGCTCTCGCCCTTCCTCAAGGGCTTCGCAAAGAACCTAGGACAACAGGAGGGACGTGAGCATTTACAAAGGAGTCTTTTCGACCTATTAAGCGTGGAATACGACCTTTGCCGTGACGTCGAACCTGCTTATGATGTTCGATCCAGTGAAGTGTGCGAGCCAGCACAGGGATGTGTGCCGTCGGCTCAATTAAAGCATCCCGCACTGCTGAATAAATTTCATGACCTTTCTGACATAGTTGATTGCGTCGGGTGCGAAAAGTGCCGTTTGCATGGGAAGTTGAAGCTAACGGCTCTGCAAATTGCAGTGCGTGCCTCAGGCCAAGCCGAACGCATCGTCCTAGAGCGCAACGAAATTGTTGCACTGCTTCACGCTCTCGACTACTTTGCGGAATCTATCATTTTTGTGCACAAGTTTGACGAGTTGAAGAAAAGACAACTTGTTCTATACCCACTGCGCGTTATTGTCACATTGCTGGTAATGCTGGTTGTCACCTATCGTCGCGAACTGCGACAGGCATTGTGTCAATGCCACGCTGCTCGCAAAGATCCTGAAGCAGCTGATAATGCAGAATGAGGTCACAAAAATCAATTTACTTTTTTAAATCTATAAAATGATTGGTTGGTGCTTTGGGCACAACTTATTTGACTAAGAGACTGCGAATATCGCCAGTGGTATTGGCAACTAGCAGCCTATGTTGTCCTCCGAATTCATTAGCTGCCATTAGGGTTGGGTAAGTGAGACCACCGAGGTCGGTCGTCAACAACGAGGCTCGGGTATGTAGGTCATATAGCTGCAGCATTGGCGTCCCATCCTGTACGCCGCTAAGACACACGCAGTCGTTAGGATCACAGATGGCGCCCAAAGTCCTGAACTTGGGCGTCGATATCTCACGCTTGAAGCCGCTGCACGCACTTAGGGAATTAAGCATGCGCACATCCCAAAAAATCACAGGTGAATCCCCAGCCGACACCAGCTGGATGTATCGGTTGCTTATTGCGCATGCCACAACCTGGCAGTCGCTGAATTGGTGGCATATCTCGTGGTTCCAAATCGGAATATGAGGAGAACGGGGGTCCCAAAGAGCTAGACTGCCATTAACAGTAGCAGTAAGTAGCAGGCCACTTGCACAGTGTACGGAGGCCAAAGGGCCGTTGTGTTCGTCGAAGACGCCGATAAGTCGCACTGCCGAATTCGTTACCTGGAACTGCTTTACAGTTTCGTCGAAACCGCCGCTTGTAAGGACGCCGTCACTGAAACTGATGCAACTGATACCATCGGCATGCATTTGTTGGCGATGAAGGAAAATACCTTCGTCCGAGCCTCCAAAGCTCGCCTTGTCTATTCGTGAAGGTATATTTGTGCCAGTCAGTCCATCTTGTACGGCTAGTATTGCATCCAAGTTGCACATTGTCATGTAACCGCTGCCGGAACATACACATAGATGACCCTTCACCCATGTGGCGCATGTCAAGGGTGTGCGATCCACAAACGTATGTACAACCACATCAGGACGCTCAACGTGGCGGAGGGCGATCGACCCCTTCTGCGATAGTGCGTATGTTATGTCTGTAGAAGCGAACCCAACTCCAGTAATCTTGCCCCCAAACCTGTCCAAGGTTTGTAGCTCCATGTCATCTTTTCGGAGGTCCGCGACTATGCTGCGCAAATAGCCTTCGCAACACCCCTGCGATATCGTCCTGCCGATACGCATACAATCGCCTGGTTCCGTGTCAGTACCACCCAATATCTCACTATTGTAGTTCACATAAATGAACCACGGTGCATTGGCTACGGGGTGGTCGTTGGGCTGCCAGTGTGGATGGCGCAACCTGCGGTATATGAACGCTGTCAAAGTAGACATACCTTTGGGGATGAGGGGTTTCAAACAGTATCACAGGCGCCTGTCCGAACTCACGAACATGCACAGATATGGCCTTGGGCTCCATGGTACGCAACAAATTTTGAGTTGCGCCTGTCATTGGCAACTTGCCAACTCGAACCGATGATAGATACGAGAGAGGGTGGAACGTGTTGTCACTCTTGATTGATTCCTGAAGGCTTCATTGGCAATAATAACTAGTGAGACTCACCAATCCTGCCTGCTTATATCCGAATATGAGATCTATCCATTCGTGAAGGTGTTTGGAGACATGTTCGCTTTCGAGCGCGTTACGCATCTGTGTCATGAACTGTTCGGACGAGTTAGCTGCCCATCTGGGAAGTTCAACATCGCAAAGTCGACCGTCCTGTGTTGTTACGTTAAGTTGATTGCGTAGAAACGAGTCATCCCCGCTGTAGAACTCGGGGATAAGTTCGAAGAATGTGGAGTGGCCGTGGAGCACATTGTGAAATGTTTCCGAAATGCTCTTGAATGTACGTGCTGCAGCATCGAACTTTCCGCTATATAAACGCAATTGGCACTCAGGTTGCAGGCGTATCAAGAAGAATACGACCAAAGCGGGTGTCGAATAGTGAGAGCAGTAGAGGTAGAAGCCGTTGTTCCACATGCGCATTAGGCAGGTGTCGCACTTCTCATCACCAGACTCGCACATATGAGCTTCTGCGGTTTCTGTGGCGTCGAAATTCGACTTGTCGGCCAGATGCAGTGTGTTCATACGATTTTTGAGGTGAGCTAAACGATCGTTGTTCAGGGCTCCTATCGGTTTAGAAAGGTCCCTGAAGCTCTTTGGGTCTTTGAGATCAAGCGATGAACTCTCGTAATCGGCCAGCACCCACGGGTATATCGGATAATGTGACATGTCGTACCGAGAACGGCCAGAAATGCAGTTAAGAAAATCTATGTACTGGAAGTTCGGCAAGATGCCACGTCTCCAAAGTTGTGTCATCTCATTACGAAACGCTCGAGACTCCAGCGCATAAAATGCTCGGGGTATCATGTTTCTCAACGTGCTGGTGAACTTTTCTCGGTCATCCTCGCGTTTGAATTCGAGGTACAGGCAACTATACAATTTACGTGAGCTCTTCACGCGCTTCTCTAATGACTCCTCGGGGAGTGAAATTATTTCTAATGCCGTTGCCGACTCACCCTTGGAAGGTATACCGCTATCACGTTTGAATATGTGAAGGATGCGTTCGATAGGTATGCGCTTACATGATTTGCGCGAGAAGTTTGGGCAGGGCTCGAAATAGAACGCTCGATCCGTAAGCGCAGCATAGCCACCGTGACGGACCATTCGTTTCAATCTCCAGCAGAACACAGATTCCGGATGAACGCTGGACGATGCACAACCAAGTATCGGCTTCTCCCTGGGCTGGATCAACGTTTGGCTGAACCCACCCGTCTTGCGTATATTAGGAACATCCATATCCACGTTTAGCCTATACGCTCCCCAAAGGCGCATATACTCGCTCAGCTGCTCGTTATGCATAGTGTCGGTGGTGTACGCAAATATGAAGACGAAACCAGGAAGGTTCATCGAGGCGGCAGAATTTGCCTCTGTCGCACCGACGGGAGTTTTAGCGGAACTGGAGGCGTTCCCCTTGGCGATGTGCACATCGTATGCAGACAGAAAACGCGTCTTTCCATTGTATATTGTCGTAGGCACAGACGTTACTCTTGTGCAGGAGACGAAAATACCCTTCGAGACGTGCACGCTGTCGCTGATCGATGTTATGTTCTGAAAATGGAGCTTTAATATCGGAGAATCGAAAGCGTCTGGCTCAAATATGAGTGATTTAGTACCCAGTCTGATGCGTCCTTTGCGTACTGAAGATGTGTTAACATTACGAGGCCTAACCTTACCCCTGTTACGGCAAGAATTCGCATTCTTCAGAGATTCTACAAACTGCGGCCAAGTAGAGGCAGTAGTTTCGGACGGAAAAGGCGATACCAAGCTGCAGGCAGCGTCGCATACGTAGTCTTCGCCCTCTTCCAGCAGTACTAGGTCGAAACTGCGAACGGTGGACAACATCCTTCCTCCGTCTGCTCATGTCGGAAGAAGAGTCACTGATGAGCGCACCATACCAGTATACTAAAACTAAAACAATTCTGTAATTATCGCATTGATGTGTTAGGTAAGGGCTTCGTATTACTTGGGCGCTTTGACTAGGCGTCGCGGCAGCAGTCAATACACACATAACATGTATACCCTTCAATTGTTTCGTTCCTTCAACCGACGTATCGTCGGCTTGAAATATATGCAGCACGTCTGGGCATCACGGACGTTTCTAGGATCAGGCGCAACGAGATGTTACGGCGTCCTAGCCAATGGCAACAGTAAGAGGGGAATTTCGACCTTCGTCGGCAAACCTTCCGGCACTGATACAAAGCATTCAGTAAATACTGAAGAATCTGAGCTGTATGAAGGCAGAGATGCGTTGCCTTCCACGGGAGAATGTTACGAAAGCCTATACGCTCTAATAGAGGAACACAACGGTACCACCAAGGGTATACTACAGAAGATGCTGCCGGTGGAATTCATGCGTGATGTGTTGACTAGCATTCACGATGCTACGGATCTATCATGGGCCGCAACTATTACAATGCTCACGCTGTCACTGAAGGTCTGTTTCGTACCCCTCTGGGCAATGGGTGAACGCGCCAGGAGAAACAATGCGCACCTCGTTCCTATTGCTTTGGAACTGCAAGAAAAACTCAAGGAGGCACAAAAATCTGGAAATGTCAAGCAAGCTATGGAGATACAGAGGGCATTGTACAAACAAATGACAAGGAAGAAGTTTCTACAAGGCGCGGCGCTTCAACTTCTAGCAGCCGGCACACAAGGGTTGACCTTCGCTTGGGTATACGGTGGTCTCAAGATGTTCGCCATCGAGCCTCGATATTGCCCGGGGTTTGTGCTGGAACACCCTATGTGGCTAGAAAGCCTAGCATTACCGGATCCATACTACATATTCCCAGCCACCCTGTGCATCCTTATGACGTTGATATATGAGATGAACCGTCGAACTGCGGAACAAATGCGCAAATCATCGGGAGCTATGAGCGCAGCGATGCTAGAGCAGGAAGTGCGACAGACAAAGATGAAGTACTTCACCAGAGCAGCCATAGCTGTGTTCGCGTATTTCAGCTGTAACATGACGTCGGGTACATTCTTCTATTTAATACCCTCTTTCGTGTTTCAAAGCATTCTGCGGTATGCCAGCCAGGGGGTCGGGGTTGCCAAAATTCTAAAATTGCCGATACCAGCACCACAAAAGGTGACCAAGATGGAAAACAGGCATTTTCAAAAGGTCAAAGGGTTTTAAGCGAGGCTTATGTCCAGTATTGGGCACCACTTGGAGTCATGATGCTTCGTACATTTGGTTTGCCCCGTATGGTAGATACCAAAACAACTTAATTTTCATAGTAAGAAGTAGTTGTATGACCCTAGAACTGAGAACCAGCACGGTAATATACTACACTGGAACGCAGCAGGGCGATGTTCAAACAGTTCTTGATGCTGACGACCGTGGAGGTAAGACTGTGGCACGTGCAGCCTTTCAAGGGTTCGTGTTTTATGGCGTGATTTATTGGTACTAAACTGTGGCACTTATCATATATCTGAAGTAAGTCATATCTAACTTTATCTTACTTGAAATACATTTTAGCCTGCGCACCCCCGTTAATGAGATATTTGAGAGAGTGTTGACAAGTTAGGTGTATACCTGTTTCAGTATAACTGGAGTCATAGGCCAGCTCCCTAGGTTATGGTCGCAGCCTTTAACGGCCCCCTCTTCGGTGATCTGTTGAAAGCCATCAAGCTCTTCCTACTCTATATTCGCTATTACTTCTTGCTCTACCTTCTCACATTCTGGTTAGTGGTGATGGCATATCTCACATATGGTATGCTGCTGCCACTGGGCCTACTATACATTAGGTCTCATGGGAAACAACCATCTACTCACTGGGTGTTACCAGTCCATTCTCACAGAAGACAATGGAACCTTGTCATCTGTGATATTTTAAACCATAGCACATAATATGACTATCGGTGATGTAGCATAACAATATATTTTAATATTTAAAATAAGCACATCCCATAGTTGATAATCTTCGTGTGACAATGTATATACATCTTGGTAGTATACTATTGTGGTTCTATACATTAACCTGTATACCGAGGTATGAATCGTCATCAACAGAGAGGACAATTAATGATTAGATATCTCATAACAACCAATTTATTTGTGATATAAACCCCCTAAAAGTTATCAAACAACATCTATTGTATGTAATGCGTCACATCTTAGTGAAATAGTAATATTATATTGGAAAACTCATCTTTTGTAACGGGGTCAGGCACCCTTCTTGACCACGTAGTTACCCATAGACCCAAATATCTGTGCTGCAGACTATATTATTGTGGAATCTCATTAGTTATCATGTTAGTGACAAAATATTGTACGTTCGTGTTATTGCAGCCAAATTGTTTACTTCCCCCAAACATCACACTTCTGGCTACCTAGATGTTCAGTGGTCACACAATTTACCGCATTCAGTGTTTAGTCAGGCTTCAATATTCGGTAAAGGGGCAGGGCTTCCATCTCTTATACTCGGTTTCCTTGCATCAACGAACGAATGAATAGTCATATATACGTGCTTGGTCATTTAAATCCGGTAAGGAATATAGCACACGAATAATAGATAAATTGTAAACTGCATTGCGTAATTAAAGCATAAGTTAGTACCGTGAAATGTAAATTGGTTATACGAAAACAAGACGCACGGGTGTTTCCAAAGCTTCCATAATGTAATACACCAATCTCCGGTAAATTTGGGTATATTCATATGGCGTTGTGAATTTGTCCACAAGAGTAGCTTTGTTACGTCCAAATATCACACTGGCAAGATGTTGTGAGATTTCGTTGACAAAGAAATTTGATATTATACCAGATGGCAATCCAGCAATCCTACGCATGACATTGGCAGGGAGCTTGATATTACTTTTGTCCTTAATTCCACGGAATATGTGTTCATATTGTTTATGCGATTCTTCTGTCGGCGTATATTCGCTTACTCTATCAAGGAGTTGTTGTAAACGTTGCTGAGCAACTTCGGGACTCTTGAACCAAGGCAAGCTAAACCGCGGCATCCAGCTTTTCTTTTGAGCTGGCTCATTATTATCACCTGAGAGGTTAGCACTTTCTCGCTTAGGTACTTCTACTGCAACTTCCTGGGTGACTTCATCGCCCATCTCTGCGGGTACTTCACTGCCCATCTCTGCGGGTTCTTCACTGCCCATCTCTGCGGGTTCTTCACTGCCCATCTCTGCGGGTCCTTTTAGCGCCTCCTTGATGAAAGATTGTAGCATGTGACGATGGCGATCCCATGTGATTCTCTCGTCCCAATATACAGGACGAGGGCCGTAACGTGCCTCCAATACCAAGTCGCCAAGGTACCCAGAGAGCCTGTCCAACAAATAGGTGGGAATCGGACCAGGTGTCAGTTCACCTATCAGTTTCTTAAGCTTTTCTTTAAATACAGTCTCATTTTTGTTTTTCAATTGTTTGAATATTTTTTCATATGGTTTAAGACGCTTGTCTGCGGTGGTATGTTGACTAATTTGGTCAATCACTTCTTGAAAAACCGTATCGGCGATATCCACCTCTTTAGGTTCTTCACTGCCCATCTCTGCGGGTTCTTCAGCGATTGGCCGAAGGTTTTCTTCAAATCCTCTAAGTTGTTCTTCAATTTCACCAACTACTTCTCCAACTTCCCTATCTATTACATCTCCATCACCAAGAGCGTTCGCAACAGCCTTTTCGTAGGCATCAAGTTCCTTTTCAGTGTAGTCATCATCTTCATAATCGCCATCATCCCAAATGTCTTGTTTGATTTTTTTACCACATAAACGGCGCAAACGATATTCACTTCTCGGTAAACGAACCGTGCGTCCTTCAGGAGCAAGATCAAGTCCATCATCTAGATCATTACCAGCGACAACCTGGACGAAAGCCACCAAGGCAAGGATTGACTTAGATAACTTAAATCCTGCCATCTTCAGAATGCTTTCGTTTTGCTTTTCCCTAATAACTAGATTTAATTTACGCGTCCTCGTTGATATTCAAGGTGGTACTAAATATTAATTCGATGGTACTACAAGGCTGAGTCCAATATTAATCCTGTGCTTCTAGGTACGATCGAGTCTAGTATATCTGACAATACGCGAGTATAAACACTAAAAATGCATCATGCCAGAAACCTATGCAACACTATTCCAAAGACAACGGGGCGTCACCGGATTCCGTTTTCCACCCAATATTTTACGATCGTATAGATCTTTAGAGCCCAAGACAACTATATGCATGTTATTGTATGTAATTGTCTCTACAATCTGGAGTTATAGGAAATATATTAGCAGTTTCGGTTTGATTTTATTGCCAACCATAATTTGAATTAGACGCCAGACATGGCCCGGTTAGCTACCGTTGCAGCTCCCAACCCTTGTCTAATACGTTAACAATAAATATTATACCGAATTATAGACGTTTTTTAGATTTCTCAGGTGAATGCCGAATTTGTCACAATTTCTTTCAATACGTAAGAATGGCATACTTTGTTCCCCTTCAATCCACTTCTGCCACTGGTTACATCTTATAACTATGCCGACTATATGCTCTGGTGTACAACCACCGACGTTGTAGTACTATGTGTTATCTCCACGTAGAACGTACACGTTGTCGCCTTTTGTAACGGAACAAACAAGAAGTTGCTCTACATCCTACGTTCACATCGATAATTTAAGCTGTCTTTGATCGCCACTATACCATTGCAGTATCATCATACGGCAAAGATAATTTATCAATCTCCATGACAATAACATTGATATTGTTTATAGCCCGAAAATGGTTTGCAATTTTTGAAATTGAAGAAGCTGAAGAGACCGAGGTAAGAGGGTACCATTAAAAATCACTTTCATTGTATACTACAAAAATCAACACTACACTAGTCATCAGCTATTGAAGTCTCAAGCTGTTCTATTCTCTTTTATTGTTAATATATGGAAATAAGTATGTTGGTGGAGATGTCTGTGAAGTGTTCTACCAACCTCACCGAAAAAAATTTAATACAACAGTTGTACACTATATTATTGTAGATTATGATTAGTTATCATGTTACGGATACTATATTGGATTTTAGTTATGTGACAACCAAGATAAATACTCCCCGCGAGATGGGTAGAGATGGGTAGTGATGGGACCAAAATTGTGGTGTAGATTAAATAATCGATCTTGTGAAGGGGAGCAGGAACAGCAACACCTATTTGGCTGCGATATATCATTAGATAAGTGTTCATAACAATAGATTGGCTGTTGACTACGCGTTATGAAAGTCAATGTTTTGACCTCGGCAAGATATGTTTGCCCAATGACTTTAGTCTCAGTTATTCTCTAGTACATCTTATTTCAGTCCATTGCATACTCAAGTAGAAGTGATAAATACCATTTGACCTCGGATGTGTGTTACACTACTATTTTGGCTTCTCAAATCCCCTTATAGACAATTTGGTTGGAATGTGGAAGGAGTGGGTGCCTCTGACCGGACCATTAAAAACAATTAAGTAATGTAATGTTATTATTTGCTGTATTCCACTACAAATTACATACCACATTATATATAAAGATGGACAAACAACAGTAATAGGCCGATAAGTGATAATAGCGCTACGTCACTCACCCTTCCAAGACTGTACTCCGCAATATCAGTGCATCATCTAAAAGGATGTCGAAAAATTGAACTGCTATAGATGGGATTGATCCACCAAAATATACATCGAAAGGCTTCCTATCTACAGTATAAATACGATTATCTATCAGATGTTCGAAGCATTCAGCAGCAAGTTAGTGGTGTTAGGTACATAAGCAATGTTCTTTGACGTTGCCAGCGTCTCCGCTATCTCCTTGGCAGCCTCAAGTTTCCTGATTTCCAACATTCCTGTGCCGTGTGTCTGTATTGCTCGCGATATTAGGTTAGCGGCTTCAGCCTCTCCCTCGGCCTTCACAATGGCAGCTAGCTTCTCTTGCTCGCTCTTTTGAACAATAAACTTGACCCTCTCGGATTCCTGTTGAGCCACTTGCTTCTGCTCGATGGCCTTGCTGAAGTCCTTGCCATAACTGAGGTGTGTGATGGCAACATCATCGAGCTTGATATCAAACTGTTTAGCTCTAGCCGTTATTGCCAAACGTATATCCGCCGATACCTGGTCCCTCTGCGTTAGCAGTGACTCGGCGTTATACCTCGCTACCACGGCCTTCAAAACTTCGTTGCTGATCGACGGCAGTACTCGCTCATCATAGTCCGGTCCGAGTTTTTGGTGAATTCTGGGAAGATTTTCAGTGATAGGCCGGTACAAAAGCCTCAAGCTAATTGACACCATTTGCAAGTCCCTCGTACCGGTGGTAGTGTTGATTACCTTCGGCTTCGTCCTGATGTCGTATATGTGCGGCATCTGAAACCATGGGAGATAGAAATGGCTACCTTCTCCCAGCGTTGACTCGCTCACACCACCTCCGAATCGGTTGAACATTACCGCTCGCTGCCCTCCGTCGACATCAACCAGACAGGTGCTCGGCACGAGAGCGACGGAACCCGTGAGAACGGACAATCGGGCGAGCCTTTTCAAAGCTTGCTCCATTTTATATACCAAATACAAATTTAGGGTTTATTAGAGGTTTCAGAGTGCCTATGGTCTCAACCAACCCTACCCGTCAACGCGAGGGCTGCTCCCACTTTGCACTAAGGTGTGTATTCATAAGGGATTCTACATTTCCTTTATTTGTTCAGCTGTTTCGTCTGAAAAGGCATTTATCTGAACGAATTGTTACCCACCGTCCTGTAGACAAGGCTTCGTATCCGATTCGTCGTCCTCTGGCGTCTTGGGAATGCTCTCGGGCAGCAGATTCACGAAGAAAATCGGAATTACGTGCGCCACAGCACAGAATACGATGAGATGCACAAGTCCTTCAAAATGTCTAGCCCCAATACCGAAAGCGTGGGTAAGCAGCGACGAAATGTACGTGCTCACGTCAAGCCCGAGGAACTGTGCAGTCCACAGGAAAGAGTACATGCTTGACTCGATACCTGGAGGGCAGAGTCTCGTAGCCATGATGAATATTGGCAGCGAGTTGATTTCTCCAACGAGCTGCAGCAGGGAGCTGTCAGTAATAACAAATGCGGTGTCCGGTATTCCGAGCATCAGGTTCCACCTCTTAACGAGCACTATGCTCAACATACAACAAATCGAGACAAACACTGTAGTCCACACATATAGCTTCCTAATACTACATTCGCGGAATATATACGCGTAGAGGTATACTCCGATGAGACTTGCGAACGCTTGAATGGCTGCGAATCTACCGAACAACTCGGGGTCGAAATGTAGCTCCTCAGTCATGAAGTAAAACAATGCCGTTCCGGCGGAGGGCACCAGCTGCGAGAATGTGTGTTATAACTTTCGTGGACCCAGGGTGATCCCCGGTATGATGAAAAAAATGGCGATTGCAAGGACGGTGCAAACGTGCTACAGTTACTCATTAGCGCCTATACAAAACCTCCTTTTATAAGCACACGTAGGTTCATTGGACTGAACATGCTCCATGTATCCCACTTACCATACTGATGAAAAGGAAGGTACTTGGGCGTTTGATTTCTGGCTTCTTTATGAAATTGAAAAGCTTGGACCACTGCTCCTTGACCGAGAGTTGCCGACAGTCTTCGTTTTCTACGATAAAGAATGCGCTCATCAGCACCACCAATGGGATTACAGAGCACATGAGAAACAATTGCTGAACAGCGATATGGTCCACTCATAACTACCTTACCTGTTTCGGCATAATCATAATGAGTACACTTGACAAATAGGCCATTCCTGCAAATGTAAGCTTCCTGAATGCACAAAATGTCGATATGGTCCTAGTAACCTGATCGTTGGACTGCCTGCGCCCAGACTCGATAATGAGCGCCTCTCCGATGACGCTACAGAGCTGCACAGTTTGTGAAACAAAATTTATCGAGCTCACCGCCATTCCTAGAGAGGATACCGATAACAACACCGTTGTCCATAAGAGGGAAAGGTGGGCACAGAATCCCAAGGCAACGTTAGACGCCAGGCATACCATGCTTCCGATGACCAGGTAGCTCCTTCGCCTGCTACCGCAGAGAGGTACGCCATCACTTAGGAACGCAAATAGAATCTTGATGTTCATTGGTATGCGTATGAGCCCGAGTATGAATATAAGCATAGCTGGGTAGGGGTTACGTTCCAGGATACATTCATCCTACCTGGTCCCACCTTGTGGTCGTCCTTGAAGATGTATAGCACGGGGAGTGAAGTGAATACCTCCACGCCATGAAGCATAGCTAATAGACGTGGTATATGCGACCAGTGTTCTTACCTATGACGCAAGAGATGACTTCGTTAAAACTCCTTCGGGCTGAGGAGTGATAAAGGATACCCTCCTCCCCGTCATGCGAAGTACGTGGAGATCCATCCGGAGTTCTCTTGACTATTTTGGGATTCACGAACAGCACGCTGTCGGTATCGTCCGCTAAATTGCCAATCACTGCGCTTGGTGTGTAACTTCTTGAATCATTGCTTACTGTTGTTAAGAATCGTTTTCGCGGCTCCATGAATTATTAAATTACAAATTCTAGCAAGTTTCGCGCTGAAACGGCTAGTGCATTGCGTTGCATTTTGCCAAAGCGACAACGCGCGCCGCTCCAGTTCACAGGTGATTGTGGGCATTTAACAATATATATGTGCACGTTTCGACAAAATTAAAAGGTGTTTTACATGACAGAAAAAACAGTAACTAGCAAAATACCGATAGTTCCTGCGAAAGTGGCCTGAGTCAAAATTTTTGTAAAAGCAATGTTCACTTACGCTGCTTAGTGACTTTATGTGTACCAAGCTTTCCAGGTTTCGCTGGAAGGGCTGTGGATCAACATACTCCTTAGTTTTACTCTCGACGGCAGGTCCTCCGCTCCTTGATTCCACAACGAATCTACCACCACCTTCGCCCTCATTTCTCTGACCATTTTTAATTTGCAGCATCGACGCACGTGTCACATTTTCTTCACCTTCACGGGGGTTAGATTCTTGGCGCATCATCGCTTGTTTGAACGAATTGAAGCTGTTTTCGATCACCTTACTAATGCTACTTAGTTGCGTCAGCCACATCGTATTATTGTGCCCAGCAGCCTTATCAGAGCTTGGTATGGGAATCAATGATGCGATGGTATCATAGAACACACGCAAAGCGGCCTGAGGCTGCACTATTAGCCTCGCCACCATGTCCTCTTCGCTGCAAAACAATGTACGACGCTTATTCAGCACTTACCTCAAGCTAAGGAGAGCTTCACGGACCATGGTCTTGACGGCTTCACTATCGATCTCTGGTTTGATGTGATTGCCTTCAATTTTGAATATGTTCAGGCTGAGCAGGGCCTCTCTAATTGCATCGTTCGGTGATACAGCGTCTTCCCTGTTTCCCACACTGGAGACCTGTTGGGCACGTTGTACGAGGCTGACGTTTGGACTAATCATAGAGGTAACACGCTGAACTTCTTCAGCGTTGAGACCGGCATGAGGAATCTGTCTCATGGAATCGAGTGCACCGCTCGGTATTGAAGGCACGTGTTGGTCTGAGATGCTTTTCACTAAGTCACGGGTCTTATCCATGAAATCCTCCTTATCGATTTCTATCACATCCTTAATTACGTGTTCCTCCAGGATAGCTACAAGTTTCGCCAACGGCTTGTATGCATCCATGAATACATCGGCGGCATGTGAGATAAAACTTTCGAGATCCACGATTGCGTGAGATGACTTGGAATCGGCTTCCTCGGTGATAGCTTTAACCAGATCATTAGGGACACCTGACGCTACAGCGCAGAAAATAGTGTCAAGCAAATCCCATCTCTTATAGAGTACGGCTTGAACCTCCGGCGAAACTAGGGCTTTTTCGGCATCAAGGAAGAGTTGTTGTATCAACTCAAGAATCTTCAGCAGATTGCCGTATTTCTTTTTAGAGTCACCCGAGAGAGAAAAGAACGTTTGGAGTGTTTTAACATACTGGGCAATTTCATCGGATACATAAGCTCCTCTGTACCGCTTGTGGTACATCTGGTTGAGCGCGGCTTCTACCGTACATACACCATAAGTTAGGTATTCCGCAATAGTAGTGGTCAGCTTAACATCTAAGCATAATCTCTGACGTTTGATGCCTTCAGCCTTGCACACCGTAGGCTTGTTCTTCACTAGTTGTCTACATCTTTCCATTCTTTGGTTTGGACGTTGCGGGTCGAATATTTCCCTCAATGCGCCGCCCTTGAGTTGCTCCTTTAAATAATCCGAAAGCTTCTCTTGTTTGTGACATATTGAACCTGATGCGACCAACGTTTCGAGAGTGGTCTCCTCTTTTTTGGGTTGTTGTGATTCTGCCACCGGTGTGTCATGACCATCCTTACCCGGAGCGACGAGTTGCTGCTCCTTCGCACCCTCTTCCTTCTCCTTTTTAGGGTTAGCATCTCCATTAGTCACCTTTGCGGCTACAGCTTCATCAGGTAGCTTGTTCTGCTGAGGAGAGTCCTTGACCTCCTTTTCCTGTTTATCGCCTTGTTGTTGAGCTTTGTTGTCACTCCCCGCGTTGATGTTAGGCTCTGAGGCTTTATCGTTCTGACCCTGGGTTTCATGGTGCACCTTGATTTCTTTCTCTACAGTGTTGCTCATTCCTCCCTTGCCAGGCTCCTCACTCTCAGATGTGCCCTTGGTTCCAAGACCCTTGACATCTTGGGGTTTTGGCACTACTTCCTGTGCCACAGCGGTAGGTTTGGCCGGTACCGCCGTCCCCTCGGCAGCCTTTCCAGGTTGCTGGCCTTCATCTGCCTTCACAGCGCTGTAAACATTGACATCAACCTGCGGTGACTCAGATGTCTTGGCCGCCTGGCCATTTGGCTGGGGGACAGAAGGCTCACTTTTAGAACCACTTGATACTTCCACCTTTTTTTCTCCTGCTTGAAGGGAGGTGACACTCTGTTCAGCGCCTTTACCGGCGTCCGTTACTTTAGCGGGGTCAGACCCACCTGCATTCACTGCGCCGGGCTTACCACCTGTTTCATTAGTTGCGTCCGTCGGTTTTACAGACTTCTCAGGAGCATCTTTCGCGTTAGAAATCTCTGGTTTTGCATTGTCTTGTCCTTTCTTCTCCTGGGATGTGGGAGGAGTTTGGCCATTGCTAGATACTACATTGTTTTCTTCATTTTGTGCCTTGTTTTCGGGCATTACAGCGGGGCTGGAACCTCCCGTTGGGTTAGTTCCAGTGGTAGGCTGGAGAGCATCTTGCTGGTGATTGTGTCCATCATTGTTGCGTGAGATATTCACTGCAAGAATTTTCCCCACCAACAGTACGTGAAGTAGGATGTAGAGCAACTTCATTGTTTACAAGTAGGCGAGATAGACTGGCAGCTGCGTTTAAAGTAGAATGAGATGTCGCAGTTGAACCGCCCTGCTCTCTTCTTGGCGCCTTGTCACTCAGGCTTGGAACGGCGGAATCCTCCACCGTGATATGAGTCTTGTATTTGAGGAGTACACATAAACGACGTTAAACATCGTTTTTAGTGCTCTAATATGCAACAACGTCGCCTAGGAGCCGTCCTTTCCCTAGCACCGTCTCGCAGGCTGTGCAGCGTTGCTCGGTTGACCTCGTTGGTTGGATGTGTGCCGGAAAAGTCAAACGCTCAATTTTTTTTATACGACCTTTTTCTGCGTTGGAGGCAAAGATACGTTAAAATACTGTTATCTGAACCCATGCGTAGAAATGGCATACACGATTCAGGCATTAGCGCTTGGCACGTTCCTCGCGCACATTCGTCTGGTAAGCGGTGAGTCTGAGGGACCATGACGCCTAACCAAAAATTTGTATATTTCGATGATTACACATCGGCAGGAATCCTATGATGCGGTTCTGGTTTATACTAAGAATACCACCGCGTGTAAAGCCGCGTTTCTATTTTTTTACGGCCTAAAATGGCCATATTCGTGAGTGCCCGACTCACGGTTAACTTTTACATGCTGTTCATCTTAGTGCCACGTGAGTCAAGATGCCCCTCTGTCGCTCCCGTATAAGCATATGTAGCATTTACAGTTATATAACATCTACCACCAACCCATAATTTGCAAAACGAATTGCAGATTCTGTTGTTATATAACCACGACAAGGTAACAAGGCGAGAGCCTGTCACAAAAGCATCAGATCATTTTTTTTGGCGCCAATTCAGCACATTTCATCCTCAGGTGTGGTGTACTGAATCTTCCAAAATTTTTCGCTGACCTTCGCGGACTCTAAGACCAACCGGTGGCGGCTTTGTGCCCATGCTATGGCAGCGGCTCTAACGACGGTTGATCGAAAAACTTCTGGACATCCGGGACCGATTTTGCGATCGCATCCAGAATACGGAACCACCAACAGAATTGCAGCACATTACATATAACAATGTCAATAGAAGCGGGAGGAATGCAGGAAATCTGCCGAGAGTGGAATCTCAATATTTCTGAGGCTCAGGCTACGGAGTTGGCGGCTCTTGGCGGAGCCGAGGCGCCTAGCAGTACTGATACGGCGGCTATAAAGAATGCACTGCTCAACAGCGACATACGCGTTATTCGAGGCATTCTCGACAATGGTGGCATAAAAGTGGAGTGCAGGGAGGGCGTCAGTGCCTCTAAGGAGATCGTCTCATTGGATCACCCACTGCTGTGCCAAGTTAGTAAAGTCAGGGACGTGACCAAGCCGAAAGATGGCATACCGCAGGATGAGAATTCAAGTAAAACTGTATATAAGGTGACGTTGACTACGGGTTACATTAGCTTTCACGCTGTGCTATTGGACTCATGTCAGAGCATTACCTCACTTGCTCCTGGAACAAAGATACTGATAAAGGATCGTGATGTTTTACACGTTGATGCGACAGCATTGTTGTATCCAGGCAATTACGAGGTATTGGGAGGTGTGGTACCCGAGCTTTACGACCCATGGGTACTCCAGCGCGAAGTTGCTCTCCAGCGATTAAACACTGGAACCCGTGGGCTTCCTGACGACGCACCAAAGTTCGAGCCACTTGCAACACCTGGTTCTCAGGTTGAGGAACAAATGGGTTCCATGACACTGCAGCCACCCCCCAAGTCGACGAAAAAGCCACTTGCTAAGGATACGGCCACGGGTCACGTGAAACGCGTGATAGGTAAAACTGGCAAAGGCGCAAAATCCGGCACCAAGGACCGTAATACGAAGCTAGGGGCACCAGTACCTAAGGCCGCGAGGTACGGACCTGCATCTACTGCTTCCTCACCTAGAATGAGGCCACCAAGCAAAGCCAGCAACACCCCCCCGAAGCCTTCGGATCCGGGAGTTGCCGGAGGCAGGCATCACCCAAGGGCCATAGCTAAAAGGGGCCCCAAGCCATCTTCCCATTTCGCAAAAGCCGCTGCATCTCGCAGAGCTAAGGCTTCTGCAGAACCCACGAGTCCCTCTGACAACCACATGTAATTGAACTTTCAACATTCGAATAATATTACTGATTACTCTTCTTCAGCTACGATTGGTACGCCTTGACACAATCGTTGGATGTCTACACCATCCCGGTAGTCCATCGGTATTAGCATCCTGTACTGTGCATTGCAGTGTGGACACTGCAGTGCGTCCTGTGGTTTAGTTGCAGAACATTTAGGGCAAATCATGCGTGCTATGATGTAGTCTAGGTCTCCATCATCTTCCAGATCCTGAATCTCCTTGGTGGATCCTACGGAAACACCATCGACGATCAGTTGAGGAAGAGTGACCGACTTGCGATCACCGACGTCTTCGCTAGTAAGTACGCCCTCGGTACTCCACTGTTCGTAAAGTAGATGGTCCTTGAGGACAGCAGCGCGAGTGAAATCGCGGTTGGCATCCACAAGATAGTAGACAAGCCCCTTGCAGTCCAGGATGTGCTGTGCCATCTTTGACTGGAAGAACTGCTGTTTCATTCCTCCTAATGACGTCGTTACTAAGATGACTTCGGCCAAGTGTTCAGCATCTCCGAAGTCCTCACCATTCGCAACTACGACCTCACCGGTATTGCTGTCCTCGCTGATTTCAGGTTCCTGCGTTTGGGGCTCTTCCGCCTCCTTGAGAACATCTGAATCCATTGTTAGAATACCGCCTTTCCTGATAGAATTAACAAAATACTTGAAGCACTGGCTTGCGCTATATTACCACTCAGCAGGGCTCCGGAATGTCGGCAAAAGCACTTCTTTCGTGGCTAACGCAGCTGGATTCCGCTTTGGCTTCGTTCCTTTACGATTTAAACCTGTCGGACCAACTTTTAGTCTCGTGTATTATATAGCAAACTGTATTACTGAGCTAAATCCACAACCCTTTTCGTGAACTTCCTATGAAGAGTTGCGTTTGCCGTTATCATAGTCCTTCAACGCTTACGACGTATCGTATGGCTACTATGCTCCTGTAATCAGTAAGGGTACGGGCTGTTCCTCACGCCCAGTTGTTAAATTCAATGAAATTTCAACCTTCACGTCACTGGGGGCGCCTAGTTCCGACTCCTGCACGTAACGTGGTCCTACAGCCGCCGCAACGACAGCTTTTTTGACGGCCGAAGTCAATACTGCCTCTGTTGGCTGGAAGTGCAGCGTTCTTTGTCCCGTAACTACTTTTAGCCACGTTGTACGAGCCCGGTGTGTGAAGCTGCTTATTCTTTCGCGGCTGTCTATTCCCGATTACAGCATTAAAAACTACGGAATATTCCAGTCTAAAATTAGCATGTGTCCTAAGTGACTATGTGAGACCACGATAACTCTCCGTGGCCTCAGGTTTTCACGTGCGTCGTCTGGCTCACGGAATGCCAAATGATTTCAATAACGATAAAGTGGCGTTACACTCGAGCCAACGCTCTGGTTCTGCAGCGGGCCATACCTTGTAACTCGCACGCTTGTTGCCACGCGAATGTTCTGAGCCATGCAGCTGAATACGGAAATATTTTGTTGCGTGACGTTAGATAGCATTTTCACATTAAAGCGGCACGTTTAGGTAATACGCGTTGTGTGCAGCGTCGCGTATATATACTTACGGTTTAAATTTCAGTACCAGACCGTTGAAAAACGCAGGAGTTCGTGTACCGTAACAGGCCATTACAAGTATCTAAATTGAAATTTAATGACTGTACCATGGATAGACGGCCAATAGAAACACCAAGGCGAAGCCTGTAGCTAAACCAGTTTCCGCGTCCAGACCTGGCGCGCCACCATAGTCATTTCAGGTGCGTCGTGTGACGTATTAGACACCGTCACGCTGACCAAAAAACATCAAAGTGTAAACCATGAAAGCCTGACGACTCCCCTAACACTAACTATTCTACAAAAATGTATGTGAATATTTGAGTGTCGCGACCTTAGGTGCCACTCTTATCAAGCAAACATGTACTCAGTGAGTGTATATGCATTCATATACTAGCCGTGTTTATTTTTCGATTCTTAATGCGGTTTCAAGGGGAATCTTGGAACTAGACAGAATGTAGCTCTCGCTTCTTATGCCATGACGGCTCCTACTATTTCGGACGTCAGGGTGCTCCGGCTGCCAATTTTACAGCGGATATGGTACACAGACATCGCCTCTTAACCCTATATCGCATTCATACATGTCTAACGATGTGGGTATTGCTAACCGATGACCGCTGTCCGCGCGTCGTGTGCGTGTCAGAGGTGATGTGGACAAACCCACAAGCCGTGTGTTGCCGTTTTATGGTCGCACGGCGATCGCATGATCTACATCCGACATTGATTTATCGCGTTACTCGCGAAGTGACACCTGCTGTCGCGATAACGCCACTTTATTTGTTGTTTTAAGTTTTTGAGTTTTTCCCACACCTATAGTCCGTGGTCTACAGCCGGACGGATTCGCTTCTTCTCAAATTGGTTTTGCTTAGGGTTTGCGTGAAGGGCACTGATCCATCTGTCAACCAAAAATATTCGCGGTATGTAGCCGCCAACGGTCCGTGATTCTTAGTGGAGCACAAGTTGCAACCGTTACATGCCTAACAGCCTTCTGGGGATCATATCACTCTACGGTGGATGTCTACGTGATCCTTTGGCTATTGTCTAATCTTTAAGCGCAGCTGAGAACACGCCCAGCTACGCAATTTACATGTTTCTTAGGGTGACCGTTTATTTCAAAGTAAATTTTGATCAAGGACCACCGAATGCAATGCAGCACATTACCAACATCTTATAATGGAAGCTGTTTAAATGGCTAAGGGGACGTTTGATGTACAGGCGTTCACCGCTGCACGTAGCGGTAAGGCCGTAAATGAATATAAAGCACGATACGTGGGCGGGCACGCAAAGCCCGTGTATGAGGAGGACGGAGATACAGTTGATGATCATGTATTCACTAGGCTGAAGACTATATTTCGAGGTCCAGTGTCCTGTACTAGCAGAACACTGAGCGTGGACAGCTCTTTAGGAGCGTCTACTGTGGACCCTCTATCCAAGGGTCTCTACAATGGGGAAACGCCCTTGCAGTGCTCCACGACGCTCACCAGCTTCGACATGACCACATGTTCCGCTTCAGCTTCACTCGAACCTGTTGGCAAGCTAGGTTATGGGGAGAGCGTCATGTGCCTTGACACTTTGGCGCAGGCTCTCGCCGAAGACTCAGCGTCGTTTGCCCACAAGGCGAAAGCCCTGGCGTACAGCGACACGCCGTTGACACATCTATCTTCCATGGACACTACGGCCACCCAAGATGTGCTTACGCCACTCGGGGCTGGGTTTATGGAGATAGGATGCGACTTTGCAGATCGTGTCGGTAAGCTACTGGAGCGCTGCATCTCAGGTGAAGAACGTGCCTGGGAAGAGCTGGCATCGCTTTGTTCACATGAGTTCAATCTGCCGGATTCGGCATTATCTCCAGCCTTGTTCGCTGCCCTATTGAGGTTTTGCATGCTCAAAGGCCAATTATACTTGGCGGGGCAATTACTACAGGTTGCGTGGGACCGCGGCATACACATCTCTGTAAGTGAACAATCGAATGTCATTTTTTCATTGTGTTCCGCGGGGGCTTTGGGTCTGTCCCGCAGCCTATTATCAAAGCTCCCCTTCAATTCACCAGAGAGTGATGAAGTCTTGAATCTCTTTGTAAAAGGTGTTATAAACGCAGCTAAAGAAACGAAATACGAAAACGCCAGCAACTTTATTGCTGTTATAGATGATCCAAATTCTGGGAGTTTGGAGCCGCGGCGCGGCGCCCAGCTTATAGAACTGTTTCTAAGTCAACTTGACGAGGAGGAAACACTTACCCAGGAACTAGTATCTATAGTTCAGAAAGCATGCTCAACAGAGGCCTTTTCTGAGGTATCCAGCACATGCCGTTTCAGTACGTGCGCGATTCTTTGCTGCGCAGAGACAGGCAATAAAATTGAAGACAACATCAAAACCATATTAAATGGTGACATTTCCAATATAGCGTTTCTGGAACATGTGGGTAAGCGGTCACAAACTGCGTTTGTAGCTGTAGTTACTCGCTTGTTATCATTACACGCATTTAATGGGATTAGTTTCCTTTCCGCGCTTTGCCTGGCCTGCAGACTGTGTCCTTCAGGCAACGCGGTATCGGATATATGTGGACACGCACTAAAACAATTATACCGGAGTATCCCTGAAAACCTGCGCACATCAGGTCTCAGTGACTCTGACTTTCTTTCATCTGAAAGGGTTAACGCTTTCGTTCAGCGCCTGGGCACAAACTTGCCGGGATCCCTTCTATGCACCTGCGCCTGGGTATCAGGCGTAGGGAAAGAACACTTTACCCCTCTAGTCGAGGCGTGTCTCCTGGTGGAGGATTTTTCCTCGGCGGAGGCGGTGCTAAAGTATGTTGTTGAGTACTATGGTCACGCGCCTCCAGTGTTGTTGGTGAAACTTCTTCACTGTCACCTGCTCCGTGGAAACTTTCGATATGTCTTGGATCGTATTTCGAAAAAGGATAGGGTGGCTTCCTGTTTGCGCGAACGGCAGAACCGCGGCCAATGTATCAGCATTGCGGAATTTGGTATGCGCGTTGCAGCAGCGCTGCTCGAGTTTGACCTGGCGCTGGACTTTCATAGACACTGTGACGCTGCGGAAAAAATCAGCACCGAATTTTCTCAGTTGCTCCAAGAATTACCCCCGCTGCTAAAATCTCGCAGTAAAGTCGATGACTTTGTGACACTGTGTGAGCGACTAAATCTGGACGATGCAAGTTTTTCTGTGGCCCTTGATTGTTGCCTCCGTTTGAAGAATTCTAAGCGTTTGTTACGTTTGATAAACAAATTTCGAAGGATGGGTATGCAACCCCAGTTACAGACCTGCGGTGTCATTATAAAGTCTTTAGGATGCTGTGGCAGGATCGCGGAATGCAAGGAGATATGGAAAGAGATGGCCAACAGCCATGGAAATGAACCCAACGAAGTTACATATGGGATTATGCTTGACGCGTACGTGAACAACAACCGTATGGAAGAGGCAATGGCCTTGTTGCAGGAAATGAAGCAGAAAGGCACTGTGAAGCCTAACACAATCATGTACACTACGCTCATTAAGGGGTTCGGACAGAACAGACAGTTGAATAGGGCTATGAGCATTTATAACATGATGGTATCGGAAGGTGTGACTCGCAACACAGTCACGTACAATTCGATCATTGATGCCTGCGCACGTGTGGGAGACATGAAGTCTGCCGCTGCTTTACTGGAGGAGATGATGATAAACCAGGTCGAGCCTGACCTGATCACCTTTTCCACTATCATCAAGGGTTACTGTGTGCAGTGCAATATGGATCAGTCCTTCCAGTTACTTACAATTATGTACGAGCGTGGCATCAAACCTGATGGTATATTGTATAACAGTCTTTTGGAAGGTTGCGTTAAGAGTGGAAGATTGTGGTTATGTGAAAAACTATGGGAGCAGATGCGTTTGCACGGAATAGCTCCATCTAACTTTACTTTGACAATTCTTATTAAGATGTATGGACGCAGCGGCCAACTTGACAAGGTATTTGAGCTTGTGGAGCGTCTTCCGGCGGAATACGGATTTACAATAAATGCCCACGTGTACACTTGTCTGATGAGCGCATGTATCACGAATGGTCGATACTCCACTGCGCTAGATATATATCGTTGCGTTAAGGACGGCAGCGTGAAACCCGACGCAAAGACGTACGAGACGCTGCTCCAGGGCGTAACTCGGGGCAATCTTTTTTCTGAGGCGGCTGACTTATTGCGTGACATGTATAACTTGGATGGAACATCTGTGGACCCAGGAGAAGCCGCAATAATCCAGAGGATTAATCCACGTGTCCTCGAGAATCTATTCAGCAAAGTGCAGCACGCTCGCCTCGAACCGGACGTTACGGAGACTTACCGTGCACTGAGCAAGCGTTTACAGTGTATGGGTGTGAATGTGCACTTTTTTTCTTAATGCAAGTCACTAAGTGTTTAATGATTTGTGCCGTTGTGGCTTTGGCTACCTCTCAGTTCAAGAACGCAGTGTCGGCGTATGAGCGACACACTGGACGCATCAAAGAATGCATGTTACGAGTACTATAAAAATTACGAATGTGAAAACTGTGTGACAGAGCACAGTCGACCCCTCCTATAGGTAGGGGCGGCGGCGGACGCCGAAAGACAGCGACACATTGCTCTGAATTCCAACTAGCATACATGAGTTATAATATTCACTAACATCAGCGATTATATAACCGGTAGATGCCTCGATATTTTAGATTACCAGGGTGGCGTATAGTGTAGCGCGCCGTGGTATGAGGTAGCTGCCTAATTCAGTAAAAAATATTGGATAAACAAAAATGAGCAAATCATTGGCGGCGTTTCTCGACCGCCGTAAAAAGAGTACGGTAAAGGCTGCGGCCCTGTTGCAGCAGACGGAGGAAGCTGCCGCTTTGAAGCAAAAGGCTTTGGACGGTGCTGATGATGCGGTAACCGAGGTACAATCTGAACACGACGATGAGTGGAAGGTGTCTGACGATGAAGACGTGAAGGCGTTTAAGAATCAGACGACCTTCTCTGGTAGTCTATTGAAGTCCGTGCGCACTGTTGCGGGAGAGGGTCTTGAGGACCGTGGACCCCGACAAGAGGCCAAACCAGCTCAACATGTGTGGAAAACCATTAATGAACCACTTGAGAAGAAAGAGCCACCTAAAGAGGAAGCACCGAAAGTATGGGTCCCCAAGTACAAGTCCGGTGGCCTCGGAGGTGGTCTTCTGAGCAAGAACGACGTGGACCTTGCCGAGGCTGTAAGAGTTGCTGAAGCTAAGGCGGAGCATCATCATGCGAGAAAGACTAAGACGTTGAAGAAGAAGGCGGCGTCATCGCGCCCTGATGCGGATCCTGACATTACGAGCTTTGTGAAAATCAAGTTCAACGTTTTCTCCGTAATGCCCGAATCTTACCGCAGCTTCAAGTCTCCACATCCGAACACTTCGCTGAATGTGGACAGTGTCAAGGCGAAGTACATCGCACGCACCTCTTCTACATAGACCCAACCTGGTCTGCTAAGGCAACTTAGTCGCTTTGGTGTGCACCAACACTTATAATAAGTCTCTTTGCTACATTTTGTGTTATAGCTATAGCGATAGTTTCGTGTTTTGACGGGGATTTTCTCTCGCCTGTATTTCTACAGGCGTTCATATGAAGAACCTCTTACGATCAACCTGTAGATCTGGGCGCCATACAAACTCGTAAAGACCTTTGTCGAGATCCATCGTACCTTCCTACAACCTTTATGGTATGCTAGGTTACATACTTACCTGAACGGAATGTACCTTTAGCGTGAAGCGTGGTCCAATTTCCGTAAGTGAGCACTTTTTTTCGTTACGGAAAACATATCTATATGATATAAATGAGCTCTAGGATGCACACACCTGTGATGTCGAAAGAATATCATGTCACGTTGGTTGTGGAAAGTGATAACCCTCCTCGCCTCTAGTTCTGGGTCCTGCAGGGCGTCGATATTACCCTTTAGCACCTTACCAGCGGGAACAACGACGCAATTTGTCGTCCCACACGGCGTCCTACGCGTGTGTCGAAATGGTTGAGAATTATTTCAGATTTGCTCTCCGTAAAATTTCCTGACCCTTTCATGTCACTTGCTAACGTTAGGCTGGAGAGTCGAAAAAAAGTTGTCGGTCCATCTATGTGTTGTTATATTGCCTTCATCACGTGGAAACATACACGGTAGAGAACACACATAAATCCCATTAGGTTTTTTGCCTCGTCCTTGTGTGATCAGCAGTATAGCAGAGAACTTGCCTTCCGATGCCTCTTGCACAAGGTGTTCTAGCTTGCGTTCGTCACGCTGCGTTTTTGTGAATATAAATATCGCGATACTTACAGCGAAGTAGTAGATATTCGGTAAAATTAGCAGCAGTTCTTTCACAAAAGTCCGCATCTTTTCGCTAGGACGCCTAGAATGATAATGGGTTAATGAGATAGACACGTGATCTTGCATCAATTTCAACTCCTGGCGATGCTTACCTGGAAGTAGTAAGATAGAGTTTGGGCTCTCTTTCTCCACGGAAATGAGCGGCAAATTCGTCAATTCGTTCTTCGGCAGCTACCTCTGCGTCATCTGGGCGTACGATCGTCTCATCGAACCGTCTCATAGACTCGATAGTTAGCGGTACTTGTTTTTCAGCCGGATCACGATTACGTATACGTCGTTTCCGTTGCTTTGTTACGGGAGCGTCAACGATTTTGAGGGCTCGACGCTCCCTCTTCCGCTCTGCCTTGTAGGCCTGCTTCTGCTTACGCGGGTCTAATTTTGTCGCTTCCTTAGGCGGCATTTTTATAATGTTTTTTTAAAAAATTAATTTAACTTTGCCGCAGGCTTGTAAAAGCGTGCTAATGTGTAAATCAAGACAATGTGGAAGGCTACCGGCACCGCACAAAACCAAATCAGCGGCAACGTGCTCGAGCCCAGCAGTACGTGCTGCTGTGCGAGCGCCAGAATCTTCTGCGTGATGAATGGTGTGTTCAACGTTGATAAAATATCGTCTACCGTCAACTTCCTCGCCGAGAGGTATAGGTTGTAGAGCGGAGAAGCAACGAATCGTAGAGAACTGAGAGGACCATTTGCAAATGCCGCATCGATCTTTTCTTGGTTCTCTGGTGTGAGCATGTTGCGGCTCGTGGTGAGTAAAAATATAAAGAGTAGATAGATGGCACAGACGAGGGCGTCCACACAGCACTTGCATCGCGTGTTGTTCCAAACACGCACACGGCGTAGTGATGGTACCAGTAGCAGCGTTAGTAGAACTGCCAATGGCCAGTGAAATACCATAAGGCTGTATAAGAAGACCAAGGCTAAGAACAGCGTCCCTATGCAGACGATAAAATTTGGCGCTGGGAGTCCCGTATTTGTAGGACACACTAGTTGAGTGCCGCCCATTGCTTCAAGCTTTTGCTGCAATTCGGTCTGCACTTCGATGTCGGTGTAGCGGCGAGGGTCTGATGTGGCCTTTTCGGGCGCAGGCTCCAGCACCTGTGGTTTAGCCTCTGAGATTGTCGTATTCGACACAGAGCCGGAATACCGTGATCTCCACTTTTCCACCAGTGTAGCTAGTTTCATCGACATCCTTTTTCGCATACTCTCCATTCTATTGTCACCCTGAGAGCGGGGAAAGAAGCGGCACATGGCCGCGTCAACCTTCGCACGGAGCGCGGAAGATAATGTGCGTAACCGCTCACACAGTCTGGTCAAAAGCGTTACGGGGAGATCAGTGTATCCCAATTTGGTTAACAGCTCCTCACGCACCAACACACTACGTTTGGTGGAGAATCCCGTGAAAGCGCGTCGAGGCAGCCAACTTAACAGGAGTACGTTAAGCGCTAATGACGCAGCCACACCTAACACCAGCAAAGCAAGCGCTACGCGTACCTGCGACAATGACGATTCATCCAGACCGTCGAAACCGGTGCCCGCTGCCGCAACGAGATATCTATACGACAACCACGGCCCCATACAGGCGTTTAGTAAGAAAAGGCTGATAGCTGCGGCCAATACGTGGAAATCCCATGTATAGGCTGAGTACAAGAGCTCTGCTGTTGGCCCTAGCAACATCCCGGGTATGACGAGAAGGTATACTGTTCCAGGGAGATAAGTATCACGCGATGTCATCTGATAATAGTTGGAACTCCGCTCTAGGACTGTATCCAAGTTGTTATGCATCCTCATAGTGAGTATAACGGTGCTCAACAGCTTCTCGACGTTATTGTCCTCCCTTTTCCCTGCCTGCCTTGCACAGGTAACTGTGAACGATGCGATACTGCGCGGCAACATAGCCACGTGCGGCAGATGCGGACGGGAATTCGCCGACATGCGCCCTATTCGCTCCCATATCCCGGCAAGTGTGACGTCCAAACCACAGTTTTCAGCATTTGACAAAAATGACGTCACTACGTCCGGATTTGGTACGAATCCGTCTATCCCTTCGTAGTTCAACTCGTAGCTACCACAGCGCCCATAACCGAGATCTAGTGCGAATGCGTGGTGAAGCCATCCGCTTTGCCAGGGGAATTCGGCACTGCGAAAGTAGTCGTCAAGGAACTGTCGCGTGCCTGCCGAATATGGCAGGGTGCGCTCAGTGATCAGTACTAGCACGTCCTGCTGCTGACTGTCGAACTGTAGCAAAGAATGTAGCGCTGCTAAAACCACGGCAACGCCTGTGACGGATGTACTGCATCTGTATCGGTGTGTCATTCCCCCGGCTGTAGTGTTTCAAATGATAGACACGCAGTCACAAACCTGCTCGTTTGGTCACGTTACCTCGATCATCCATGGTAAATGCACTCTTAGTTCCGGTGTCAATAGTTGCAACCACTAGAGATGCTCCTCTCGATGAGCATCTTGCGCACTTCAGCCGCAAGAGCACCGAGCTCCCGGTAACACCCAGACTTTTGTCGAACACATACCTAGATACAAATCAGCCATTCACGTATAGGTTAGCTACCTGAAGTCGTTGTACTTCACCTCTATGGTAGGAATGCGTTTACGAACGATCTCGCCTACCGCCCGGTATACTGCCGGGGTGCTGGCCGGAGGTTCAGAGTACCATTTGGAAAATCCCGGTTTGCCTACGGTCTCCTCATTTGTACGCGTCGGTATCTGCCCACAAGCCGCCGATAAGGACCTTACGGAGTCTACCATGAAGTTTCGGTCTGCGGCTGTCACGCTGTCCGGGGTGAATCCGTAGAGATAGGCATGTTCAGTGACACTAGTCTTCTCACTCAGCATTGATAGAAGTGGGAATGCGATGAGTGCGAGGTAGAAGGCTAGAGTGCTGCGCTGTGTTAGACAAACTCTCATAGGATAGACGCTGTTGAGCGTCAAACTCACCTCACAAGCGGTATAACCGCAGATAATCGACGATGCACCTTCACATTTCTCACCAAAACGATCGACATTGAAAATCGAGTGCCCAGGTGTTGCGCGGCCTCACAAACGAGACCATCCGTGTGGCATTGAAATGTGTACACATTATCATTACAATTGTTAAAATTTTAAAATAGTGAAGGCATTGCAGAAGTACCTGTATTGGCTGCCTGTGAAGCACCTGCCACCCATCCAGGGCGGTTTTGCTGTTCGTTTTCCTTGTTTTCGTCGTTTTCTGTGGATTCTTCTGGAGCACTAGTCGCGCCATCCGTTACAGGCTGCGCGAGATAAACATGCGTCGGATCGTTTGGATCCATGAATGCGCTTCGGGACTCCGGTGCGTTACTGAACGGGTGTCCGCTGGCCGTGTAGGCGGGGTCGTTTCGAACTCGAGCGTAATACATGTAGAATCCTTTCAAAAACAGCCCACATCCACTTTCGAAGTAGATATAGAACTTTGCAACGTTGTTGATTGGAACTATTGCATCAGAGACCTGAATGAAGATCAGTGTCTAGTATGCAGCGATCATAGGTGAACACTGAATTTAGAGACCCGCACCACTCGATATTGCATGCCAGAGCAGAATACGGCACAATTAGTCAATACCAAGAATGTATATGCAATGCCGAGAGTGAGTGAAAGGCATTGCTGCTATGTAAGTAACCCACCGGTCTGATAGTGCCTTCGAGGTGATTTGTTCCAAAAAGTGGCTGCCTGAAACGTGGCTCGTCTATATGCGTGTAAGGTAGTGCGATACTTGAGAACTCCTCGTTGAATTTCTTGTCCCTATTTTTCACGAAGACGATACGGTGCGTCGTCAAAAACGTATCACCCCTCCCCTTCATAGTACTGTTTTAGGATTAATAAATCAAATAAAAAACACACCGCCAGCCAATAGTTAGCGCAAAGTGTGTAGAAGGTCGATGCATCAGTAGGAACTCGCCTCTCTCGCAGTGAGGGAGCAGCTGCTCTGCGACCGACTTAATGCTTATGTTGGCTAAACTAACTGGTATGGACGTCCTGCGTGAGCACTGGATTTATTGCCATCTTGGTAAATGTTAGATTATTAAAAATGATTACGCTTTGTCGCCCAAATATGTGGACACATAAGGGGTGTGCACGATACTGCGTCGTGACTCCTCAGCGCCCAGCTGAGATGCTGGAGAAACGTCCACCCCAATCAAACAAAATGCATAATATATAGTCTATTTATCTGTTCCATGGGACCCTTTTCAGGGTGTGGATGGGCAGTGCCCATATGTACCGGTACGGTTGCCTTTACAGCAGGTATCGTCGCCATCTGATTCCTAGAAGCACTGACGGCGAATCGCCCCTAACGGAATGCATCCGCTTCCTTTTGAGAAGGTCATCCTACGCAGGATCGTGCCTACATGGCAGGAGCTGATATGTGACCATATCGGCAGGGGATCGTTCACTAGTGCAGACGTTTCACTTGGTAAATGCCGCAAAAGATCTCTGCCTACGGCGGAACGCCGCGTAGGTCTGACTAACGCTTTCCTTATTGTTTCCCCTGGGTGCGATCCCAGCCGCCTCCTATTTTACTTGCTCCTTTACATCATAAACCCCCTTCATGTCTATGATAGCCTATCATGTAGGTACAGCATCAGCGTACTGCCCGATGCTGTGACAGAAAAACCACCCCTTGCTTTGCAAAATGTGGACATGGCGTTGCGCTCCCGCAGCGTCTACCGACGTATATTTGACCTTGCCTTAGAATACACTGAAGAGTCTAAGGAAAGGGGAAGCGGGCTTTTAAGGCATCTTTTTCAAAACATGAAGCTGAGGCGAGCTGTGGAGGTTGGAACTCGACTAATTCTCGTTCTAGGTCTGATGCCCGAGGAGTCCGTAGCAACGGCAAAGCACTTTGCGCATATCATTAAGAGTCTGTGCTACAGCACTGCGGAGACTCCGAACATGATGAGCGTCAGATTGCCGCTACCGACGTTTATAGAAGGTACTGTTGTTGCGCAGGACAGGGAGAAGATTTACGTCGAAGGGGGTATATACTGCGTGCCTTCACGTATTTTGCTCGTCGATCTACTCACGGCAAAACTCTCTCCAGAGCTAGTAAGCGGCTTGATTATCGTTAACGCTCACCGCATGACGCACGACTACAATATACCTTTTCTCATCAAGCTGCTACGCTCTAGAAACCGCGTAGCGTTCATCAAAGCGATTACTGACAATGTCACCGCGATGCGTGACGACGGGAAACTAACCTTCGTGCTAAAGTCGTTGTTCACTGACGATTGCTTCATTTTTCCGCGTTGTAGCACTTGCTTCGATAGCTTCCTCAACGACCCGAGAGTACAGCCCGAGACCTTGGAGGTCAACCTAAAGCTCAGCGATAGTTCGAAACAAATCCACAATACTATTGTGCAAGTGTTGCAGCGTCTAGTTGCAGATATTCAAAGGCAGTGTGGTCAGGAGCTCCAGCATTTGGATATGAATATGATTATGTACTCCCCAAATGTTAACCGGTTACTTGCAAGTGCCTTGCAGAAGGCGCGCATAGCCGCCAACGAGTATCACATCAGGCGTTCATTGGCAAGTATAGCCAACTTAAGAATGCTGCTCGACCAGCTTCACAATATGGATGCACTCAGTTTTCTTGCATTCGCTGAAAGTATGAAAACAGCCGAGAGCGATTCTCAGTGGATCTGGACATCATTTGGAACTACCATTTACAAATTAGCAACTGCTAGGGTCTATGAGCCTGACCCAGAGGCTGGGTCTGGTTTGGCTGTAAAGGTTGAGGTGGATAAGAAAGGTGAATACATACGTCAAGTGCTATGCAACAAATATGTTGGTTGTGAGGAACTGGGAGAACTCCTGCGTTCTGCCATGAAGTGGCAGACCTCCAAACGTCCATACAAAACCCCTTCTAGGTATAAAAGAGTGGTTCAATGCGCTAATTTGAGTTTCGACGCTGGGCGTCGTGCGCTGTGCCGTAGGGAGGCAAACCACATAATTCGTATTTGTCGATTCCTCCAATCTGGAGGTGTGCTCTGTCGACGGGCAATAATCGTTGCCGATAATGAGTTCCTATGCAGGCAACTAAGTTCCAGCCTCACGATGTCGCTGGACCGTTACAACGAAGTGAAATTTATGGCGTACGCCACAAAATGTGCGGACCGATTTGACAGCGCGGAGTCCGAGGAGCAGAAATTCGGAGGCTACGCTCAGGCTCACTTTCACCGTGTCATGCTCAATAACCGCAATGAAACCGACAAGTTGTTACGTCGGTTTGTGATTTGGTCCAAGTACAATGACATCTATCGCTCGAATACCTCTAGTAACCGAGGAACCCAAACTGGATCTTGTCCAACTCAACCGTCGTTTCATAACGAATTATCTGAAGATGCGTCTTATGGAAGGGAAGTTGGGACCTACGACGAAATAGATCGCACTGGGAGTGGAATTACACCAGAGCGTATGCATCTCATGGATGGCGACGTTCCCGAACCCATAACGGCCGATTTATCCGGCGATAGCGACTACTCTGGCATGGAAACCTCTCCGGGAAAAAAGGATGTTTCACAAAATTCTATATCGAGATATATCAACAGATACACGTTAACCTTGAATGTCAGTAAAGAGGTGAAGTGCATCACCCACGTGATCAACGTCTCACGTACACAGGCGCGTAGCGATCCACTCAAAGGTCTAATGGAGCGAAAACTGCTTGAAGATGATGATGAGTCGCTACCGCTAAGTTGTTCCCCTCACGAGTTCTCATACGTGTTGCAACGTGTCAAGCCGACTGTAATAATAGTCTATCGCCCTAGTGTCAAGATATTCCGAGTTATCGAACAATACTGCGCGCTGCGCGCCACCGTTGATCGACGCAAGTACCTCCGAGTTTATGTACTGTCGTATTCTAACTGCCTTGAATCGCACAAGTTCGCGCGCGATCTTAAGCATGAGTTGGAATGCTGGAGGCACCTACAACAGCAGCTTAAGACTCTGCAGATTACCTTCGACGAGAGCGTACTATTGCAAGGTCATACGGAGGCTGAACGGCAAGCGGCGTTGTCCGACAAATCCGCAACGTCACAATCGAACGCATTGGGACAGATTGCGGATCTACAGCCTGCCTTGCATAACGTACCAGCGCCGACTGTGAGGCCATGTCCACAGGTTCTTGTCGACCTACGTGAGTTTGGCAGTAAACTGCCGTTCCACCTGTACTACAAGGGTCTAAAACTAGTCCCTATTCTGCTAGAAATGGGCGACTACCTTCTTACGCGAGACATCTGCGTTGAAAGGAAGAGTCTCAACGATTTAATTAGTTCGCTTAATACAGGTCGACTTGTACAACAGGTATGTCGCGCTACATAAGCAACAAATATCACTCAGACCGAAGAGTTGTGCAGCGTGTACGATCTACCGTTTTTGCTGGTGGAATTCGACGACGCAGAATCGTTTCATCTCTCGCCATGCAACGATGCACATTCGAGCGGCAAAAACTACATCTATGTAAAGCTCTGCATTTTGTGTTGTAACTACCCGAAGCTGAGGATCATCTGGAGTCAGAGTCCCGAGAGTTCTGCGTCCATTTTCATGGCCCTGAAAAAGGGTCGTAGCGAACCCGATGCCACTACTAACAGCATACTGATATCAAGAGGGCTTGGGGACCCTAACGTTGCCACAGGTGAAAGTCAAATGGTCATTCGGCGTAAACCTGAGGACGTGAAAAACCGTGATGCCTTGAGGATTCTCCGGAAAATACCAGGTGTAACTAGCTATAACATTGGGGAAATACTCTCTAGGGTGGACTCGCTGCGGCAACTTAGTGAGATGGAAGAAGCAGACTTATGCAAGTTCTTGCCTCCATCCAATGCTGAGGCCATATATAACTTCTTCAATCAGAGCATAAGCTGAAAATTCTATAAATTCATGGGTTAAAAAGAATTTGATGGTCATATGTACGGAGTTACAGACGTGAATCGTGTGTCAAGCTAATATATGGTTATCACAACGCTGTGTTGAGTTCTATGTTAACATTACACTGTACATCAGTGCCAAAATAGGCAGAACACGTGTACTAGTGCGAGGGTCAGCGTCTCCCGAACTTCCTTGCACCAAAGGTAACACCGCTGTTGCTCTTTTTCGCCCCGGGCAGTTGAGCGCGCTCCAAAGTCTCTTGGTATGTGCGTTTGTAGTGCATCTCTTGGAGCAACCGCTGGTTCTCCAATTTGTCCTTCGTTCGTTGAGCACCTCCGCCAGAGTCTATATTTTTCAGATAAAAGAACGTAGGTCCCAGCTCATACAGCCATTCGGCGTCTACCGCAGTGACGTGTCTCATGTACTCCTTCGATGTGATTACCACTTCGTGGTACACCACGTAGTCTGGCGTGTATCCCATGCCATATAACGATGACGAAGGGTGCAAGAAACACGGAGCGAAGCTCCTTAAGTTCGAATATTCCCCTAGTCCCTTCAACTTGGAAGCATTGTGGAAGTATCCTGCACAGATGGCGCGGCGCACCTGGTCCCAATTAGTTCCACAGCTACTTTCCGGGATACCCTGTTTCACCACGATGTCTAGCAGTTGCTGCCGAACCTCCGAGGCTCGACGTAGCGATTTTGGCTGCAGGCGGTACTGGTGGCACCATGACTCGCTGCGCCCGTTAGCGCACCACTGCTTGTACACGTTTAGCAAGGTAAGGTGATCGCTCTCCGGTACCATGAACTTTTCCCTGGATGCACTGTCGGCGCTCTCGCGTTGTGCGTCAGACTCATTTTCAACGACAAACACGTTGGGTGCCGACATGACCGAGACGACAGTCAAAATCTCTGACAAACACTTCTCACTCTCACCAGCTATCATCATCTTTCCCAAAGGGGGCTCCAATGGGTAGTGAACAAGCTTACGGCCAGTATCCGTGAGTTCCCCGAACTCGTCTATTCCACCCAGGATCCATAACTGCAGCATTGCACTTAGAATGTTTTCAGTATGTGGAGGGTCTATGAAGTCGAACTGTGTCAGTTTTTTCACTTTCAGGGATTTCAGGAGTAAGACCACGTTACACAGGTTTGTGCGCATGATTTCTGGCACATTGTTCTCAAACAGATCGTTCAAGAACGTACGCTCGGTGTATAGACGATAGCAGATCCCAGGTGCAGTCCTACCCGCCCTACCGGCACGTTGGTTTGCACCGGCTTGGCTCACTGGAGTGATTTGCAGGCTGTCCATTCCTACTTTGGGGTTATAGACCTTGAGTTTACAAAACCCGCTGTCTATGACAAATTTGATCCCATCCAGTGTCAGAGAAGTCTCTGCGATATTTGTCGAGACAATAACTTTTCGGTACCGGTATTTTTTGAACACACGCTGCTGTAGCTCGCTAGGTAGCTGACTATATATGGGTAATACACAAAACGGCTGTAAATCACCCCTGCTGGACGACTGCATAACCTTGTACAGTTTCAGGTCTAGCAGCTCGCATGTAGCATTAATATCGTCTTGACCAGTCATGAAGATAAGCACATCTCCAGGTCCCTCGGAAATATGTAGCGAGACGCATTTGTCTACGGCCGCTTCAACGTAATCGTTTCCCATAGATCGCATATATTCTATTCTGACCGGAAACGTCCGACCTGGTATCTTGTAGATTGGACAGTTTCCAAAAAACTTTGCAAACTTATCGGCATCCATGGTAGCTGATGTGACAATTACTCTTAGATCACGTCGGCGTGCAACTACAGACTTCAAAATACCAAACAAAACGTCGGTGTTGAGACTTCGTTCGTGTGCCTCATCCATGATAACGCAGCTATAACGGTCCAATTCTGGATCCATCAACGTTTCACGTAGCAGTATACCATCAGTCATAAACTTCACGGCGGTATTTTTACTTGTGAGATCCTCAAAACGAATGGAATAACCCACGACGTCACCCACTCTGGAACCCATCTCAGCAGCCACACGTTGGCAAACCGATACTGCCGCAACTCTTCGAGGTTGGGTGCAACCGATGACACCTCGTTTGTAGTAACCAGCCTCGTATAAGAATTGCGCAAGCTGTGTCGTCTTACCAGAACCCGTTTCACCAACCACGACCATAACCTGAAACTCAGCAATATACGACAATAATTCGTCACGACACTTAAACACCGGTAGCTGTTCGCGTGTCTTTCGGAGTTTTGACTTGGATGATTTCAATTTTTCATCCAATTCGTCGTCTGGGATATCTTCACCCAAGTTCTGGGAATACTTGTTGTTATTAGAGTTCCCATTCGCCTCATCTGTGTTTTTTTGTACCTTTTCATCTTCCAAATGGAGAAGTGCCCCAAGTTTTGAACCTTCCAGATCCCAGAAACGCACACGAGTTGCATTTCGTTCTGACTCTTCCTTCAGTTGTCGCAAGATCGCACTGCCCTTTTTCGCCATTTGTGCGATATCTGACGTAGAGTCCTTGACTACAGCTATATTTTGGTTTAGGAACTTATTATAAATGTGGTTGAAAGTGTTGTCACCAGCCGCAACACTTGCGTCAAGTGCTTCACGTGTCTCCTTACGCAAACTGTCGTAGATGAACGGCGGTATCACCGAACGCACCAGAACTATCTTCTTGACTTCATCTTTGTGCATGTTGCTTGCGTTCAGATCCTGGTACTCAAGAGCGCTTAGCCGCGAACCAGCACCGCCCTGACTGAGACGTGAAAGCTCCCACAACGAGTTGTCTATATGCTTCTGTGCCGACAGGGCCCCTTTAACCTTGCGTGCCGAAGCCCCTAGCTGTTCACGACTGCCTGGCAATTGCGCCTTGCGCTTCGCTTCCTGCTCTTCTAAATATACTTGGCTGCCCTCGTCATAGTTGTTCTGCATCAGAAAGCTCTCATCGTCACGATCGTACCACATATGGTCAAGAATACGGTCGTACCCGTCTCCATGAGTAGGTACTCGCTGCTCCCGGCGATTGCTCCCGCCAGAGCTTCCATTGCCATATCTCGCATCCACATGGTCACGGTTCTCGCTGAGTGGCTCTTCGTCATCACCGGAACCATTTGCGGTATAATTAAACTTCTGATGTGTTGCATTAGGCCGTGGCGAGGGAGGACGTGGTTTTGACGACTTAGGCAACCGCGTCACCTGGAAGTCATCAAACGGATCCATCGGCCGCTAAAAACTGTTGATTTGCGATAAACGGCGTTAGAGCCGTGATGGCTAATATGCTTTGTATTTTTGTGTTTCTATAGTTGAAGGGTGTAAAAGTATAACGCCCTCCAAATTGTGGCAACCACGTGTATGGTAGACCTGGCTAAATTCAACATTGGTCGCCCAAATAGCCACCAATTCCGGAGAATTGGATATGATTTCCAAACTACATTATTAAATACACACTCTGAAACTTCAAATCACGGGTTCAATATCGCAAAAGCGAGGATGGATGGATCACACATCGTCGCTAACCTGGTCAAGCGTATCCAGGGAAGCACGGCTGTTGGATATGATTCCCTTAGCGACAAGTTGGAACCAGCAATCTCTGAGGAAGATGTTGCCATGTATGAGGAACATGTTGAATCAGGGCGCTTCGAAAAGGTGAAACAATGTGCTTTTGACTCCTTAGTACTGATTCGATCAGCGGCTGCCCCTGTCGAAGTCTCCTGGAATATCGGCATACCTGATACTGATATGCGGGCATTAATGCAGCTATATCCCATTGTTACGTGTTCTCTCTATTGTATCACCAAGCAACTAGACGAAGTGCTGAGCGATGCTGGGCAATGCAAGGAGACAATTGACGACACTTCGACTCTCACGTTCGAAGGTTTATTCTTAATCGCAAGAACAGGGATAGAAATGATACATCCAGTTGTATTGACAGTTGAAAATAACATCTTAGGCATAATGCTGGATCTCCTGGATAGGGCAGCTACGGTTACGCCGTTGCTAAACGCATGTATGTCATGCCTCACGATATATCTCTGCCGTCTGCTATCAGCAGATATACCGGAAAGCGTGGGAGAGGGTATCATGGGCGTCTTATCCCACCTAAAACGCCTGTTTGAGAGCGTTCTCACATTGGCGATATCTGGTGATGGTGAAAGGTTGCATAACAACGCCATTTCGTTGCTTAAAATGACTATACGCGCAGCGACTCAGCGTATAATGGCATTCGGAAACACGGGTGAGTCTACCACTGACAATCCACAGCTGACCTTTCTTACCAAGGTAGTCGACTGTTGGTACGGCGTGTTCGTGTCCAGGATGATGAAATTGCGTGCTGATATGGTTTTGTCAAACACTAAACCTGTGAAATTGGGCAAACTAATGAAAATACTGGTGACTTTCCCACCTTTGCCACCAGCACACCGACTAAGGCTGGTGCTGCAGGTTGCTCTGACGCTACAACAGGACTCGGCTTGTATCCTGCAGAGCGAAATTCTCACTACACTAACAGCATTGTTGGATGTAGATTACAGCCAAGCTGGAGATGTAGTGCGCAACAACGTACGCCCTCTAGCAGAGGCCATAATAGAACTATTATTTGACAGGCGGTTCTGCGGAAGTTCACACGGTGCCACGGCTTCTACTGACTGCGATAAACAGGTACAACTTGTGTACTGTATGGCTCAGTGCATAAGAACGTCACGAAGCGTACCAAAAGAGCAGAAAGCGAAATTTGTCGACGAATTCTTACAGAAGCAAATTTTCACGCTGCTGAACGCTAGCAAGGCGGAACATTCGGGTGGCGAAGGTAGATTAGACCGCTTGATGAAGGAAACGGAGCATTTTCCAGGGCTCCAAAGCCATTTCCCATCACTAGAGGATTTCTTAGCTTCTCGTGACGACTGCCAGCTTCTAACACGTCTCACAAGGTTGTTTGACTATCTGCTCACTTATTGTAATAGAGTTTTGGATGAGGCTATTTCTCTCGTTATATGTTGGCTATTCAGCGAATTTAATTTCACACTATGCATCAAAATGCTGGCGCCGCTCTGCCTTGACTTCCTACGTACAAAACGCAGTAAGATGCTGGATGGCATACATAACACTAACCTTATGCCCAAAGGTGTAGCATCAATAATAGATTTGGCTACTGCTCGTTGGGTACTAGGTGGTAGGGTTTTTTTGACTGCGCTAGAGGCCTACAGGGAGACCCGAACTAAGGATAACATGGACGTCGACTCCCCAGAGACAACTTCACAAGCGGTGACTATTTTCACCACTGTCATGGAATCAACTGTCGATATCGCAAAAGAAACGGAGGGAGTTTTGCCCAAGGACTTAGAGGATTGCTTCGGGCTTTATGTGAAGACGTTCGGTATCGAGACGTACCTCCGGTTGATGCCACTTACACCGCTTTACAGCATCCCAATCACGTCGGAAACATTTCGAAGCGAATCTTACGTCTACATGTTACCGATACTACAGCGACAGTTGAAAGGTGTTTCACTTGCAGTATACGTGAAATATATGTTGCCGGTGTTACGGCACCTGGAAGCGCTGGCACAAAAGACCAAGGACTGTGCGGCCAACGTGACAAGTGAGGTTACCTTGGCATATGTATTGCGTTCATATGAGGCAGTGGTAGGTGCAATGTACAGTATCCTTATTTCGATGGCTTCAAGTGCTGATGACTGCAAGGCTGCATTAGAGCTGAATGATTTTGAGCTGCTTAAACACATTTTGAGTATGTTGGATAGCGGTGCAAGTAACGCTGTGGTGTCATGTCGAATTATCGCTGCTTGCAAAGACTTGGATGGGTTGGCATCGAAGTTGATTGGTGTGTTGGTAAAACGCTTTGTGGCATTGGAAACGCCTTCCCACAGCATCTCCGGTGGTACTAAGGCGTTGGAGGACTCTATATTAAGTGCGATTGCTAATTGCGGCCGATTTTGCGATTCCAAGATGCTGTCTGATAATCTAGAATCATTCGAGGCGGCCTTAAGGCGCAGCAAATACAACGTTGACCCTTTGATAAAGATATCACGTGCTTTACTGCCAGGAGTTGCAGACGAATTGAAATACCAGTTACATCGCCACTGGTTGACCCTCTCGAGCAGTGAACCGTCAAAGAATTTGTATCTTGCACTGAAACGAAGTTGTGAGACACTTGCGGTTGAGCTTAAGCGACTCTTTCCACGAAGGGACGACACCAAGGCGACTGTAGACACAGATGCCATCTGGAGATCTGCATCACGGTATGTGAAGGAATCGTGTTCGGTGATTGGCTTGCGCATGCTACGGGAGGCGCTCCACATTGCGCCAAATGCGAAACCACAAGTGGAAACTGAAGAGCACAGCAAACACAGATTGTGCTGTATCGCTGCTTTCGCTCGACTGTTGGAAACCATGAAAGAGCATGGTGTTTACACTCGTGACGTCAAAGGATTTGTGGACGCTCTTGTGAAACCGCTTATACTCGAAGCCATGGTTAATGTAACAGCGGCGAACAATAGCACACGTAGCAGCGCCTTGGCCGTTTACGATTCCATCTGCAACCTGAAACTCGAGGAGCTTGGTGACGTACTCAAGCTTAGTGTATCGTCACTGACATGTGGAACCTCCAATTCTATGCAGATCGTGTTAGTCAGGTGTCTCTCAAGACTCATAGCTCGGCATAGCGAGCACGCTGTAAAATACAATTTGACGCAGGTGTTCTCTTTTATATTCCGACTATTGTCTGAGGATAACCAGAAGTTGTACGTTCAGTTATTGAAGTTGGCTCGCGTTTGCGTCGTCAAGCTAAATCGGGAACAAGTACTGTGGCTGGCTCCAATGCTGATGCCAATGTTCGAAAATAAAACTTGTTGCCACAGGGCTAAGGTCTATGTTCGTCGTGTGATTCAGAAACTCATGGTGAAGCTTAGCCGGGACCAGATTATTAAGATTTTCCCTCAGGAGCACCTCCCGCTGTTGCGTAACCTATTGACGGCACAGCGTCACAAACGCAATCAGAAGTTACGCAAGGTGCTCAAACCATCCGATGATGATGGAGATGATGACGAACAGTTTATCGACAACATGTTCAAGACCGACGATGAAGGTCGTTTAATAATTAGTCTCGACGAAACTGACGAGACCATATCTGATGAGCCCGTTGTGAAGGAAATCAGATTGTTCAAGCATCAGACCAAGGCACACCATTCTTCTAAGAAGAAGGGGGGCGTCCAGCCCTACGCCTATATTAAGTTGAACCGTTCGAAAACATCTGAGAAGCACAAAAAGGAAAACGTAAAGGCACTCAAGTCACTGTCTAAAACGAAGGCAAAATCTAAGCACTAGGCCAATATGCTAAGCTGTTGCAATGAACCTAACAATTTAATGGACTTCATTGCTATCATAATTGCAATCACTCGTTTACAATGCATATTGAATATTACATGTTACATTTGTACACGAATCGTTGTTGTAGAGTGGCCGCCGAGCTATCTGCAAATAGCCACAATTAATGATTCTGGAAGGTTGTTCTTACACGGTGTATAATTCGTACACATATTCCAGAATTCCTTGCGGAAAGAGTGCAATGAAATCCTTGATTTCGGGAGCTACTGCACCAGCAGTCCTGAAGAACGGCGACGGGTCCAGTTTGGATATTTGTCCATCTCGGCGAGCAATGATTTCCTTTTGGAACGCAGCTAATGGCGGTGTCTGTTTCGCGACAACATAGCGAATACACCACTCCCTGATTCCATAGGCACCCATGCAATGCGATAATATAATCATGGGAACTATCTCCTCTTGCTCATACTCCGAAGTATGTATGCCGCGTTTGAAAACATCTGGCGGTATGCTTTTGAATAGTCCGGGTTGCTACATTACTATTCAAACAAAACATATCATAGTGGGCAATAACACACAAACCACATAGCGTATGTGCAACAACATATCCAGATATATCTGGTGTATATTAATACATTAAAGCACGAACATAACCATTCCTTTCTTTCCATGTGCAAAAGCGTTGCATACTAATTACCCACCTGAAATAGTTCATGCCGTTTCTCCAAAATTTTTATCTTCACAATACTGAGTCCATAGGCCGTTTTCGTCATGAATCCAATGATTTCCTTACAACAGTCCCTAAGCTGTTGAACATCGATCGTTGCGGCTCTATCTCCAGATGCTCGATCTCGATAGTGAGTTTCTCGGGCTGGTGCTAGAAGTCCATTGATTTTTGCGATATTAATGTTTAGAAACGAAATCAGGTCACTTAAAGTGTTACCTATTTCTACCACCGTCTCCCATTTGTTCTCAATATTCTTGGCGGTTAGTAGTACAACTGCACATCCATCCAATATAAGAGTTTCTATGTCTTGTACTGTGTATCCTGGCGTGCCACATTTCGTGAAAGTAGATGTCACCCTGACGATTTCAAGTTGCAGATCTTCCAGACTATTGAGGAGCTCATCGCTCACAACGGGTTCGGTCGAATCAGCGTACAACATCCTGATCCTCTCACCTATGCCCAAACTGACCATCTTTAGAAATCCTAGCCATATGTCTACCGAAAAACACCGCATGAGCAGTCGCCGTTTAGCCTGATCAATATGTAATTTATATAACTCGACTTACCGAATCTAAGCGTTCCTTAATACATCCAGCCAATCTTGCTGGATCCAAAAGAAGCAGATTGTTGCTTGTTGCTGTCCTCTTTGCAAAAAGAGGCTCATCTGAATCGTCCATTCCATAGCAGAGGCGCTGAACGGTTCTGGACTCTAAGATAAGCTTGCGAAACGGTATTTCTACAAGTAGCGCATCTGAAGCAGCTTCAAATACGCTGGTATCTCCGTCATCTTTAAAATCTTTGGCTAGACGCCTTGCGTGTTGCGGCGGCAGTAGCCCCGCGCGACATGTAAGTCCATCCGGCAGGTGTTCAACAACTACTGCCACAGGTTCTTTAGTGTCTGCGAAATCTCGCAATATTGCCATCTGCACCTTTACATTGAATTCTACTGGCACACATATGTTTTAGGACGTTTCACCGGACCAGAAATGCTACAACCGCTCTACACATTGAGACAGTAACATATTCTCCGGGAAGAAAAAACGTGTACACACAAAACATTAAAATTAAAACAAATTATATGTTAAACTGTTCTTGAGCAGAACAAAGAAACCACGGCGGAGGGCTAGGCTGTCTGGTGCCATCATGCGATTATCCCCGTTACTTGACATTTTGATGGTGCATATACAATATACACCGACTCCACGTCACTATCGGTTTAACTTCTTTTATAGTATGCGATTAGAATATTGACATCACCAATATTCCCCGATGAAGCATCACCGTTATTTATAAGCTGGCACGTAACGTCCAGGCAACAACACCTTTAGCCCCCCTGTCCATCACACCTGTTCACATTTGCTTGACATGTGATAAAAGTTCCGCGATTTCCCTGTCTAGCATGTATAGATGTTTGTCTCCCTCCTCTATTAATGCAGCGAGGTCAAGTGAGCTGCTGTGCAATAGTATCAATTCCTGACCAGATAGCCGGCTTACGTGGTCGAACGCAGCGTATTTATCCTTAGATGCCGCTTCGGCTACACTCTTGTCGTGCAGTGGTGCCGCCGAGTCGGCAATTGCGGCCTCATCTACACCCTCCACAGCCTCTTCGTAGCTGCAATCTACCAGTGGCATTTTGAAAAGGTATCTAAGCGTTTTTACAGCTCCCACCTCGCTATTTACAGTATAGGTGGTTGTGTCTGTTTGCAATTCTATCGTGGAACGTTTATCGTCGCTGTTATTCAATAGCTCCTCGAGATGGTCGCATGTCTCTGCATCGTAGATACGCCTCTGCCTCCAGACATTGATACAGGTGATAATATGCACTGCGGTTGTGCAATGGATTCTATTTATGTGCATTATGGCTGGTATGCAGAACCGATTGAGTCCCGTTTCTACGAATGAGGTTTTATTGTCCCACGAAGCTTTCACAAATTTATGTACGAGATGGTTGTATACGTAGAATATCCCTAATCTGGTAGCTGCAGCATTTGTGGGTATAGAAACGAAAATATCATGCATCAACTGCATTAGCGCCCCTGGTGGGTATGGGTGTCTCGCAGCTAAGGCTGCAGCGCCTTCGATAGCAGCTTGAGTTGTATCTATCGCCCTCAATCTACCTGTAAGTGCAGATTCTGGGAATATTTGTTCACCAAACTCTTTTCTTTTGTCTAGTTCTGGGATATTCCTTAATCTTTCTTCTAGATCGGGGTGAGCAGCAACATACTCGGAGAGGTATTTCGACATTTCTACAGCACTACCCACTATACGGCTCGGCAGTAGGCTGAGAAGCGAGATATTTGGAGTTTCTTTGGAAGGTGGTGCGGATGCATCCAATACATTGTATCCTGTGTATACTCCATTGCCGGTGGGCAACCCATATCCCATATGTTTGAATGGCATGGCTGGAATATGCGTTGGATGTTGAGCAAAACGGACATAACGTCCACGATCCTGCACACGGCCTCCCATATAGAGTGTTCCATTGCCGCCTCTTTGACCGTAGTAGCCTCTATGATTTGGAGGTGACGCTCGACGGTACGCCCGGTAGGCGCCCAAAGGTCTATCGCCATCACTGTCATCATCATCTTCCTCACTATAATTGTCTTGAAGTATGATTTCTCTATGGAAGGCAGACTCTTCGTCGTCTTCCGAGGGTCCATCATCATCGGATACTGGACTCAATCCTGCCGATTTATCACCTTCCATCGTGCACCTCACCGGTGAAAACAGTACATAATATTGTGTACCGTTTGTCACGGTGGATGTCGTTACAATCGCCTTACTTTGGTATTTGTTGGGTCGGCCGCGTTTGGTTTCTTTCGCCCGTCTGACGGTGAGTGTACCACACACAAAACTGAAAATCGTGTATAACCTTTATATGTGTTTGTATAGGTTATTTGCCACATATAAGTTTGTTTGTATCCCACATTAACAAAATTTTGGGTTATTCTCAAGGCGGCATATTGGTTGTGCACAAGGGGGGTTATCGTTTTGTCTTAAAACAAGGAGTCTCAGCCTCATATCATGATCTGTATAACCTTTAAGGCCGCTGAAACGTTTGTGTGAGTGCTACTAAGGTGTCCTTCCTCTATTATCACTGATGTGCATAGGTTTTGTGGTCAGCAGGTGAACTGTTATTTCATTTCACAATTTTCATTTCTACATTGGTTTCTTTAAATAAATCGATTTTATCATTGCCTTATGTGGTGTATATTTTCCACGTGAAAAGAATTCTTTTTTTCAAGCTGCGGGATATTTCCTACACGCGTAATTACACATTGGCTTAATTCCTGGTGTGTTGTACTTATTGTCTCATTTTTTGTGACAATTTGCATCTGTACAAAGTTAATTTTGCCAAAGGGCTAAATTATACTACATTTTTTTCGCCGGCCTAGCTCCGAGTGTCCACGGGAGAATACCCATACCTTCCATTTTATTTTCCACTTTAAGGTTATTCAAGATGTCTGGAGGTCTCGGAAGTAACATTTTTTCTCGTCTTCTATCTGTTTGGAAGTCACTGCGTGGCGATACTATGAAGTTCGTCGATGCGGTGACACATAACACATTAAGTAGCGAATCTACTGAAGGTGCGGATGAAGTCAAATTCAATATCAACTCGCGAACGGAATCATTTAGTACAACTGATGGTTCTGATGGATCGGGAGCGCCGGATGAGATTGCTGTTGCACCGTCGGTCATTAGCTCACCAAGGACAGTTGACAATGAAAACGAGTTCATCGTAACTCTCAAACAAGACCAAGAAAGCGCCGAGGAGTCGAAGGAAAACCTCAATGCTGCATGTGCAAGCTACCGTACCGATGTGCCTCTCGATGAGCTGTTGCAAGTTTCCGTTGGTTTGCACAATAACCTCGAAAGGAGGGTTGAGCAAATATGCGAGACATTAGCAGAGAAAGGTGTCTCAATAGAGGCTCCGAAAACTGAACTCCCCGAGACAATACCCGAGGCTGTGCACGAGGGCTTCGCCAAGGAGAAAGCTTTGACTTTAAAACGTGGCCGTTGTCGTCGTAGTCAACGCAATTTATACCCTACTCCTAAACTGGAGGAAACGCGCCCGTCTAAATTGTCTAAGAAATCTGACCCGACGGACTTGAAGCAGTTGGACTTATCAAAAGAAACGCGTCAGCTACTGCAGCTTGATTCTCCAAGAAATAAAAGGAAGACATCGTAGCTCACTACAATCGCCCATATGACGTCACATACTCACGTAACTGCCGAGGTAAATAACAACTAAAATGCTGTTTAATGTTGCCTACGTGAGTGATGACTTGAGCTACATTAGTTTTGCATTCGGAGATGTTATGGTAGGCCATTGAAGCCTTACGTGGAGTGCCTTAAGCACCCAAAAACTTATTAAAGAACACATTGTCTATTTAGCAGTGTTAGATGCAGGGAGCTGGATCATGTTAATCAGCTCTTTCATCAAGGATCCCATTGCCTCGGCACACATTTTCAAACGTTCCTCATTGCTTCTCCTGTATTCTTCTTCTGTTTTACTGTTATGCGAAGTTATTATGGCTTGTATATCCTCAGCAGATCTTGCCTTTTGTGTTTCGCTATGCGAAACGCCATTGAAGTCCGCCAGTTTCTTGGTGATAAGGTACTCGTAAAAGAAATCCTCGTACATCTTGTCGATGGCAACGAGTTCACGTATCGATTTGGAGAGGATACGTTTGGTCCTTATAATGCGATCGGCCGTCATAATACGTACGCTGTTTGCGATTTCAGGTAAATCATGAGTCTCATGCAGCTGCTTGTGAAAGCGTATGGCGTTGGCAAGCTCAAAGTGAGCCTCTATGATGTTTTTGCGCAGCATTTTTTCTCTCGACCTTTTGGTTGTTTTTGTAACAGGCAGCCATTTGAGGGTGTAAATGAGTTCGTCTGGCGTCATTTTGCGAGAGCATAACTCGGATGGTAATGTGTCCCTAGCTGCCACGTCCCGCCTCGTATATTTTTTAATTTTCTCCAAGGTGCATTTGATTCCATCATTTGCGAACCTATCGAGAATAGTACTAACTTCGGGAGTTGTTTGTGCGATGTCTCTGAGTGATTGCTGTGTGAGCTGGTCGACTCCGTTTATCGAGGAGTGCCTTGATATTGCATGTTGTTCTATATTAGCTTCTGAGAGTAGCAGTAATAAGTCATTACAGCTCTCACAGGATCGATTTATACTTTCCACTAGCGCTGTTGTATAATTGTAGAGTTCCGATATATTTTGGTGCGTCTTTTCTAAGGCGTACTGGATCAATGTCTCCCGATCTGTGTTTCCTGACTCGCTGCACAATTTATCCCCCTTTCCTTCTGAGAGGATCTGCATCTTATACCTTTGTTAATTATAACATTCTCTGTTTTCTCATGCCTTCCTCGCCGCAGACTCAGAGATGAACGTCTTCGAAGGATCTGATACTATTACAGATTTTTTTCTGCGGCCAAAATATCTCACAATTTGATGAAACAGATTTGTTGCAAGCCTTTGTGTTTCATTATTAATGCCATTAACATGCTTAAGCAAGATACGTGGTCGATTCGCCGGGCACAGTTATATCTCCGTTACCTCCTTGACCACGATACTGTTTCGGCTGGCAATGAAAAAGTTCCAACTTCCGATGATTGAAATTTACTATAACGTAACAACCACGGTATATGACCGCTAGTTCATATATGGAATTTGTTTACAAAATAATTAATGTTCTGTGGGTATTATACACTTAATTCCATTGATTGAAAATAGTTGCGATTAGATCTGTTGAACTTTTCTCCGAGGTGACCTTAGATCTAGGTTCTCGTTTTAATGCGATAAACACCATTTTTGTCACCAAACTGAAACGGTGATCTGGTTTGTTTGATCTCTTTCCTTCGTTTCCTGTGATATTTTTGCCAGGCTGGAAGAGAGTGTCATACCTTTTTTGGATGTCGACAAACCTGGCTCCGCCTTTTGTATCGGTAAAGAGCTTGACCCCAAGCTCCTTTTCCTGTATAATGTTGAGTTACAGATAATGCCATGCAAGATATAACACTAATACAACGGCCAGTATCCGAATTCTGATGTGGCACTAGAGTATTTAACATACCAGTTGTTGATTCTTTTCCACGTTCCGTTTAAGAGCTTTTGTTCTTTGCACAAATTCTTTATATGGCATTTTCCTATTTTTGGCAATCTGTATTTTATTGTAATGAGTCTCAGATTGTGACGCCCATGTAATCGCTTAAGCATATAATGACACAAAATCAAAGGCTTTAATTGTCGTTGGAAAACACACATTTGTTTATGATAGGTGTAACTAACCTTCCCACCTAGTGCTTGCAGTTTGGCATTATCGTATTGCCGTTTTGCGATGGGATCCAAGTGCGGATAAACTACAAACCATGAGAGATACACATTGGTATAAGCACACCTAGTTTGTGCAGTTGATTGACTGCTTCTTTAAACGTTCTTTTTTGTTTCTGTACCTCTGGATCCGTTTCCCAGGGTTTGCGGGTGCACAAACTACGTTTTCCCTGCTGTTGAACCTCCGGCTCCTTTACGGTTGGCTTCTCCGGTTCGTTTTCCGGTTCGCACGACTCAAGTACCTTATTTACATACTCCTTGGCGTTCAAACGTTTATGTTCGCCCGATACCCTTGTTGTGTGTCGTGTCTTCCTGCGTTTAGGATTTTCCGGTTTGAATCCCCAAAGGCGGTCTAATTTAACCTGTGCAGGTGACCTTGTGGCGTATAACGCCAACTTTTTTAAAATTTGCAATTTATTTCTTCGTATTTTCATATTTGTGTTGCTTTGTGCTGCACATTCTCCGCCACACCTGCGACCCCGCGTGCTGTGGTATGTGTATTCAGTAGGAACCTATGCTCCATTCCCTGATAAAATCTGGAAGACGATTTCTGTTTTCAAACAAATTCAGCAAGTTCAACCATAGGTGTTTCAATTCTACGTCAAACATGATGACGAACAACACGGACATCGAGGCCAATGAATATCACAAGTTGCGCGTGGCCACTGTGCAGGAATGGCGCAAAAGGAATGCTGCTTACCCGCACAAATTCAAGGTATGTGTTTCTTTACGGCTGCATTATGGCCTCTGCGTTTTACCTCTGGGCCACCTTGTGGATGGCACGTAATCTTGCTATATATGCTATTAGCCCAGGTATTGGCGACTTTTTGACCATATTTAGATCTATCCGACATGTTCCCATTTTCCGGATACCTATATTGTATTCGTTACGTTACACATTGCTATGCAGACCAACATTAACATCGAGGAGTTCATTAATAGGTATGAGCGCCTTGCCACCGGCCAGTACTTGGAGCATGAGGAAGTACGCCTTGCGGGTCGTATTACACGTGTTGCATCGAGTTCATCTAAGTTGCGTTTTTACGACGTGCGCTCGAACAACCTCCGCTTGCAAGTCTTCGTCAACTTTGAGAACCACAACCCTGACTCGGGTGATTTCTATGAGATGCATAGTTCGATAAGGCGTGGTGATGTCGTGGGTATCGTGGGTTTTCCAGGTAGGCGTCTTGAATGTTTTATTCTGTATATACATATGTTAGGTCGTTCCAAAAGGGGCGAGCTGAGCATTTTCTTGCGCGAGATACAGCTTTTGACTCCTTGTTTGCACATGCTTCCTGACAAATCTGGTCTTAAGGATCCGGATACTCGCTTCCGCCAACGTTACTTGGACTTCATCATGAACGATGAAGCTATGTTTGTGATGATGACACGCTCCCGCATCATTAAATTCACTCGCGAGTTTTTTTCGAGTCGTGACTTCATTGAGGTTGAGACGCCTACTCTGAACGTTCAGTGCGTTGGCGCTTCAGCACGTCCTTTCATATCTCACCACAATGATTTGGATATTGACTTATTTTTGCGTGTAGCTCCCGAGTTGCCGCTTAAGATGATCGTGGTTGGCGGTTTTGAGAAGGTGTTTGAGATCGGCAAGTGTTTCCGCAACGAGGGTATTGATATGACGCATAACCCTGAGTTCACTAGTTGTGAATTCTACTGGGCCTATGCTGACTACAACGACCTGATAGGTTTGACTGAGGAGTTTCTGAGTTCTTTGACTTTGGAAATCCATGGGAGTTTCACCTTCCCATACCACCCTGATGGCCCTGATGGTCCTGAGGTGATTGTGGACTTTACACCACCGTTTGAGCGCGTTTATCTTATTGACACGCTTGAGCGGGAGATAGGCACTAGTTTCGTTCCTCCCTACAACTCTGAAGAGAACTGTGCGAAGTACCGCGCTGCTATAAAGAAGGCCGGTTTAGAGATGCCTAAACCCCCAACAGCTGCGAAGTTATTGGACAAATTGGTTGGTCATTACATTGAGGACCGTATTGGAAATCGTCCCACATTCATCATGGACCACCCTCAGTGCATGTGTCCGTTGTCTAAGTGGCATCGCGACAAGCGTGACCTTTGTGAACGTTTCGAGTTATTTGTTTGTGGTCGTGAAATCATCAATGCCTACACCGAGTTGAATGACCCCTTCAAGCAGCGCGAATGTCTACAGGAGCAGAGCATGGTGCGTGTGTGGATTTTTGAGTATTTCATCTTTTGTTTTCAGGCCAAACACCTTGGTGACGATGAAGCTCAGGATTTGGATGAAGGTTATTGTGTTGCCTTGGAATATGGATTACCACCAACTGCTGGTTGGGGTGTTGGTATTGACCGTTTGACTATGTTTCTGACTGACCGCAACAACATCAAGGTATGTCTCTATACTTTAGTATATCATTGGTTGCAGGAGGTATTGTTCTTCCCTACTATGAAACCGCTACCTACACACACCCCTTACTGCAGCGCTAATAACCGCCCCGCTCCCTGGCCTACGTCGGCCATTAAGCGTGAACCCACTATATGAGGGCGCGCTATTAGCAATTTACTTTTTTAAAAATTATACCTATTAATAATGGTGGTACGTAAGGATAAGCTTCAGCAGGTTATGACCCAGCCGATTGTAAGTTTCTTAATCCTTTTGTTTCGCTCGTCGTTGCTGTCCGAAGGGCGTGTCGATTCTCTGTTACGGTGCTTGCTTATCTACGTAATTCTTGGACACATATTTTGTATTATAATATTTGTGCAGAACCAGGTGTTCCGTTTTTTTACAAGCGGAACCCGGGTCCAGATTTGGCTCTTCGATGTGCCAAACTTGAAGATCGAGGGTAATATTCGGGTAGGTGTTAGTTGCGTTTGATTCTTATCTGCTCAGGGTTTTGATGAGTATATGAACATGGTATTGGAGGATACGGAAGAGCTCTACGTGAAGCAGAAGGCGCGGAAGTCTGTGGGCACTGTCCTCCTTAAGGGCGACGCAATGGCTTTAATCGCAGCCGCACCTTAATAAGCGGTTTACTTATATAGTTGGACTATAAGTATTTTAATGCCTATGCTATCGTGTTCTGTTAGTTCTCGGATTACCCTAACTTTCGAGGTCGTGTTCTTGCGCGTCGATTCTTCACGTCAATGAACCTTCCCGCCCAGTTTACAATTTATGTAAATATCGTGCTAAAAATGGAATTTCTATGTATACTTCGTTTTTTTCCTGTTGCTTCCCTTCCGCTTCAAGTTCCAATGCCATTACGAGTCAGAGCTGAACCATTGTTTTATGTGTAAAGGCTCTGCCAGTACGAATCTTGACCCAGTGACAGCAATCTGTTTGAATTGCTGAAACTATGGACATGTTTGTTGATCTCCTTGATTCGCAGTTACAGAGGCCTGAGGAGTACGTGTCTTTGGTCTCTAATGAAGACGGGTGTCGACCGGTAGAGTCTCATCTGAATAAGTTGATATCCGTGGCAAGTGACGCTGCTAAGATATCGAACACCCTTCCATCAGGAGTTGATTATACAGTCCTTTCGACTAGTTCCTCCTTTGGTTCACGTCTCACTTCTCTGTCGTCTAAATGCAACGACTCCTTTGGTTTGGTCGACCCTCTTTTTCGGAAGATTGGTATGGATGATTACGCTGATAAGGTGTCATCTGACGCGCTCGATAGGCTCGCTGACGAGATCTATTTGGGCCTGAAGGTCCATTACAACAACTCCAATCAGACAGTATCAGATTTTCGCAAGGACGGGTGGGAAGGATCTAAGCGTAAAGCATTAGATGGTCAAAATGAGGCCCAACTTGATACTGTTGTTAAGCCAGCTATTCCATGCGACTTAGAGGCTCGTCTGGACCACTTTCCTTTAAAGATTTGTGCAGACACCTACAAGCGTGTAAAGAAGCACAATCAGCAGCGTTGGATACATTTGATTGACAATTTTTCTATGCGTTTGATACTTGCTCGAAAGTTTCCGAAGTTTAATGCCCTGAAACAAGATGGCACTGTGTTGGATCATCCTGCGGAGCCTGAAGGTTCTGAGGGCTGTGGCCCCTGTAGAGAGCGCATCTTTGTGCCGATGCTGTACCCTAGATTCGATAATCTCTTAATCTGTGGTCAAACTAAGGAGCAAATGCCTGTACTTTCGCATCCTTACACAGCTGAGCTTAATGCGTTGGATTGGAGTAAGTCTGATGATGCCCACCCTCACCGTGGTTTTAAGACTCTTGGTGGAGGTAGTCTGATGGACCTTAACGTGAACGTTTCAGGCCCACTTCCTACTAACAAGAATTGTCAGGTGGTGGAAAGTTTGGATGACTTGAATGCCATGATTTTACAGTTGAAAGGTTGTAGTGTCATTGGTGTTGATGTTGAACACCACAGTATTCAAAGTTACCGTGGTTTTGTATGTCTCGTACAAATAACTGGTGCGGGTTATGATTGGGTTATTGATCCTTTTGAGATATTTGAAGAGATGTGGCGTTTGAACGAGGTGACTACCGACCCTTGTATTTTGAAAGTTATGCACGGTGCTGAGAGTGATATTTTATGGCTCCAGCGTGACTTTGGTGTATACGTTGTAAATTTGTTTGACACATTGAAGGCGGCTGATATACTATGTCTGGATTGCGGCCACTCCCTTTCGTCATTAGTGAATTATTTTTTTGGTGTTAAATTAGACAAGTCGTATCAATTAGCTGATTGGCGTATCCGTCCAATTCCTCGTGGTATGTTGCATTACGCCATCTGCGATACCCACTATTTACTGGATCTCTACACCTCTTTGAAGAACATAGCACTTGAACGCGACCTTAGTACAAACCTACCTGGTGTGATTGGTTGTGCGGACAATCGCATTTTACGCATAATGTTGGCAAGTCGCAAAGTGTGTTTACGTCAATACCGTGACCCTGTTTTCAATGAGGTTTCTCGCGGCATACAGATCTTCCGTAAGAATAAACACTGTCCCAACATGGTCGATCCCCTGTCTCTGAATGTGTTGTTGAATTTGTTATCCTTACGCAACTATGCAGCCCGAATTCTTGATGAGAGTGAATCCTTTTTGTTACCCGATTATAATGCTTGTATAATTGCGTTGGCTGCGGATTCCAAAAGTGGCGCCGAAACATTTTTCCGAGCTCTTCAAAGACACATGCCTATGCTCGCTCATGAGATCCCCTATATGTTAAAATTGCGTAACAGTTTGAATGACATATTGCACCTAGTTCGAACTTCTCGCGTTCAACTTATGGAGCCTACCCCTTTATCAAGGTTGCAAACCTTTTTGCGCCCGCCTTCGCTTCGTTTCCCATCTGTTTATCCACGCCCTTTTAGAAGGCTTCCTTCCATACGTCGCAATTTGCGTCTTCCAGCAAAGCGTTATGAAAGTATATCAGTAGATGGAACAAAGAAGATTTACGAGACCTTGAGTAGGTCGGTTGAGCTCAGGTCCCCTCGTTCTCGTCGTTCTTCTACGTTATCTAGGAGGGATAAAGGCGTCAACCGTCGATTGTCTTCGAGAGCATCTAAGGAGCGGCGTAAACCTAGCACTGCTCTCAAGACTAGTGAACTAATTCCTGTATCGGTTACTTCTAAGTTACCCGTTGTTGTGGAGAACGCCGGTACAGCTATTGTGAAAGCAATATGTAGTGATGAGGGGTTTTCTGGTTGCCCTGCGGACGACTCATTGGTGGTAGCTAAGTCCGTGATACGGCGCAGGGCCCGTGGCAGTAGACGCCTGTGGTCCGCCAGCTCTCCCCGAGATAGCACAAATGCTACTCAGTCTGTAAAAGACAAGGGTTTGAAAGAGCGTATTTCCAAACAGAAATTGGCTAAAGGGTTATACTCTAAGGATAAATTAACAAAAGATGGTGTTAATTCTGCCCCGAGGGCAGCTTCACCAGCGAAAGCTACCGCGGAGCCTGATGTAAAGGCTACTGGGGAATCATCTCGGCGTCATCGTCATCGTCGTCGGCGCCGTCGCCTCCGTGCTTCTGAATCCTCTGTTACACAAGCTCCGGCACCCCGTACTAGGCGTGAGGCATCAACAAAGCATTGATCGCCCCGCCTTTTGTTTATTAAACCGATCATTGACATTATGATTTTGTCCATTATTACACATGTTATTTCCGGTGAGTATAACCGGCTATAGTGGGTGCGCGTGAGCTCTGTGCGTCATTTTCTTCGCCTGTATTCAGATATTTCAACTATAGGTTAGGACTATTTCATTTTGCGAAGAGTTTATTATTTCTACATTAAATGTGGCGTTTGGTTAGGTGTGTCGCGCGCCACCTTTGAGGTGTGTGTCGAAAGGTTGGCACAATCTCGTTATTTTAGGTTGTATATCGTATTTTGTGGCATAACTGGCCATGGTAGACATTTTGAAGGATTCGAAGATGCTTCCATCATCGTCTGTTGCCGCCGTCGATCGCATTTTAAGTCTTCGCGGTGCTGCATTACAGACATTGGTTGCGTTATCGGAGCGCAACTCATTGGCGACCTATTTTAAACGCTTTGCTTTTCAACGTTTGAAGTCCAATGCTTTTGGTGTACAGGGTCTGTCTGGATCTTCAGATGACACGAGTTCTTTACGTTTTTCTCAGAGTCAATTACGTTTACTTCGTCAGGAGCAGTTGATGTTGATGGCCGAGAATGAGCGTTTGGTTTACGAGCTTCAAGAAATACGTCGATGTCGTTCTACAGGTCAATTTCGTCGGAGTCAGCCGCGTGCTGTTCCGGAATTTCGTGAATCAAAGCTTTCTAAAGCAATAGATCTTACCCTTTCTGGTGGTCGCGATAGCCGTTTAAGTGGAGCACGTATTGCATTGTTATGTGCATTAATCGGTCGCCTTCGTTACAAGGTAATGGGTGCGGTTTTCCGAGCACTTTCACGGCAACCGTTGAGATCATTGCGGTTTTCATCAACCCGTTTGATGGGTTATGGCCATTCTAACATTCAACAGCTTACTACTCCCTGTATGATATTGGAAAATATTGTTCGTTCTATGGTACATCGTACCGAGCGTCTGACTCTCCGCCTACTGGGTGCGTCTGTGATTGGGAAGCCTACACCATTACACTACCCAATTCCCCATCCAGACCCTTTAAAGGTTTGTGGCGGACTTAATCAAACGGAATCTCGGCCGGCTGGTAAGTGTTGTTTGTATGTGAATTAACATTTGTCTCAGTGGACATGTCTAGTTTATACCTGCCCGGACCGCATAGCAGTTATCAGCGTCAGCTGCCAAGCGTACGCCGTTATTTGGGTTAAGGGTGTTGCTGTTGTTGACCCCATTCCTTGGCATATAACTTCTTGTACAGTGAATAGAGCTGTAACATAATGTATTTGTATAAAGCGGGACTAACCGTATTCGTGACTGGCATTCGTTTCACGTTTGTTAGGAATTGCAGAAGTTTCCCGTTGATATGGGCTAGGTTCGAACCGTTTAGAGCTTGTGCAAACGCACATGGTGTCGACCAGGCTTCCAATATTGCTTGTGTGGTGTTAGCTCCGCAACCGGGTATTGCCCTTAGTTGTCTGCCAAATAGTTCCTTGAATGTCATTTGGTTTTGTTTCCGGTTCTTCAACTCCCATTGTGCGAATGTCATATATTGGCTTTCCATGTAATCTTTAAACTGTCTTGCAGACGTTGCGATAGAGTGGCGCATATGCTCGTGTAGACATCGTTCGATGTGCGTGTGTAGAACCAGTATGTTTGCCGCTGTATGAGGCATTCCTGTGGTACGGAGCACATTAAACCCGGTGACCATTTGCGTGTGGATCCGTGCTGATTGTATGGCTGCTGCGTTGACCCTTTTGCCTAGTGCGTTAGCCCGTGAGATGGCGGAACCCAGATCGATGTCCTCAAATACGTAACATACATGTTTGAACCCTACCAATCTCAACATACGGATCTTTTGTTCATCATATCTTCCATCCGTTATGCTTGCGGCAAGATCTGCTGTTGTTTTCCGTTCGAGTACCCATTCCAGGACATATGCATCGCTAAGGTTATCCGTCGATTGTGTACGTTTTCTGCTTTTGGGGGTTCGCTTTGGCGTTGTTGAAGGGGTTTTCACAGCATCGGATTGCTCTTTCGATGATACAGCCGCCCCAACCTTGTCATAGTCAAGGTCGGCAGCAGATTGTTTCCCGGTTACTGAAGCGCCGCTTCGGTCCGTGCTATACATTTCGGGTTCAACAGCTTCCGTCTTACGTCTCAAAACCCATATTACATCTCCTAGTGGTAGTTGTCTGAAAAGAACCGTTTTGCCGCTGGCAGCAAACAATTCCATTATGCGCCTTCGGTACCTGCCGTCGGCATCATGCAATTCCCTGTTGTCCACCACAGTAACCACTTCATACTCTGAAGAAACGTATTCATTGTCAATCCCATGTCGCTGCCTTAACCTCTGCGTCAGCGGTGTGAACCTCTCGTAAGATGAGACTCCTGTATCGGACTTCGATGATGTGTCACTATCGTCATCTATACTTTCTATATGCACCCCTTTGGGTGTGACTAGTTCAATCCTAGGTGTTGTCTTTATGTCTAGTTGCTGTAATATTTTGTTAGGATCGTCATGTACCAAACATACCTCGTCCTTGTGGCGTAATTCGTCCTTATGTTTTTCCACTTTGAGTTCGTTAGGCTCCCAGTTTATCTGGATGTTGGCAGGAGTATTGTTTGTACGCTTTGCAGGGGGCGTTGCTGGGTACTGCGTCTGTTCATGGCCATATTCGCTTTTTTGACTATAGCACTGCGACAGATCGTCGTAAACGTCCATGAGATTACGATATCTGTCAGATGTAATATCAGCTGCATTTTCTTGGTTATAGTATTGGTCTGCAAGCCCCTCATATGGGTATTTTACGTCACCCATAGCTTCATGGTCATTAATCCCACTTTCGGTTTTTTCGCTGCTCCTGGTTGTTTTGCCGGTGCTGTTAACGTATTTATGCGCAGCAGGTGAATATGAGCCTGACAGATCACCAAGACTATTGTGGTATGCCACATGGTTCATCGACGTATCCGATTTTGGACCTTGGACCAGGTTTCCTACTACTTCTTTGTTGGCTAATGGTTCTGGTGTTTTGTGATCCGACGTCAAGGCAGCATCCTTGAGATCGGTTGTATGTTCCGAGATGGAGATTGGTTGTTGATCCTTTGCCAATGGTTGTGTATGACATCTGTTTGGCGTGAACAACGAGGCATCTTTAGAGAAGTCCTTGTCATTAGATTCGTCAGCTCCAATGGCTTCATCTCGGTTGGTTTGAGAATTCATTTCCTTGGGGCTTAATGTGTCGTCTACTAGGTTGACTTCTGGTGTTTTGTATATGTTCAACATTTCCACGCTTCTGTTAGCGGCATCGGATGATGTAGCAGTACCAGGGTAGGAATATCGTTCCAGCAAATTGCTTATAGGTGATTGTGTGCTACCTTCAGTTTGTAAAACTGGTTGCTGTGCTTCCACATGTGAGTCTGGAATCATGAGATGATCGGATTCGATTGCCGTTGCAAAGTCTACCCTTTCTTCAATTCTATCGTCTACATCCAGAGTGAAATCACTTATATCATCGCTTGAGTTAGATGCGTTACTACCATCGGCGTTTTCCTGCTCCATTTCACGCAGTCCTTGCGATTGTTCTTGCGATTGCTGTAGCTGTGAGAATACGTTTTCTCCTCTTTCATTTGTTGATATTGGTATATCACATGCTGAAATGATCTCTTGAGCTAATTTCTTTCCAACTTTAGTTAATCCATATTTGTATAATCTTTTATTTTTGGATACAAATGCTATTGTATCTCCGCCTTGGGGTTCCATTGCATGTCCCATATAGTCTGGTAATTCGAAATCCACGATAGATCGATCGATAAGGTCACTTAAGAAGCTGAATTGTGTAAGTTTAGAATTTGGTATACGGGCTCTTAGTTCCTCGTAGCGTTCTAATATGTCATTTAATGGAAGTTTTGATTGCCCATTAGTGAACAAACCGAGTATCATAATGAACGTCCAAGCACCCGAATATCGTTTAGGCCTCCATTTGCCGATGACTGTTGATACTCCTTCATCGAAATCCGTATTCGTCAGAAACGTTCGTATCCTTTTGAATACCTTTGCAGCGTGGGTTGCAGATTGCGTTTTTGAAACTACTAGAGTTCCATGATTTTCAATAATTCTGCAGGAATTGTTTGTTAGACTTTCTTGTATCCACTTACTTTTCAAAGATTTTGGCCGTATGACCTCCAACCCCTGCAACCGTGCCTGCATCTTCGGCCGTATATACTGGCATTGGATACTTTTCTAGTGCGAGAACGATTTTGTTCAACAGTACAACTTTATGCCTATTTCCTATAGAACGTGCTTGTTCCATTTGTCCTAGGATATACCTGTAATAGTTGTGGTTGCTGGGATGGACAAGTGCCAGCCCACGCTTAAGCCGTTGCCCTTCTTCCCTCGACATTGGTTCAATATGATATCGTTATAAGATGGTAGCTCAACAGATGGGTATGGCGCTATTACCATTCCGCCTTTGAGATTATATTATCATCTTGATATGATCCATCATCTGTATGTTAAGCTTATTTTTCACTTGCATGGCAATGTGAGTGTCTAGATGCCATCCTTGAGACGCTCATTCATGTTATCTGTCGATTTTTGGTATTTACGGTGTCGTCACCGTGGAACAACGGCCGTCATTTTGTTATTCACCCTGTAACTGAAGCACAGGTAAGGTTACTGCGAAGTTCTATGGTCCTTCAATATCTCTTAAGATAATTGTATCAGTTTTATGTGTTATTTGTGCTTGTTATACCGTTCTTATTTCACGGTAGCCGGGTTGAGTGTTATAGTGGCGTTGTTAGGTATTCCCCCAAATCTATGTTGAGTAGTACATTTTGATGGCCAATTGGCGCAAATTATTTGTTTAAGGATATTTGTTAATCCGCTATAACTCTCTTTCACTTCGTACTAATTTTAGACAACTGTTAGGTGTGTGAGACCCAGGTGTGTACGTGGTACCAAGCTTCATCGGTATATCGTCACCAAGGCTTCATTCTTAAATCGATCGCTCTATGCAGGGAAATTTATCGCAAAATGTTTACGGGTAAATTCACCCCGCCGTCGTTCGGTAAGTTAAAATAACATGTAAATTATGTATCGCCAGGCCCATCTAACCTCAAGTACGAAAAACTGATCGCGACCAACCTGAAACACATCCGTGCTGAAATTTTGTATACGGAACACAATGTAAGTGATGTTTGATTCATAATTCTGCCGCCAATTCACTGCCTCTACTTCAACAGTGATGATATTGATACAGATCGGTGACTTATCGAACCGTTTTGCATCCCAGCGTCTTGTAAATACAATCCAGAACAAACTGGACAATGTATTTTCATTAATCAGTGTTACTGAGGGTTATTTAAGCGAATGGGAATCGGATATAGCGCGTTCCCCTGGACTTTCTGATGCCAACGGTACTTTCGAACGGTTGAAAGGCCAATTCAACCGTGAAGTATCTAGAGCTAGGCACTTGGCAGAAATGCTGAAGAAAAGACCACAAATGCAACATTCTGATTCGATAGAAGAGACCTCAACTATCGACAGTGTACCTGGTAGTGCCCAGGTAGACTACAACTTTATAAATTCGGCAAAATCAGACCCTGACTGTGAAATACAGGCTATACAACACTTTGATCTTGTTGAATTCGATAGCGGTCGTGATCTATTGACGGATTCTTTGATAGAGTCTCGTACGCAGGGGATCAATCACATTCGCTCTCAGATAGAGCAGGTATGTTTCTTTGCAACTCAAGTAGCTCCCAGCATGTATACTAATTACAATACAGGCCCGTGGGATATTCAACAACATCGCGACCATTGTAGCGGTTCAGGATGGCGGCTTACAACAGCTAGAGCGCAACTTGAAGGATGCCCATGATAACAGTGAGGAGGTTTTGAAGGACGTGGAATCGTTAGTAACATCTCGCCGTCGCAGTTCTCGTAGGAGGTATGTCATATATACATCTACTGCAATGCTTACAGGCGCGTATGGCTATGTGGCATCTCTACTATAGCTACTTCTTTGGTGATTTATTATTATCGATACATGCGTCCGATTAGCTGAATTTAGCTGCGCTCCCAATGCCTGAACCACGCTAAGTGGCCTATAGAGCGTGCAAGAGCCTTCTTGAACGCTTCTCGACGGCCGTCTGACACAAATGTAACTTCCCAGACACAACCGTCATCATCGTCCTCTTCGTGAGAGTCTTTTACGGTTATGGCGACGCCAAGGTCATCTCCGTATGCGACTTTTGTGATGGAATCACAATACCATTGCTGCAGCAGTTCAAGAGGTTCTTCTGGTGGAGCTTCACTTGTTTCTTCATCGTCCTCTTCACTCTCAGGCGCTGTAATTTTCCTGTTGCTGTCGGTCTCAACGACCTTCCCAGCCAGAACACTAGAATAGTTACCATCATCTGTGGAGTCCTCTGGGAGCGGCATCAGTGCTAGTTCACACATGAACTTACCTTTTATGATAGTCTCCGTTATAATATTGGGTTTAATGGCAAAAATAGCCAACTTATTCTCCGTGAGTGCGATTAGAGATAGTTGTTCATCGTGGTTGCATATACCTAGGTATGTCGCGGTTTTGCCCAGCGTTTTAGCTGAGCAAAACCCCAAAATATTACTGTTACCCTCGGTTACAAACCTCCTGAACTCGGTTGATGGTGTATGTCTCAATGTGAACATTGCGCATGTTGAGTCTGTCCATGATGTTTTATCAACAATTGCCTGTCGTGCGAACACAACATATAGGAGTCCGTTTTCTACTTCCCATACGGCTGCGTTTCTGTGGAACTTGGATCTAATTTTGAAATCACTTTCACGTCTAGAACGTAGTATGTACATGTTTCGTGAAGTCACGCCTAACAGCCCGGTCCTTATCGGGCCCCCTTTTTTTGCAATCCATATATCATCCATCAATAGAGCCCTTTCTAGACGTTTTTCAGAGACCCGATCTTGGAACTGTTTCGACAGTTCTGCCAACTGTATGCGCCTTAGGAGGTCTGCTACGAAACTCGGTCTAAGAAGGAGCGAGTTTGATTGCCGCTGTTCGCTGATAGCATTGATCAAATGTTGGTAGTGGGTGTGTTTTGCCGCGCAGGAGGACGTCACAACAATGTCGGCACATGCCTCCCTAATCTGTTCGAGAAGATGTGATTGGTAGAGGTGTGATACATATGTACCTACACTGCTGCTGGTCTCCAGAGCGACGATTTGGAAAAGTATCCGCAGAACTAGAGATAAGACAGGTTCCGTAAGGAACCTTATAACACACTTTTCCACAAAGTATTGCTGTATCTCTAGGACGTTTGAGAACTTGATACATGGCATCTGTCTTGCTATCATTGCGAACAACTGAAAAATGCGTAACAACACCAACTGGACGTGATACATACTGCTTTCCACCCAGTCGACGCTCACACTGGTGACAACACTCATCAAAGGTTCACAAACGCCAGCTGCAAACCGAGATAGGATGTCATAGACAATAATGACGTCCATTGATTCTGCTTGTGCCGAAACATCTATGGTCAATGCGCGAACGCATACCCTAAACAACTTGGCTGTGAGGTTGGCATCTAGGAACGATGAACATGCTGTTAGTTTGATTAGGTTCCTCACGAAATCTGGATCCTTAAAGTGTCCTTTAATTGCCTCTCGCACAACACTAGATACGTGCGGTGCCATAAGCACGTGTAGCGTACGCAAATAGCTGGAGACTACAAAACAAGGATTGAGTATTTTTGTAGACTCGTTAATCCAGACCTTGTGTAACAACTGTCTCGGAACTACCCAGTAGAATATATCATCGTCTCGCTTATCATGATTATTATCTCCCAATTTTTTGTTAATTACATAAGAGACGGTATGTCTTGTTGGTTTTGCTATAGCACTGCTGATAGCTTCACCCAACTGTGTTCCTTCTGCCAGACTCTCTCCACTGAAGATATCAGAGCAGTCGATATTCCAATCGAATTTGTCACAGATACTAAGACGCTCGCAATCTAGTTTTCTACCTTTCAGTAACCCTGCCCAGTATTCGCTGTGTTGGTTACGTTTACGTTCTTGCAGGAACCGCTCCGTGAATGTCGTTGAGAATGCCGCACTTAGATATGCCATTATTTTCTGCGGCATCTCCATGGAAACAAATAGCTGCTGTTCTCTGTCACGATGCGCATCCAGTGTCATATCTGGTAAAATATCATGTTGAAGCAGAGCGTCCATATCTGTGTTTACACTATCAGATTCCGCATTCTCTGTGCCTTCTATACTACTATCTTGTGCAAACACAGCAATATGTTTCAGCGGTTCTTCAGCAAAATCCTCTACTTCCTGGGCACAAATGGCCTCGATATGTTGCATCTTTTCCTCCAAATGTCCGTGCTGTGCATCGCTGATAGCAAGGTTCAAGGCTCGTAAAACACGAAAAATCTGTTTACTATCGCTTTTCAGCCGAAATGTATCGAACATACATGCGCTCAAAAAAGCTACATCACCACCCGCAGAAGCAAGCTCTACTCGTACTTCAGGATGATCATGTTCACAGAATTCTTCTTCATACTTGAGTGCCTTCCTTAAACTAAGAGCGTGGTTCTCATTCCTCAAAATCATCCTACCGGATTTCGTACCTGAAGCTTTTTGGAGCAGTGCGGCACACTTGAGATGCACTACGTGGTACCTATGTGCTTCTGGCGTCTTTAGCGTGGCAATGAGAAGCCAGCACGTTCGTTCAATGATCGTTTCCATGGCATATACTTCTAGCTTGAGTTTGAGGGCGTCCATTATATATTCAAACACTTCAGGCTCGAATTCTCTAATACTGGCCGGTACCAATAATTCCAACATAATGGTAATTGCTCCAGCATCTATCCGTTCTAATGGTAACCTGACCAGCGCTCTTACCAGTGCACCTCTGACTTGTATATCTGCAGCTGAATGTGCTATAGCATCCATTATCATGACAACAAGTCCCTTTTCATACATGTTATCCATAAGTTGTTGTACCCTAGGTTGTTTTGGTGCGAGCTCAAGTAAATGTGCAATGAAGTTGGATATCGAACTCACTAGGGTAATAGCATGCTTATTATGTATTTCCACAAGCTTTTGTATACTCTCCGGCCTCAGGTATCCCATTAATATACCTAGATCCACATCCTCAGTAAACGTATTTATGAAAGTATCTCCATTTTTCGGGTTCCTCATGATAGCAATAAGGCATGTAAGCGCAGCAGCAAGTACCAGGGGTTCGGCTACCGGTTCTTTGACCGGTACTACCAAAAGATCGAATAGATGATACCCAAAACACAGTTCTTCCAGAGCATTCTGGCTTGATACTATAGCGGCAGTACACAGCCGTATAATAAGATTACATATACGCGCCTCTGCTGCTGTAAGCCTCGCAGTACCTTCTCGTTCTCCTATAAGATCCTTTAGGTTCGGTATTATGGTATCGCCTATAAATTGTGATAGTAATGGCGCCGGTACCCCTCTCATGGTCAATCCTACTATTTCCAAAACGTGTGAAATAGCTTCCAGATGTGCCTCGTTGGCATATATAGGCCCATTTATGAGCTCATACTGCTTCAATTGTGGTATGACCCTCTCTGGCAGTTTGTACTGCAACAAGTCCACTAGATTATCCTCATCTAGACAGGCAGTTTTCAGTAACCCAATATACTCTGTCTCCCAGGGATCTTTGACTATATCTTCTACGATATTGTGTATAAACGGTTGTAGGCATACTGTGATTGTATATTATCTTATTTGTTTATGATTACCTGCAAACTCTTGCATATGCGGCAGTTGTGTGAGTGACGTCATTAAATTATGTTGCAATTTCTGCGTAAACGTGAATATCATTGGCAACGTGGACATACTATCGGCAGTGAGTCTGTGACCTCCATCAGTGGCGATATAACCTCTAGAATAATGGCGACTACCTCTTGCTTTGCACTGTCTCGGCAGGCATCGGCCGCAATAGCCACTGCCTGGCGACCAAGCTCTCCGCCGACAATACATAATTGGCAGCAACCCCTATTTATCTATTATTAGATGGTTGGAATTCACTAACTTGATAATAAATGGCCGTGTTTCCTCATATCTATCAAGTAGTAGGATGCAGGTATCTTTAAAGAACTTGATCATATGAGCCTGCACTTAATTATATGCGTTGGCTATGTCATTTGCATGCTTGTTGGCTGTGCATTTGTTTTTAGCGAAAAGTGCATTAATGCAGGTTGATAATTTTTTAGTGCATTATACATACCTCTAGCAACCCCTGCCGCTGCTGATCTTTACACCAGAGTATAGCAACATCCGGTCTAAGGTATAACTGAGTAGTGTGACACCGTCTAAGTGGCACTTACTCGTGCTGTAAGTGACTGAAATTCCTGTGCTTTACGTATTGCGTCTTCTGGTAGCCGTAGCGTAGACTCCAGAATTTTTATTATATCGGCGAAGGTGATTTTTAGGACCTCCTCCTGTACACTTTAGAGTAACCAGAAGGCTGTAGTACCTCCGAGAGTCGATCATGGACGACGTCCATCTCCTGTGTGTCGATTACACATTTCCCTCAAATGGGCAAGAACTTGGCGCAACTACAGCAGCTGAATTTTCTCTCCATGCTCTTCAATAAGAGTTTCTCTTATACTCATCCTGACACTTTTGAGTCACAAAAGAAGCCGCATTTAGCATGACTTGCCCGCCTTACTAACTCGGGTTGGGGCATGAATAAAAGAGTATATATTTTTTCACGACACTTTACAAGATGAATGAAACTATCTGGTGCCTTCTGTGTAGGGTGTTGCTCTATGGAGCTACGTTATTTGCGTATGCTACCGTGGGTTACACACTCTACCGGTTCGCTCCAGTAATGTTCGGCCTAATGCAGGCTGCGTTCGTCGCATTCCTGTGCTTATGGGCGGTACGATGTTACACCCTCAATCCAGTTATGACATCGGTTGGTCTGCGCCATGTTGAGCTCCGACTTAACGACCTGGTGGGAGAGAACCTAATGACAGCCATACACAATATGGATAATATGTTCAACAAAGGAAATACGATTGGGAAAAAGGAAATAGGAGAGCTGAGACATTCAATGAATGAAATCTACTATGTATACTCAGGTATCTACATCGCGCAAAATGCGTCCTTGGCATATAGTATCCCAGTATTGTTTGCGGATTTCTACGCGCGTTTGAAATTGTTCCTAGCATTGCTAACGAAGGTGGGATTACCAATACGCAAGTCTATGGCAGCACGTATCGAAATCTTCCCTGATTTGTTACCATTCCTCAAAGGTCATTGTGAAAAGCTGGCGCTGCTTGATGAAGTACTTCAACGCCCCAAAGTGGGTGAAAACCAGCTCTCCATATTGTCAACACTATACAGGGCTAATGAGCGATATATTAGCGACGAGGAGATTTACGAAGCACTGAGCAAAATGCCTGCACCCAAGGAATACGAAATGCTTCATGAATTGTGCAACCAACTTCTTTCACAAATACAAGAGTTAATGAAGAGGTGTCGGGAAGGATCAAGGTTCAAACAGGTTCTACTTTCACAACAACCAACTTTTGGTAATCACAAATTTTTGAAGGCTATGGCTCTCTTTCGCTTTATGGGCAGATTGGAAACCGTGGAGATAAGTAAATATTTCCCAAGCTACCCTTCGCAACTGGAATGCATACTTATAGCAAACACACGACTGGTTGAGGAAGCAAGATCAAAAGAGCAGAACGTAGATGACTATTCGCCAGAGGATAAAGATTTATATGGAATCCTATCACTGTTACACGGAACAACCATATTCGAAGTTCTTTACGATACCGACTTTGAAAGACGATTCTCACAATATCCAATGGTTATGATGTTCAATAATAATTCCGAATGCTTCCAATTCAAAGCAACGATGCCGAATGAGGTACTCTACCATCTCAACAACGGCAGAAACGTATACTTGTACAATTACGCTCAAGTATGCGGTTCAGTTGGTGAAACTAACCTATCATCCATGTTCCATGACTCACAAGGAGTGGCATCGCGCTTGATCACAAGATTTGCACTGGCGTACCCATATAGCCATCACTTTACTCTGGGATTCCACGGAACAAGCCTTGGTGGCATGTATGCCACCAAGACAGCAAGCCATATCGAAGAATCGCACCCTGCGGGACTGACGTCGTTTGCAATATTACAGAAGACATTTGGAAGCTTACATGACATGGCATGGTATCGTATGGGTTGGTTTGGTGGGTTGCTGGCACGGTTATACGGCGCTAGTATCGACCTGTACAAAATTTACACGAAACTTCGTATGAAGAAGGTTACCATCTTCGAAGTCAATGATACGGTAGTACACCCCAATTATAGTTTGTCAGGGCATGTTGCATTAGGCTATTTCAAGCACTTGTTGCCAGAGGTTACCGAGGAATTCCAAGAATTGGCATCGCTGTGTCCTTCAGCGGACTTTGTTGTTGGAGGTGATGAAAAGAGCAATCAAGTAGCAAAGTTTTTCCACGCTTTGAACTCTGCTGGACAAACTCTACTTGATTGGGGGTTTGTAGCACAAAAAACCCCTTTTATGAAAGAGTTGTTTATGTCGGCATTTACTGCACGAATGTTGGCTTTTGGTAGCCTACCTACAAAACACGTCGGGAATTATATACGTAATCTTCGCCTACCGTTTCTCTGGACACTACTGTCGGAAACCAGTTTTGTGGGAATGAGCGCCGGTTATGACAGAGCTGATCCTTACATCAATGTTCCCGGTAATGTAGCTTTGCTATTCAACATGCTGTTTGGTGGTAAGCCGGCGTTGACTCCTGGCGCCCATCTACACCAAACTATCACGGTCGCCAGCGGCGGACCAGACATGAAAAAGGGTAATGCTTCAATTACCAGGGAACCAGCTATTTACCGTATCCGATGGCCAAAGCAATCCAGTTATGCCCATCTGAATACGCCCAATGGCGAAAACTCCATATTAGAGTTGTTGTCGGCCGACCTTGCATCATTTGGTTTTAGAAGTCCAGTCATCGATGGTGTGAGGATCTATGCATGGATGCAACTGTATACATTGTTACACACTGTTGCCCTAGTAAACGCGGTGCGTTTATACGGGGTTTCCTTACCCGATGTCTCGGCCAAGATGGAAGAATTTGCCGAAGATATCATGCGGCTAGGGTTCGGTGTTCAAAAGAACCCCGAATTGAGAGAACTGCTGCAAAGACCGGTTTCCCCCCCTGAAATTTTGGATACTAGCTTCTTCGGCGAACGATACCGCACGTTCGGTAACTTGATAACTACCTATACGAAGCATAGTGCCCCTATCGAAACCAATGACATGAAGATATTGTCTACCATACTTGGTGAATAACTCCGGATAGTGTGTAATTGGATATACATTAAGGTGGCAAGTTGCTTGTGCGTCTACCAGAACACCCCTATGGCGGTCGCGGTAGCAAAGACTATTGTTGCACCACATGCTGCTGCAATACTAAGTCTTCTTATCCGGCGTTTAACGTGATCATCGCTGCTTGGCGGTATGAACGACGAGTTTCTCTCGAGCTTGGATAGGGCGTCCCACCGTGCTCTGTCCATCCCATATTGCCGAGTACTGTCTACGTTAGAGGGCCTTGAACTATCAGCGGCAGTGTAATTATCATACTGTCGTAGATATATGAAGTGTTCGTCTCTGTTAAACTTCTGCACACCATTGAGGCGGTGTCTGGCAAAATTTTTGATTGGAGCATGAGACGCATTATATGCGTTGTCCAGCACTCCGAAACGCATATTTGTTGAGTTAAAAGGCGATGCTGTGACGGCTTTTCGTTGGAAAACAACGTAAACTTGTACGAGTCTTCCTTCTAAGCTACGCGTAAGGACTGGGCAAAACTGCCACACCTTAACGGTATCCTTGAGTGCCTGTTAAGTCGCTTTTGCGTTGTAATTATGTGCCCAGGGTACATAAATACTCCCCTAATCTGTAGTTTGCCTTTGTTACTTCTAATTTACAACTATGTAGTCTTGGCTTTGTTGCGCTCAAGCTGTAAATGTAGGTCACGTATCACAGCGGCGTGCCTTCTGGCATGCTGTCTCCGCTTGTTCCATATGACAGCAGCCGCAGCTGAAATGGAAAAAATCGATGTAGTTACAAGGACCACGCCCCTGCTCACCATGTGTCGTGGTAGCGACCGTTTGTAACCACTATTTGGCTAATATGACACACGTCCCTGGATATATACCCGATTATAATCGGTATATAAACTTGGGGAACCTTCTATACCCAGCGTAACCTTGTACCGTGTCCCAAGATCATAGATAGAACTAGGTAACAGATTATTCAACAACGTAGAGGTCCCACTCGTATGACACCTAAATTAACACGGTCTTTAATATATTAGTAGTTAATAAAAAGGTGTTATAAGTTGCCTTTGCTAGGATTTGTGTAAAAATATGAAGCCCACAATAGTCTCGGCCCCGTACTTTGCTGACTTTGGCATTACATGTGGCTATTTCCATAAAGTTATATATATAATGTGTAGGTTAATATTATACTGCGCTTTTGGCGAGATGTGCGGATGGAAGGCATGAAAGGTGTAAGGAGGGAGGGCTTGATAGGGCTGAAGTGCCTATGAGCCTGGTGTTGTCTATTAAAGTAACTCAATTGCTGTTTTAATAGCCAATTTCAGTAATATGATGTCAATATGATGTCACAATGAATTATTAGCCTTCTACGGGCTCTCGTCTCTATTCGGATGTGCACTTACACAGTGCTGCGGCGCCATCGCTATGACATTTCGAAGCGAATTAGTGGCGTCTGTGTTCGCGGCCCACGAGGGCAGTTACGCAGCCACACAAAAGCTACATCAACTGGTGGAATGCCGGGAAGATACACTATTAACCGTCGAGCTGTCGCAGCAGCTGGGGGGGACATATGAACTCCTTATATCTTTAACCCAGCTGCGACACGATAGCAATGATGAAGCTGTTTTGGCATTTGTATCCACTAAAGGAGCTGTTGCTACAAGAGAAAATTATGAAGAATGTGTGAACCTGCTGAGGTTCTATGGATTCTCACTGTTGATCAAGTTTGTAGAAAACAATTGGCATCATGTCACACTGGAATTAAAATCCCGCTGCCAACGTGATGTTGAAAGGCTGTTTTCTCGCGGAGCCGCGGAAACAACCGTGGCGGCAGAATACAACACACTAGTCATGCCCAAGGTTACACAGTATCTGGCCACTATCGCAATACGACAATGGCCAATGGAATGGGCAGACGTGCTAAATGTATTCATGGACTCTATCAATTCGAGGTTCGCTCTGCTGGGTACAAAGGCAAACAGCTGTAAACAAACATTGGCAGAACTATCCATGTTTGGAGGGTTGCTGTCAGAGGTTTCAGTAGATATCAGCGATTGCATGGATAACAAAGTATTACACAAGAAACGTACGCAGATATTGGGACTTCTTAAAAACTGTATATGCGAAGTATTCTTGCTTATACACAGGGTCATCATCTTGGGATTGCTGAACGATCAGCCTCAGATGTTGAGAATGGTTATTACCATATTCAGAAACCTGTCTATAAGCATGGAAGGGTTTGTATTCGTGGCTTTTGATGTAGACGAATTCCTAAGGATGCATGCTAACGGACCACATCGCTCGGATATTATACAAACGATGCATCACATCTGCGAAAACGTTGTACACAAACCAATAAAGAATATGAAAAAAAGTAACGATTTTGATATATCTAATGAAGCACTTTACAAAAACAAATTGGGAAGGTTTCTAAGAAATTTAGTAACTATTGGAGAATCGATGCAAGTTGACAGCTCATTGGACACTGCGTGCGATGAGCTGCATCTCGCACAAGCAATAAAGGCATTGTTCGATCGCAACGGGATCTACATATTGTTGAACGTAGATTGTGAACCAATGAAATTGTTAAGTGAATACCTCTTAGGGAGGCTTATTATGCATCCCTCAATGCAAGTAGCAATGTGTGCTGTTACTGCATTGAATGTCATGTTTCGACGGATGTATTCTCTGGGAGAATCACATTTGACAGGGGAATATGTTGCTGGAGTGTTTGTACCAAACCCTTCTGCACGCTGGTTAGACCACAGACGTGTGCTATTGGTATTATTCGTTAGATGTCTGAAAATAGGAAATGCTGCTCTACAACAGGATTCAGCAGATACAACATCATCAGCCACTATGGATAAATTCATAGCGGATGCCGTAGGGACTTCTGTCCTACGGTCTCATAGGTGGTCGAAACTATTATTTGCATATGTTCCGATCGATGACGAGTTTTGCGTAGGACCTCTGAAAAACTTCGAGCCACGCTTTGCATCGCTTCGATCAGCCATTCTGAACTGTGTAGCATTGTTGTGTACCATGAGCCATGATTATATGAACTTGGCGATCAAGGCACTCGCAGACATATTCACAACCGCACAAAGCGTGGTTGTGGAGTCACCCTGTGTGATAGGCGGCAGTGCCTGTACATTACCAGGGATATCTGAGAAACAATTGCAATGGACTTGCAAAAAACTAGTCCTCTTCGATGGTACATGCTACATGTTTGAAGCTGCACTTACACGATTACGCAGCGCTACGATTGATTCAACTTCGTCGTCTGATAACACTAAGACGCCAGAGTGGATACAACCGGCTGCTGCAAATAAAGTGTTGTCTGAGGCCCAAAGCAAGGCCGGAGGGACCATGGTTGATACGTGGATATCAAGTGCATTAACGTACCTGCTGCATATGCTCGGACTACAATTGCCGAGTGTTCACAGCGCACAACTTGAAATACGACGACTGGGGATGCTTGCCAGCACTTCACATCTATTGCTGTTCAATCCAGAACCCACGGAACGTATCTTGGAGTATGTAGTCAGCCTATTGTTGGTACAGGGGCCAGGGAGCGATCAGAGTAACAAGGTATGCAAATCTGCCCTTGTTACCCTTATAGCTCTTTGCAAAAACTGTCCTGCTCTTGTATCGAATTATGTGGAACCTATAGTACAGCGTATTCGCCACTGTCTAGGAGTGGCAGAAGACGAATCTTCTCGTGATCTGTTATTGGAGTCATTGGTTGCACTTACGTCGTGCCTGCAAGATTTCGAAACACAACGAAGATTGGCACATGAAATTGTTGCGCCACATATCGATGAAATTAACGGTTTGGCTTCCAGGTTGTCTTCTGTGAAAAGCGAAGGACGACCTGCGATGCTATTCGAGATATTGTATGGCAATGGTCCCAGTGACCTGACTAAAACTGTAAACACAGGCGGTGTTCATGTTTTGGGCGGTGCTTCAACTGGACTATTCGACATAGACAGTCTGGATCGTGGTCGTCGTAACTTGCGCCGCGCGTTCACAATGACGCTCTCGATTATTCGATGTTCAGTGATCCCTAACAACCAGGGTGACCGTAATAGCGCTTTGATGCAATGCTATCGTCCACGACATCCACTGGAAGACTTACTACGGGAGTTATTGGCATCTATCTGCTTAATACTCGGTTCTTTGTGTGGGATGTGGAGGCCGGCATTCCGTGGTCGTAGCGCATGGCGTAAGGCAGTTTTGAGCCCAGGAGAGGAAGAATGGATTGCTCTCCAAGGTTTCAATGAAGCTATAGCTTCTGAAGATAGTCTACGTAGACTCGTGGAATCTGTTTTCCGGATCCCGTCGAATATTGACAGCAAACTGGTTCGGAAATGTCGTAGACATGATTTTCTGATCCGTCAATCTGCGTTGAAGTTATGTGGCGAGATTTTCTCTACCGCTGCCGCGCATAAGGTTGATGTTCAGGTGTCACAGGAACGATTGATCGCCGGAGCTTTGGTTGAGCCCCTTGACTGGGTCACCATGTTCCACCTTGCCCAGTTCCTTAAGTTCACTTTGGTCCCTGCAAGTTTATCTTTAAGACCTTTTCTGCCCAAGATGATCACTATAATCTGCGAGAGGATCAATTCTGAATGGAAGGCTTTGAACCGAGTGCAACGTAACCTTTTGGAAAGTTCTGCCGGTGTACCAACTAACGAAAGTGCGGAGTCGCGTATCTTACACCTATACTACCTACGTGTGTATGCGTGTATCGAGACTGGTATGCAGCTTATGGCTCTGGTAGCAGCGGCGTTACGTACACAATCGCCTAGTGCTCTCGAAAGTGAATTGAACGGTGGATCTGACGAGATAATGATGGAACCTGTAGACAATCTGTCTGTTTTTGTTGGATGTCGCGAGATGTTAACGAGTCTGTTACAGTGTCTTTGCAGTGCACTTTGTTGGCCACACTGTCGTTGTGTTACGGAAGCGTTGCGTCTACTTCGGGCATATGCCAAGATTGCCCCGTCTATAGACAAACGTTTTGTTGGTTTGGCTGAAGGGCTAGCGTTTGAGGTACTTGTGGTACTGCATAAGCAAATTATTTCGGAGCGTACATTTGACCCTTTGAATTTTGGTAATGACGAAGGTCAGGGATCTACAACAACTGCTTACAAGCGGTTCTGGTCGAATACACGTGATGGGAGCGCAAACTACATCAAAGAATTCGTGAACACTATGTACTCTTTATACGAGTGTCTTGTTCGGTGTCATCCAGGGATATCACGTGTGGTTGTTCGGGGGGAGATGGACGTTCAGGCTTTGTTTAATTACGGTTCGGTGATTAACTCATTAAAGCTCTTGACACCATATCTGCACGAGCAGGAGTGTATATCGTTTTTGTCTAAGGTTATGGCACAGAACTCAGTTGAGGCACGCGCGATTTTACAGGATGGCATTGAAGCCAATATCCTCGTAGGTTTCGTTAGCTGCTTTGAAGATTTGGGGCTACAGGACCAGAATGCGCGTGCAAACGCGAAGCTGGCGCAACTGAGGTCTAGTGTGTTGGAGACAGAATCTTCAAAGGGTAAGTTTTTTTTTTAATATATTAAATTAAAGATTACGCAGAGATAGAAATTTGTGGTTCTGGTGATTCGGATGATGAATTTTTTGGTTCGGATATTGCTTACTTACTTTTTGAGTAACCGGATAGCTCGCGAGTTTCCGTAACGCGCACCCCCATCCGTAATGCTGGTCGTGCGTACTGCCGTTTCGGCAAAAGTACTTTTAACGTAATGCAGAAATTAATAGAATCATGTTGTAAATATTGCGGTTCAGATCAGATCGAAACCTGCAAACAGCAGGGTGAGCTGGTCTGCCGCAACTGTGGAGCAGTTTTACAGGAAAACAATGTGATAGAGGCCGTCCAATATGCAGAGAATCCGGCAGGGAATTCCACACTTATCGGTCGGTTTGTACCGACTGGTGGTGGTGGTATGGGTTCATTGAAGTATAGCTCTTCACAGACCCTTGATCAACTTGTCAAGCGTGGCGAACAGAACATCCAACGCACGGCGTGTCATCTGAATATATCAAGTGAACTGGTTACGAAGGCTACAAGGATATATTCACTTGCTGTTCAACGTAACTTTACAATGGGACGTAATAATAAACATGTCGCCTGTTGTTGCCTATACACCGCTTGCAGAAGGTTCAAGGCGCCATATTTACTCATAGATTTCGCTGATGTGTTACAGGTACCGGTCAAGATCATCGGACAGGTTTTTATGAAACTTGTAAGGATGTTACACCTTGAGGTACCCAATGTAGACCCTTCTATATTCTTCGAAAGGTTTGCAAATGAACTTCAAATAAAAGAAAAAGTTGATCAAATCATAACTACAGGGGTAAGAGTGATACAGGCAATGCGTCGTGACTGGCTATGCACCGGTCGTAGACCTACCGGTCTCTGTGGAGCGGCACTTGTTGTAGCTGCCCGTGTCCACGGGGTACCACTGAACGCTGAAGCTGTGGCCTCAGTGGTACGTATCTCACACCCAACTATTATGAAGAGACTTTCGGAGTTCCGATCGACATCTACGGCACGACTACTAACCACTGAGGTAGACACCGTTGACCTGGAAAAACTGCCGGCAAAACAATACCCACCATGCATGGCATCAAGGATGCTAGCTATTGGAAAGAAACCACGTATCGAATCAGATACTGGATCGACGTGCTCAGATAATGCTCGATCATCGGCATCAAGTGGAGAAATCAGCTCATTGCCATCACCGACACAAGTACCAGTACGTGGACAGATTGATTTGGACCTACCAAACGAACTGTTGTGTCTTGATGAGCCTACTGCTAGTGACATCAACCGTATCGCAAAATCTATTATTGACGCAGCACCGGAATTGGGCTTAGTGGTTGATACTGGATCTCAAGCTCTCGTACCTACTCAGGCTGTGTCTTCAGGTACCCAGCAGGATACAACTATCTCAGTGTATAAACCACTCTACAATGAAAGTTTGAGCTCGGATGATGAAGAGGACGAGCGTGAGTTCAGCAGGATGATTCTTACTCCTGAGGAGAAGGATGCAAAGACACTGCTTTGGGACGAGGTTACCAAAGATATTATGCCAGAGGTATGGCGTAGACAGGCTGAAAGGAAGCGTAAAGAAGCTCTGGGTAAGACTGTAAAGAAACGCAAGTACTGCAGAAAATCATACGCCGACTACCCAGAGGCACAAAATGCTGCGCAATCGGCTCGTATGGCACTTGAACGTCATGCGAAAAACTTCTCTAACCGCATGAACCAAGAGTTCCTGGACTCGATATTGGCATGATACTTTAATTACAGATCATGTATTTAACCCGTAGGCCTGTGGCCAACGCTTTTGCGTACGGCGTCACTTGCACTGGCGGCTGCATATTCGCCGCTCTAATGTTCTGAACTTAGATGAGTCTATATGATCATTGTATTTCAATGTGTGTCCCTAGCTACTCTAATAGTGTACATAAGTTGGTATAGCGTGATGTGACCTGTAAACTAGCACCGTACAGCTATAACTTCCAAGTCATTGATTTAAATGATAATTACAGTTGACGGTTGCGTTGTGACACTACGCGAAAAGCAGCAGCGTCATGTCAATATAAAATCTTATTTATTTCTACATTTTTATAGCCGACATGTTCCTGTCAAGCAACGGATAATGTCGCATAGCCCACCTGATCTTTAGTTGGACAAGAACCTGCGGCATACATGCTCAATGGCAAATGCGGCAATAAGGTCTAACCCCAATATGGCAAGCACATGAAGACGGATCATCAGGCTTGGGATCGCAACCAGAGAGAGGTATTCTCCAAGCGGACGACATATATCGCAGACCAGTATTACTACGAACACTATGGCAAGGGCAAGGGGCCGGTAGACAAGCTTGTTTTCGCTGAACGATTCCATATACGGATAGCCTTGATAGTTCGCCATAAAACCTGCGATGTTAATTGAGAAACAACCATAGAATACCAGCGTATTGACGAGATTAGGCTCGAATGGTGCATCCAAATTTGGTATGTAATCTAAAGACCGACCGATCATACCCAGGGACCACAAACGCATTATCACAGCAACATGTAGACAACATTGCAACACGAAACTTGTGAAGTTACCACGTTTGAAAATAGATTCCTCAGGGTGTTTTGCCGTATGGTTCTTTGCTGGCTTTGACCTTGATAGTGCCATAAGCATACCGGTGTATAACATAGAGTAAAGGGTAGTCTGCGCATCGCTGAAGTTCACGCCATCTACAGCCAGTACCGACATCCCAAGTGACGTGATAAGTGAGTTTATACCCATGATTTTATAGAGCACAACGACGTTGGTAAGTGCACACCTCCCAGCTCGTACCAATAGTGGTACACAAAGCACGTCGTTTTTACGGTAAGTGAAGGGTGATGCTATGCTGGCTTCACCAAGTTTCACCTCTGGCATATCGTCCTGTAAATCACGTTGTAGCTGTTCCAGCATTTCACGATGTTTGTTATTCTTTTGTTTCCGAATCAAGTTTGCCAATTTCTCCTCGGTAGGTGATGGTGGTTTATTAAAGGCGCTCTTCAAAAGAGATATGCCAACATGCGCAGCCTTGAGCGCGGCCATGTCATTGGTACCATCACCACACATGGCCGTTTTCATACCGGCACGTTTAAATGTTCGAATGATAAATTCCTTCTGTTGTGGAGAGACACGTGCGAATACTGTCGAACTAAGCACAATCTCTGCCAGGACCTTGCGACCAGTGTCACGTTCGAAGTGAAGTAGAGCATCAAGAGCAGGTCCAGTGACACATAGACGCATTGAATGCTTAATATGACGCATCTCTTCCAGGAAGTCGCCAGGTGACGTGACCTTCCGCAGGATGTCACCATTTCGTCTACGCCATACAAATCTATTCTCCTCTGCCACCAGTATTGCAAAATCGCCCCAACTCTGTATTGCGGTTTCCGGGGTAACAGATATACTGCGGTCACCAATTTCAACCGCATTAGCGACATGGCAAGCAGTGAGAACGTTATCACCCGTGATCATGATAAGTTTGTGGCCTTCTAACTGTCTCATGCACAGTAGAGAAGAAGGCCTTATTGGAGACTCAAGAGCCAAGAATCCAACGAACTCTAGTGCGGTCTCCACAGCACTTCGTTCAAGATATGACGCCTCACCTACATTGACATATAGACGTTTACATGCCAGAGCGATCACCCTCATACCCCCTATAGCAAGTTTTTGGTAAAGCTCTTCGTAGTAAACTGGCGTCTCTAGTAACAATGGACGCAAACGTTCCGGGGCGCCTTTGCACAATACCATCACACTCCCGTCATAATTCTTATTCAGACTGATATAGGTACTGTAGTACCTTTGCAAAGGGGGCAGTGCAGTATCTTCTCCCCTTTTATGAAGTGGATTCAATATCGGGATGTCCTTTTGCCAGTACGCCGCGTTGCCAGTGACTGATACTATAGTCGTCATGCGCCCAAGTTCTGAGGTGAAAGGCCAACGCCTTAGGATGTTAATCCTTGTATGGGTCATCCTGTTAGTGGCAGTGAAGAACCACGGATGAAATGACTCAACATATTTGCCATCTGCAGTTAAAGTCCAACCCATATGTTCAAAAGCTGCCTTTTCCATTGGGTCTCCAACGATCTTTCCAGCAACTCGCGTAACAGAATGACAACCACCTATTACTATTGCCGAGGCTATAGGTAGGGCACCTGTATTGAGCTGCGTGGTAGACTCTGTGCTGTATGCTGTAACATTTTCCCCAACCACTACTCCTGCAACGTTCATGTTGTCTTCTGTTAGGGTCCCGGTTTTGTCAAAAGCACATACCTTAAGTTCACCTGCATGAGGTACCCTGAAAGGTTCCGTGCAGTACATCCCCTTTTTGTGTAACTGTAGAATAGCAATAGTAACCGCCATAGATAGTATAACTGGGAACTCGGGTGGTATGACCGAGGTGATAATGTGAAGTATAGTGAGTGCGAGCCTTTTGAAAGTGGCAGTTGGTAATCTTTTAACCACAAAGGCACATGACAAAAGTGCGAACGATAGCAGTATTCCCAGGAAACACCAACCTTCCTTAGTAGATGCGGTGACACGTTCTCCGGATCGCATAATAGCGTTTACCAGTCTCCCTTGGTACGATTCAAAACCTGTACGCAATACCATACATATGCATCCCTGTTTTGGCGTCTTGAGATTAGCGAATGCGGTGGTGTCCGTCCGACACAATACAACCGATGTGCCAGAGAAAATGGTAGACTGTCTGACCTCATTATCGGTTGTTGGCAGGACACGACGCCTTTCATGTACCGAACGATAGTCCAATGCCGACTTGAACTGTGGTACTGACTCTCCGGTAAGAATCGATTCGTCAACTACGACCTCACCGGATAAGATGAGGCAATCAGCAGGTGCAACACTTGCTTCTATTGACGAATCATGCGATAAAAGAAATATATCACCAGGGTACATATAAGTACTGCTGATATTATTCCATTTTCCGTCACGGTAAACGTATATTTTTGAGGGTGGTATCCTCATGCTATTAATACGGTTATAATCGCGTATGCGTCTATTTACCATTTGTATCTCAATGGTAACTATAGAAAATACCGATAGCATAGAGTAATACCAATAGTTGTCCATGACCCATATCAATGTGGAAATCAGTTGGAATATGAAAAATGGGCTTAGGAATGAGTCGATAAGCATAGACACGAAGTCACATGCTGGTATATCATAGTCATTTTCACCATACACATCGGCACAAACGGAAAGAGAACGTTCCATGCCAGAAATGCGGTTACTGGACTGATCTTTTGCTGACAAGCCACGCCATTCTTCCAGTGCCCTTAGGTCTAAGGTATCGATGTGATCCACTGATTGGAAGTACCCGCTGTTTTCATTTAATATATACTTTCTATGGCCATAACGATAATAAGTACATAGTGTAGAACGTTTAAGGCGCAGCAATGTATCCGCTTGCAACCTGCGCTCATCTGATGCATCCGACGATAGCGTCGCCTCTGAGATGAATACGTGCGTGCCTAGATTGCGTACAAACTTGCAATACTCTTCTGACCCCTCTATGTATACACAGCGTTCATAGAATAGGAACAGGCGTATACGCACGTACCACAAACTCATCAGCATAATCGCTCCCAAAAGGGAGACCACGGCGAGGAGCACCAGCAGGAAAGACTCTCCTGGTGTTTGGCTTTTGAATCTTGCAGCGATTGCTGCAAAATCGACACGTAAGCCTGTCGTACCATCCTCTATGTCGGAATCGGCAGCGGATTGGGACAAAACTGCTATTATGTCCCTAATCTTCCGAGCATGGAAGGTACATGACGCTATCGCCAGAGCGAGCACGGTAAAGCTGAAACGCGCGAAAGGCGCGTCTCTTCCGACATAGCGGTAAATGCTGCGCCTATGTTCTTGTTTAGCCATTACTCAACAAATAATAGTGGGACGCGCTCGTTGAGTAAGGCGGGTAAAGGGGTGTGCGGGTGTGTATCTAGTGCTGTGAGAGCGTTTCGAAGTTCAATCTTCTGCGGCCTGATATAATCTTCTCTTCTTTAACATGCTAATACTTGTTCTATATATATGTCTTTTTAATCAATGATCGCTAATATGTTTCGGTTGGGTCCCTCGGCGAGATTCCTCAGCGATTGCGTTGAGAAAAATGGGAAGACAGCACATTTAAACTATGACTGAACATATTAAGTCGGGTAGTTTCTTGCGCCGCTCTGTGGCACGCGAAGGTGCAACCGATGGACACTGCGGGGTCGCGATACAAGCGGGATGTCGTCGAGCGGGAGTTGCATTTCAACGTTCATATTACACTCCAACATACAAAAACCATGCTTCGCTGGGTTCACTATGCGATGAGAAGGAACGTTCTCACCGCACAGGCATGAAGGCGGTCATAGGATCGGCTATGATTTACGTTGTACTAGGTGAGTCGTGATGTATATGTCCATTCTAATGTACAGGATTCCCAGCAGCGTTCTCTGGGATAGGACTACATATCGCATCGTACATCAAGGTCATAGGGAAGGATGACGCCGTCAGCCATAAAGGTATCGCCGCTGTATTCCTGCTGGCACTGGTACTCCAGAGCACAGCCGGGCTGCTGACGGAACCGGCCGTACAGCTATTCAGCGAAAAAATGTTGGCGAAGTGCGCGTGTCTAGGTGTCGCTATGTGTGTTATATGTGCCGCTATGTGTCTACACAGCTACATCCTTTTCATGCTGTGGTATGGAATGGGTGCCGGGTTCTGTTCGGGTCTGGTCATGTGGCTGCCCGTGAAATCGGTGATCAGGAACAACCCTCACTGGCGTGGATTCAGCTGTGGCCTAATGTACGCACTAATGGGCACTGTACTATTGGTTATGGGACCCATCGAACTAGCATATCTCAGCCCATGGTGGATCACCGGGTCCAACAACAAACACGATGGTCCTCGTCAAAGACAAACCGAACCTAACAACTGGTTATACACTGATATGGGCGAGCTGCATAGAACAAAGAAGGTAGTGCTGTGCCTTGGACTCCTTTACCTAGTACTGACGGTAGGACAGCTGACCATCAAAATCACACATAACAGGCGCTAGGGATACGCTGGGCGTTCCCAGATGATGGGATGGACGACGCAGAAACAGATACACCGCACGATTCCGAATACGTAGCGTTTGCTATAAAGGGTGAGTGTGTGCGCGCGCGCCGAACCTAACACTGATAGTTGCCAAAATGTTTCATGTGTAAAAATAACCACTTACACCCTATATCGACCTTGCAGAAAGACGTAAAGGGGGACAAGATACACGACAACACGGTTGGCGTGATCAACTGTGCGTATGGACACTATCCTACTTCACGTGGCAGGCAGTAATCTACATCCACTCCTGTTGGCGCGGTACCGCCGTGATCGATTACAACGTGGAGTCACGGCGGATAGTCGTAACCGAAATAATTGTGCGTAGCGCAAGCCTTGTTGGCCGTGTTATTTGGGGTATGGTGCTAGATTCGCATGGCTGGCGTGTGACGTGGGCCGCCTTTTCATTGATGTTGCTTGTAATCACAGTTACAGTAACTCAGTTACACCGAGGGAGCTTTGCTTTGTATGTCGCGTGGTAAGCCATTCAATATGTATACAAATCAACCGTGATTAGGATAACCGCCGCTTATTTCGCAAACTCTGCCATATTCTGCGCAGTACCACTTACGACCAGCCACCTCAACGGCCAGAAGGTACGGTAGAGAAATGTGAACCGTAATAATGCGCAGAATTTTACACGTTCTATTGGGATAATAGGTACATCACGCGCACTAGCAGGCGCTACTGCATTTTTCCTTTCAATTATGTGGCCGTCGTGGCTAAGGCAATGTGTGCCTGGTTTGATTTCTCTCCTGAGCGTATGTAACCTCGTCGTGGTGAGCTTTTGTAGCTCCTAAGACTCCGGTGTACAAGGCAGTGCCTTGATAATATCATAACGCAAAGGCAGAATCTACCGTGCCAAGGTTGAGTGCGACAGTGCCAATGAAGGTGACAAAAAAAACAAGACGTGCTCCGTCTGAATGGCACTGCCATTCAGTAATGAATAGTCAACTAATTGAAACTCCTGTTTTTTTTATTGGTTCACTGCATAGTTGTTAAGCGTGAAATTGTTTGACTTACGGTAGAGTGATGTGTCGATAGTTTCCGGCATCTCTGGGATGTCTACCTCGAACCTTTTTTGTACATCAGCCAGAGCATTAGAGTCTTCTTGTGTAGCTACAAAGGTGATCGCAAGACCCTTCGTACCGAACCTTCCGGCACGACCTACACGATGAAGATAGGAATCTGTAGAGTCGGGCATGTCGTAGTTAATGACGATATTCACACGCTCCACATCGATACCCCTACCGAAAAGATCAGTAGAGACCATGATACGCTTGTCGAAGTTCTTGAATTGTTGGTACCTAGATATACGTTCCGTTTGCTCCAATCCAGCGTGGATGGCAATTGAAGGGAAGTTGCATTCGTTGAGTAGAGCATCCAGTGTTTGTGCCCTGGAGATAGACTTGACGAATATGATAACCTGATTAAATTCAAGGCTATCGAGAAGATCGTTAAGCTTGCGATTCTTGTCGCTCTCGGAAAGCTTGATGTAATATTGCAAGAGTCCGTGGAGCGTCAGTTTAGACTCGTCGTCGACGAATACCTCCACAGGCGACTGCACGAAACGTTTGCAGACGTCACGGACGTCGTTGTTCATAGTAGCTGAAAAGAACATGACCTGTTTCTTTTTTGGTGTAGCCATAAATATAGCCTGTACATCTGCACGCATGTCCAGTTTCTCCATACATTTGTCACATTCGTCAAGGACGAAATGACGAATGCTATCCATATGAATATGTTTTCCCTTTACCAGTGCAAGCAGACGTCCTGGTGTGCCCACAAGAATATGAGGGCATTTTTCTGGGTCTTTAAGCATCTCGATATCACGTGATATTGGTACACCACCGTAAACGACCTCGCAACGTACGCCTGTCATGTACTTAGAAAAACGATCAAATTCGTTTTTGATTTGGTATGCGAGCTCTCGGGTGTGACTAATACCCAAGCAGGCAATCCTGGTAGCCGATGGTGCTACTTGCTCTCCACCAGCGTCGCGTTTAATTCCTCCTGCAAGAGTACCATCTTCCTGGACATCCAGCTGCTGCAAAACGGACAACACGAATACCGCAGTTTTTCCCATACCAGATTTGGCCTGACACAAAATGTCAACACCAGTGATGGCATGAGGAATAGTTTCGTGTTGCACCTCTGAAGGGTGTTCGAAACCTGCATCACCGATAGCACGTAGAATCTCGGGCTTTAGGAAGAAATCACGAAAACCACTCGCGTGAATGGCAACGTAACTCCCACGACCCATAGTCCCATCTTCACGACCACCTTTACCTGATGTTCCAGATTTGATAACATTGTGAGCCGAAACATGTCCCCCCTCCTGTTCCTCGTAATCCACCAAATCCTCCGCTGGTACTGTATTCTTAGGCTTTGCCATATTGGATAACTATTTTAGAGTCGATACTAATGCTATACTATATTATAGCCGGGTTATCCTCGGCTTTGTGGAGAGGAAATCGCGGTGGAATCTATGACCCCTTTCTCTCTTAACGCGTATACCCCATAACACTACGGCTTGAATAACGCGTCGCCTTTAACTGGCTCGTTACTTATACAGCTTAGATGTGCCGTATTTGGCACCAATACACCAAAATATAACTGGTATATAGGATTGTGTAACAGTACGGAAAACACCGATTAGCCACGTGAGATAGCTGAAATAATGAACTAATATATATTACTTTAAGACCTTCCGTCGTTATTTTTTCAATTTATAGGCCTTGTGTTGCGTTGTTGCATCTTATTATAGAAGTTACGCCCAGAAAATGCCGCAAACGGTGCAAGGGTGCCATAAAATGAGATAATGCCGTGTCTACTATCTGAATAATGATCGTTGTCGTTGAGCAGTTACGTCAATCGTGGTTTCATGCAATCTATCTATACACCTAAATGAGGTGTAATCAAAAAGTATGCTAATAAGGACCTACCCTAAAGGTTTACTTTTAACGGTTTTGTGAGCATTGTCACTCAGCATGACAAAATTTGTATGTCATGTTGTAATGACGCTAGGTCGCCTTTTATACCTTCATTAAATTTTTCTTCGCTCGTTTTGGTGCCCAAAGTGCGGAAATTCGTCGGTTAGCACCAAAGCCCACCTGTGAGGGCCACGCTAAAATTTTCCGTGGAAAATGGCTAGCTGCTGCTCTTAGCCTTCTACCCGCCATGAAACACTACAAAGGATTGGACCGGTTAATCTAATCAGTATATTTTTTCGAAAAACTTTTTTTTGTCACGTCGACTAAAAAAATTTGCAAATCAGCAAAAGCTCTATTATAGCTTATATTACATACTTAGACCATAAAATAAACGTTAAAAACGTTGAAAAGTTTTTGAAAATGTCCGACCGTCGACCAGGATTCACGCCGGAGATGCTACGCCGGTACAATAGGCACGATCAACAAGTTCGGCGTAACACAAGCATCCCTAAAATCGTGGACCTCGCTTACCAGGACAAGTGTATCAATGTGTCAGATTCGAGAGTACTGAATACAACCGGTGGCCACAGGGAATTGCCTTATGTGCTGGAAACCGCCGACTATGGTGACCCACCGATGATATCAGACGTAGACGAGCAGATCATACTGAAGCTTGAATTTTACAGGCCGGTATGTTTGGCGGCTATACAGTTTCACTGTAACAATCCCCCTAAGTACGTGGATGCTGCGCCACCTAAGACAGTCAAGGTAAGTCATTATGCATTGATGCTATAAATCTCAGCTTTTCGTTAACCGACCTGAACTGGATTTCCGGGACGTTGAAACGCTTAAACCCCGGCATACTATTGTTTTGGATGACGAATCATTGAAGAAGAAGCAGAGTCTTAGTATGAACAAGTTCCGTCGTGTAGTGTCTCTGCAGATATTCTTTGAAAACAACTTGGGGTCCAGGAGACACACTTTCCTGAATCGATTGTCACTCTTCGGCTACATGTACCCAGTATGAAGAAACTGGCCGTCATCATAGTAACATAATACTATAACAATAAAATCTCAATGTAGCCGGTTCATCATTACATACCATTGTTCTATATACATGTTCATATATTACGTGGAATACAAATATCGGTCACACCGTTTTCTAGTATGTAACTGGTCTAGGCAACCTACTAGGTAAAGGTTTATCTGAGGTTTTAAAACTTTGAGGCAAGTAACCGCTCATATGCCTTAGGTTAACCACTTAGAACATTATAGAGATACGAAATCGGTCAGACTACGAGATATGTGAAGGCGAAAGTAAGATATTAGTGCCGAAGCGAAAAGTTACTGAGCCTCGACATTCTGCTTGTACAGACGCTCAACAGTCGACTTAATGGTCGAACCAGTCGAAGTACTCATTGACCAGGCTCCGCCTGCTACACGCCTCTTGCAGCGTTTGCATTCCCAGATACCTACGGCCTTCCAGCGTGTGGCATCCTGTAAAATGCTATGGTCATTATAGAAACAACGTTACCTTTCCACAAAAGGGGCAGTTGTATGACGTGTGTTGGAGCAACAAGATCTTCCTGGCCTGCTTCCTCAAAGAGGCTCCGTAGCGAACACCGTACTTGCCGGTAACGCCGACCTATTGCAATGTGAACCGATATGTATGTTTTTTTACCTTTTTGGTACGTTTGGACATCTTTTAAATGTTACGTTTGTAAGATTTGTCCGATAATTTGTTTGATACAGTTGATTTGTAGGTGAGACTGTGGTGGCCTGGTATATAAACGGCGCAACCAGGTATGTAGCTGCACGTTTCCAAGCTCCAATGCTATTAAACAACCACACAACTATCCCGTGGATGTTTCAGTCCCTTTACTAACAGATTTAGACCGTGACACGGTTAATTAGGCCGCCAGGTACGGTCGTGGGGGTAGGTGTCGCCCGAAGCCTCAGAGCACATTTGCCGTCAAAAACCACCGACCTATGTCCTTTGCGAAACCACTGTAGAATCTATTAGTATAACATTAATCAAGGTCAAAAATACTAGTTCCGTGGCCGGAATCCGTTACACAGCTGAAAGATACACTGTTGAAAACTACGATCCTTAGCTCATCATATTACCGCCTTTTACACGTTTGATGTAGATATGTGTTAGTTCGTAAAGATACACTCTATGTGTAACCTTAGGGTCCATTTCCAGACGGATGGTGTTCCCCCGTCCATTCAAAGCTATGCAATGTTTGAATCAAGCAGCACGTAATAGCATGAGATGGTACACAACATCGACTATATATATAATGACACTTAACAAATTAAGTCAGCAGTGTTGTGTAGCGAACGTTTGAAAGTGTTCAGGTGGGCATCCCAACCAGTATGTTGTTGACTGGGATGAATAATAGTTTCACCATGTAGCCGATAAATCCCATGATGAAGAATCCAACAGAGCAAGCTCGTAAAATGCGCCCGTACTCTTTCCTGTCTGGTTTAGTACATTTACGAACTAGCCTAGTGCTGTCATTGACGAAGTCGGTAACAGTCCTAACAGTATACCCAGCTGGGTTGCTAGGATCCAGCAGAAACTTAGGTACGTGCAGTTTCATTTTGTTCCGGCTGGTAATCGTCCTTATCCGATATGTATCTCCGGAGTTGTTCGTTATCGACAGTAGATACCGGATGTGGAACCTTGATAAAGGTTAGCAGTATCAAAGCATTGTCACCCTAGGTTTAATGGGTGTGGATAATATGGTTGACTTGTGGTTGCAGACACACGTAAACGTCTCGTTCCAAAGTACCTAGATGGGGCTGGAACATATCCACTGGATTAAGGAACACATAGGCACGTAATCATGTTTTCACCATTGTAACGGAGGTTTATTATAATCGAAAGGGCTATGAAGTTTTAATTCAGTGTATACTGCCAAAACTATGCTTTAGGTGCCGCAGCCGGTTCGCGCAAGGTCGGCTGGACATATCGCGCATATTGCCTGTACCAAAAGCACTATCTGCCAACGGTAATAAAATTAATGCTATATAGTGTCATTTGCTAAAAGAAAAGTTGTCGTATTGGCCTGAAAAAGGCTGTGGACGATGAAAAAGTAGCGGCATGTGCACACCTTAATATTATTTTTTGTGTGCCATGCAGCAGTTAGATTCGTTCACCGGTAACCACAAAATATAACAACGTGATTTATAATGCGCCCGATGTATTCGCCATAATAGTATACAACGATATCGCCCAAACTGTGCAGCGCGTGTTGTGACACCACATGTGTAGATCTTTCGGACCAACTACGTGGAATGGCTGGTTTATATGTGTCCCCTGGTAGCATGTGCGACTGTATTTGTCGCCATATGTACAACCACAAGGGCTTCTTCTTGGATAAGGATCGGTTTTAGGTTACGTAACTGTCTTTCAAGTACTGAATGTACAAGATGATATGTGTTACGCACCTGCAGGCTGTGACCAAGTAGAAGTTAGTTGCTAGAACAACCCTTGTGGCGTATATAGTGGACACACATCGAAATAATGGCGAGTCATCGGCAGCACGAATGGTCCAGCGGGAGCAACATCATGGAGTTGGGTACCTCCTCCAAAATTGGCGGTACTTTAGGAACAAAAGATCCACAGGAACCATGTAGCTTAAGTTCAAGCATTTCAGAGACAAGATCTGCTACTACAGATGAAATTAGAATTATTCCGAATCTTCTTCCTGATGTTAGGTTCGCAAGACCATTTGCTGCCGAAATGAGGTACATGCCAAACTCCGCTTCAGATGGCAGAAATACTGCATTGGGTGGATTTTATGTGCATAATAGGGGTGTAATTACACAAGTGGGAGCACGCACAAGAATGCTTAGCGAAGCACTACAGTACACCCATTTTAATGGGTATAGACAGATGAATCATTTAAGAGGTGAAATGCTAGCTAACCATGACCGCCACTTTGAGCGTGAAACTATACAACGTGATGCTAACCTGGCTTTGCAACGTGAGGATTGCCGTGAAGCTAATTTCGTAGATTATGTATACTATGAGCCAGAGGAATATAATGATGCTGCGTCTTCAGGGGCGCCTACTAGCAGGAGTAGTGGCCAAACTAGAATAGATATCCCACCTGCGTCACAAAGGATTCGTAGTATGGCGTCGACTAGACGTGGTATTGTTGAAGAATTAGTTTCACAAGGAGTGTCACCAAGTGAAGTTGCAAAACTGGCAGATATATTCGAACACCCGTCATGTCTAAGACAAGTGGATATGTCACTCATACCTTGGATAAAAAATCAATCGGAAATTGGTTATTGGAGGAACGAAGCGGCGCTTTTTGTGCTTTGCATCACCATGGCCATTTGCGTGGGTAATGTGGAGACAATGTTCAAACTGAATACCACGTGGGATGGTATGACCTTCCTATTGCCATACTTCCTGTCATATATATTGGTAGTACAACCAATGATATGCCTAGAACTTCTGATGGGACAACTCTTCCGTACAGGACAGAGTGCAATGTATGATAAGCTTAGGCGTGGAAGCAGTGGTCTAGGAACAGCGATTGTTGTAATATGCCTCGTAACTGGATGTGTAGCATGTGCACGATGTGCTGCCGAATATCTGATATACATTGTAGACATTTTCAAGGATGATATGCCCTGGAAACTCACACAGGATGAACGATCAACATGCGCTGGTCTTAGTATACAAGAGTTGTGCCTGAAAAGTGGGCCTGTATGCCTTTATAACAAAGAGAATTGTGTCGCTAATCCTATTGGAAAGGCATTTCACGCATATAGAGCTAAATTCTACCCTATAGATGAGACCCTCCCTGATCTCGAGCCATATGTCTGCTGGGCTATGTTGGCGACATATGGTATAGTAACACTGTTTCAACTGGCTGGTATGGGAAACTTCACATTTACAGCGTCGATGGTCATCATAGTAGCGTTTTTCGTCTCTCACGTACAGGTAGGGTTAAAATAGATGAATTATTCATCATATGCAGACTGTCGCCACAATGTCACTTGAAGGTGGTGTAGACTTTTTGTGGCAAAGTATATATAGTTGGAGATGGGCAACGTTATATGAAAGCAGTCGTCTATGGTCGCACTCTATACGCTCCTGTATGTACGAGTTCATTGTCGGTTCGGGTGTCTACTCTACACTTGCAAACAAGTCACGTATCGGATACGACATTTCAAAAGAAACTGTAGGTGTAGGTCTTTTTTCAGGGTATGTTACTATGCTCATGTTTGGTGCTGCTTGTGGTCTCGTAGGACACCATGCCAAACTTATGAATGTTGACCCAAGGGAGATCATTTGGATGTTAGAACAGGATAGCAGCTTTATCCTAATACCACTTGGTTTTCACTCCACCCGAAATATGGAGCGCACATTAGGGGTGCTACAATTTGCTGCTTGTCTAATCCTATTATGTGCTACATTGGCTATACAAATCGAAGTCGCTGTTGACAACTTAAAGGCGTTGCCCTCTATCCGTAATCGGAGGATCAGAACGCGATGGGTCAAATTGAGTGTTATCGTATTTCTTTTTTTTGCGTCACTCTTTTTCGCAACACGTTCGGGAAAGAAGATTGTATGGTTTTTAGAGACAGCTCTTGGTGATTTAGGGCGTTCATTCACAGTATTAATAACATCGATTGTGGTAGGATGGTTTCATGGTTGTGACAAGCAGAAAGACGCTATAGGGACAGCTACGGTATACACCTTCAATACTGTATTTTGGTTTTTCAATATTCTTGCCTTTTTATGCGAAACATGTGATGAAAGCATATTGGCCGTAATGTGGTGGATTGCACGGGTATTAGGTATTTGTGTAGCAACTCTAGTGGCTGTAAAAGTAAACCAAATGTCCCGAAACAAACGTAGGCCTTTTAAAGACCTCTTATGGTGGTTATTCTGTGGTAATGTGGAACAATTGAGGTTAGAAATGTCCCGTATCAGTCCTATAAGCAAAGTAGGCGGTGTTCCTATGTTGATGTTCTGGTCTTTATGCATAAAATGGTTTATACCATGTATGATTAGCAATACTATCGCCGATATCATTGAGGAAATATTTGCGCCACATAGGGTTCGTGTGAATATAACCCGGATCCCGCCAGGGTGGCATTGGATAACGGTGTTTGTGTGGATTATACTGATTTTTCTGGTATTCACACCCCCATTAATATTGTTGTTCGTGCCAAGGCTAATGCCCACTTACAAAACTATTGGCCTAGAGGAGTTGCCGTCGGCCCCGCCTAAATATTCAATAATGCATTGCTTGGCGCCACGTCGTCTCTTCGAAGAATTCCGCCAACGGAAGCGCATATAAACCAAATATATATTGATTTTAATGTTTAATTAGTGTACGTTACATTAAAGATCACTTTAATGTCACCAAATATAGTTTGCAGAAACCATATCGGCGCTGCATTTGTCAAATCAATCTAATAGCCGCTGCACGTCCTGTTTAGATTGCAGTGTATTCTGCAAACGACCCTCGCGAGCGAGCCTCAGCGACTCCTCGTAGATTTCCGCCACACGGTCACGGTCAATTTCCAACCGCCGGAACGGGGTTATTTCCGGTGTTGTTTGTTCCGACTTACATCTTACTCCGATGTCTTGGGGTCGAATGGTGCTACTACGGCGCTGGGCATGACGGCCATGTGAAACAGGCCCTAAACCATGCTTATGGGCAAGTTGTGCTACGGCCGATCCTACCGTATCCGTTGACCATACAAGCCATAGTCCAGAATCCACAAACTCTTCAGTGGCACCTAACGCCCGGCATGTATTTCTCAGTGATGCAAATGCTGCATCCCAATTGGAAAATAGCCCTGATCCCATGATATCAGCAGCCTCTATGCGCAATTCACCGCTAGATAGTCTGCGGCGCAGCTCAGATAATACCGCATCCAATTCATTACCGTGCACATCTTTGTGTGTTGGTGTTGTGTCAAGGCTGGTATCATCCTTGGTAGCCATTTTCTTCTTCGTATCAGAACTTCTTGATGCACCTTTACGAAGAGTCTTTTTGGAGACCTTCTGTGTGGCATTGAATGTAATTGGTGCATCGAAGTCCAAATGCTCTTCATGGTTATCATCGTAAGCACTTTCGGTAACTTTCTCAAACGAATCCTCGAAATCAGTCTCTGTAATAACGGACGTTGGTCTTAGTTTCATAGGCTCTTCAGGCTGCCGCTGTGCGATAGTTTCCAAACGGTTTAATGGTAGGCGGCTAAGGTTAAGCGCAGCATGAAGTCGATCTGTGACGAGTGCCTCGCTGGTTACACCACCACACTTTATCATTGGCGGTCTCACATCAACATCCGCAATGCGCAATAAGGATCGTAACCTGCTTATGCATTCCTCATTCTGCGGTAGGTCTGGGCATACGGATTCCGCATTCCCAATGACTGAGGCCGATTCCACTAGCGTGATTACGCTCTTGATAATGGACGAGATCGAAACGTTCTCGTTATGCTGTTCCAATGTGACCATGAGATCGATTAATAGGTGTGCAATGTCACGACTTGTTACTACGACTGGTGCAGATGTGTCCTCAGGTTCTGGTTCCATTGATTGGTGGTCATCAGTTCCAGTTTGCGAGGCTTCAACGCCCTTTTGGACAGTTGATGGTTTAGGTGCATGTACAGCATGGCCTTCACCTATATAGTTGGAAGGATCGCCCACCACAGCTAGTAGCGGAACCAACGAAGATGTATCCTTGGGTAATAGCCAATCCTGCGACAATCCAAGGGAATCCATTACTGCTTTGAATGCAGATGATTCCAGGAGCGTTGTTGATGCGGATAGAGGTTCCATCACGACGCATACTGCTTCAGCACCACCCAGCCGTTGCATCTCCATAGATTCCGATATGTTCTCATGAAGTTCGGCACAAACCTTGATAGCTTCTTCAGAGAATGCTGCGATAAAGTTACGGAGAATCTTCGCGAATGACGATGCACTGCCACCTTTGGCGGGGGTAGGCTCGGTTCCAATAACCTTTAGTTCCTGGAGTCGGCGCTGTATATCGGACGCACGGCTACCCAGCAGGTCGGCAATGTAAGCAATAGGATCCTCAAGGAAGTGGAATTGTTTGTAATATTTGAGTAGAGCAGCGTCTTCCTCTGGGCCCCAACCACCATAACTGCCATCACCACGAAGCTCCTTAGATAGCTCATAAACACTTGCATCAGGTCGCTTCAAAAGCTCATTGAGTAACTCGCAATGGTCATACCCACGTACTAGTGGCATAATATGTTCGCGTGCACATGGACGGAAAGGTCCCCTGATGGCGGGTGAGCATTTGTTGAAAAATAGCTCGGCCGGGAGGAAACGATTCCCACGTCCCATCCATGAGTCGAAAAATGATTCCATTACACGTACACAAAAATCTCCAACCCAACGCCATCGTGCATTCTTCCATACTCGACGATCAGAAGCAATTTCACCGAAGACATAAAAGTATTTCACATCGTACAACATAGGTAGAGGCACTGCCTCTAGGTGTGATACCAACATGTCGTTCAAGTGTGAAGAGTTGGTACGAAAGTTTGCCAACATGGAGATACAATTGTACACCACCCTACCATTGTACAGGATGTCATCGTTGGCCGTATTGCGATTACGTGAACTGAAAACAGAGTCTTTTGTCACCACAATGGTCTTGGTCGTAGAGGTGCCATCGTCACTAACATCGGTATCCGAATCGAAACCCATGGCGTCAGAACTTGTGGTCTCTATGGTGAATGATACGGACCCTACGCTATGGACAACACGACGGAGCAGGTGTAGATTTGACAGTGCGAAACAGAAGAGGTTTGGTGGGTGTGACAATGGCTTAAATTGCCGCAGGATCCAAAATAGAAGTGCTCTCACGTTACCCGCAAAGTACGATGATAAAGATTCCTGACATATACGCGTCATATGAAAATTTTCATGAACGTCTCCTAACATGTTAAAAAGAGCCAGATTCGCATAGAGTACGCGCAGCGCACTAGTAGCTCCGAAATGCGTAGCCTTAGACAAAGAGTGTTTGCGTATAAGCTGCCATACGTAAGCGCAGGATACTTTGGCACAAAGCGAATCGCCTCCAACATATCGACGCAGTGCCAAGAGTACATATGCTTCAGGTGGCGGTTGTCGATCCTCAGTACGGCATTCCGCACGTACATATGCGTGGAGGCACCTATAGTATGTCACAACCCATGTGTGGAGATCAAGTACAACTTCATAGTCGGTTGGCTGGAAGTAACGGTCCTGTGCTTCCCTCAATAGGTCAGAAAAGCAAAGTGAAAGAACTAATCCCAATTCATAGTAAACAGCAGCAGCACCATCCTCATCTGACCAATGGCAATGTTCAAATTCACCATCTATTCCAATAAGTTTATGGAGCTCCGATTGCAGCGATTTAACTGCATTTACCGAAAGCGGTATTGCTCCTTTACCACCTGAATTGCCATTAGCAAACACACCGGAAGATATGTCAAACGGTGTCTGCAGGTGTGCCAATGATGGTAAACGGAACCAATGTTCATAGCTTTCTCGACTCCGAGTTCCACTGAACCTCTCGTTGATGACGAATTTACTCCAGTTGACTTGGCCACGTAAGTGCATCCGTGCCAACTTTGGATTCAAACGTATAAGATCGATCAATGATTCGTTGTTCACGGTCTGTAGTTGTGAACCATCTCCCGATTGGATAAGGAACTCGTTTGCCTGCACCTCCTCAAGTCGCACACCTTCATGAGCAGCACCCAAGAAGCGTCCAAGATCAATGCATACTAGTAATGCGTGGATCAAACGAACGTATTCCCATAAATTCTCACGCTGCGCTTCACTGATATATGCAGGGTGTGTGCTAATCTCTCCTTCCTCCGATACTACGAACCCTTGTTTGCACTGTTCGAAGCATGCCAGTACCTCGTCACGCAGCAGGTTAATTAGACCGCTTTCCTGGAGCATACATAACAATGACAGCCCATCACCTGGTGCGGTCAATAACTGCGTTATTAGAAGGCGGATAGTCTTGCAGTGAACCCTTGTCTGTTGTTCCGCATCCATGTGAGCCTGCCTCTCGTTACTAAGCTCCTCGTTAACTTCATATAGTTGGTTACGTATCTCTTGTACACGTTTCTTGCGATCTCCTGCTGCGCTGTGGTCTTTACGTAGCCTTCCCCTTGGTGCCTGATCCCCGTTGTCGTCATCGCTGTCTTCAGCTTCAGCTAACAGGGCATCACGTTCGTTTGCCAATGTATTTTGTCGTTCTCGTAGCATTTCAACATGTTGTTGCTGTTGTGGAGTTCTATGACCAGCACGTTTGAAATTTTCCAACTTCAGACGGAACTCTCCGACTAGTGTCCACAGGTCACTGGATTGTAATGCGGCTCTTAAAGCCACCAGTCCATGCATATAGTGTCCCAGGATGCCAGAACGTCGTTTAAGCTCTGATGCAACCGAAGATTGGTGTTCGTATTCTTTGGAAACTGCAAGAGCACGGTAATGTGGTTGCGCTTCTTTCCAGTAGTTGTACCATGCCCCAGATGGCGGTTGTGACAGCTGGTAGAGCAAGTAGATAACCTCCTGTGTTATAGCACTATAATCATGTTCTGGTGACGATGATTCTTGCATCAGTTTAGTGCAAAGCGGCAGAATGTGTGTTGTCACAAGACCGCTGTCGAAGATGTAGAGTGTACCATATCTTGTATGTTTGTACAACGGTACGCCATCAAGCTCGACATAGTCACCCTCACGTTCCCGACTGAGTAGTGTATTGAGATCCTGTAGATTTGAGAGCGCATCCCGGCTGATGGTTACAACGGTGCTAACTTTGCTTGGAGCAGAAGCTCTATTGGTCTCTTCTGCTGCCCGTCCCAAGTTACCAAACCTTCCTTCAGGGGTCCGACCACGAAATGTCTGTCGTATAAGTTTCTTCATAAGTTTTTCCATTGCCTTGTCGGCCCCTTGTTCGGGTGGTGGTACGTCTGTCGACTCTTCCGACACTGGAGCGTTCTTGGATGGTGGAGCCGCATCAACCGTAAATTGCTCACGTGTAAGTAATCCACTGAATAACGTCAACATCTCTGATTCTACACCATGTCTACGTTCAAAGTGTTCTGATAGCTGTTTGAGTCTGAACATAATATCTTGTTCGATATTATCTATATCGGCATATTGTGCGTGTGCTTCTCGCATGCGTCGATCTAGTTCTTTTTGCCATTTTGAAGCTGATTTTTTCTTTTGTTTGAGCTCAGGTTTTGCATCTGAGCCGAATAAGAACTCATAATCTGAGTCTCCAGCTTCTTCAGCTGCCTTTCGTGAACCTAAGGAGGCCTCGGACTCAGGTTCCGAGGGAGCGATGAACGAATCATCACTTTCCTCCGCAAATGGTTCGTCAGCATCGAATAGGTCTTCAGCCATCGTTATAATATGGTCTAAGCATCAATGCGATTACGGTAGACTAGTTCAGGTGCATCCAGGCTCCCGAAACGACCGACCGCATATAACAGATGTAGGCATCAGAAAGGATCTACCCGTCGTTCCGACGGTCTTACGATCTCGTAGACGTTTTTTATGATACTTGAATCTGTTTCTAAATGGGCGTTCGTCTTATACTAGCGATCATTGGGAGATGTAGTTTGGAATCAATTGATGTTTTTAGCGTTATTTTAAAAGACAGTTGTGGAGGTTCCCTGAGAATTAGTAGAGCCTGGAGAGCTTCACACAACCCACATTACAGGGGTATTTCTTTAATTACTGCCGGGGTCCTTAAGCTAAGTTTTGACGCGGGAAACCACGCTTCAAACTGTTGCTTACTAGCGAGTGTGACTTGTCACGGTGAGACGGGAGAGTATTGATGTTATTAGAATGGATATTTTACATTGATATTTCAACGTGTGTCTAGTGTGTAAATATTTATGTAAGTCCGGGTAGGGTATGTGTAAGTAGGATCACTGCGCGTCTGTGATGACTTGAAGGCTATGGCAGGCGAGCCACACACTACGATAAACTGTGAGTCAGTAACTGTTTTGACTTCTATTGCATCTTTTGGTAACAAATGTAGCATGGTTCTAGTTTTAGATTAAAAGGTGGAATGGCTTCGTACTGTCCGAGTCGTTCGGAAAATCATAGTGAATCCGACTCAGATGTTATTATGTCGCCTTCATGTGCTACAGGATTTCCGTTTCATGTAGACCCAACCGATGCTGCAAGAAGGCTATCTGACAGTGGAGATACTGGTCTACCATCAAGAGCACAAGATGTTCCTGTCGTGTATAACCGTTATCCACGTAAAATTATGATATGTTCATCAAAGACCGATGATGCAGTCATAAAGGCGCGCAACGAGCTAGTTGAGCATATCAAGGAGCATTATGACTGTATAGTGATAGTCCACGACCGCATATTACCTACAATAGAAGCTGAGACTGAGAAACTTTGGGGCCAGGTGCACAATCTATATACTGGACATTCATCTTTGCATAACCAGAATGATGATTCACATATAGAGTATCGTGAGATAGATACGCAGTATGTCGAGCTGATCATTGTGATTGGCGGCGATGGGACCATACTGAAGGTCATTAAGATGTTCCCTCATATAATACCACCAGTAATCGGTCTTTCGATGGGCTCCATGGGTTATATGGCTAAGTTTAATATGAGCGAAGTAAAAGAGACGCTGAAAGGGATCTGTGACGTTGGGATCACTGTCTCAAGGCTGAAGATGTTGCATGTAGAGATATACAGCGACACTGGTGAGCTTATTGCTCGCCGTAACGCTCTGAACGAGTGTGTGGTTGATCGTGGTCTTTCTCCATCTATAACCACGTTAGATGTTTATTACAAGGGCACTTACTTCACCACAGTCACTGGTGATGGTCTTTTAATAAGCACCCCTAGTGGCTCCACAGCATACTCTATGGCAGCGGGAGGGCCGATAGTACACCCTGCGGTTCCTTCGATGCTGTTTACTGTTATATGCCCTCATTCTATATCATATAGGCCGGTCATATTGCCAATAGATGGTGTGATTGATGTAATTGTGCCATCTGATAACCGAGGTTGTGCGAGGCTTTGTGTCGACGGTAACTACCATTGCAACCTTAAGCAAGGGTATTACGTACGTATCTGTGCATCAAAACAAGCGTTTCCACTAGTATTGCCGAACAATACACAAACATTTGAGGAGTGGATTCGTGCTTTGCGTGAGCACCTTCACTGGAATTTCCGTGTTAGGCAGAAGCACATTGCTATAGATACTCAAGATACGTATACACAGGTAGAGAAGGAGTTCGGTGAGACACAATAGTGGCGCCGTATATACAGAGAGCACGCTCTGTAGGTCACTTAGAATATTTGTCACCATATCGTGCAATAGTTACACCAATATTTGAGAGCACGTATTTTCAACAAACCTATATTTAATGTAAGGTCATGTGCTGTATACGTATATGAAATAGTTTTTACTAACGTGAAACTACATTGATTAGATATGTTCCAGCAGTATTACTACGTGGCATGCCACAGCCTCTCCTCTACCTAAGGCATCTAGACCTTCGTTGGTCTTGGCTTTTACACTAACCAATGTGTTTGAGCCCAGTAGGTTAGATAAGCTAGCGCATATCTGCCTTTTGAGTTCCCGTCCCAGTCTTGGATTTTGGATAACAACAATAATATCAACATTTCTTGGTTGATATCCCACATTGTATGCTTCTTGAAGTGCCAATTGTAGTATTATTTTCGAATCCATGTTTGCTAATGAGGCCTTTTTGTCTGGGAAGTGCTCTCCGATATCTCCACATCCTGCTGCTCCCAGTATAGCATCAGCCAGCGCGTGTAGCATAACATCAGCATCACTGTGTCCAATTACGTTCACTGTAGAGTCTGGAATTAGTACCCCTCCGAGTTTGAATGGTTTTCCCTCTTGTCCAGATTTAACCAGCCGGTGTATATCATAGCCAATTCCTACCCGGTATCTGCAGGGACGTAACCTTTCCGTTGTACAGTATCCAAGTGCAGTGTGCCGTAAGCTGAATACCGCGCCAACTTTGGGGTACGGTGTTGACGGGAAGCACGCTGCCGCGATACACTTGAGTACGAATACATGAAGAATGGTTATTGCCAAAAGATGAACTAGTTTGATAGACTCCATCTTGCCTTACAATTTTTCAGCTGCACATTGATTATATTCACTGATTGCGTCTACCCGACTACATGAGAAGGGCTATGGCGCGTCAATGTGTGGCGACTTTGGAGTCATTATAGTGTTGCTTCTGTAAATTTTCTGTAGGTTGGTGTAATTACACCGCTAATAGTTCTGTTATCATATTGGTTGCCCACAAGGTCGCTCTGTACTGCCCACTTGCGTAAAAGTCACTAAAAAATTATACATTAACATAAAGGCGAAAATGCCTGATATACCTGCACATCTAGATATACCAAATGGCGCAACTTGTTTGGTATGTTACGATGATTTAGATAGGAGCAATGCCGTGGCGTACAAGGTTACGGAAGGTTCGGAATGGTCGTTATCAACCTTCTGTATCATTTGTGTCAAGTACATGTTGAAAACCCAGGTTAGTGCAAAAATACACACAATTATATGGGCTTAGTATGGAAGGTACATTAATGCTTTAAAGACTACCACTTGTGCCAAGGAACAGAGGGCTCTACTTGAAAAGGGACCACCAATCAACATATCGGACCATTTGGGTTTTCCAATAGCTGAGAATAACGAAGTATATGAATTATTTGATGTTGGTGAGGGCAAGTTATTATCCGCTAAGCTTGAGGGCAGCCTGGTAAGTTGTGATTACATAATATGGTAACACGTGCTGTCTACTTGCATATTATGTGGCGGCTCGGTATATTTGTGAAAATGTTTCAAATATGCGTAGGTGGGGGAAGCAAGGGAGAAACTGTGGAACGAGCTTAGTCAGTTCAAATTCAAAGGTGACAACGAGGAGTGAGCTGGTAATTCCGTATTTTATTTCTAGATCTTAATAACATCCAATCAAAACGTATTATATTAATATTATCGCATCTACAGTGCGACAGTGTATAACCCTGTATTTTTGTACTGTATATCTATTATATATTATAGGTGTGATATATCTTAGTTTGGGGAGATATGGTATACGTGTGCGATATTAGAGCAGAAGTGGAGCACGTTATTGTTTAACCTTCCAAGAAAACGTTGAGGCGTCGTTTCATTGTAGCGTTAATTTCAAGGGTATTAAACTGTTCCAAATATGCTTCCGGGTTAACTGTAGGGTTATGATAGGGTTTTATTAAAAACCCACTTTCAACATTAAATCGGAAATCCGCATGTACCGACATCATAGCTAGGGATTCGCCCTGAATCATGTGTGGTCACGTGGACTTAAAAATATGGCTTACTTTGGTTGGGTCGTGGGTGAAGGTTAGGTAGCCCAAATCCCTCGCATATAACAGATAGTCGGCGATGTTTTTGAAATCTGTAAAAGTATGGAACTTTAGATATGTTGGCTGTACCTGATGCGCGGTATTTTACATCTTTTCTTCGGCGTGTGCTACGAAGCGCCGACATCAGGGCATCAGCCTCACTTTCAGTTTTGGGTATCATATGTCCCTTGCCTATGCGTTTAAATACGTCACATAATCGATCTGAATACTAATGTTTTCGAGGTGTAATATAGTTACCCAATGAAACGCCCTCGGTATATGTTTTTAAACAAGGTAGCATCAGCAAAAGGAACCCTCGCAATTCATGGTCACCTAAATACGGTTGTTGCATCTAAAAGGTTAACACTACCTTCCGAGTTTATCTTGACATCATGAGGTCGGAATGCCAGTGACTGTTTCAGGAACAGCTCACGTTTCCCTATCAGTGTTGAGCGCAATTTTATATGACCAGTACCTCCAGTAGTTTTCACATCACAAAGTGTCAGACCTAATGTCCTTCCTATTAGCGCCTTTGCATCCTCTAGATTGGATGTGTAATAATGTTTCTGGTTGTACCCACCGATAAAGCAGTTGACTACCAAATGGTTGGTCTGGTCGTGTATGTAAGACTTGACTATGGTTCGTATCTCATCGCTCCGCGTGGTAAATGGAGCGCGGTGAAGAAGTAGTCGTACTATGGTTGCTAGTATACGTCTCTTTTCCTGCAAGTCGTTGAGTGTATAACGTGTGGTTCGTGAGCAAGGCCGCGCCGATTTACACCTACATTTGGCTTTATAGTGCTGTAGTATTTGTTGGTCTTGTTTGTAGGCGATGTAGGAGTTTTGGCGTCCTGTGAAGGTGCCGTGCAGAGATGATCGGCAACTATGAACTGTGAATAGGAAAGCTCGCAGTCATCAGCTGCCATTTGAAATATTGTGAATTACATATTACAGTATTGTAGTGTTGCACTTTAAGATTACCTAGGTAACCTATGGTCTCACTCAGCAGGTCCATGCATGAACGCGATATAGCTGCACATCACCTAGTATGTCATTCTAAATAAAAATTTGCAAGCTGTTCAGATTTTCAATCTCAATTATATTGCAAAGAGGGTCTAATTGGTGGAATGTGCTGGGTGTAGGTTGACTAAGCTGAATCGTCGGTGATTCTCCGCTGTTAGCAACAAGTTAACCATCACTTTAGATGTATAAAAAACATATCAATGTATACATTGATTATATGATGTTAAAACCGCGAAAAGATTCGGTTATAAGCAATCAAAGAAAAGCGCTTACACACCTCGTGAGGGATTCTAATGTAAAAAATCCATTTCTCGCCGTTATAGGCCACTGTAGCACTAGTTATGGTATTGTAATGCAAGGTAGACGCAATATAAGGCGACGACACACTGGTCTACCGGTAGAATGGAAGATCTGAGACATGAATATTCCACGCAAAAATGTAATATCACGAATAATAAACTTCAATATTAACTTCAATGTTTCTAAGCACTTTTGAATGTTTTGCGAACTTTCATGTTTGCATGTCTCGATTTTTTCAGACGTCTAGCTGCCTCAGCATCCTGGTTATCTTGAACGGGGAAAAAAATGCCGAGAATTTTTTTCGCCGCTAGCAGCAAAGATCTGGCCACACGAAAGAAAAACCGACGAATGTCAAATATACTGTAAAAGAGTTTCATGGTCTTGAACCTCGTGATAGTATATTATAGCGATTTAAGAGGTAGAAGTAACGCGTAGGACGCGTATCACCCGAAGGATAAATATAACGTGGATCAGTGTTTGGATTAAACGGTATACCGTAAGAACTTGCAAGTCATCAGAAATGGGAAATATTTTGACGTCTGCTGTTTTCTTGCCACCAAAGGCAACATACAACAGTACTGATCCCCATGTCCATATGTTGCCAACCAAGGAAGGATACACCCTAGCGGCATACTTCATCAAACATAGGTACCGACTCCAATATTGAAATCATATATGTAGTAGGGACGCCCGCTACACCATACTCTACAGCCACGGCAATGCGGAAGACATTGGTCATGTTTTACCGTTGCTTGTGGACAGGATTTCTAAATGGCAAGTAAATCTTTTGATGTATGATTATTCTGGTATGTTATAGATTGTTACAATTACAAAGTTCAGGTTACGGGCTTAGTGGAGGGAAACCATCCGAGGAAAATCTGTACAAGAACATAGAGGCGGTGTACGATCATATGATCTCTCGATTTGGTGAGCTTTTAATGTGACATTGAAAATACTGTTTCAGGGGTCGATCCCAATAAGGTGATAGTATATGGTAGGAGCATAGGCAGTGGTCCAACGGTCCACTTAGCACTACGTCGGCCTGTTCTTGGTGTCATTCTACAGAGTCCTATTGCCTCAGTCTACCGAGTCAGAATGCGACGTCTCCCATGTTCATTACCAGGTGACATGTTCCGTAACGCAGACAAAGTCGAGTTACTCGAGGTTCCTACTTTAATTCTTCATGGTACAAAAGATGAGATAGTACCCTTGGAATCCTCCCAAAGGATGGCACGAAAAATCTCAGAAGTATACTGCCAGTGGATTGAAGGCGCCTCGCATAACGATATCGATACTACCTATGCTGACCAGGCAGATGAGGCGATACTAGAGTATTTGGACAAAGTCTTACCACGAGACCAATACGGGCGCCCGCGCACAGCGGTATGGAGCGGACACAGCGACGATGACGACGAGGAGCCCGCAATAACGGTAATCTACAGGTGAAGAGATGGTATCTCGCATCTAACATTTATACATATTATGCTACTTTCTTCTCGAGTACCGGAGTTCAACAACGTTGATCTCTCCAATCACACATATTAAGGTACTAACATATTTTTCACCAAAATTACGATTAGTACCATTGTTTTCATGGTTTAAAATACCATGTGTCGGTAGGTGATTGTTTGTTGGTAAGCAATTCTAGTGGAGTGCATACGGAGGTACCTAGACGTGATCGAATGTGTAGCAAGTCGAGTGGCAGAATCATACCATATGTAAGATAGACTGTGCCTAGTATACAGAAGGTGAGCAAGTATAGAAGGAAGTAATACCGGATGCTGTAGAGGAAGTCGGAAATGGCGGTGAGTAGGTTGTCGAATAGACCTTCACTGATGACTTTGTTGAGTTGAGTGGAAAATTGAGAACACGTGCGTAGCGAGGATTTCCTTTCCTTCCCAGATTCCACGTAAGGAAGAGTGATCATTATATGTGAATTCATATTTGTATAAAAGGGGGAGGCCTACGGCGCATTGAACTATTGTGGGACATTGACACGGCTTGGTCTTTGCATGACAGGGCGTTTGGGTGTCCTTATTTCTGCAGTCAATGCAATCTTCACAATTCAGAACATTAAATTCATCGAGTAATATTTGGAGCCCATCGCGTAGATGTTCAGCCAAATACACCATGCGTGATACATACGTACTTACGAAGTCTGTAGAAACACTACAGTAGATACCGAACGAGAAGTAGGCTAAATAACTGCCGCACGTTCTATCGTTGTGCTTGGTGATGTCGCATTCACTGTCAATAAGGCTCCGCAGGTTGGCCTTGTCACCGTCTTTGTAGTTGACATTACCGCCGTCGTGATGTTTACCAGATAGGGCTGTGATGCTACTAATTAGGTAGTCTCCAGTACTATCGCCGGGATATTTGATTATATCTTCTTTGATCGGTTTCGTTACTCCGGCGTAGCTCTGCTCATCTCCTATATTCATAAAGTATCCTAAGAGGTCGCCCACAGTACGTGGTGTACGTAGACTGACACAGATTAGACATAGTATAATATTATATATACTGGTGCAAGAGATGTTGTCGACTACATAGCCTTCCAAGAACGCCAGGAGTTGATAACCATATCGAGTGACGGTGAAGTGTGCGTCTTTAAATCCCATTGGTATAGGGCACCATTTATTATGGCCTAGGTGGGATATATGGTCACTATAAGGTGGATACTGGGTGGAAGGGGTGTTGTTGGCAATCTCCCCGCACCTAAAAGCTGGGATCTCATCACAAATGAAGGCGTGGAGGGGCGACTGATTATTCCCGCCAGTACCGCAAATTCTTTTGTGATTTTCCCACTCATTGCAGCCTCCTAGCACATCATGTTGTTTGACATCATGAGGTGTGGCAGCACATATCCATGATGTCGCTCTACCTTTCACCCCCCTTTTCCATATTTACACAATTTCCATCCACAGTGACAGGGCGGGAAATAACATTGGTTTTTGAAAAAGTAAAGTTGGAAATAGACAACAGAAACTATATCCCACAACATAGTAAACCATTCATGCAGATTATTTGGGTAGTGGAATTTTAATTCGTTGGTATATATGTCATGAAGGAGGGGTTTATCCCCGATTGATCTAGTCGCCTGCTTGCTCGTAGTGGTTGTCTTCAGATTACCTTGTGTAGCCATTAGCAGCACCGCAGCGTAAAAGCATGGTGCGAAGAAATATATGTGAGCATCCTGTAATTTGAGATCAATATTTTTAGGTGATTTAATAAAGCTCACAGTCTTGATTTTGCCATTATTTATCAAGTTATGCAAATTATTTGTATAAATTAGTTTCTATACTGGAGAATACGGAAGGGCCATCAACCAATAAAGCATTTCACGGATGGTACGGGGTTTGCTGTCATATTTGGGGTTATTATTGCTTTGTTTATGTTGGAAGTAGCACTTAGTAGCAATATGGAGGTAAACCAGGGGCTTGCTGGTAAGGTCGTTATACAATGTTGCATTATCCACTGCATTTTTAAGTACGTAATCTATATAAATTGAGTAGCGGCCCTTGACGGCAGCATAATCGTTGAACTCGTCGAAGAACTGTCCAAGCAACTCTGCGACATTCTTACCAACATTGAGCTGGCTCACAGGGTATCCCACATACTGCAAGTAGGTACATAAGGCATCGTTCTCCGTGCTGATATTCCCGTAGGACCACCGTGGATCTGACACTTTTATCAGAGTACCTGTTTCATACTTCAACCCTTCACTACACTGCCAATATAAATAAGTTAGACCAAAAAATATTAATGGGATAGAACCAAAAAATATTCTGGCATAAATAAACTTTTCACGTCGTTCCAATTGGATCGGCCCTTTTCATATGACAAGTGATATACATCACTAGTATTACCCTTTGGCCTGCCAATACCAGTTCCGTCCAAATCCCCGTGACTCCCATTCTTATACCCAATTAGCTTTCGCAACCTGGTAGTCAAGTTAGTGATCAATGTCACAATATCCTTATTCGAATAACCATTCGTAAAGAAATCTGCCTGATTTGTACTTGCTTGAACACCTGAATTTGCCCTATTGGCACTCAGTGCGTTCTTGAGTAACTCCTGCACTCCCTTAAGCGCCTTACTATATTCATCTTTTATGGGATCCCGTGCACTCCCAAGTAGCGCTTCGAGAGCATCTGCCAACTTCTGTGTGCCACCTAAACAGAATGAGAAATATTAACAATTGCACTTACTTGGATTAGAACTAGGACGTAAGCTTGGAATACCACCAGCATCGCTCTCTGTCACTCTGAGAATCCAATCTATTGCTTCTTTTAGATTTGTAGGACAATCCGTTAGCTTCTTAGTGGTAGCGATTGGTGCTTTCCCTAATGGTTGTGGAGCCATTGTGTAGATGAGCTACATAAAAAACTAGCAAGGGGAGTAATAGATGCTGCCATGTGACGAATTTGGTGAACGACAGTCCATCACTACTGCGAACCTCCAAAGGTACTATTAATGCGATTTCTTGGTTACGCATAATAGAGGTATCGTAAACGACCATATGGAGTAGAAACGGGGTATCATGGGTCCATTGTGGCAACTTATGTGATGCCCAGGTTAATTCAAGTGTCCACATGGCCCCTTTGGAGTGTACAACACCCTGTGGGACCTGTGTGGGGAATCAGGCCCCGAAAAACGACGATAGGTACATCAATTCTGTTCCATAGCACCTCCATAAGGTTTGAATCTCGGAGTAGCGTCATATGTGGGTCGTGGTCCAGGTTTCAAGCTTCTGGAACCGAGAACTTGTATCCTTGGGAACATGCAGTAAATGGAGGGTGGAAATGTCCATTCGAAAATAGCAGTGGTGATGGTTGTTTTCTAGAAAGTTGCTCTGAGCTACGTTGCTTGAATGGTAGAACGCCCAATTTCCAAGTAGTGCTATGCCACTGGTGATAAGACTGTGGTAATCCCCAAGTGTCCGATGGTACCTGAATTTGGTCCATGATGGCTGTGTCATGAATTTACATACAGACAAATTTCAACATCTCAATCCACTCCCGTTAACATTCGGCTGGTTTCACACGAATGTTATTGGCTTCAACAAACCACATAATCTGTAGATTAGTTCTTTTAAGAGTATCTCCCTAGGTGTACTCGTTTCACCTTGAACTTTGAAAGTCGTGATTTGATGATTTGTGTCAACTTGTTTGGAGTTGACGAGTCAGGCTCGATTGCTACATTTGATGATTGTGTTGCCTTTGTAGGTAGCATTGTGTAGTACCCTAAAATCTGGTTTGTCGTTTCTAGTGCCATTACGAAACGTATAAAAACCTTGGCAATAGGTTCTCCATTGAAATTTGCGTAGAATAGACAGAAGAGATCCCATAGGTTAAGAGTTCCTCCAGGTAGCTTCTGCGATATGAGTATCAGTTGTTTGACATTGTTAGCGAAGCCTGAATTATCTTTATATTCCAAGATATCACGCATAATTTGCCATTCTGGTCGTTTAGGTCGGAACTTTGCCATGACCATATGATATGCCAGCTTGCTTGACGATTGTACAGTAGGCAGTAGAAGCACTGTCAACGCTCTTTCTACAAAGGTTGCTACAGACACATTGCCTGTATCCGAGTGTATTGCTGCCATATAATCTGCCACGATATCATGTTTTGGAGGGTTTCCCAGCAGAGTCATAATCGATGCTATCGTTGGGTATAGCGATAGAAAATGGTTACCGACATCCTTTAGCATCTTAACTATATCCATCAACGCCCTATCAACTTTCGCTTTTATGGTTCGCGATATCCGTTTGATTAGCTCATTGATACGTACATCTGCATGTTCACTGCATAGTGTCTTTGTCAGTAGTCTAAGTCGTCGTCTTGCACGATCGCAATCAGGTAGCATGACCATGAGTTTTTGTAGCAGGTATATGGCTAGTTGTAGCGACAACCGTCGTTCGATGACCTTCATAGCCTCCATAGGCAGTAGCTGTAGACATAGCGTTTCTAGCGCTGCATCTCTATCTAACAATATTTGTAGATAGGCACAATGTGATGCCGACATGTTTGACCCGCAGAATAGGAGTACGAGTTTGCAATATAGCTCCTGAGCAACGTCATCGTTGTTTTCTATTTCAAAATATGGTTCATTTTCAGTTCCCCGCACCTTGCAGTATAGGTTGATGATGTTGGGCATACATACAAAACTAAACTGCACGTTGCGATAGAAGCATTCGTACATGATATATACACTCTTGATCAAGGACGTGATTGACATTTCTTCGTCGTATAATGTATTCCATATTTGCTCCAATGAATGCAGGTTGGGCACAAAGCATTGCACCTCTGGGTCATATAGTAATACGTTTAATATTTCATCAGACACCTTATTAACTGCTAGTACATCACAGTTATATATGGACAGTTCCGAATATACGCGCATTGATATATGTTGTTCCAGATTGGTTTGCCAGCAGTTTGCGCATATAATGCAGCTCACCATGAACCCATCTCTTTTCTTTAGCATTTGCAGTATATATAGGAACTCACTTAGGTTATGTGTGATTTTATCGATAATAATGACCACATGTCGAGTTCTAAACCTCCACCTATACAAATCTGCAAGTTGCTCTAATATACTCTTGCGTACCGATGCTTCTAATACATATCCCTCGCCTTGGTTTCCCCTAGTATGTGTGACACAGTTTTTTAGAGATATGTATATTTGTTCCAATATGGATTGTATGGATGCTGACGTATTAACCTTGACAAATACTTGTTCCTTCGGGCTCATTGACTCTAGCGAGCGGATAAGTATGTCTAGCATCGTCCTTTTGTCATCCAACCTTACACCTACATCTGCCACTATTACCTGAAGTAGTGATCCCGAAACATTGGTATACTTGAGCAGCTCTAGTAATGTCGTGGTCCCAGTATGAACAGACGAGCTTATGATATCATTTACTCTTTGCATGAACTTTTCCCATGAAAGGCTGAATGCACGTGAACGCAATATGCTAGACTGGTATAATGTTCTTTCGAAGTCGGCAAGACAGTCCATATCACCCAAGTCTGCCAATGCTTTGCACATTTTAAGCTCATTTCGGGTTGGTGCTACTACTGTGCCTAAACCCAACACTGTTGTTGGAGCGTTTATATAAGATTGCAGGAAGTCCGGATCCTTATCTTCGTATACGAACGGCCCTAACTTAAACATGCCATTGGGTAAGGTACTGTCTGGAGTATCACCTTTTTGTCTAACAGCAGAAGAGGATGTAGATGTACCCTGGGCATGTGTTGACATGATATCTCCATTTGTTTTGTCGTCATTAGTATCGTATGGGGGTCCTCCACGTCTTTCATCTTGGTAAATAGCGCGACCTCCCCTACGTAGTTTAGACAATCTTTGCGATACTCCTGTAGATGTAAGTGCATGCTGAGTTGTTTCATTTGTCCGTTTTCCTGTGCTGCTGGCCCTACTGGGTTCTCTTTGACGTTTGTTAGTTGCATACTTGTCGTCTGAATATCTGGAGTGAGATATTGCAGAAGGTCTGCCTTCATAGAAGGTGACACATTCACGTCTTCCATAAGAAAGATTAGGTCCTTCATATGGATCAGTATCTCCTATACACAAATATACATCATATTTCGACCAATCTGCGACATCTGGGTCAGATTCTGCCATGATTGCTCTTTATGAGCGCGCGGTCTGCCAGTTGTCGAATTTTTTTTCGTATCCAGTAGCTTGCTTCGACGAATCTATGTTATTAATAGTAACTATGTAGTATATTTGGTGTCTGTTGTCACGTTGTTGTAATCGAATATGCGAATGTATGGTGTGCGCGTCATCCTCGGGTCTATGTGGCAACGGTCGCTGTAAAAAGACCTCTGGGTGTATGATTATAGCTCAAAAGATAGAGCTGGCAACTATATCGTATTTGTGTGTTATTGTATGAGAATAAGTATAATGGAAGGATAAAATTCCTTAGGTTGTTAACCACGATGTCGTGGCAAACTTCCGCCGGCAAAAGCCGACCTGTCGTTGATGAATGTTCAAGTCCGACAGTCTCATGTGGTAGCAAAGCTAAGAACAATAAGTATATCGCATGTGGTTTGTTATCTGGTGTAATAACTAAGACGATATGTGCCCCTTTTGATCGTATCAGGTTATTATACCAAATCCAGCCTATGTTTGCACAAGTGAATATCGCTAAACAAGAGCAACCAGGTGGTTTCAAGTATCGAGGTGTGCTTCGTACTGCCCAGAAGATAATCCATGAAGAGGGTTTAACCGGTTTATGGCGCGGTAATTTAATGAACACAACCCGTGGCGGTTTATGTTATGCTACTAAATTTGGTATCAATGATGGAGCTAAGGAGCGGTTGCAATCTCTTACTGGTGTTGACAATGGTGTTACATTATCGTTACTTGCGGGAGCGTCTGCTGGTGTATTGCAGAAATCTATCTCATATCCACTGGATGTGATGAGTGTAAGGATGACCCTTGGTGTGAATACCAAGGTCCTAAGCTCTAATTGTACCTACCACAGTATACCCGACTGTTTTTTTAAGATATTGAGATCAGAAGGTATACGTGGTTTTTTCAAGGGTTTTTTGCCTACGTTATGTACCGGTGTGCCCTATGTTTCTTTGCAGATGACCTTTTTTGATTTCTACAAGAGACGATTTATGGACCTATTTGGCTTCGAGAAAGAGAAGCTTAACATTAAACAAGTGGCCTTTGTTTCATCGATAGCAGGGTCTGCTGCAGGTTTCTCTGCTTTATCTATAGTTTTTCCAGGTGAGCATGACAGAATAGTTGTATATAGTCCAAAAATGTTGTTAGATCTTGCATTTATATATGATGACGTTAAGGGTGTTTTGTATAATTATCTATCCTACGTTGTTTTAATCTGTGCTCAGGTGATACTGTGCGTAAGCGTATGATGAACAACGCCATATCTAACGATTATCAATTATATAGAAGCTCGCGGCACTGTGTCAAGACCATCTTCAGATGTGAGGGTAGGTGCTAACGGCGACATGCCAACTTTATACAGGTATATCTGCCTTCTATCATGGGATGTTTCCATCATTATTGAAATCGCTCCCTTCTGGCGCTGTTCAGTTCGTTACTTATGAGGTTCTAAAGCACCTGCTAAAGCAGGCATGACTATGTCGTAGATGCATCTTTTTCTATGGCGATAATCCTGGTGCACGGATAGATTATGCTGTTAATATAGTCTATTTTTAAATTTAGATAGTAGATATATACACATCGGGACTGTTGCCGAGCTTCGCAGGCGTCACACCTCAGTGTGTTAGCTCGGCAATAGGTGCAATATTGTGTTCTTGTCGGCCCATTTGTTGAAATTATAGCCATCATTCATCGCATATAGGTTGTATACATTCGCTGGTGTGAGTTTGTAGGCCTTATCCAGCGGATAATATGCCGTCTAATCAGGATCCAGATGCCCCTGCGGCAAATGTACCTCAAAATGAAGATGAATCTGGTTCTCAGACGGTCGGTGAGATGTTTATCGAGGCTATAACGGTATGTGATGGTTATTTGATATATGTGTATAGTTTTGTAGGTGGTAGGGTCTACAATGCGTTCTACCTTTGTCGAGGCGAACCGCTGTGTTCGTAGCTGCGTATACCCAGCTAAACAACGTTGTATTCAGTTATATGACGACCTAACAAGTAACTTCACAGCGAAAGGTACACGCAATGTGTACAGCAGCGATGATACGTTGAGGTTTGGTAACGATTGTGGCGGTTCAGCATAATGTCCCTGTGACATGGGTTCAAATAGCACTGAAAGTTTGGAACTTTCCGAAGCTCATGCAAGGTGATGGAACATTAACATGTTAACAGTTATATTGTAGTCTATATTTTATCATGTGATTAAACGTACATATGCATCTATGGGTCGGTATTTGAGTTATTTATAATGTTTATGGTGAAATAAATGCTACTGATAGGGAGTAAGTTGTTTTTGCGAGGGCTGCTAGTGTCGATTTGGGTGTAATTTGAGGTGTTGTGAAAAAATTCAAAAAAATTCAGAAGTGTATGTCCCGGGGTGCCGGTAATTAATCTGGTGACGATACTCTATTTTAATGCCGTTTTATTGCAAATTTTTTCGATATATAGCATCGTACCATATGGTAGACATGGTTAACCCAACATATAGGTAAACGTCGAAAGTAGCTTCATTTAACCATTTTGGATTCCATGATCGTTGCCGGACTCACTCGTGCACATTCGATCGTTGATGCCCGCAAATTAGAGTTCATAGAATTTTAGAATGCAACTTGGATTCGTAGATCCGATAATATTGGACGTAGTGCAGTAATTTCACTAGACTCATGTGTACCTGATGGTGGGTGGCGGTTTCGCTGCTATTATATATATCAGTCAACACATTCTTGATATTTTAAGCGAAGATGGTAGTCAACAGTTACGGAGGAAGTTTCATAGGCTTTAAAGCCATAAGCGAACAATCGAAGGCGTCCAAGGAACCTGCCAAGGAACCACCCGCGTCACCTAAGAACAACCCTAATGAGAATGAGAAAAAGCTTGAGCCACCAGAAGTTGTAGAGATTGAATTACATCGTGCCGAGTAGGTTTCTTATACCAATAGCATTGAATAATTATAGGAAAATCAAGTTACCTGAGATCCGCAAACCTGACGGTGTTGAGATTATGGTTACTGCCATGTTCGATGATGAGAATGTCACTCAGGTAAAAAAACGCGTCTATGAATACAAGATTCCAGGCTTTTCGTCACTTGCGCAACTCTTCTACCCCGGTCCGTGCTGATTACCTTTTCGACAGCTACACATGTTTGTTCAATAACCAGAAGGTATACACATTACACATTCAGCATTCATGCTATGCAGATTGTTATCCCCTGTGTCGGAAAAAAGTTTTTAGTATTATATGTTTCATATGTACTATCTAAATATGACGAAGAAGGGACACGTCATTTGCGCTTATATGGATACGGTTACACCAGCCCTTTCCAACTGGATTCGTGCAAGTCATACACAAGTTTCAAGCAGCCATTAATTGCAACAGACGGAGGGAACTCATTGGATATGGCAATGTCGTATCGTATAACAAGTAAACTTGCATCTGAAGCTTCAGCAATACCGGAAGATAAAATTGGAGGGTTCGTTTGAAGCACCAATGACATATGACCGTTAGGCTGGCCGATATCTACAACGCTGCGGAGAAAAACAAACGCGCCTACCAGTAGAATCGGCTCGTCACGCATCTCGTGCATACATGTGCAATATATGCGTAATAGAGGCACCGGTAGACAAAAAACAAGATTATATAATGGCCGTGATGTGGCTCTACAAGTAAAAAATACTTGGGAGGGCAAAAAGGAACAAAATATGTAATGATCATGGTAGCGATCTTCATAGTAGTCCAGCTGCTGCTGGTAGCGTGTTGCGTGCAAGCGGACCTGCCTATACACGTTTTGGTCCATGATATTGCTGGAAAATGGTATGATTGAATATGTTAATAATTCATTGTGTAAAGGCGTATATTTCAAACCAAACCTGTTGGCGGGCTGGACGTGATGTGCGGTTCTAGCATGCCTAACAGTTTGGAGAAGAACTTGCAACTTGGAAACTACTTGAACTACCTTCAAGATCATTACAGTAGGTTTATCATCTATATAAATTTAAGTGATGTGTAGCATTGGATCGTACCATCGATTTCGAATTATCACTGGATGTCACAAATTACGATGATACGACACATAAAAGGAATAGGGAGTTGTGGAATGCTCTCGCGGTCAAGGATCGTGATGGCAATGTCGTTGGTAGATGGACGATCGTAAATGATCAGGGTAAGTATTATATAATACCTGTATTTATTATCTGTATAGGTTTCGAGGTGATTGTACATAATTCAACACGTTATTTCTTTTACATGCACTACTCCAAAAAAGGGGACAATGTGTACGAGACCGACCCTAATCATGCTGAGATTGGTTGGGCGTACACTTCCGGAGAGGATTTGAATTCTGAATCTCGAAGGATGTGTGCCTATGCAGCCAAATTGGATGCATCTCCACCATCTAAAGCAACGCTTGTGAGCCTTAATACCAATGTTAAGGATATGTTCAAGCTGGTAGACCGATCTATTAGTCGTGGTGACTCTTCGCATGGAGCGATAAAATCCGAACATGTATCTCCTAAGCAAGGTGCATATCCATGTAATTGCACCTCTGTCAATCGAAGGAATTTTGAAAATGAATTACCCACATCATTCGTATGGAAAACAAGGGCCACTATCCCCGTAGTGAATCAAGAGAGTTGTGGTAGTTGTCATGCTATCGCATCTCGATATGTGCTGCAAGCAAGATTTCTGATTGCATTAGAACGAATGAAAAATCGTACACCTGAGCTCGATGCTGTTCTTGAAGAACTGTCACATTATACGTTTGAGCCTAACGATGTGAAGGACTGTAGTATATACAATCAAGGTTGCAGTGGTGGTTACCCTTATTTGATGGGTAAGCATATGCGTGAATTTGGTTTGGTGACTACGAAGGACTCTAGCAATCAATGTTCCATATTGAGTGCTTCGCGTCGTTATTTTGCTAAGGAGTATGGTTATGTTGGTGGTTGTCACCAATGTACCGCTTGTCGTGGTGAGGAGTTGATAATGCGTGAGTTGTACGCTAACGGCCCCGTGGTATCAGCTTTAGATGCTACTATCCTTCCAACTGAGTATGACGGTCACATAATACGTGCGAATGAATCTGAAGCTAATTCTGGTGTCTGTGACATTCCGCAACACCCGATACTCACTGGTTGGGAATACACTTCGCACGCTGTTGCAATAGTTGGATGGGACGAAACTCGTGTGGACGGGCGTGTTGTAAAGTATTGGATTTGCCGCAATAGTTGGGGTGAAAATTGGGGAGATTACGGATACTTTAAGATAGAGCGCGGAAATAACGCGTATGGAATTGAGAGTGAAGCTGTATTTATAGACCCCGACTTTTCTAAGTTCGCACAGGAGCCGGCCTCGCCTGTCCTGCACGACATCCACTACCATTAACTTTTTTTCTAATGTCAGTGCGAAAATGCAACATACTAAATTGATAGACAGTCATAGTGCATATGCAGAGTCTCTGCAAAACTTGTTAGCATTAGAACATCACGAAATGGCAATGAGAAACAAGGACAGGTCTGACCGTTTGGCTCCTCGTGTTCTCTTGCCGAGTAGTGTTATAAAGTCTACAATCCTAAAGGGTAAATAAAATCCTGTACAGGTGTAACGTGAAGCTATATATGTAACGCTTACCTTCAGGTGTTCCCAATAGCTATAATTGGTAGCAGCAGGTTCATAAAGGTATGCCGGAAGGAATAGCTCCGAGCTCGCTGCTAGTCCTAGGAATACTATAAACCATTGCACACCTATTGCTGCGACTGCAAGATGTTATAGGCTTGGACCATTGACGTACCGAAGATCGCGCGAATATTGGCATTATTACATTCGTGTAATAATAGTAGGTCGAGGCATATAACCGACAATTGGCATATATTAAATAGCTGCAATAATTTAACGAGGCATGGACATACTTTTAAGAAGACGCAAGTATAACTTGCAAAAAGTGATCGACCTTGTAATATATGTTCGCGACCACTAAATGTCCATAGGCACGCGAAACAAGCTAATAATGCCAAACACTATTAACCATGATACGTTAATATGTTAAAACTTACTTCAAAGAACCATAATAGACATAGTAGTTGGACGTTTGTATGTGCAGCGCAGACTATCTTATCCTGAATGCGCATAGCATAATAATCCCATCCATGGTAGACTAGTGTAGACGATAATCCCAATAATAGCCCGCATACAGCGTAATATGATATGTGGCTGTAAAATACTATGAAAGGGGAATATCAACATCAAGTAGTTACCTCAATGGCCGCATCCTTGTTAGATCTGCGACAGCATCTGTTATCTGTCTGTTATTAGTGATATATTACTATGTAGAATTGAAATACTTCTTAAGAGACGAATGTGTTTAGCGGGGCATTTGAAAGGTGCGCGACACACATGTTGACCCTGAGACATAGTGCACAAATATAACTATTTAAGGTTATACAGTCACCATCATGGCACATTATATAGACTGTCAAGATGCTAGGATACAAAATTACCACTCTGTGTGTCACATATGCTAAACGAAGACCATATCAACGAACATAGAGGACGTACTAAGGAGCTATGCTACTCTGCCTTGGGGCACCTGAGGTGTTCCAGTTACAGACAACAGTACAAAATGGGTCAACAACACCTGTGAATGACTATGGTGATACAAGAGGGTACAGTCATGAGCAATCGATATCATCGCAGATACCGGATAACAAAGTAATCGCATTATGTACAAGTTTGTGTGGTCAGTACATATTTGTGCTGACGCCCACTGTGCTGCATCTCTACAGTAACATCGGCCCTAATATACTTCTGGGACAGTATACGCGAAACCATGATACAAGAAATAAAAATGAACGATTTAGAGGGATAGTACTTATACCAGGATGGAGATGTATATGTATACTATTAGAGAAATATGAAAAAATCATAGTATGTACATACGATTATTCTCATATAGGTGTTGATGTGGAATATTTCATGCATAATAGCCAATCAAGTTATACCACTCCACAAAATGGGAAAAGTCAAACTCAAAGCATACCATCACTCAATCAAACACCAAGAAATGGGATACAGAAAACCATTTCAGACACAGCTACTTACAAATCGGGGACCATCCATGATACCCAAAATGTTAAGTACTTGAGGACACATTATGAGGGGTTAATACGACCTATACAACTCAAGACGCTATGCATCATATCGTTACCTGCGCCCATACACAATGTCACATTTGCAGGTGGACAGATGTACTTCTGGACTGCAGAACTACCAGGGGTCTATGTTACACTATGCCCAGGGGGGTTCACAAACCACATACTAGACAGGACACATGATGAACTACACATGGAGATCAACCTCAACCTGTATGGCACAAATCTAATCAAAAATATGACAGTTAGTGGTAGCGTATCACCATCCCTGGGGTTATGCTATCTGACATTCAACGATACACTTTATACCAAAGTGACCGAGACAACGCACGGTCAAAGTGAGATATACGTACTCGATACAATACACGAAACGGGTGTAAATAGTCTGGTACGATGGGTTGAAAGATCGTGTACTACACAGGATTCAGAGACGGAGTCTCAGGAACTTAATGAATTTGAAAATACAAGGATCAGCGCAGATTCACTGCTCAGCTGTATAGAAAACTCGGTAGAATCGGATAAATGTGCACTAGAAGAGGTTATTGGTAACCTTAAGGTGAAACAGGTGATCATGGTCGAAGAGATCAACTGCTGCCTTATCGCAACAGCAACCGGTGCACTTCTCTGGTTATATATCAAACGAAGCAACACAGAGCATATCGGGAAACTCGTATATAACGAAGGAGTGTTGCACGTCGCGATTACACGCGCTACATTAGTGGCGTTTGTTACCCAGGATATTGTCGTATCGTCATTCCATCAAGGGGATTTTGTACCACTATGGTCATACAAAGTCGATAATATCAGGAGCATCGCCGTACATAACAATATTATAGCAGCAATTTATAATCACGACGGGTTCATCTGTTTCAACCTGCTTGGTAAGGTACTCTTGCATCGCCGTTGTAAGGTAGAAAGCAAAGACGCGATATCATCATGTTTCGCCATCCGAGGGCTGGCATTGATAGTTGCCCAGGGGACCACGTTCCTGAAATACAAACTGTACAGCACAGCAAATAACGAGATACATTACTCCAATCCACTAAACAATACTATCGCATTTGTAGGTGATGAGGAAATCTTACTGTTCAATATGCGTATGGTAGAAGGGATGTTCGGGGTACCAAATAAGGGGTTCACAGAAGATAGGAACAGACATGCCTATGACAACAATGACCTTATAGGTGACCTCGATTGTACCCTGGATACAGTACCACTGAAATATCTAGAACCACAATGTGGTAGATGGCCAGTAGTACACGCCATAGCAAGCCCGAATGGGTACCATATTCTCTGTGCTACCCCTGCTAAATTTGCGATATATAACGGAGAATGGAGCTGGTTTGGTGAGGAGCTGGGGAAACCAATTGCTTTAGGGTGGTTAAATGATGATATATGCTTCATAATTGTAGTATTGCCTATACAATCGGTACTTGCAAGCGGGTCATACGAACATGACAGTGACACTGAAGTAGATTATGTCGACTTAGGAGGATGGGAAGCATCATCATGTTATTTTTTCCATGTTGGCGATCTCGATAGGCAATTAGAGATCCTCCCTATAAAAAACAAGCCGCTTTGCTGCACCGTACATGATGAGACACTATACATATTTGACGATGCCAAAAGTATCGCAGGGTACCGATTGGAACATATTGACGGATCGTGGAAATTTGACCGAGTGATGTATATCGATGTTAACCATCTGAATTCTAACTCGATGCAAGAAATACATTACCTAGATGATGGGATATTTGTTCTAATGGACCATATGGGTGGATTATATCGAGTTGAGCAGTCTGTATCGACAAAAGTAGTGGACGATTGCAGTTTTATCACATCAGCGGTATATAAATGTCGTGAAACAGACAACGTAATGCTACTGTGTAGCATTAGGTTCCACGATAAACTCATCATGGTGACAGCCAGACAGCAAGTACAGATACAGGCTTACATAGCATCATCAGCTCTTGTAGATCAGGGTATAGTGTCATACCTGATAAATGTCGTGGATGCAGATGACAAGGTTCAAAAGATACGCGTAGCTAAAATGCCGCTACCTATTGACGATGTCACAGCAACGATGTTCACACCATTTCAAGTCGACGTCCTGGACAACATACTCCTGAATGCGTCTGAAGGTGGAGAGGATGCGAAGCTAGAATTCATGAACTACTATGCAACGCTGCCTAACGATATACAGTGGAGACTGATAGCCCGTCAGTCACGGAGACATTATATTAAAGAGGATATACAGAGACTAGAGAGTACATTTGAGTGTAAAATTGGAAATGTGTTTAGCGATATGGTTCGTTCTAAACGAGAAGTAGAAGCTAGTTTCATGCTTCTGGGACTACAGTCCGTAACAGACCCAACCGAAGTACGAAATAGGTACAACATGGAGCTCCTCCATGCGGTTGCTAAAAGTATCGCAATTGAAAGGACTCGAGATGATTATATACACCTATTTGATGCCCTGAGGAGGTTCCATCATATCGTGGAGGATGCAAACAGCATAGATATAAGGCAACTGGTTATAACTCTGCTTGGCGAGTCTAACTTAATGGCCGTGTATAAGCTATGCCAGGTACTGTGTGTCGAACCTTTGTCGCTCATCGAGTCCATACGATCGGAACTACAATCTATGTATATTTGGGGTATATGCGGTCCTCATTCGTGCCGGTTCCATAAGCATGAACAGGATAGTGATACAATGCGACGCGTTGACGTGGCACAAATGATCGTTGCTTTGAAACTACAACTCGCACTGATTAGTGAAACTGAAAGTAACGAGTTGAACAAACCCTGTATCGAGATAAGTGGGTCCAAACGACCCCTTGTACAGAAGATTGTACCATATGGAGGAACCACAATGTGCAGTTATTTCTACGATACATTTATAGCACATAAATTGTTTGTTCCAGCGGCGGCTATAGCCATCGCCTGCAGCAACTTCGTAGCATTATCGCAAGTTATCCTTATGGACAATGATACTGGACGAGTTGTGAAACATATACTGACAAAGGACTCCAAGTGCAAGGATTGTGAATACAAATACTATCTCATCAAGCACTGCCTAATCGAGACGAAAAGTATATTCATGTCCTAAGAACCCTGCTGGCCATATTTTTCAGTCCACTCCACATATGATGCGAGGTCCTCAGTCGCAACCGAGGGCTTCGATCGAGAGAGTATAGAGATGAAATCCATCTATAAACTGTTAAATAACATGTATTTTACTTACCCGTGTAACAGCTGGCAAAACTAATTTATTTGGTTCTATAGACATTACCCCGCACTTGCGCTTGCTTTTATCTGGGTCATCTAGAGACCAGATGTAGAGTTAAGGGTTTATGCCAACTTACCCGAAGCACATGGGGTATAATACGTCTCAGAGGCACGTACAACCTTCTTAAAATGGGTTGCATCCTTGCACTTACGGAGCGGCTGCATACGTGCATCTCGGACAACAATGTTAAGATCAGAGCCGCTATACCTAAAGAAATTATACAAACTAATATATGTATTTTCACATACCCCTCAGTCTGTTTTGCAAGGTCATCAAGGTCGGAAGCTACTAGCTCGTGGTCACAACCAACCAATGATAGCTCTAGAAGCTTTCTCCTAGCGCTAAAGTCCGGAAGTGGGATGTAGATACGTCTATCAAATCTGCATAGGATCTATAATTTGGAACGAACCATATTCTTACCTTCGTATAATAGCTGAATCTAAGGACCAAGGCAGATTTGTAGCGGCAAGGACTAAAACACCATCACCAGCATCTGATATGCCTTGCATTTGTACCAAAAACTCCGTCTTAACACGACGACCCGATTCATTATCACCATCGTTACGAGAACTACATAACGAATCGATTTCATCTATAAAAATTACACATGGTGCACGATCACGTGCAAGCTGGAAAAGGCATTTAACAAATTTCTCACTTTCACCCTGCCATTTACTCATAACATCAGATGAAGATATAGATAGGAATGTGGCAGCAACCTCAGTGGCGCATGCTTGTGCTAAAAATGTCTTGCCAGTACCAGGTGGGCCATATAACAAAATGCCACGCCAGGGTTTCAGTGTACCAGTGAATAGATTGGGAAAGCGTAATGGTAACACCACAGCCTCTTGTAACGACTCTTTGGCCGCATCGAGACCTGCTATATCGGACCACTTCACATTAGGGCGCTTCAACTCCAATAAAGCTTCAAGCTGCTCTGCAGCAGTGGAACCACCAGATGTTACTGTACCAATAACTGGATTACGAGTAGGACAACGTATATTCTCATGAGCTAATTTTTGCTTCAATTCTTCTGCACGATCTAGATATTCACGCATCTTTGCAAAGAACCGCTCCTGTAATACAGGATTTTGTTGATATTTACATACAATAGCCCATTGGTCTAAAGCAGTTATATATGATTCAAATGCCTCACGATAACGACCAGCACGATCATGATCAATAGCTTCTTGTGACAGCGCGACAGCGCGTTGCTGTCGTTCGTCGTCGTGCATCTCGTTCTTTATGGACCTGTGGGACCCTGAGCCATTAACCGTCGCTCAACGTTCCGAGCACGTTTCCTCTGACGTTGTCTAAGTGACTGCTCACTCCATATGAACTTAATTTCGGCCTTGGTACAACGACTTTTCAAGATATTCAAAAATACACCACCAGGAGAACGATGCTCACCGTCAGGACGCCTCTGACCACCACCTTCTAATACTAACTAGGATAAATATATAATTGAAATAAATAAACTAACCAAAGTTTCGTCCAATACCGCTTCACAGAAATCAATACCCTTTCGATGTACCACGCGCTCAATCAATTTAATATTAGACTCGTTAAGGATAATACAAATTCTACATATAAGGTCAATTTCATCATTTTGAAGTAAACTGGTCAGTTCTAAAGATTTAAGGGCACGAATACGAAATTGCTCAATACGGTCGCTTATAGTAGACATCACGAAACTGATATAGGCAACACACCACAAGAAGTTTAACAGTCATCATATCAACACTATACAATTACCAAAATGTCACTTACGTTACACACATCGCACGGAAATTTAAAAATCGAACTATTTTGTGAAGAAACACCAAAAACTTGCAGGGTTTGATAGTAGCGATGTTAACTCACGATACGCAGAACTTCCTAGCACTCTGTGGCTCAGGATACTATGATGGACTCACATTCCATAGGTAAATATAATACAAATCACCCATATAATAACCGTATGTAGAAATATCAAGGGATTCCTGGTACAAGGCGGAGATCCCACAGGAACGGGGAAAGGTGGAGAGAGCATATACGGAGGACTCTTTGAAAATGAAATAGTTAACCGCCTGAAGGTAAACAGGATCGCTAGACATCGAATGATACGCAGCATGATAGAAGAGGTGTAGTATCCATGGCCAATCTCAGCAAACCGGATACCAACGGATCACAATTTTTCATCACTTACGGCAAGCTTCCACAACTTAATGGGAAGTACACTGTATTCGGAAGGTTAGTTAAGAGGATTCTAATTAAAAGTATAATTATAGTATAGATTAATAGATGGGTTTGATACGCTAGACAGGATGGAAAGAGGTAAGACCAACAATGTATATCGATATAATTGAAAACAGAACCCGTTGAAAGCATGCACAGGCCGCGAAGACCCATCATCATTTATCATACCACGATACATGCTAACCCAGTCGCGGAGAAAGACTATGCTGAGATATATGCAAGATGCAAAAACTAGTGCAACATGATACCCATCGCATAATGTAGGTCCAGAACAGAAAAATGTGAGTACATGACACCGTAACGGTGAAAATAAAAAAAACTGCATTACACATGCTATTGCATAGTATAGGAGTTTTTGATAGAGGTGCTAAGACGTCCTATGGGTGTAGATGTAAAGCAGATATGCCAGGATAGGCATAAGGATCGTTAATATTGCGATCATGTAACTGCGCCGTATATTCTTTATTATAACATAGAAATCGGCGCCACTAGACACAAGCTTGTCACCAAGAAATACAACATCAGTGACCGGAAGTTGATGACGCTGCTCGTACATTAGACACTGCAAAGAACAGGGATTGTAGACACCAACCGCGCCTGTACCAAAGCCTAAAGCGAAATACGTTGCATCCAAACTCAAACACATCGCACTACAAGGATCAGGACCAACGGATACACTCTTCACCAGTATTGCGGTCTGAGATTCAGCAGTGTAACGCCACATACACACCATGGATGCTGTAGGACGACGTGGCTGCCATTCAATAGTCAATATTTGGTAAAAACCATTGTAACAGTTCTTATTAACGAAACGTACAAACTTAAATGATAAAGGACTCTTTTGCTTTAGTAAAACTTTTGGTGGAGACACCTGACACACCACCATCTTATCACGAGATACAGAAACGGCTATGTTACCATCGGCACATATATCACAGTCCGTAACCTCGTTATCATGCTCCTTGTATTCAAACAATTTAACCGCAACATGACGGTTGCTATTGGGGGTACGATAATAACACGGACTGTCCGAATCTATATAAAAATCGGTATGTTCAGCTTCAGAATCGGATGAACGACGATTATCACCGGTAACACCGTCCACGGGTACCTCAGAACCACCGTCAGCTACATCGGGGCGAGACCCCGACGTACATGGGTCACCCTCCTCAGCAATAACATCATCCAAAGCGTCCTTAACAGCAGATAAAGGGACCGAAGGATGTAATTCAACAGAGGTGGTCCTATCTAAAGAAGGTAGATCGTTATCAGATGGTGTACCTGGTGCGACATTAGTCTCACTACTAGGAGAATCGTCACTCATTGATGGTGCGCTACTCAAACATGTCGTCACTCCATCTTCAGCGACACGGCTCTGTAATGTAGTAATTGAGGAATCTGATTCGGCATGAGTGAGGTCATATCCAGGGGTATAGTCGTCCGTATGCGCCACCGGAGTACAAGTACCGTCAGTCTTACTAACCTTCACAACATCCATCATATCCATAAACTTATTGGATAAACGCCATAAACAAACTGTGCCGTCGGTATTACCCGTGATAAAGATATCCTTGCCCTTGCAAAAACGAGCAACGGATTGCTGAGGATCGCTCTTAGCACGAGCCATCAACACACGGCCGTAGACATGTACACCCTTGTCTGGACAGCAGGAAAAAAATACAGTGCCATTACTCAAGGAACCCATCCACAAATCATGCTGCAACGTAGTGATAAAGGGGAACTGAATGACGCAAACTTACCAATTGGATATACTCCATAAAGTCCATCACACCGATCTGGTCAACACTGCTCGCCTTGTGAAGAATATCCAATCTACCGCCCACATCAGAAATACTGTGGAACTCCTAAAACCATATATATAGATAGAGAGATAATAATACAACGTACCAAACGGTCACTTATGCCGAATTCTTCACCGCCGCCACCACCAGATGTTACCAGATATGTACCATCCGTTGCAAGCTGTACAATATAACGAAAAGTAAAATGTAACATACCGCATAAACAGGATACTCCAGTAACTTGACAGTCCCCATTGCTGAATTAACAAAGGATGCGAAATCGACAGTATCACGATTCAATACAAGAAACACACGGGTAACACAAAACAGGTAACTAGTAGTCAGATACTACACATACCAATGAGTATAGTCAGTGTCAATTTTTTATTGGAAATAACTGGATTCTAATATGGAAATTATAACGGATGCTGGGTTGAACCAGAGAACGCTACACAACACACCAAAAGCCCAAGAACACACTGCGACACAAGATAGAAAAATTCTGCAACTATATATACGTTAGGCGAAATATAGCCATAAAATAACATTAATAAATTATAGGATCTAGGAAATGTGTAAGGTCAACCAATGGAGAATACATTGTAGCCAAAGAGTCCAGTGAACCATAACAAGACAATGGAAGACATATGCAATTGTAATATGTCATTATAACGACAGAAATAGTGGTTAAACACATTTAAAATAATGTGAATAACCGTTGTAACTAAAAAAACCGATCATGGATACAACTAAACGCTACCAAAGTGAGCGTTCATGGACAAAAGATTCCAGATTAATTCTAGCGATCATCGCTGTTTACGGATTCCTTATCAGAATATTCTCAGCAGTGAAACATGAAATCATATTACATGAATATGATCCATATTTCAACTATAAATGTGCCCAACTCATGGTCAAACATGGATTACGCAAATTCTTTAAATACTATGATCAAGGAAGCTGGTATCCAATGGGCAGGAATGTGGGACAAACAATGTATTCGGGGATCATTGTTCTAACATATAGTATATACACTCTACTACACTATATGGGTATAAAAGCAGAACTCAAGACAATATGCGTATTCATACCACCAACTGCAAGCATGCTCACAGTATGTGCAATATACATACTCACAAAAGAAACGTCCAAAAATGAAACAGCAGCTCTCGCAAGCGCATTCTTCATTACAACCATGCCGGCATTGCTGGCAAGAACGGTATCAGGTAGACACAATTATATATCATAACATGATGTTTACAGGCTCGTTCGATTACGAATCCATTGCTATCATGCTAGTAATAATGTCGTGGCATGCATGGCTACGCGCAGTAAGAAAACCAACAGTACTAAGGTCACTAGCAGCAGCGGGCACCACGTTCCTTCTGGCCGTATCTTGGGGAGGATATATATTCCTAGTCAACGCTATATCGGCATTCACCCTGGCGGCAATAGTACTCAGGGTGGAGGCAGTAAGGGCAGCCTGTGTATATCTGGTGTACTACGTAAGCACCCTCACACTATGCTTCTACGTACCCATAATATCACACGCTATCGTAAAATCCACAGAAATGAAAATACCGCATATAACATTCGCAACAGCAATGCTAAGGTTAACGGCAGAACATGCTGCAAGGATAAGGACGAGAAAATACAAACGAGATATCAAAAAAAAAGAAGAGGAACCGAATTCGGAAAATAAAAATGATAAGAAACAAAATAAAAGAAATGATATCAAAATGGTTATAATATATATCACACGTATGATACAGGATTTTATCATGATTATGGCACCCTTTGTTGTACTAATATGGTTCCTAGCACTTGGCAAACTTACAAGGACAAGGTCAACAGTTGCAGGAAGGGTAACATTGTTATTCAAACCATTCAATACAGTAGACAACCAACCACTAGTAGCATCCATAGCCGAACATCAACCTACAAAATGGATCAATCTAGTAACAGATTTCTGGTTCACACTTATATTCAACCCAATTGGGTTCTATGTATGCTTTAGGCAAGGAATGGAAATAGGATATGCCGCACTAGCGGCATACGCAGCTTCATCCGCATATTTCGCTTCAGCAATGATCAGATTAGGGGTACTATTCGCGCCGGCAGCCGCAATACTAAGCGGACTAGGAGTAGCATATGTACTAGAGTGCTGCGCACGTGCAAAAAAGGTAACCATGTGGTAATTAACACATTAACTGGAATTGCAGAAAGGTATAGCATGTATAATCACAGTAGGAGTAACTGCAATGCTCATGATCGGACAAGTCGCACATAGTACATGGGTAGCATCCACAATATACTCAAGACCTATTGTAATATCAGCACACCACACACCGAAATATGGTAGAATTGTAGCTGATGATTTTAGAGATGGATACACGTGGATGAAGTATAACACGCCGGAAAATTCCGTAATCATGGCATGGTGGGACTATGGATACCATATCCGACAGTTGGCAGATCGAACCGTACTCACAGACAATAATACATCAAATAAGGAACAAATCGCTATTACTGCAATGGTAAGAGTAGAAACACTGGAACTAAACTCTCGCAGATATTCGCTTCAGAAGAAAAAAATGCTCATAAAATGCTAAAAACGATTAAAGTTAATTATGTCATGGTGGTATATGGCGGAGTCGCCAAATACGAAATGGACGATCTGAAGAAGTTCGTATGGATGACCAAGATAGCTGCAACAGTGTTTCCACAAGTAAATGGAGCAAGGTACACAGGGAAAAGAGGACGGTCACTCTGCGAGGGAACCTTGTTGTACAAGCTGTGCCATCACGGGCTGGAAAACCTGGAAATCGGGGAGAGGAAGGTGTATACGGGCACTCCTGTACGGTTGACCCACTTCACAGAAGTATTCACGTCACAAAACTATGTAGTTAGAATATATCGAGTCAACGATCATGGCGATGAAGGAAGCAGCTGTTGAGGTGGTCATATAGCACGTATCGCCACCTTCGGGGCCCGTCACGCTTATAATCGCACGCTTAACTCACAGAGCAACATGTGTACATTAAAACTAGCGGGAAAACCTTCAGACTATTCCCCATAGCTGGGGTTAAGCAACTCGCGAGCAAAGCTCAGAGAGAGACAGGGCCATCCCCTAAGGTAGACACCGTAGACATATGTCATGGTGTAAAGTTGCTACGCTAGAAAAGAGACTTGAAAATACATACAAGACTCGAATCTATCGGATAACGCACGTGACTGCTTATAGAGGTAACAGAAGTCAGGGAAGGAACCTTGGCATGTAACAGAAATAGATCAAGGAAAGAGAATAATATAGTCTCAATAAAAACGGTTAATACTGATACGAAAATATATCGTAACATCCAATAATAGAAGATCGTAAACATTACGACCCATACATCCGCACAGAGCGTATATTTACTCTTGAAAACAACCTTCTACACGTGAAGTTGTCCAAATTGGAAAAAGGATTGAAAATTCAAGCAAAAGTGTGTCGAGAAAAAAACAATAATATTGGAAAAGTGTTCGGGAACACACAACACAAACATACCGCGACAAATTAAACGTCATATCACAAAATCCAGACCATAAACTAACCTAAAAACATTGGTGAATGAAATAAAAGACATTTAAAAATATTAAAAATCAGGAAAATAACCTAGAGGATATTAATATCAAAGAAATAGAGCAATAATGGCAGAGGAAGTAGAAACTACAAAAGTAACCCTTTGCTACCACTGCAAAGTCAGAGACACACAAAGAACATGCTTCGCTGGAGAAGTTATCCAATACGACGATGTGAAGGCCAAAGATACTGCCGTGGAATACTGGCAAATGATCAGCGAACAGGTCATCAAGGAAAAGAATAGAGCTCAAGCATTGGCGACATTGTTCTCCTCAAAGGTACTGGAAATATTCAAGTTCCTAGGAAAAACACTAGCAGACATGCCTATAGATCTAGAACATAACAAAGATGTACAATTTGATAAATTCGCTATGCCGGAAACTATCAGAATGTGTGAAAACTGCAAATGCTTCTTCTCCAGGGAACCCGTATGCCACTGCACAAAATGTATGGGAGAAGATTACAAGAGCCATTATGCTATACTCATGCACGGAGTACTGGCAGAACCTTTGTGTATGGCATATGTTGCGCAAGCACTACTGGAAGTATATCCACAACTGTTCATATACTTCCCACAAAAAATTGCAGGAAAAAGCCTAGTCGGACTTGAACTTGTTGTGCATATGTTCGCTTCGGAAATGCTAGAACTTTTCTCCAAAATACCAAAAAAATTCAAACTCAGTATCATTGGGCATTCCTTCGGAGGGGTCATACTCAGACACTGGCTATTCTTCTACTATAGAAAAACACCCGGAATATATTATGAAACAGGAAACACAACAGAAAAAGGTGATGGTGAAGAAAAAACAAACACAACTGAAACACATGTAGACAACGGAAAAAACAGAGAACCACCAGAAATCACATGGTGTAACTTTGTCAGCATTGCGTCACCACACGCTGGTATTTATGAAAATAATACTGCATTCAGAAAAATTGTAGGATTAGTAGGATCAAAATCAATCGATGAATTGGATAATGAGTCAGTAGATCTGTTGTTACTCACCAGCAAACAGTCAATGGATGCAATGAAACAATTCAAAAACGTTATTGTATACGGAAACCTATCAGGAGACTTCTTAGTCGCACCAAGAACCTCAGTACTCATGCCAAGACACAGAATCAACTCAAAGATGGTTAAAAACTTCACGAAATTGGCTGAACAGGAACCTGGAATACCACACTCTATATGGGATATGATATCAAAATGTGATGAAACAGGAAACTTAGATGAAGAAAGTTCAAGTGGTGATGAAACAAAGACCGCCGCTAGCACAAAGGAAGAAATCATGGCAAAATTAACAGCAGATTTCTACGCCACCGTAGCAGGTGTTATAAGAAAAACAGAACATGTCAACAGACTAATGCGCAATGTCGACCAACCAATCGAAGATGGAACTGACGAGGAAGTATGCAAACAAGTATTCGCAGAAGAAGAATTGGAATTTTTCAGCATCCTTATCACACAACTCGAAAGCAAAGCTTCGAAAAAACTTATGGCAAGACTTTACAACAACCCAAAACTATTGTACCATGAAATCATGCTTACAGCATTATGGGATATGGCACCAAACAAGTTTGCAGTATACCTGCCAACGCTAAGCCTACCGCACAGAAGCATACTCACACCCTTGGAAGCAAGCCTATTGCACAAGTGTAACAACCAGGTACTGAAACATATAGCAAGTCTATTCGTCATTTAAAATGATATAAAAAACTAAATGAATATTTCTATCAGTAGATTTCACTCTAGTTTGTACGACACGTTGCCCAAAGATACGGCAAATGGCCATTGACGTTATTGCGTCGGGGGGTAGAACCCATAATAATTAACGAGATCCAGAAAATTGAGATAGCAGACGAGTTGTTGAGTATGAAATCTGACCGTCCTTCTCAGCAGATGACCAATCGGAGTGCTTAGACTTGAACAAATTGCGAATGTCACTAGCCAACACTTTACCCAGCTCCACACCCATCTGGTCAAAGGAATTTATACCCCAGAGAAAACCTTGAATAGATACACGGTGCTCATAAAGAGCTACCAAAGCACCGACCGTGTATGGGCTGACCTCAGGGAAAAGTAAAACCATCGAGGGACGGTTACCAGGACAGACCTTGTGAGGCACCAAGTTAGCAGAACAACCTGAAGCCTGAAGATGAGAAGCAGTACGACCGTAAGCCAAAGCATCAGGTTGAGCAAAAAAGTTTGCCATCAACTCTTCATGGAAAGTAACACCACTCTCAGGTCCATCACGGTTGTTACTACGAATGTAACCAATAAACTCAGATGGGACAACACGACCCTGATGCAATAATTGGTAAAAACTGTGCTGACCATTAGTACCACTCTCGCCAAAGTATATCTCACCAGCGCCGTACGGAAGACGATCACCGTTCATACGCACAGACTTGCCGTTGCTCTCCATGCAAAGCTGCTGGACATATCGAGGAAACAAACTCAAATCCTCGCTGTAAGGAAGAAGAGCCACTGAGTTCAAACCCAAAACCGTAGCGTTGTAAAAACTGCACAAACCCATCAACACAGGCATGTTGTCCTCAAGTCGCGTAGTCCGGAAATGCTCGTCCATCATATGGGCGCCAGACAAAAATTGCTCAGCCACATCAAAACCAAAATGGATAGCCAAAGGAAGCATACCAACCGCAGATGAGACACTAAAACGACCGCCCTAAAAAAATATTGCCAAAGCAAAATAAAAACATACCACCCAATCCCAAAAACCAAACACGTGCGAGTCATCGATGCCAAACTCCTTAGTAAGCTTCAAGTTGGTACTGACAGCACACATGTGCTTGCCTAATAAACGTCAAAAATGAAAACAATACGACTTACCGAACTTAGATGGGTCACTAATGTTGGCCTTTAGCCATTCACGGGTCACCAAGGCGTTCTTCATGGTCTCAGCAGTGGTAAACGTCTTGGAAATCACAATCACCTGAGTAATCATGAACATAAGGTATCGATATGTGGCAAAACAAGAAAAGGAAGATATAAGGACAGTTCTAAGAAAACAACAAACATGATTGCCATGGTATGGCAATGTCGATCGCTTTGTGCCAATAGCGCAAAAGGCGGTATCGGAAAACGCTACAATCGTCATTATACCTGTGGAAAAAAACGACAAGTGCAATGCACAGTCGTGGAACACACAGGAAATATACATATAATATTCATTAAACGTACCAAAGTGCGGTTGGCATCTAAGTCTTCTGTAGCAATACGAAACCCAGCAGGGTCAACATTAGCCAAAAAACGCATCTTACGACCACTGCACGCCTTACGAGCCGACTCAGAACCCATAAAGGCCTGGACAGCAAAGGCCGTACCCAGGTAAGAACCACCAATACCAATACATAGGACAGAGTCAAATGGACGACCGTCAGACGCTACAGAAGATCCATTGCGAACACTATCCGCAAAAACACGAATACGATCAAGTGTATCATGAACATCATCAACCACGTTAGTACCGTTAACAATCAAAGCATGATCACGAGGAGCACGTAAAGCGGTGTGCAAAACAGAACGGCCCTCAGTACCGTTCAAAATGTCACCATTAAACAGCATGCCAATCTTCTTTTCAATACCAGCCTCACGTGCCAACGATAGTAAAGAATCCAATGTCGCAGAATCTAACAATTGTCTAGACAAGTCAAGAGTTACACCTATCAAACAATATGGAACCAGACATTAATACACACCTTGGTAGTTCTTTATCAGACGGTCGCAACGAGCACGGTCACGTAAAAGAGCAGACAAGTTAACATTTTCAACCGTACGACCTGAAGAGATAAGAGACTTAAATGACACAGATTCTTCAAGCTTGAAAGACGACATCTTATCAATTTTTGCAGATTTAAGGGTTAACAAAATAAAAGAGACAGAAGGAGAGTCAATTATAAGCTTAAAGTAAAGCAATGAAAGACACAGAAGGTATCAGTGGAAGCAATGCCACCCCATGGAAGTGGGCAACAAAAGCTCTAATCCACACATCTATAAGATCAGTATATCATTGTTGGAAATGATAACCTATTGTTATATAGAAGCAAGTGACCATGTGCCAATATACCCCCGAAATGTAAAAGTGCTGCACATACCGTAGCAGAAAATTATAAAAATTCTTCCACACCGGGGATATCTGCACATATTTATTGAAAAAACTACTCAATTTACCAGAAACATCAGCGAAACTGCCCTTGGTAGCCTTCTCAATAAGTAATGATACCTTGCGCCGCTTCTGACGGTCTGAAAAACAAAATGCACAGAAAAAAGTAGACACATACCAGATACAGATAAAGAGTCAGATGCAGCCACTTTCTTCTTAGAAGGACGTCCAACCGTAGAATCCAACACGCTAGTGTCATCTGTAGACGAAACAGGCTTCTTAGAAATTGTCCTGTGATCCCGTGCAGTTGACGATACAGACCCCTTCTTAATAGACTTGGGTTTGCCACTCTCGCGGGATACAGATGGTGGATCACTAGGTATCTCCACTATTGAAGAGCTGGTGCCCTTTACGCCAGAAACACGCCTTTTAGACACAGATCTCGCTAATTGACGTTCATGCTTATGAAGAGGCTTCGTTGCCGGAACCTTAGTGGCAACGTCTAAGGATACCGCATTACGCTTCGTAGATGGAACCATCTTTGCCTTGGAAACAGGTGCTTTGACCTGACCTTTACGATTAATAGGTTCTTTAGATGGATCCAATTTAGTTGCAACGGACACGTGATCACGTTCATCGACCGAAGAGGAATCTGACGATTCAGAATCACTCTCACTTAGAGATGAAGAAGCATCAGATAACGATCCAGATTCAGAATCAGAAATAGAATCATAATCTGAATCAGTGAGGCTTTTTGCATCAGAGTCAGAAGAGGAAACTCCCGCACTGCCACCGACACTTGAAGACGAGTCACTCATGTAATCAATGTCCTCTAATTCACCTTCATCAGCACTTTCATAAACAGCGTCCGACTCTTCAGATATGTGCTTCTTAGGCGGGACGATATCGATGGATGAACGGTACTCGTAAAATTGCTTGAAAACAGACTGATGTGGTAAAGCCTTACGACCATCAGTCCAATACGATCGTTGCGTGTACTCAAAGTCACCGTCATGCAACTGACATGATACAGCACCCAACTCCTCAAATATACTAGGTGCATCAAAGTCAACAACACCATCCTTCAAACCACGCAATAACAAACGGCTCTCAGCAGCAACAGTAGGATGATACGATACACGATGCAAATAACACTCCCAAAGATGACATTTGTTAGCCTATAAAGGTATAAAGAATACGATGAAGAAAACGAACCTCACTGGAACCAGCATGAAACATTACAGGTAAAGAATGGTAATTACCCACGGTTGTCAACATCGGATGGAGAGGTGGATTAGACGATATAGCACCACGGCAAATACGAGCTATCACAGTGCACACAGCACTACTGGACAAACAACTGCTGACCTAAAAAATATGAGGAAACGTGGAAAATAACCAACCTGAAGAAGACGTTTGACAAATGCGGCAATACGAACAACTTCAACATCACCCGAAATACATTTAGCAACCAATGATAATAATAGACGACGATTCTCAGCCCAAAACATACGAACATCCAAAATGCGCTCGTATAATAAGTTGTAAAAACTAGGCCTAAAATTATGTGCGAAATTTATACACAAAAACTCACTCAGATGGTTGCAGCTTACCAATCAGAGATAATAACGCTATGTTTGTCTTGAACGATATAGGATTGCGAGCAACACGCTGCAAAGCGTTCATGCAGCTTTCCAGTGATGCACGTGAAGATTCATCGTCACCGGACCCGTATGCCAAAATGTCAACCACACCTTCACGGTTACGAATCAAATGGATACAACGCTCTAAACCAGACGATATACAACGTATGATACGAGAAAACTCATCGTATTCATAGGTAGGTAACAGTTTAGAATGACGCTGACCAGTAGATGGAGAAAAAATAAAGGAAAGAACAGACATGTAGCACTTCAAAGCCTCAGCAGTTGCATTTTTATCCTTACGCGTAAAGTGTATTGTAGACAAAAAAAGAATGCCACGATAAATGCTGCGCAAAGTAGGGATAATCTCACTCGCTGAAAGCATATTAGACAACACAACATAACGAAAACATACGGAGCGAAGTAGATCTGCGTTTTTTCTTAGATGAAGGCTTCTTATCACACGAAAGGCTACTGTTAACCTTGCTTATTGATGCAAGCAAAAGAACGCCGACGCGACGCACAACTATACCCTTCATGCCACCGTGGCATTCTAAGAGTGCCGCCAATTTAGCAGAAGCCGAAGATGAGATCTTGCTGTCATACCTGAAAAGTTGGGCCAACAAAATATCCAAGAGAATACCCTCCTGTTCAGGCTTCTTTGCCAACATCTCAAAGACGTATTGAAGCATACGACGCTGAACAAACAACGCACCACCCTCCAACTGATCTTTAACCAACTGTACCAATATGAAAACAATCACAAGCAATGAAATCACCTGAATAAACGCTGCATAAGCACCCTTGAGGAAATCCTCAAAAGACAAGGCATGGAGCATCACACGGGCCTGCGGGTCAAAAGTGTCCCAGGTGGCCGCGCCACCCTTCTCCCAAGCAGTAAGATGATGGTTTAGAAATGATAGACAAGATTTATCCAATTGGTCAATGTAACGCAGCTTACGATTAGGCAACACCTCCATAAAAAAGGCGTGCATACGCTCCATAGAACACATCATCACACGTACAGTGCTGTTTTGACACATTGATAACAATGACGATATAAACTTGTAGTTAAGCGCACAAGATTCGGTAGCGAGAACGGCCATAGCATCCAAAGAGTCGCATAATGTAGCAACAGCCTTCTTGTCTGAGCCATATTGGACAACTTAGAAACACAAACATACCTGGAGGGATGAACACATCTTTAGCTGTAGTGCGCATCCAAGCCTTATCCACATCAGTAGAACACACATATTGAGAATAAGCACGTGCTAACACTGTCAACAGCTCCTTGCCCGTACGGAGTAACTTAGCAGTGGATACCTCACCAACAGACTTCTTGGAAGAAGCAACAGACACTTTCTGTCTTGCTATCTCGTGCCAGTCAGACGAATCGTACACATCGACCACCGAAAGTAAAGTGCTAGTGGACACAGGACGGCCCACAGATTTCAGCTTCTCCATTGTCTTGACAACAAGTGAATAATGGCCTAAATTTTATGCGATAACAGACACATTGGAGTGGAGGAAAATGCGATAAAATAATTATAAGGAGTCAATAACAAATGAGGCCAGTGACTGAAAACAAGTCACCTACACAAGACACCATAACGCTATAGCGCCACCTAAAACCAACGATGGGCCATCAATATACAACGACACTCAAAAGAATGGGTACTGTATATGTATAGGGGACAAAACGAAGCCTCAAAGGGTGGCCGGGTCGCCAGGAGCCTTCTGGCGATACCGAAGGCACGGGCGGGGATCATAAAATGTGTAACCTTCTACCACAAAAAAACAATACTGCCGATAGTAACCACGGTGCTATGGATAATAACGGCAAGCGCACTCATAGAATGCCGGCGAAATGTCCCTAACCAGCCATACCAAAAGGCCATAACGGATCTTATGCCAAAGTGGCACAGAGGGATGACATGTTTCGTATCAGAGCAGCATAACCAAGGATGCAATATTGGTCCTACAAAAGCATATCGAACACACAATCGTAATGAATTTTGGTCAAGGGGAGCAGTTAGCAATGATGATCAAGATGCCGACGAAGTATCCACGGCTGAAGATTCAGACCTAGAGATTGAGAAGTTTATACAAGAGTCAGGAGGATGGGATGCAGATGATAGCAAGGAAAAAGCAACGGAAACACCAATAAAAAATGATCAGCCAAACAAATTGACAGATGCAGAAGAAGATGACAATAACTATGAAAACATTGTGCCGTTTATAATAAGTAACCGTGATGAAACTGTAGATAACCTTTTATCGAAGAGGATATATGTAAAAAAACTTTTTAGAAGAATACCACAGATAAGCGATACCACGAGCATACTAGTCAGGTCAAAAGCACATGTCAAGGGAAAGGTAGGATCAAGACAAGATCTAGCAATGGGCAATTCAAATAAAATCAAAACAGTAGATACTCCAGAAGAACCGATATATGATGGAAAACCACTATACGCAGGAGTATATAACGGACTTACACCTTGCAAACATACGCAAAAAAGAATAATCAGGGAAATCAAAGTTAAAGTAGACTGGTATGCACATAGCATCACACATCAAATCAAAAATGTAATCACATTCTACAAACAACTACCCAAGTATATACACCCATTCCAATACCAAATGCTAATGACGACAATATATGAACTACATCACAACAAACAAATCAAAATGCCTTTCAACAATCTTATGGATGAGCTGAGAGCACATAAAGTAAAAATAATCACACGTGCAAACAATTTTAACTCAAAGATAGGATATATTAAAAAATGCAGAGAGGCATTCGCAACGGCAAAGGCGTTCATACTACAGCTCGATGAAATATACAAAGAAGCAGAAGTATACATTGATATATATCGCAAGTTCGCAAAACATTTCAGAAAACTCCCAATTCTAGATATCACAAAACCGATCATTGCTATAGTGGGATATGTAAATGTTGGCAAAACCACACTTTTCAAGGATATATGCGACAAACCATTATCAGCAATAAAAAGTATAGACGTTGTAGAAGAAACAACAAAACCATTTGGACTCATATCTGACGTCCTAGGGCTCAAGTGGCAGGAAAATACAGAACCAGCAGTAAAGAGATGCCAGGGTGATGTCAAAATTGCAGAATATAACTTTAGTACCAAATCAATCAATGTGGCGGATGTGCAGTACAAGGAAGACAACTTTTGGGCTGAGGGGCAACTCATAGACACACCAGCACTGATATGGCGGGATAAACCAAAAACGAACCCTTATGAAAGGCTCACGGTAAGTGAAACCAAAATAAAATTACAGTATGCAGTATGCCGCACTTAAGGATCTCCCATCAGGGGTTATATACTGCTTCGACGTCTCGGACACAACCAACCTGGATAAACAAATCAAACTATATCGAACGCTTGAAGCGAGGTTCCCGCACAGGCCGTGGATCAATGTGGTGAGCAAGGGACACGATATACAACCCTTGGTTGATCAGGTAAGACATAACACAGACCAATATATCTACCATGCAGGGGATAGATGTGGTGACTGCTGACCAATTGACAGAGCGACTCTACTCAATATTCAGCAATCTCAACGCAATACTGAAGACGCAACTTGACATGAAAGAAAAGAGTGACTAGTCGAATAATGTACTATACTTGCTATTAAAAGCACGAATGCCGAACAATATATGTTCTACATTACGGTAACCCAAAAAACCGGGCAGAGTTCACTCAGGCAACGCAGCCGCATCGGCATCGGTCCTGAGGGAGAAATATTGCTCCAGCACATCAGGAGGGCATTGACCTGCAACATTATATATTATAATGACTGTAATGCAAACCTTCAAAATCAACCAGATCCTCACGACGACTACAGTTCAGCACATCGCTAATCAAAAGCAATGAAGTGAACTGGCCACGTATATGCTGGTCATATGACGTGCATACCTGCATCAAAGAACGCACAATATTGTCGAGGTAAACGGCACCGTAGATGGTGAAACGTTTAGACAAAATGCTGTGCTCCATGAATTTGCAGATACGCTCAATCAGGGTATCAATACAACGTGCACAACTGGACGATAAATAAAACGACGAAACGTGACCAAACACCGCACGCAAAACAACTATCAGCTCCTCCAAAAACGGACTCTCAGACTGCGAAAGAATAAAGACGAACTGATGAACTCATACCATACATGACGCATAAGACTCCTCGTCAAGGTTGAAGTTGATGCCCACGAAACTGTTCAACGGCTCAGTAATGTGGTACTGCAACTATATAAACATACAACACAGTTTAGTTACCTTCAAGATGTTCAAAGAAGACTTGCAAGCCAATTCCAACAAATCGTTAAACTCAGTGAAAAGAACGTCCAGGGATTCCACAGTACTCTCAACGAGCAACCGGTCGCTGCCCAGCTGGGAAAACTCATGCTCAAAACTAGCCGATATTTCAGTCTTAAATTTACGCAAAAAGTTCACACACTCCTCAATGTTATTAACACAATGAATGAAACTGAAACGAGAAGGTAAAGAATCTGGAAACTGCTGCTTAGAGTTCGCAAAGTGATCTTGGAGCATTTTATGCCAAGAAGCACCAAGCAGATTATCAGGATTCTGCAAACACATATTCACAGGAAAAAAGATCTCAACTAACCTCCATAAAAATTTTGTAGATGCTCTGGCTATCCAAAAGGTTACGAACTAGACAATCCTTAAGGGTACCCTGAATTATACCAATCACTTGGTTAAGGGTAGCACACGCAGCCTGGACGTCGCCGGTTGCTACAGCACGTTGTTGTGCTTTCTGCAAAACGAAAAATGCGTCGTCCACCAATGTGCTAGTGGCAGGAGAAAAACTGTCGTCAGCAGAAGAAAGATATATAGCGTCGCAATTTATAGCATGGTGCAAACTGCGTGTTACACAGGCGTTCTCTAAACGAACATAAAAAGACAGTATCGACTGCAGCACTCGAGTAGCACTGCTAACAGAACCCAGACAATCACCGCCAAGCTCATCAGAGACGTCAGACTGTAATAGCCGTGTTCGATGTACAGGTGTCAACACAGCACGAAATGAAGTTTCGTAGTCGCACCAAATCGAACTCAAATGGGCAATGTCATCCAATGAACGGTCTACAGTCTTCAGATCAGACATGTAATTCGAAAATCTCGTAACATCATCTAAACTAATTTCTATCTGCGATAACAAAGAGTCCACATCACCATCAACGTCAGTTATCATTGCGGAGAAATTCGATAACAAACACGATCGGAACACAGCACAAGCCTCGGAGGATGTCAAAGTGTGGATCTCACGGCAAATGCGGATGTAATCCCCGGAACCCAACTCGCTGTGAACCGCATGAGCAGGACCAAGTAGCAAACTACTAGCATTCTTGATTATACGCTCCAATCTCATGCTGTCACTACATTCACGAGATGCTGAGGTGTATCAGGTAAACACAAACCATGCAACCTACCTAAGCTAATCTTCTGTGTCTTCTCGCAGATGGTCTTCAGGTAAGATTCGTAGGCCTCGGAACGGGCTTGCAATGTAACAGCAAGACGGGTAAACAATTGAGACTGATCCGACGGACGCTCACCACGTAACTGATCAATCACAAAAGTACGTAAACCGCGCATCACTTCGTCAATGTGGCCACAACATAGAACCTTAGACACCTCGTCCCAGTAACCCTCACGCTTAGCCGTATCAACCTCAGATATGAAACTGCTGATGGCAGCACCGCCATTAGCTTTATCGCCACTTTCGTAACAAGACAACACACGAGATCCCAAATCATAGAGCTGCGATGCCATGTCAACAACCTTCACCGAGCAATGGAGCTTTCCTAGCGCATCAGCACTGCGCTCTGCAGCGGTCAATAAACGCCTGCTGAAGTCCTCGGTGCATTCGAAATTATCATTAAGACCCAAACTGATATGCGCAACTGCCGACGATTCTAATGTGCCCTTGCAATTTTCAGCAATAGACACCGCAGTACTCTCCATAGCACGTAGATCTTGCAAAATGGTCTCCTCCCGACGCTCTAGGCGAGATGCCAAAGTCTTCAGCAACTCAACCATGGCGCGTGAAATACAAAGTCACACAAAGCGCCAAAGGTGAGAGAGAAGATACTAGTAGCGCTGAAGGTGACAATGTATCATCTCCCTAAGATCTATATCAGGTGAGATAGACTATTGTCAGAGAAAGTTGGACGATCAGTAGACCTGGGAGCGCAATACATGATGAGAAACTGATGTATTGCAAACATAAATATCCCGGATATCACGAAGTTATTATGTTAAGTATATTAATATGTGCGCCTGATACACAAATTACGCGTCACAGAGACCGCTGAATAATGCTAAGGCAGATCAAATGGACATGTATGACGCGTAATACGGAAAGAAGTTCGAATAGACATACAGAGGTAAAATAATGCTGATGTGTAACAAAATACGTGATTAAAAGGATAATTACCGCTCTATAGTTGCCCTGGGTTGATATTCCATGCTTTGGACACGGAGAGCTGGGACATACGCTCCCGCGCTCATAGTAATACTACTTATTGGAATCGTAACTGATGCATTTAGACTACCAAAAACGATAGAGGTGCCTTGGAAGCAGAGGAAGGTTCAACATATAGGCGCCGCTGCGCCCAGTTTAGGACCAATAGTCAAGGGAAACAAAGTACAAGCTGACGGCCGTGTCGTTGAGTGTAGAGGAGGCACCACTTACCTAGTACAACTAGATAACTCAGACAAAACGGTAGGACACGTTACAGAAACAACAAATGGGTTCAGGTTCTATGCGAGATAGCCGGCGGTCTCTATCTGAGACGAAAGTATTTGGCAGTTAATGCAAAGGTCAAGATAGAAGTACATTTATTGGCACCAAACAAGGGAAGGATAGTAGAACGCATAGATTCATACGAGGAGGCGGTCTCTCCCGAAAAGCTTGATGACCAAACAACTGAACCCAAGCATAAGGGTAAACGAACGCCACGTACTTCATAAACAACTGATATAATTGCAGTAAAATCTTTGCAAAATGTAGACTATAAGTAAATTTTTTGTAAACAACTTTCTTTCATGCCAATGTTATACAATGATTGTGGCGATCGTGGGTGAAGCAAAAGGTTACCAAAACGATACGAAGGTATACCCGTGCAACCCTAAAGCATGTCATATGACATCTTGGTGTTAAGATTGACTCATCGCATGCATCTGGAGAATGCGAAGCACCGTCACCAGAGGGTCACTAGTCTCGATCTCCTGCTCCAGAAGAATCACTTGGCAGTCGATATCATCATGCTTGTACTGCAAAAATATGTAAAATCGAACACATTAGATACCTCAATTATTGCTAGACGGTCACGATCATCTTCGCTCAGATTCTTGATTATATCACGACGCTAAGATAAAAGGTAAGCAAAACCAAAGAGATAGTTACCAGAAATGACTCGTAGTTATCTAACAATTGCAGGTCTTCGAAACCGTATACAGCCTTTACCTGTAAAAATGTGGCATAATTATTGGAGATGTAGACTTACGCTAGACAGGTGGATCTCCAATGGGACACCGTCACCTTCCACAGTAAACGTCTACACAAAATTAGATATAAACGAGGACCAATACTCACCTTAAGGTTACAATCTAAACGATAACGCGCTTTCTTAAAATCCTCGGTAGTGAGATCAATAATAGTGCAATTCAAAAACTTCTGAGCACGGGACGCAAAAATGCCAACCTACAGACTGTAAATAACACGTGCAAAGACGCATACCAGCTGCTTAAGCTCCTCTTTACGGTATGCTTCATCACTAAGCGCAGATGCGGTACTACGTGTCTGGAACAGATGTTTGAAACACCCCGAAGTTAAACAATACCTCGTCACTATCGGATCGTGGAAGGCAGCTTCGGAGCAAACAGTTTATCGTCTCAGAAACAGTAGAAAACAAACAGCTATTTTTATCCTCCATTACGAACGAGGTGCCGATATGCAAATATTGTAAAATGATACCTCGCACATAAGGCGGAAGATAAACTAAAAACTGCAAGCAAAATATACAAGAGTCTATCACCTTAAAGCCCGCAAACTAGTTACACCTTTATATGTAAATTATTGTTATTAAAATTGCTGCCAAAATACGTTATATGTGCTCAAAGAGAGGTGAACTTGCAAAACGCAAGTTGAGCCGGATATTACGCGGCACATAACCACATCAGTAGATCGAACTATCGATTAGACATATAATTTAACAGTATAAACAAGTAATTGGATCGTGGAAGTGCCATCGTAGGTGAGAAAAACTATTGCGATGAACCATGTGCGCAATGGACGACGCATCGTGGTCTGGCAATAGCCATGAACAATATGCGGTAGACGCATCATGCTACTTACACGCCTGTGTATCTAGTGGTATAAACGTCTGAATAGTGTGCTCAGTAACGACAGAAGCTAATAATCTGATTGCGAAGAATTTTTGACCATGGTAGAACAAATATCAAAAATTTTCCTCATAACGCTCCTAAAGACGCGAATAATCAGGCACACTAGCGCATCGGATTCACTGATAAGTGGCTCCTAGAATGACCTTAATGAACCATCACAATAATTGCACATATACCTATGCAAAATAATAACACGCATCTCTCACATTGAACTAACGATCATGCTCAAAGGAAGGCAGATCGTATGAGCAAACAATGGATAGATGAGATTAAGAATCGCATGTTGAATTGAGGACATTCACAGATAGGTGGAGTACCTCTCACACGAGTATAAATCATAGACATCATAAAAGATAAAATGAAGGTGCTGTGGAGGACAGACAAGAGGAAGGATATTGTAACATGCTATATGACGGCCATAACGGACGTAGCGTGTGCCAACACGCAGAATAAGAAGGTGAAAATCAACAAACGGATTCTCGGGAGAATATCAGACTACGAACGAGGGACGTTATGGAAAATATGGGCGAAGACCGAACAGTACAAAAACCAATTCCCAAATGACATGTACGGACATCTACTCTCATATGACAACTGCGAATTTGATGTGGCAATCAAAAAGGATCTCAACCGAACGTTCCCAGAACACGCTATATTCAAGGATGGAGCGTACGCCCAAAAGATCCTATTCAATGTCCTACACGCATATGCCATGTATAACCCCGATGTTGGTAAGTGGTAACCATTGTCTATAATAGCAGTTCGAATAGGGTACTGTCAAGGGATGGCATTCATCGCAGGAATGCTGGTACTCTACATGAACGAAGAGGATGCCTTCTTCACAATGGTATAGAAAACATTCATTGATGATTAACATATGCAGATCAGCATCATGGATAAACACAATATTAAAACGCTATTCCTGCCGCAAATGAGACAGCTAGAAAGGTACTGCGATGTGCTAGACCAGTACCTCAGACGCAAAATGAAGAAACTATATGCACATATGCAACAACACGGTGTAGATATCACAATAGTTGCTGCAAAATGGTTCATGACACTATTCACATACAACTTCTCCATAGAAACAGCAGCGCTGCTATGGGACGCCATACTCTCCATGGATGACGACTGGGTACTGTCAATCGCTATAGCAATATTCAAACTTATGGAGGTATGCTTGCATGGATATAAAAAGAACATATATCACGCAGAACGCTTTAATCAACGCAAACCAAGATGAAATACAACTCATGATGAAAAATCTCACGCCGCATATATCAGCAAGGTCAATCATACAAGAGATTCAAAAACAAAAATATGGAAGAAAAGCCACAAAGCTACTTAAACATTACGATAAAAAGTGATCAGCGGCATGTTAGTGCACTCAGCAAATCAGAAACTTCAGTGTAGTCATTCATATAGTACATGGCCTTAGTGGGTTTCATTCCCACAGTAACCGAAATGTAGCCAGATTTGTGCCTTAAATAGTCCTCAGAAGTCACATTACCATGCATTCGGTGATCAAGTGTCTCAAGGGCCTTGAACATCTCCTCATCCGACCGGTGATCGCCCATACAAAGTACAAAGTCTAAGTCGCCATATACCGAAGAGTAAAGCTTTGCAAGGTTAAGCAGAGCAGCACCCTTGTTGGCGCCTTTCTGACGGACGTCAACGTGCCATTTGGTCCAGTGCACCTCAACCGGGTAGGACGACATTATGTCCTTAAGCACTTGGTAGAGCTCACTCGATTGCGTAGCACCGAATTCGGGATCTGAGTAGTGGTACTGGAATACTACCATGACTCCCATGTTCTCGACGTAGCTGCCAGGAGTGCGGTGAGCGTACTGCTCCATTATCTGTAGTGCGGGCTCCTTCCACCTACCGTCAACAGTGTCAACCATACAACGCCACTCATCGCCGGTGAGACAAGGGACCTTGTAGTAGAAACCGTAACCAGCGCACAAACCGAGACCTGGGTTATCAGGGAACCACATCTCCATGCATTCACGGCTGCGACCACTTATCACAACAACCAAGTTTAAGGGATCTGCAGTCAAAGAACGGATACTGTCCAGGTTACACTTCAATGGAGACTGTTGGCACCGGATACTCTGTTCGCAATCCTCAGCAGAACGTGGTGGCTTATCCCACAAACTAGGGAACAGTGTACCCTCGCAGTCTAAAAGGATGAGACGGCGAGTAGAGCTGTGATAACGCTGCAACACATGCTCTTTGTCCAACAGCTGCAACGTGCTCGGAACTGAGTACGTCTTGTAAGTGGCACCGAACCCCCAGGTTAGGTGAAGCATATCTGGGCGCTTGCGAGCAAAGAAGAGCTCACGCACAAAGTGGTTAGCCCATTCAACAGCGTCGCTGCTCATGATGTATTCAAAGTCACGGCGGCAAACTTCAACACGATCCTCGAAACTAAACGACATCGCGCTGTCTAGGGCCTCAACAACCTTTTCAATATGCCACGGGTTTACGCGAATTGCTGAAAGAAGCATCTTACTGAAACCAACAAACTCGCTTAAAATAGCACAGGCAGACTTCCCGCGACGGCAATAAATGTACTCCAACGCACGCATGTTTATACCGCCACGAATGGACGTATCCAAAAAGCAATCGGCAGCCACCAACAACGCGTACCGCCGCTCAAGACTCACGTTGGACTCAAAAATAATGTGCGTCTCGCCATAAGCAGCATTGATTTCGTCAGCCATGGCTTGCAATTTAACAATCTCTACACTACGACACGCCCATAGGGTGTCTGTTGTGCAGACGTATTGTACCAGCATTACTTTGCCCCTTGCAGCAGGGTAATCCTCAAGGTATTTGCGGAAAGCCTTAAACTTCAAAAACAAACCAGCAAGACGAACGTCACGATCTAAGGACGCGATCACAAAACGATTCGGCCATTGATCACGGAACGATTTTACGAGCTCCGGGACGCCACGACGTTCCTCCAGCATGGACTGAAGCAAATCCGGCTGGATATGACTGTGTGATAACAAAATCATCACAACACGCCCGTTATACTCGATACCCAGCATTCCACCAAGCTTGGAGCTGTGATCCAACCCTAACAAACGCTTGCAGCAAGTTAGAAAATGACGTGCGTAGTCAAAAAACTGGAAACCAATCAAATCGGCACACAGAATACTCCTTAAAAGGGGCTCGCGAACTGCCGAACACTGGAATAAGTTACATGGTGGAAACATGGCGTGGAGGAAAACACCGATATTAGCACGCTTCATACGACGAGTGATGAAGTGAGGAACCATTAATAATTTGTAGTCGTGTACCCAAAAAAAGTCGTGCTCTGATGCAATAGATGCCGCAACTGCAGCATACTGCCGGTTCACGTTCACATATGAACTCCAATGCTCCCAGCTGAACTCGCGCTGCTCGTCCACATTCCAGAGACCGATATTGTAAAAAAGATTCCAAAGATGCTCCTTACAAAAGCGCAACGATCCTAATAGATCTTCTTGGGGTACAAATACGGGGATACAATCATGTTCATGTAATAGCTTGCTCAATGCCTCCTTTTCCTCATCGCTAAAAATGCCACGAGGGGAGTCGTATTTAGTCACAGGTTCGCTTCCACCCTCAGCTCCTTCAGATTCTATTAGACACGAACCTATAAAACGCATCTTGTTTCGGACACGCTTACGTATACGCCACAACGTATTTGTTAGTGGCGTGTTAGATTCACGAATCTCAAAACTACCATCAGACGAACGGTAAACCTGGATAGGGAGACGGGAAGAGACAAAATATACCGTATAGTTGGGATCAACGTCTATACCACGCATCTTTTGAAACGCTTCAAGCGAAGCATCGCTTTCAGCCACATCGTCAGACCGTAGCTGGTGCATTTGTGGACTCGATGTATCGGACAAACCAATCAAGCCTGAACATTGAGTGCGATAATAACCTTCATCATCTTCCAAAATCATATCATGGCCAGTAGGTTCCAGATACCTCACGGAATCTTCGTGCCATCGTACGAATTCCCCCGCATCGTTCAATACAACATAGCGGTATTCGCGACGCTCCCTCAATGGCAGATAAGCTGGAGCATGTGAGTTCCAAACATCGTCCACGGTACTGCTAACCCGAAGCTCATGACTCCCTGAAACTTCCCAGTTGCCCAAGGCGCTGTGATCGCCAACAACGGCGAGCCTTTGGCCGAAGTCTAGACGACCTCGACAGCGAAAGTGGACTGCCGTATAGTGTACCATAATTGCCGTCAAAATAGACAAAAGCCAATTTTGATTACACTTTCACACCTTAAAGACGAGATTTAATAAAAGAGCTTAACTTTTAGCAGGATTCTATCATGATTAAAATGGACGCCTGCAGCTAACCTAGACTATAAGAATCAACAAAAAGCGAACATTATTACACAATAAATTAAGCAAATGACAAAGTCTATGCTAACAAACTTAACAGCAGTGTAGAAAGTACGATACGAACAGGTGTGTCAAGAATGTCGATACGAAGGTAGCGACGCAAATGACACAATCAAAGGTTCAACACCATACATATACTATGCGAAACTTATGAACATAGCAATAATCCAACACCGGGTCCCGTTTAACGAGTGACAAACGGACATACGTTGTACAGCGGGCCACCATATAGAGACGTGCGACAGCCTTCCGCGCCACAGTATCTTAGTACGAAAAAAATTATCACTGTTATTCCAATAAATTGCATATGGCAATCGAAAAATTGACTTTTCAACGTCGGCGTCTGTGCACCTTAACATAGGTGTAGCGGATGGATACGCGATGCTTCACCAAAGTCGCCCGGTGACGACACACTGGACGAATCATGTACATAACCTGATACGGGCCATCAATATCGGAACTACTTGAATGAGACGTAGATTTCTTGACCTCGTTGACAGGGTATGCACCAGTACGCCATACCCGTTTGTCCCTCCATACGCTACGGGGCGCTGATCGCTCATTACTTACTTCTTTAGTTTCCTTCTGAGCCGATTGGGCTAGTATTTCCTCTGGGTCGTTCTCACTGCCAAACGCTTGGGTCTGTCGACAGATCTTTCCAGACTCCAATACAGTTTTACAGATACGTAGCACATCCTTAGCTGTCATAGTCACCGGACGATCCTTCACTTTAAGCGCTGCAGTCAACGCTGCCAGCGCAAGTAATACGTCTTGGTCCACTGAATACAGATTAGGACATACAAAATCGTGGTCCAAATAGTAGCACGGATGGCCGAGCGGTCAAAGGCGCCAGACTCAAGTTCTGGTGGGCGAGAGTCCTCGTGGGTTCAAATCCCACTTCGTGCAAATTTTTGTCACAAACACAAAGCCATATACAATCAATATAGATACTACACACCAAAATCAACAACTTACTTTGAATTCCCGACGGCGGCACTGCTGCCGGAGGTACCGAATCGGCTCTTTCTGGCGTGCTATGAGAGTCCGCATCTTCACTACTTGTAATGAGTTCTGACAAGGCTGGAGCTACTGAGTCAACTTCAGGGCCTTCTAAAACAACAGGTGGAGCTGCCGTAGCAGAAGGCGAGATAGCAGTTGCTTCTACCTCTTCGGTGTCTTCTCCGACGCTAGAGCAATGCGATCGGATAGACCCGAACTGAAGAGGAGACTCAATTTCCTCAGGATGCTGAGCATGATGTAAAATCGCATAACACATCTCGTATTGACGTGAAACGTCGGAATCACGCGTCTCTTGGATCTGAACCGGGTTGTGTGCTTTACGCAGCATCAAGCCCTGAGATACCAGCATAGCCTAGCAAATCGTTATAATTCACACAAATCAAACTAACGTTATAAAGCGGAGATACGTCGATGTGAGAAACAAGAAGAGAGAACAGCAAAAGACATAAAGAGTCAAAATCCAAATCGTCGTAACGGAGGCAACAGTCTTCAACCAGGTTCAAGTAATACAACTTGGAAGAGTTCGCTGACGCTGTTAAACCGCTAAAAGACTGAGAATTCTTGATGTCTTGAGAAAATGATGAGCCAGATTGAGTAGGAGTGATAGACTTGTGAGAGCTACGTTGCGTAGGAGCACGACTACGCGGGAACGTGCTGTCAACGGACTTGATAGGTTCCGAATTCTTTAGTGACAGAGCAAGGGAATCACAAAGGAAAGATGAAAGACCGTCGTATTCGACAAGCACTTGCCACAGATGCTCCTTAACATAATATTCCAAGCAGTCGTGCACATGGCCGCTGCGCGGTTCTCCCAATCCGACTGCATCACTATGAGACAACAGGTGCCGGGAAAACGCGTAGGCCGCGCCAATGAGGATCAAGGTAGTCTGCTCAATCAGGTGAAACTTCAGCAGTACACTGTCCAGCACCTGGTTGAAGTGAGGAAAATCGCAGCGAACAAACGCTAGCGTGCATACCAAAACCAGACTGCTAAGGGGAAGATCGTCAATTACCAATGCCAGACGGTACAATAGTTGACGAGTGAATTGACTATTAGCCTCGAAGTCGTAACGCAGCTTGACCAAAACCCAGAGCAAACAGAGCGTACATTCCGCACTCAACATCTCGACTTCATCGGCCAGAACCAGTAACGCCTTTCTCAAAGATAGCATGCTGAGCGAAGAACCGTCCTCAAAACTGCCCAGTAATAAAACGAGATCCTCGCCTGACATTGTACCCAGTACGCTGACATTGTTAAAATGGCCATTGACGTATTGAGTGATGAACTCTTGGGATAGGGCACCGGACATAGAACCATAATGGATCACATGTGCCAACTCACTCGCATCATTGCGGGTTGCCATATATTCCTTGCAGAGCGCAACACATACGGGGAGCAAAAAATGATCCGCCTTCATGTAATGCAAAGCACGGAGAAGGGCAAGAATTGTAACACCGCTGATCGGATGAAGGCCATTTTCTGCAGCAAGCTGCATACGTCCCCTGCGTTCGGTTGCTGTAGCATCTTCAGCAGATGCTCGGCTCAACAGACAGGGTAGTGACATGTACGCCCAAAGACCACCGCGATACAGAGGTTTCGAGATGTACGTCTTCAAAATAGACGTAGGTATACGGTTATACACATCAATATCCTGGATGTTAGAAAGCAAAGCCAATACCAGAGACGAGGAGAGCGTCTCCGCTCTCAAGCTAGCTTCCTCCGCTTTACTCGCACCTTTACCTACAACAACGTTTATTTTTCAACTTTCATGTGAATTGTATTCATAAACAAGTGTGATCACAAGGTTGTGTAAATACAATATGCAAAGCGGACTGCCTGTAAAGCGACAACAGATATATAAGAGTATTGCAGTTGTGCTGCCTAAGACTATGGACCACTAATATCGAAAATTGATGCAACAACGTAAAGAGAATATGTAATGTAGTACCTTTAATGGCTGATGCGAAGTCATGGCTCAAAATCTCGTAAAGAATCCCCTGCTTCTCGAAGCGAAGGACAAGCATGTATTGTCGATCTGATGAAGGTGTACCTTTCCCCAAATCAAGTACTTCTCCAGGTACCTCTGGTTTTTTTGTGAATGTGCAACTAGAGAAAATGTCATTTAGGAAGCCAATAAGGACTTGTTGCTGAGATATCGTTAAACAACAAAAACAGCATGCTCACCGTGAAAAAGCGTGGAAGTTTTTGCGAAGCTCTAGTATCCGTTCTTTCAATATTTGAAGCAATCCCGTCAGCATTAGCTGTCGAAACAGCTGTGCTAACCGAATCCCGAGCACTTTTCGCCATTCTTCAACCAGACAACCGAGACGTTCGAAACGAAGAGTTTATAAAAAAACTTCAACTGTTCTAAATTACCAGTTACGTTTCGTTTCGAAATGGCGACGTAGGATCACGTGGATCTTAAAAGAAAGCAGGATCTTTCAAGGTGGTCAGTTGAGCAAGTGCCACATGGAATCCTAATCAAATATTTAATGAATGCGGCTCATGTGTCACTTAATGAGCAATTCTATTGCTTCACATGCTGTCGCTTTGAGTCAAAGCCTCAACGTGACGCTTTAGCAAAAAATCGAGTCGAATACAGGATTTCGGTTAGATATTTAGCGTGCCTAAAAAATTATATTACTAAATATTTTACGTTAAATCGGTAAAAACGGTCTAATCGTGAGATTAAGGGACGATTTGGTACCCTGTAGCGTGAACGGTCGTCATATCGGACGACTCGATACTTCTAAAAGTAGGTATTCGCCATAGGAAATAGGTTAAATTGATGGTATAGCTTCCACGTAAAGTTACACATTAAAAAAATAACAGTTCGCGGAACCTCCACGTCAGGGTACGAGTCGACATTTACAGTTTGAGATGGTCATGCGTCGCGGCATATTAACTAGGAAGGCCATACACATTTCGCGACGTGGCAGGAGACATAATCACATAGGTGACACAATTCAATATTCTACGTCTCTTCCGATATAAAGTTATGTAACCTAGCGGGTGGAGTGAGAAAAATAGCAGATGTGCCGGCTAAGGTTGCAAAAAAATTCTCCAGGCAGGCAGGCAGGCCTACACACTTTTTCATTGGGGTTCTAATAAGCCTACACATAGCGGTAAATTTTGCCGTATTGCCTCCAAACTGCGTGGCTGTACCCACATTTTGTTGGAATATTAGAAACGTGTGTGCTCTTTTGATAGGGGCAGCAAGAAAAGCCGACAAAGAAAAAAAATCCCACATAAATAAAATAAGCCGCACTACAATATTTATATTCAGTATATATAAATTTCACTTTTTCATATTGTGAAATATTCCAAGTTGTTAAAGCAATAAGCGGTCACTAGATAAGCGCAAAGCACATATCGCGACGCGGAAGGGTTGTATTCTCAAGCCTTCTACGACTTAGTATGTGATTGGCGAATATTGTAGTCATTTGTTGCAGCCTAAACGGTCAAGAATTTTAGGATCGCTGGAGATTCTTTAAAAAAAAAAAAAAAAATTGAGCTTCCCTTTCTTAAGAATCAAGAAAATTTACTCAAGATTCCTACCAAGAAATCTGCAATTATTCACTGGAAAAGATGGACAAAATCGAAATTACTAACTTCCGAGAACTGTCTACGGACATGTTGCGCTCTGCTGCTGGTCCCATTGACCTCACCGAAGTGTTAAGAAACTGCATAAGTCAGGAGTTCAGTTCCGATGCGGATGAAGAACAAACTGTGAAAGCAGTGGAAGAAACAAAAGAAGTAGAACGTGTTCCCGAAAGGGCACCGAAGGATGTAATCCCTACTGTTGTATTGGCTGCGGATGGAGCTTCGGGACTGCGGCCTCTTACTCACGGAGTTCCTAAGTGCATGATCCTGACGGGTAAAAAAACACTAATTGGTAGAACTCTTGACATTCTGCTGGATGCTGGTATCAGGAGAATATTGGTGTTTGTGAACGTGGGCGACGAACATCTTGTCGAGGCACACCTGCTCGAGTGTATTGAAAAACGCAATGACAAAGATGCAGTATTATCTGGATTGGAGCTAACAGTGCACGCACTTGTGGAAAAGGATGATGCATCGCGAAACACGACAAATGTTGTGAAGTATGCGGCGGATCTGTTGCAAAGTGATTTCCTAGTAGTACCGAGTGACCTGGTCGGCACGTTTAATCTGCGCGGCCTTATTAAAAACCACTTCAGCTCCCCAAGGTTGTGTACCATTGCACTGTTGCCAGAGAAGAGCGATCCCAAAAGTTCAAAGAAAACGAAAGATGCAACGGATGATTCGATTGTACCCGGCGGTGACGTTTCAAGGGGTTGGGGGTACAGATACCGTATGTTGGTAACCATGGATCCGAATACTTCACAAGTGATTGCGTTGTCGCCTGTTGTTTCTGTGAAGTCCGGCGATAGATATGTGGTTAATAAGTCTGCGCTTGTGCAACACCCCCGCTGCGTTATACGGTCAGACATGTATGACGCACACGTTTACGTTTTCTCGAACAGCATACTGAAGTTTTTGGATTTGCCGTGCATGGATAGGTGGTCTGTAAGGACGGAGTTGATCCCGTACATGGTAAGAGCTCAAGAGCAAACGCCTGAGACAGAAACGGATGGTACGGCGGCCAATAAGGCGAAGCAGTCTGCCACAGATGCTATGCGTGTTTTCCAGTTTTCTGGACTTGGCGATTCCCTTCATTGTTTCAGAGCGAACAACATGGAGGCTTTATTGAGGGCTAACATGGACCTTTGTTTATCCGAGACTAAAAACGCGAAAAAACCACTGAGTGAGGTTTGCAGAAACTTGATGGAGAATTCTGGAGGGATGTTAGATAGTGAGAAGGTGAGCAGGATGGAAAGGAAGAAGAAGCTTGAGGAAGAGAAACGGGTCAAAGTAATTAACAAGTTTGAAGTGATTAATGATCCGGATGGTCTTCGAGGCTCAATCATTGGAGAGGGGTGCCGCATAGGCGAGGGAACAACTGGGAGAATGTGCGTATTAGGGAACTGTGTAGTCATCGGTCGCAACTGCGTGCTTAACAACTGTGTGATCATGAATGGAGCCCATATTAAGGACAATGTAGTAATGACCAGATGTGTTATAGGCGAAACAGCTACTGTAAAGGCGGACTGCAAGGTAAGATAAACGTTTTAATAGCTACACACACATTCAGATGAAATACGTCGTAGTTTCACCGGGACATGTTGTACCAAGCAACACAGAAGCCGAGCGCAACTACTTGCCTGAGTTTGTGTAAAAAGCAAAAGTAAAAACTTCACGGGCGGCATTCACTCCAATCTTGAATGGCCATGTGACAAACGTAATATTTTTTGCTTAACATAAAGTGTGCACATAACGCTGTCTACATCGACATGAGCGCGTTGCCGTGGGGGTGGCTACGGGTAACGGCAGCTACTTAACGGCCGGTTAAGAGACACATACAAAAAATTTTAACATAGTAACGTACAGCGCCGGGAAGCCATGCAATCTCGGAATTACAATGCGGATCCGCCGCAGAGGTACGCCTCAGATGCAAGGAAGGATTCCGACCCGTATAATGACTACAATAAGGATCCCTATAAAAATGAACCAATACGTGATTACAAGAACACTAGTAATCCGAGGAGCAGGTCGAGGAGTCGGAACAGGAGATACACTGCTCGAAGAGGAGGATATCGAGATAGACGCCGGCGCTCACGCAACAAAGACGGTGCAGCTCGTTATAATGATCGGAGAAATGATATGGGAAGCGATGTGAATAGCGAACCACAGGAGGAGGAGTTTTTGGCACTAAATCCCAATCTTTCACCTAGCCACGCGAGGTCACGTGCAGCCGAACGACGCAGAAGAAAGGCACAAGCCGAGTGCATCAGACGTGCAGGAGGTTTCCAAAGACTTGCAGATCAAGAAGGCCACGAAACCGTTAGACTATTCTGGGACGGATTCCAGTGGGTTGCCAAGACAGGACAAGCAGCACTCATGATGAACGCCGACTCAGCACTCATGAACGCGACAAGGAAGTTGAGGAGGCTTTATTTTGGAAACTTGCCTCTGTCATCGGGGCTCACGGAAAATGCATTCCAAAACATCATATGGAACGAAATGAGGAACAGAAACTTTTGTAACGACCCGAGCGTGTCGCCAGTACTTTACGTATGGTTTGCCAAAGACAAAGGCAACTACGGGTTTGTTGAGTTTGCAACTGTAGAAGAGACTGAACGTGCCTTAACAATGGATGGAATGAACTGTATGGGTTCACAGCTTCGCGTCTCAAGGCCAAACGACTACTCGACAAGCTCAACGAAACCACCCGCTCCAGGAGTAGTGCCACAAAACATCATTCCGCTAGATGCGTTCACGAGCAAGTATCTGAGGGTAGTACAAATTGTCCTGCCCGAAAGTGTACAAAAGGAAATAGAGTATCTTGACGTATTGGATGACGTCAAGGAAGCATTTGAAAGACACGGGAAAATCAAAACGTGCGCTATAGTCACACCAAGGCACAGAGATATTGCGCCAAACCTTACCCCTGGAGATGTGATTGTCGAGTTCGTAGACAGAGAATCGCTGTTGGCATGTGTACAAAATATGCAACATCGCAAATACGAAAAAAGGGAAATACAATTTATGCCAATGGAGGAGGATGACTACAAACACGTTGCGGAACCTCTTTTACTAGATCTGGAGGCACTAGAAAAGGAAGCAGAGTGATTCAGATCTGAAACGATGCACATATTCAGCTTGCACTATATAACTCATTTTGAAGCTATACTAAAATTACTCGCTGATTATGTTGTATTACCCATTGGATGAGGGCGCAGCCGCTTACACAACGTAACATCAGCGAGAGCGAAGCGGGCGACGGCCGCGTCTCTTAAACCGGCGGTGGCGGTTGAAGCTTTTCGGGCTGTATGATTATGAGATCTGTATACTACACACCTACGGGTCAATCAGAAACTTCTTCATGACGTCGTTGCAAAATAGACATCCTTCAGATGTGCTACCGTCCTTCAAACCGACGTGAGCGAGACGGCTGCCGCAAGAATCACATTCAGTACCGGAAACTATCGCAACTTCTGAAGCCACATTAAAATTACATTTGTTGTAAACATACTTTTAGCAGTTTCACATACATGTAACTTGTAAGGACATAGAGAACAGAAAAACTTCCAGTTAGGCGCTCCGTTGATCACGTCCAAAATTAACTTCCCACCACACTCTTCAGGACAACACGTAACAGTCAATGTCTCTGGGCCGCTCAAACATGTAGGATGCGCACAGTCGACGCAACTCATACCTAACATGATGTTGACGAGATGAAATAAGTACCAACCTTTCTTGCCGAATGACTCAAAAGGAGGATCGTTGTAACACATAGGACATAATGAAAACGCGCGAGCGCGGCTCTGGAATTGTACGAGCTCGAAATTGTCAAGAGGACATTTCAGACCCTTGTACTGCCGAATAGTACCACCGTTCGGTAACGAGTACTCACGCGAACATTTCTTGCAAAATAAACGCATAGGCGCCTTGTTCAAAAATAACATGTAACGGTTGCATATGCCGCAACGGCTCATAGGCACGCCGAAGTTCTCGACAGAAGTAAACTGAGTTTCAAAAAATGAGTTTATCCTATCAATCTGAACAGTAGTCTTAAGCACAACTCAATACTAACCTTGCTCACGTAATGCTCAAACTTCAAACGGAACATGCGGCACACATGACGAATCACAGATTCACAATCGGCTTTACCTAAGGTCGTTGTGAAGGCATTAATACCCAGAACATACCCTCAGCGATGAGGTTGCAGTAGTTCTCGATGGCTCCACGTACGCTCGGTAACACGAGCTCCGGGTCAATCTGCATATAACCGTCCAGCAGGGCTTTACCGAGCTTAGTAGGTTCGATACGACGGTTGCCCACAAGACGGACGAAATTCCGAGCTATTATGTTGTGTACGTGAGTCGCCATCGACGCATCCGTGCCGATACCATGCTTTTCCATGGCGTCCAGCAAATCCGATTCAGAAAGCAACGGAGGTGGAGAAGTGACGCCCTCCTGATACAAGTGTGCTAATTAACTTTGAAAGACGTACCTCGACGCGGAGATTGACCACTTCACACTCATCACCCTTAGCCAGGGTAACCGTGAAGACACCGCGGTCGTGCGACGATGGAAGAACCAGCGTATAACCAGGCTCCAACAAGCGGGAGTTCGAAAAGTGAAACGTCTCACCACTCACCTCAATAGTGTAAACCGTAGTCTCTATCTTACATGGGCCCGCGATGGATGCCAAAAAATGGCGTACCACTAAATCGTACAAACGCCACTCCTCTCCAGTCAGCGTGCCCTGAGAGACACAATTCACAGGTGTTATAGGTGGATGATCGCCCACATCGCGACCTCCTTGGGGGCCCAATGGAGTTCCAGACTGAGAAACAGTGAAATGCATAGCAACGGAAAAGAACCTTTAACAAGGATTCCACCATGTTGACGTAGTCAGGTACCTTCTTCAGGTTGGTCAGCAAAGCCTTCCAATCAAACGAACGTGGATAGCAATCGGTCTCCGTACGAGGGTAAGAAATGTGACCACGCAGATACAAATGTTCAGCAGTTTGCATGGCTTTTTGTGGACCCATTCCGAGACGCGATGATGCCTCCTTTAACATGGTTACTGTATTCAGCGCCTTTGGAGGTGACATAGTAGACTTTTTAGTAGTCACAGATACTACGCGGCCGCGGTTGGCATTGCTCAACTGAAAACATCTAGACAGTAAAAATGAAACATACCAGCCTTTGGAATATCTGGATCACAGATTTGTCAAATACATGCCCTCGATTCCATGTTAAACGGATATGTGATCCCTTGTATGCAATGTCACCCGTAAGCTACAAAAACATATCATCACAACAATAAAGATTTCACCTTGTAGTACGGCTCCTCCTGGAATCGCAATATCGCATTATGGCGATCGACGCAGAAAGATAGCGTTGGTGTTTGGCAGGGCCCATACGAAATGCACGTAGAGTCGAGGTCGCCATATTTGCCCTGAAAATATAAACACAACATATGGGATACGTACCTGGAAAAACTTCGTCTGGTATCTTGTAAATGCACAACCGACACGCAGATCGATAACCTGTCGCGCATGAACTGCATCGGATTCAAGCTTGTTAGGACTAGACAGGTTGGCTAATGACCGCAAAATATCATCACGACTTAAAGCAGAAAAACGGGCGCGATAAATCTGCAAGGTTTGATAACACAAGTGCTGCACAAACCTGCTCAGTTCCAAGGTTAAGCATGTGAGGACGACACACGCGAATCACCTCAAATGCTATGTTCTCCCCTTCCCTGTCATTGTCAAGACATAGCAAAAGGTAGCTGCAACCCTTCGCCTCGTACGCCAAGTGCTGTGGAATCTTGTTCTCCGGAGACGCCTCCTCAAACACTATTTCAGCATCAAATAAGTCCAACGGGTCTGTGGATGCCCAGTTGTTGTAACGAGGTGCAAATGCCGCAGAGTAAACATGGCCAGCAGTGGAGGTAACGATGAAATCAGCAGCGCATGACAGGAATCTGCCGCAGCATTCCCAGCTCATACATGCGTTAGATTTCTGACTGTGAGTTACTTCCAATTAAAAACGACAGTGTTTATTCCAACAAAAAATGCAGTATACAAATAAGTCAACGAATGAAATATAATTACTCATTGGAGATAACGTAACGATCAAACACATATCACAATAACACCAAGCACGGTTATAAAGCAGCTTACGAAAGAGGTTACGCTGTAGAAACCAAAAAAAAATACGCAACTAATGGTATTGCCGAAATACAATGGCTAACTGCACTAACCCCTTTGCGTTTTGTAGGCGTTTCGTTGTTCGTACAGATATAACTGGCAATCGTCTCTGCAATCTTCGGCTTCTCAGCCACTACCAAAACCTTTGGCACCGCCATCAACGTAGTCACATGGTAACAGATAGGATGGGGATGCCGAAATAGTAAAGCCGCGAATGTTTTATATCTTTAATTTACGTGAAACCGTTAGAGAATGATGCGATTTCTGTGGAATAGTACGGTGTTCAGAAAGGAAAAGGTCTACCGCGCGTCCGTAAACACAATGGTAAACAGATACAACCGCTTTGTTAGACCTTGTACCTGTATCACAATGTTCGTAATATGACGAATTGAAAGAGCTGCGTAAAGGCACAGTTGATATGTCCGAGGCGAAGGAATAACTGCGCCGCCTTACCATCGCGAGAGAACTTGTGGCTTAGAGAGCCAATTGTTACTTTTAAATATCCATTATCGATACGGTAGCAGTAATCATTCGTAGTGACTTGTAATTCGTGAAATAAAAACCACTGTATCGTGATAGTTAATGCGAGCGCGGTGACACATGGGAAGAAGGCACGATGCAGTAACAAGCCTTCAGGCACCACACATCAGTAATATCTAGCTCGACAACTAAACTATCAAAAAATGCCGCTTTAATTACATAGCAGGGACTATTTATTAGAATATATTTACAATCATTCCGTGATTCCAAAGTCACACTGACGTCAAGCCCTCAACACATTCTCAATCGCCTAGCTAGATTCATGTGATTGGAAAGAGGTATTCTATAGTCTAAACAAAGATGGAAGACGACTTCTTGAACATCGACCCGCGCTCGCAAATGCCAGCGTAAGTTATACCTACAGCCCACCTTCGTGATGTCATCCATATTGGTGTTCAACTAGCTACAGTTTGTGCAACTATGAAATGATGAAGCAACGTGTCGGAAGCCTGGTAAGGGTCATTGGGAGAATCATCGCCGTGGATAAAAAGAACATCATCATACAGACACCAGACGGTTAGACATTTATACCACAATCAAAACACAATAACAACAGGGGGCAAAGTCACACTAATACTAAGTCAACAGGATAATTTTCAGATTGCGCAGGTCGTAGAAGTACGTGCAGTGGTATGATATAATCTAGGTGCAATGACACGTACGCAGGTACGCGCCGAAACACGGCAAAAGGGGAGCAACATATACTTGCAACAGTATGGACAAATGTATATTTGGGGGAATAAGATTAATATGGAACTCCTAAATACAGCCATAAAACTCTTGAATCACCCCAAGGTAGCGAAATATAGGCTTATCAACGGCAATCACGCAACAGGCATTCAACACTAGTAATCTGATCTATGACTAGATTAACGTATTAAACCTCTGTAGTTGTAGTAGTTTAAAATAGTCATAGGACTAACACGCAACCCGAATAACTGATCTCTATACATTACGGTGAGGGCCTTAACCCAGCGTGTTTCCCAAGTTCTTGTTTTTGTGATGAAGCGCCACATTAAACAGTTGCTCAAACTAGGCTCTCACAAGACACAAAGTTGAGCTCTTTTAGAGCCAGCGACAAGTGATTACCTCAAACTATATTGTCATCTTGTTCCATGGAATCATGATGCCGATGTTTCACGCCAAGATCCAGAGAAATGTCACTCCAGGACAATAGTCTGCAATTGTTGAAACTATAGTCAATATCTATGACGACACGGCAGAGAATGGTTTAATCCCCTCACCAAAAGAACGCTGCATTTATTAGTCCTCAGTAACGACCATAATGAATGTCTGTTACGAAGGTTTGATTCCATAGGTATTCAAATAAAAGCCGTCCAATTCCCTTTTCAACACTTGGAGTAATGGGTGCATCGGGATCACTTTGAGACTCAGCAGCGTATGCTATCGTGGAACTCAGCATGCAGTCTCCCTTAAGCGTCCATGGTATCATGATTCTCTATCAACATCTTTTCCCGGAGACACATCTCCCTCATCAGTGCCCATCGGTTGCTCGCTTGACTCAATAGTGTCACCCGAACTAGATTGACACACGGGTATATCCATTAAGGGGGTGTTCATTATGTGATGTTGGATAATATCCTTGAGGTACTTTATCATTTCTTCGGTATTTCCACATCCTTCGAAATAATGTTGGTTTCTATCGACAAGTGTGTTGACGAAACGTCTAGCAAGCCTTCTCGCCAACTTGCTTGGAACATTACCAGAACGAAGTTTAGAGAGCCTTTTAGTTATCCTATCATCAGAGCTGACGCTGTAGTCGTAGAAATGCTTAGTGAAGTAGTGGGGAATCATGCCAATAATTTGGCGCAAACGATGCACTGCAAGCTCAGTCACCTCATCTTTAACTTCCTCAACAACTTGTTCAACAGACTCTTCAACTTGTTCAACTTCTTCAGATGAAACAACATTGGTTACTTCCTTAGTGACATCAGCAGTGTCACGGTGCGACTCACGTTTCTTGCATCCAGCGCTTGCTAGCATCACCTCGGGATCGTAAAGTTCGTTAGGGTTTTCTAGATCCAATTTGGGCTTGGGAGCCAAGCACTGAGGATCAGAGTTCCACAAGAGAAGTGTGAAGAAAAACATAACAAGGTATTGACGAAGTTCGCGGGTGTTAGGCATCCGAGCGGGATCGTTGATAATGATCCTGGTGTACTCCTTGAGGAGGTACCTAGCAACACTTTC